CTACAGATAATAATGCTATTGTAGCTATTTCAAGTCCATCAGAGGTAAAGAAGAATGATATGGAATTAAATGGAATACTGATAAAATCTATTTTAGGAAACTGTTATAGGACTACAAAAGTTTTGGCAGGGGGGTAGTGTACGTATCTATGACTGGCAAAGGCTCGATAGCAAGCATGATGATATAGTGACACATCTCCATATGGAACACGGTATGATGAGTGTCATTAAAGGTCGCACAAATGCTGGACATTTAGGGCAATCCCTTTCGGTGTTTGGTCATGATCAACAGCAAGCTGGTATCTGGATAGGGGAACCTATGAGTGAGCAAGGTATGTATTTGATCCCATATGTATTTTTATATCAGCTCATCTTTTTTTTATTATTATTATGTAGAGAATGGTAGGGTTTACCGCTGGCAATTCGAGAGTGAGGATATTGAATGCATTAAAAATGATCAAGTATTAGTAAGTAATTGTTTGCGGTGTCCGTAACTGGGCTTTTTTTTTTTGTGCCTGAAAAAAAAAAGAGCCGCGGACTAATAAAAATTTGGGGGGAATATAGGCACGCTTTGGTTCTCAGATTAATTCATTTGGTGCTGATGCCATTTGTATCACCTCGCAAAGATATGGTCAAAACGCACGGTAGGGTGCACAAAAGACATGATTTTACACTAGTCTTTTAATTATTTCTTTCACTCTAGTTATTCTGGTGCTGTCACTTTCTTACAAGAAGCTCTCAATTGATGACTTTTTATTTTTTATTTTTTTTCTTCCCCGACTGTTTTTAGCTAATTTTTTTTTTTTTTTTTTTTTTTTTTTTTTTTTTTTTTTTTTTTGCCCTGGACTGATTGCATATGTCATTGAGGAAAACCCAGATAGTGAATTAAAAATATACAATAAATTTTTTTTTCTTTTTTTTTTTTTTGTTTTTCTCCTCTTTCTTTTTCTTAATCATATCATTATTTTTTTCTTCCCATGCCTCAAAAGAAAAGACAAGCCATCCGTAGATCTGAACCTAAATTATTTCGCTGCACAGGGTTTGGAATATGTGACATGGTGTTCACTCGTAGTGAACATTTGGCAAGACATGCTCGCAAACATACAGGAGAGGTAAAGAAAAAAGGACACATAAACAAATAATTATTTATCAATTATTAAATTCGTTTGCATCAATGTAGAAACCCTTTCAATGTGCTGTATCGGACTGTAACCGAATGTTTAGTAGATTCGATAACATGATGCAACATACTCAAACCCACAGCCGTACGAAAAAGAAGGACTCAAATGACGATACTCTATCAGCTAAAGAGGATTCACCCATGCCAGTTCCACAACCAAAGATGTATAATCCCAATACAAGGATGTTACCTCCTCATATGTATTACCAACCGATGAGTCCACCCTCACCCACCACAAGCGAACAATACCATACGCAGTTACAAAGACCATGGCCTGTGTACCACTCACCCCAATTTCATCAGTCTGACATGATGCTACGCCACCCTAATTCACCTCCAGTCTTACATAGTGTAGACACTTGGTATCCAAATAGCCCTGTTGAGAGCAATACACACAAGAGACGGTTATCCCATGTAGATTTATCTACGCCCATTCAAGAATTGGGTACAAGAGCGGATAGTTCGGATGACGATGAAGATGACGAAAGACAAATGTCACCAATTTCCTTAGACGATTGTTCTAAAACCCGATTTAGATACGCCGGCGTTGATATTACCGTAGATGAATATGAAGCATTACAAGGCTTTGGTAAATTCTGTGCTGAACCTGTTGTGAATGAGACCATCAGACTACCTCCTCTCAATTCAATCTATACAGGCCCACATGCTTTCCGTCAACATATAACAACGGTTCAAGAATCTTTTCAAAGAGGCGCTCATTGATTCATTTCCCCACCAATGAAAGCCTCTTAAAAACTTTTTTTTTTTTTTTACTACTAGTATTTGACAGCTTGTTACTGCGCAACAAAACAACAAAAAAGAAGGCATTTTCCTCTCACTCCAACATCATTTATATATAATAATAATAATTTCAATTCATTCAAAAACTGTTTAATATTTCCTCCCACTTCTTTTATGTCATAATAAAATACAAACCCCAGTTTCATTTTTTTTATCAAATTCAACAATTGTGTCTTTCTTGTACCACCTTTGGAAAACGTGGGGGAGTTTTTTTTTTGTCTGGCTGCTCTATTTTTATTTGACTTTAACTTCTATAGTAACGGGTAAATGGGTATCGTAAAGTGAAAGGTGAATTAGCAATGCATTTAACCCCACCAACACATAGGACCCTTATCTTTTTTTATGACAGTAATCGCTTTAGTCCCATCCCATCTTACTATTAAGAAGCCCTGATTCGGGATTCAAATGAAACAAATCCAATTAAAATGAAGTGCTGAAGTTATGGCCTCCAATCAAAAACACATTTATCCTCCTAATTTTTTTTTTTTTTTTTTTTTTTTTTACATTACCCTTCTCCTATATATTACTCCTCCCCCAAAATAAAATAAAAAGATCCGCCTCTCATACACCCCTTTTTTTCTGTTCAGATTAAAAAGAATTGTTTTACTATACTATTTGGTAGACCACTTGATACACTCAGAGAAATAACATAGCAGAAAACCCTAGGTTTCAAATGACATTATTATAGTTAAGTTTTTTTAATTAAATGTAATTGAAAGTCATTGTTACCTTGCAAGGAGAAACTTTTTATACAAACAAAGGAGATAATATGCTACATACCGCATATATCATTTTATGAGGGTTATATCTGCTGGCATTTTACAATTGTTTGGTTGGGTATTGTTTTCAAAATATAATCGAGCAATGCGTAATGACAACCTATTGTCATACTATGTAGTCAAGAGGGGAGAGGGGGGGGGGGATATGCAAATAATGAGACACTAGGAACTCTTTCTACCAGTAAAATGGGGTTTCTTAGGTTAACTTGATCCAACACCCCTTACATGGTGATAAGACTTTCTATAAATACGACATGTTTTATTTGATTATGATTCTTTCCCATTTTCTAAAAAAAAATTATGATGTTACACTTAAATAAAATTTCTGTATGCGTTGCGCTTGTTGCTGCCTTTGCTATTACAGCCTCGGAGGGAACTTCTTCAAGATTAAATAAGAGAGAAACCCTTGATACATGTGTGTCTTCTAATCACCAATCCGAACAAATTAAACAGTCTTTTCTATTTGCTTACAATGGATACAAAGAGTTTGCTTGGGGTCATGATGAGCTTTTGCCAGTCTCAAAATCGTTCTCGGATTCAAGGTAAGAAAAGACGCTTGCTTAAAAAAAAAGATATGACCAACTAATATTTATATTTGTCTCTATGTGTAGAAATGGGTGGGGAGGTTTGTTTTTAGTATGTATACAATAGTACGTTATCCATTTAACATTTTCTTTTCTTTAAACAAAAATCAGCGAGCATCATTGATGCACTAGATACGCTATTAATTATGGGCTTGGAAGATGAATACGAAGAGGCACTGGAATTTGTAAAAAAGATTGACTTTACACAATCCAAAGACTCATCCAAGGGATTCGAGACGAATATCCGGTACTTGGGTGGCTTACTTTCTGCCAACGATTTGCGACCCAACGACATCTTGGTGCAAAAGGCCATTGAAGTGACCGAGGCAACCTTGATTCCCCTCTTTATCCAATCGACTTCCTTGGGAGTAGACGTCAAGATTCCACTCACTTATATGAATTTAAACACGTAAAAAAGTCATCAGTGAATGAAGATGATCTCAATACTAATTTTGCTATTCTATATTTGATGCAGTAATAAACCCGAATCGGGTAACACAATTAACTTGGCCGAGTTTGGTACTTACACAATGGAGTTTACCCGATTATCTCAAGTCACTGGTGACCCCAAGTATGAAAAGCTCGCTACAGATGTTATTAATGCAGCCATTCAACACTCTACACGTATGCCTGGTTTGTTCCCTACTTCATGGACTGTCCATCCTTTTGCGCCCGTTCAAGCCAGTAAGTCCGACTATCTCTTGTTTAAATGAATGGATTTATTATTAACAAAAAAAAAACGACAGGTACAATTACAATTGCTGGCGGTGGGGATAGTTTTTACGAATACTTGATAAAGAATTATCTTTTACAGACAGATCGAAACGAACGACATAAAGAAGTCTGGCAGAATTCTGTGGAGAGTATTGAAGAGTATATGCTATCGCCTACGTTACAGAACCCTGATATCAAGTACGTAGCTATGATTGGAAATAGCACAGTGTACTACTCATCACAAGAATTGATCTGTTACTGGCCTGGTAACATACTCTTGGGAATGACTCAAATGGCAGATGGAGAGAAGAAAAATCAGTACAAGGCATTTGCCGATACCTTTTTTGAATCATGTATCGAGACATGGAAGAAAACCGAAACAGGAATTGCACCGGAAAGTTGGAACTGGATTCCTCAAAACAACGAATTGGGAAAGAAATTAAATGCGTTATTTGAAAACAAGTTAAAATTGCCAAAGATGAAGAGAGAAATCGCTCGTTCGTTTTCCATGGGAAATCACATTTATGATTTGAGACCAGGTAAAAAGAGAGATACCATTATTTTTTTTTTTTAATTGACTTGTATTGATAATATTTGTGTAGAAACCATCGAAAGTGTGTTTTATTATTACCGTATGACAGGCGATACAAAATACCAGGTACGCAATATAACTTTGTAGCACACTTTATTTTTTGTACTAACAGCTGTCAAATGCTTTTAGGATCTTGCTTGGTCATTGTATGGTGCCATTGAAAAATATGCTAAAGCAGGTGCAGGGTTCACACGTGTAGATGATGTAGATCGACTCCCTATTCAAGTGCAAGATTTTCAAGAAAGGTAAGGACCTCCATAACATTGTTTTATAATTGTATCTTTATTAAATCTTGGTGTTTATAGCTTCTTCTTTGCGGAAACTCTCAAATATCTTTACCTGACATTTACTGACAAGAACTGTATCTCTTTGGACCGCTATGTATTTAACACGGAAGCCCATCCTTTTATTCTACCCGAACCCATTGCATTCCAAGCCTAAAAATAAAATATTATCTTTTTTAAATATATGATACATTGGGGGGAGATATTTTTAATATGAGCAAAAAAACAAATCATTTTTGGGAGGGGTAGGAGAAGGTCTAATAGTAGTGATAGATTGAATAAAAAAAAAGGCAAAGGGTCGAAAATAATAATACTGCTGCTGCTGCTGCTTCTGCTTTCCCTTTATTTGCCCAACTTCTTTCTCAATGCACGAGTTCTCTTCATCAATTTCTTGTGCTTATGCTTGTTCATCTTCAAACGACGCTTTCTGAGAACACTGGTTAATTCAAGCTCTTCAACTACAAGTGGTGTAGTCATGGTGGGTTGTGGGACAGCAGGTGCGTTGAAAGGGCGAAGACGAGAAATATGGTCCAAGACACTAGCAGTTGAGGTGGTTTCCTTTAAGGCTACAAGATGCAATGCATTAATGTCAATTAGCCATAAACAGCTCATTGGTTGTCATAGTTACGTGTAAGAAGGGCCTTGTCAAGCATAAATCTTTCGGTATTTTGAAACAAGGAGGTGGAAGCGAAACGCTTTGTTGCGACATTTTGACAAGGACGTACACAAGTCGTTAATAAACGACCAATTAATTGCTTTGCCAACATTCTTTAAAAAACAAAATAACAATGTAGGGGCGAGCCAGCAAAAAAAAAAATAACCTAGTTTGCCTTTCATTGCCGGTGCGGGGGAAGGGTGGGGGAGGGAGGGGGCTCAGCCACATTACCCTGGGTGTCCTCGCCTCCCCCCACGTTCAAAATCTCTATTCCGGGCCGGAATAATGCGAGCGATTTTTTTTTGAGAGACAATTTTTTTTTTTTTTGGGTTTGAGGAAATAAGGTAAATTTGTAGTAGCATAGTGTAAGGTCCTCCTTTTTCGTTGCAATCTCCATAGCCATGGTATGTTTTTGAAAAAGTGATCATCCCAGTATCTCATCGATGGATGATGGAACTAGATGAATCAAAGCATACAGATCTAAACACAGTATACTCATCCGTTATCAATTTCTGATTTTTTTTATTAGTCTCTCGTCGTCCCCGAAAGAAACCATGTATGAATTCAATTAGCTAGAAAACCAACCTTGACATTTTTTTAAACATGCGACTAAACTCTTTTTTCTTCTAATGAACAGTTCCAACACATTATCCGTCTTCTTAACACCAACGTTGACGGTCGTGTCAAGATTCAAATTGCTTTGACCTCTGTCAAGGGTGTTGGTCGTCGTTTCTCCAACATTGCCTGTAAGAAGGCCGATATCGATCTCAACAAGAGAGCTGGTGAGCTTTCTTCCGAAGAATTGGAACGTATTGTCACCATTCTCCAAAACCCCGCTCAATACAAGATCCCCAACTGGTTCCTTAACAGACAAAAGGATATTGTTGACGGTAAGTCTTCTCAAGTTATTTCCAACGTCCTCGATACCAAGTATCGTGATGATCTTGAACGTTTGAAGAAGATCCGTGCTCATCGTGGTCTCCGTCATTACTGGGGTGTCCGTGTTCGTGGTCAACACACCAAGACTACCGGTCGTCGTGGACGTGTCGTCGGTGTCTCCAAGAAGAAATAGTAAGTTTGTTATTTTGTGTTTTTTATTGTGTGCGCCCGTGTGTGTGTGTAAAAAAAAAAAGTTAAGGAACAAGAAGTAATCTAATTCTTTTTTTTTCCCTCCTTGTAGAATTATCTTTCTTTTGGCTAAACGACAATTGTTTTTTGTTTTTGAAATACTTTGCTATGGACCTTTATTGTTTAAAAAAAATAATATAACACTGCATCTTTTTTAAATAAAAATAACCTAAAAAAAAATCTTTTTTTTTTATTGAATGATTTCGTCAATGGTCTTGTTGGCAAGCTTCCAATAAGCCTCCTGCTTGGTCTCATCCAAAGAGTCCTTGGAACTCTCGGTAATTAACCTCTTTTGGTAGTGTTTGCCGTTTTCTATGGCATCTGATGTAATATAATACACATAATCGTCAGTCGATTCTTCTTCGCTGGTAGTGAAACTAGCATAGGGTAACACGTATTTCATCACCAAACGCAACATAAATGAAGAGTGACGAGCTAAATCCGTGGTGGGAACAAATCCCGGGCAAAATACGGCTACAGGCACATCAGGAGATCTTCTGGCCAAACAATAGGCATCCCATACACAGCCCAGCTTAGACAATTTGTAAGCCTTCATCATATCCCAACCCGAGCCATCGCCATGAAACAAATCGTTCAAGTCAACAGAGTCAGGGATACGAGAGGCTTCTGAGCGACCACCGCCTTTATTCTTGTTATCGTGGAGTGACGAGCCAACAAACAAGATACGCTTCTTGGGACTCGTGCTCTTTTCAATCATGGGCCACAATAACCTGTTCAAGTACAAGGGAGCCACGGCGTTTTTGAAAAAGACCTTTTCTACATTGTGAACTTGCTGAAAGCTGGTCTCGTTACCACCTGCATTATGAACAATGACATCGATGCATGGTAAGTTAAGTGTGCCCAAGTGTTCGACGGCTTTTGTGACTGAAGTCAGATCAGCCAAGTCAAACATGAGTTGATGGACATTGTGTGTGAATTGAGGAGTATCTTTTAATATAAAGTCTTTTGCAGCGTCTAAACTGGATTGACTGCGGCCCGTAATGATGACGGTGTGACCCAAGTCCACGCATTTTTTAGCGGTTAATCTACCCAAGCCGGCGGTAGCTCCTGTAATTAAAATGATCAACTTATCAGACATTTTTGTTTACAAACAATAAAAAAGGTTTTATAGAAAAAAAAAAAGAAAAGTTTTATTGTCTTAAGCGGTCTTCAACTTTTGATGTGATACGAATAAAAACTTGAGCAATGAGATCGTCTTGAACAGTGCTTTAAAGACGATGGTGAAGAAAGCAGCGATACAAGCCAAGGCAGCCAAGTTGATATCCCAGTTAGTGACTTTCAACAATGGCATGCCATCACTTTCCTCCCTTCTGTACCAGATATCACTCTTGTTGCGTACCGAGTATAAGACTTCTTCGATCATGTCAGCAGCATGAATTTTGCCTCGACTTTTTAATTGAACGAGAGCCTGCATACTCGCCATGTTAGATTTGAACGTTCCGTCTTTATCGGTTAATATCGTGATTATCTTTTCGACGGTGTCATCAAAATCATATGCCTTTCTGTCCAACGTCAATGCAACACCTGCCTCTTTCATTGTATAAGCATTGGCAGGCTGGTCACTTGTAAACGGGTGCAATAGTAAGGGCACACCGTTAAACAAGGATTCATGGATGGAACTGGCTCCACCATGGCTGATAAAGAGCTTACAATGAGGGTGATTTAAAATGGCGAATTGAGGTGACCAAGCTTCAAATCTTAAATTTGGATCCAGACTGCCGTCGAATAAGTCTTCCACATTATAAATCTTTTTGGATCGAGTTTGAATGTATATAGGCAAGTCAGGTTCTTGTCGAGATTTGAGCGAGAATGACCAGATAAAGCCATCCAGAGCTTTGGATTCGTACGCCTCTAGAAGACTAGTCAAGAGTACTTTGAACTCTTGTGCGTTGGGTGTGTACATCTGTCCAAAGGCAATGTAAACAACACGCGCATGTGTGTTCATGTAGTGCTCCATGGTAGCAGGTAAAGAATCATAGGTACTGCTGATGATAGGCCCAACATACTCTACAAAAGGCCCCACAGGTCTAGGGCTTTCCATACCCCAGAAACTGTTGATCATCTTGATCACGTTGGAATGACGGCCCAAGGGGTCGAAATCTTCTACGCCCATTTCTTTGCGTACCTTTTTAACCACCTGGCCCACGGGGTAGAAACGATAAAGAAAGATCGGCAATCTGATGTATCTGTTATAGAATCTCTGCTTGAAACTTAAATCCCTGGTGGTAGGTGGCCCCACTGTATGGAAGGACGTAATAAAAGGCGCTCTTGTATCTTTTTTAAGAAACGTTTGTTAAACAAACAATGGCAGATCAATTTTACCAAAAAAAAACTTTTACCTTCCGAAAGACTCATGGTGATATGCAAAATCATTGGAATATTCAATTTTTTAGCAGCATCAAAACAAGGTAAAGCCATTTGATCACAAATAGCGAGTGCTGTATTTGAGGTTTCAAAGATGTGCGTGTAGGCGTTAAAATCACGCTTATAGACATCGGCGATCAAGGTTCGGTAAGCTGTGGTGACAGAGAGAGAGACGGGATCATTAACATCAAACAAATCACGAAATTCTACCTTGGATATATGAGGACCCATTGAGATTGTCTTGATATCTGGTAAGAAGGCTGCACCGAATTTGACATTAGGATCTGTGGTGACAAAGGATACATTATGACCTCGCTGAGCTAATACTTTTCCAATCTCCAATGTCCAGGCAATATGACTGATACCACCACCCGTAGAGGAGATATGAATTGTCTTTGGTGCAAAGTCATTCACCATGGGTGTGATGGCGCTCAAGACAGATGTGCATAACAACCCGACGGAACACGCAATGAATACGAATTTCATGAATGTAAAAAAAAAAAGAGAGAGAGAGAGAGAGAGAGAAAAGGGAAGGCTTATACAAATTAACTGTCCAGAAAGGGGTGTCTTAAATGGTGTTTGCAGATAATCTAGACCCGTAGCTGGTACCGGACAACCCGATATCATGCCCGTAAAAATAACAAAGAAGTAATCAACAAAAAGAACATCAGCCGGCTAAGGAGTCTTTGACGTGGGCGTTTTTTACATTAGCCGTTCCAATTCGTTATCGATTATTTATGGACTTAAAAAATTGTTGTTACGCAAATGAATCATGATTAGAAGTAAAGTTAATGTATTTTTTACATTAACTGTAAGCACACAGTATCTATGAAGGTATATTTTGTGGAAAATTGACAGCTTACCTAATGCAAATTTTCTTTACCCATTCTCCTTACCAGGGTACGGTCTCTTGTTTCTGTTGTTTCTTCATCTATGACATACTTTGTTGATTAGATTTCAGCGTAAGAGTCCCTCCCTAGTAATGATTAAATACAAGCATAATATGGCCAATGGAAAAGCTCAGAGCATATTTAAAATAGAGTTTACTAGTAGTGATTCTGCTTTGAATTACGAAGCAGAATATTTATAAGCAGAAAAAAAAAATGTATTTTACATGTTGAATGCCAGTTTATTTAATTTTTTATGTGCACTGCTAGCATATATCTTTAAGAACATGTTGAAACGCTTATTATTTTACAAAAAGAAAAGGAAGAAAATCTTTTCAAAAGTTTGATATACAAAGAAATGCAAAGAATGTTTTTTTTATAGTGGGGAGGGAAAGATTAAACGCCCTGTTTAATAACGGTAATGCTCGGGCTTGTAAGGACCAGCGACAGCGATACCGAGGTATTCGGATTGAACGGGAGAGAGAGTGGTGAGCTCAACATCGAGCTTACCTAAATGAGAACGAGCAACTTCCTCATCCAACTCCTTGGGGAGAACATGGACACCAACGGTCCACTTTTCGGGTTGGGTCCAAAGAGCAATTTGAGCCAAAACTTGGTTAGAGAAAGAGTTGGACATAACGAAAGAAGGATGACCAGTGGCACAACCCAAGTTGACGAGACGACCTTCGGCAAGGAGGATAACGTGACGACCAGACTTCATGGTGAAACGATCAACTTGAGGCTTGATGTTGGAGACAGACTCAGCGTTGGCCTTCAACCATGCAACATCAATTTCGATATCGAAATGACCAATGTTACAGACAATGGCATCATCCTTCATGGCTTCAAAGTGACGACCAACAATGATATCACGACAACCGGTGGTGGTGACGAAGATATGGGCCTCAGGGACAGCCTTCTCCATAGTGGTAACTTCATAACCTTCCATGGAAGCTTGGAGAGCGTTGATAGGATCAACTTCGGTAATGATAACACGAGAACCGAAAGCACGGAGAGCAGCAGCACAACCCTTACCGACATCACCGTAACCAGCAACAACGGAGACCTTACCGGCAATCATAACATCAGTGGCACGCTTGATACCATCGACGAGAGACTCACGACAACCGTAGAGGTTATCGAACTTGGACTTGGTAACGGAATCGTTGACGTTAATGGCAGGAAGCTTGAGCTCACCGTTCTTGAACATCTTGTACAAGTTGTGGACACCAGTGGTGGTCTCTTCAGAGAGACCCTTGATACCGGGAAGCAAGTGAGGGTACTTCTCGTGAACAATGTTGGTCAAATCTCCACCATCATCCAAAATCATGTTAAGGGGTTGACCATCGGGGAACATGATGGTTTGTTCAATACACCAGATGAATTCTAAGCAAATAGTCAGCAAAATAATCTCTCTTTTTTAACTCATCTTCATATTAACTTACCCTCATCAGTCTCACCCTTCCAGGCGTAGACAGGAACACCGGAGGCAGCAATAGCAGCAGCGGCGTGATCTTGGGTAGAGAAAATGTTACAAGAAGACCAGGTAACCTCAGCACCAAGAGCAATCAAGGTACGGATGAGGATAGCGGTTTGGATGGTCATGTGCAAACAACCAGCAATTCTGGCACCCTTAAGAGGTTGAGTAGGACCGTACTTACGGGTGATCTCCATCAAACCGGGCATTTCATTCTCGCTATTGAGAAAACCAGGTTAATACTTTATGCTTCATTTTGATATATGCTTTTTTTTTTTTCTTTGATAACTTACGCAATCTCGATTTCCTGATAGACCACACGTAAAAAGAGGTTAGTAAGAAATTTTGTTTTGACAAGGTTCTGATTCCTATCAATCAATCAAAAAAGAGAGTTTACCTTCATACCGAAAGCGGCTGTAGAATAAATATTAGTAACGAATTCAGCATACAATGATTATCGCAAAACTTACCAAGGGAGATATCAGCGACCTTATAGTTAGACATGATTTTGATTAAAGTGGATTTAAAAAAAAGGGTGAAAAAGAAAACTACGTGTGTCCATAGTCCTTTTATTTCTTTTTTTTTTTTTTTTAGTTTGAAAATTTTTCTTCTCCACCTGGCCAATCAAAAAATAGGATCTGTAAAACTGAAGCTGTCCCGGGCTCCGCTCCCCCACTGCAAAGCCTACCAGGCCGTTCATCTATTTCGTTATTGTTGAAAATCTCTGTCCATCTAGTGGTGGTGTAACTATTTGCTTCTCCCAAAAAGGGACATACGTTACTTTTTTTTTCCCAGGAGAGGCTCTTCTTTCGCTCATTTTGCCTACTAACGAAATCATAAGCCTTCCGCTTGTAGGACTGCTATTTTACGCCCGACAATGTATATTTTTTCTATTTCGAACCTTATTTTTTCCATGGTCTGTTCAGAAAAAAAAAATTGAACTGCATAACAAGGCACGATGGAAAACAAATCGACTTCGATCCGATTTACGGTCCATACTCTCATTAAAAAATTACCGCCTTCATAAGTTCTATGGATCAATTTGATTGTAAAAAAATAATAATATAGTAGAGGCGGACCATCAATTACCACTTGGGGGAACGGGTAACCTAGCACAAAACTTTCATTTTCATCGTGGTTGAATAAGACTGGACCATCCATATTACCCCTCTCATATCTATATAGTAAGATTGGTCTGTGCCAAATCTTCATATGTTAATAATGACACGTCTATCATTCGGGTTGGCGGGAGAATGAAAAACGAGGATTATTGTCAAAAACATACACCCCAAAAAAAATTCCCACGTCATTTCTTTAGCGTTGATTTAATGCACAGTGTAGCAATATTTATTTTGGTGTGTATAACATGCATCATGTCGCGTATCAGCTGTAAAAAAAAAACAAAAACATCAAATGATGGTTGGAAGGCACATTGTAACTGGTTTCACCACTGGTTTTAAAAAAAACAAACGTCATATTCGCAATGTGTAAGCTACACGCACCTAAACTCGTGTCAAGTTTGGTTCTCAACAACAAGGAAAATTAAACTAAAAATCACTAATAAATCATGTAATGATTGTGATTTTTGAGTCTTGTAAAATATAATACTTCTCCAGGCAATTGTTTACAATACTTGTCATTTGTCTGGAAAGTGACACTTTGTAAAAAATAATAAAAAAAAGATGCAATAATGTGGTGGTTATAAAAAATATTTAAAACTGTTTTTGTAACACTTTTCTTTTGTTTCTTTACATTTATCAAGGCAATGTTATTTGTCTTTATCTACCTGTATTATGTCAAACTACTTGGTTAAGCTGATTAATATGAAAGATATAATGAGAGGATTATGAAAGATATATTGAGAGGATTATGAAAGATATATTGAGAGGATTATGAAAGATATATTGAGAGGATTATGAATAGTATTGCTTTACCTCAAACTATTCATTGGGAGCGCCAAAATTTATCAATGAACCAGACACGAATACTAACGAACATGCTCTTCTGAAAAATTTAATGTATCCCTTCTCACTTGCTTAGATACAAAGATCAATTTAATATTACACCAAACAGTTGCCGACAAAACAATGTGAACCGACTGATAAGGCTGTTTCTCAAAACGATTTACATGTAAAAAAAAAAAATGCTCTAGTGCTGTGGCCAGCAGAGTAATATCTGACCCCAATTTAAACCATCATGATCTCTTCCATATCAATCATTTAGCATCCCTTGAAGGCGATATCAATTTTACGGATCTCTTCAAATCATAATATATTATCAACCAGATACATGAATACCTGTAAATTCACATGACCTAACAATCCTTTCCAACTGCATCGTTTCCAAATGCATCGTTTCAGCTTGATAAACAGAAACATATTGCGGCTTCAATATATTTACAAATATTCAACATGACGTATACTGGATGCCGAAGCGGGTACGAGAAAAAGTCACTAGTGAGTCTAAATAATGAAATACGTATTACACCCGAATTAAAGTAGTCCATGTTGACTAATGTCAGACTGTCGGCTATATCTTTGATGTAATATATCCAAGCTTCGATTTAAAATAGATGCGTGGTTTGACAGAAAACATGTTTGTTCTTCACATAAGAGCCTTTACCAACTGATATGCAAATGCCGCCTTGATGAAGCGATCCGACGATCTATCATATAAAAAAGGCTGTTGTGTATTCAGCATTTGATCCCAAATTTAGGTTAAAAATTCGACCTTCACTGGTCTGTCAGAGGAGACAGGCCAGCAGACATGCTTTTTCTTTTCCTTGGTGTAAGGTTATCAGGGTTTAAAACAAAAAGTACGTAGTATTTTAAAGGCTTCTTTTTATGATTGTTGCTAAAAAAAATATACACTGATAAGGTCGATCTTGATTTGTTCAAATTGTGTATTGATATATCTTTTTAGAAGGTTTGGAGAGGAGGGATGATGATGAAGAGCTAGTCTATTTTTATGATATTAATCATTAGTCTAGAAAAGTAACTAGATGTAACAGGATCATCTATAAAAACCAAAATAAGCATTATATACCAATCATGGAAACCCACGACTTTGAGATTTTTCATAAGCTATAATCAGTGAAATTTTTTCCCTGACGTGCCAATTTAATGAGCTTAAGTAAATGCAAGTTAGGTACAGCAATGAGAAAAAAAAACAGATTATACCACTGTGGTTTAATTAACCTATTCCTAGTTATTGGAGAGATCATCTTTTTTCTCCTATGGGCTGTTATGGTAGTACTAAGGCATTTAAGTATAAAAGTGCTGCGCACAAGATGGTATCCCATTCACCATTTACACAAAAATCAGGAGTATGACCACTAGGAGGACAGTAAAAAATAAAGTGGGCTTCAGTTTAATAAGCGGGTCTCTTAGGGACAGCCAAATGGTACCCGATCCTAGACTATGACTATGTGCATTTTGGTTATCCCTAAGAAAAGCGTTTTTCTTTAAGCTGACTGTCTTTGAAATTTAAGATGCATCCTTAAAAAGGTTTAGGGAGAAAAAACAGCTGTGACTGTGCATTGTCAAAACGCCCTTATATTGTTTCCCATCGCAGTTGTTTTTCTTTTCTTCTTTTTTCTTTGTCGATTGTTCAAAAGCCAAATATGCCACATGTTGGGAAACGATCAAACCGATAGCAACATTAAGAGAATTAAGGAAAGGTTTATTAATACCAACAAGTTAATGAACCTCAAAGCAAGGTAAATAAATAAAAATAGAAATAAAAAGTAGATAAGGTAGAGATCTAACGCGTGTCGAATATAGATACCACTGCTCAAACAGATAAAATCGCGTCGCTTAAGTCGACCGAAAAATTTTAATCAGAAAAAATTATTTCTCTGCGAAAAACTTAAATTATAACAAACTGGTGCCGAGCAAACAACTCACCTTCCTGGTGACGCTCAAGTCATTATAAACAGAGCTCAAAAAAGAATGCAAGAAACTGAAGCTTTCTTGGCTGCTAGCAAAAAAGCTCTTCAGAGCTGAAATGTAAGTTTACAGTATTAATCTCTTTATATATTATGAAACTCATAATTGTTTTATCACTTTAGCTGTATGTAAAACAAATAAAACCAAAGAATGAAAAGTTGGCGGCCGAAATAACTGTAAATAAAGAGCCAAAAACATCAGACACTCACCGTCAAGAGATTGCGGATAAAGATAATCTCATCCGCTCTTTACGTGACGCCTTAGACCAGCTCGGCCATCTTTCATATTTTCATCCGCTCTTTACAAACTAATGTCAAGAAATTAGACGCGGAGGTCGAAAATATACAGCACAAGTTTGACAAGCTGGAAGATGACTATATGACACTTTAAGTGGAAGCAGGTCTTCAAACAATGAAGAAGAAACCCAGGAGTTAAGATTCAGACTAGATCAACTAGAAAATGACAATCTTGAAGCCGAATCACGAATTCAGCATCTCGTATCAGAGCTTTCTTGCACGTGGCGGGTCCTGTTGTGGTTGAAGCTTGTGCCAACGATGAAAAGCAAACTTAAAACATGCTTGAATCATCTAAACAACGTGCAACAAGAAGCGACAAGATGGATTACCTACACGACAGATCATTAGTAGAATCTTACCATACAACTGATCTTGGTACGATCTTGTCTCACGATGTCCAGCCAAGTCCATTTTTAAGTACGCCTTCCTTTGGACAGACATCTAGACTGCTTGTAGCTTCTTCCGCTCCTGGGCGTGCACGCAATGTGGCACTCGGTCAAGCTGCTACTACACAACAGGGCCTGGCTCGATCGACTCTCCCCTCACCGGTGCAGCCCATTTCAACCCGACGGGTCTCAGCTTCTAAAATTGTTTGTTCTACTCTGTTGTACCCAGGGGTAAGAAAAAGAATGGTCGGCTTAGCATGTTTGTTAGCAGCCGAAATCCAAGCAAGGTCATCGATATTCGACTTCTTATTATTCCAGTTCACGATTGACCTTCTACTTCTGAAGAAAGGGCAGCTAAGAGGTCAAAATTGAATACACGGTATGTCCTAATGATTGAAGACTGGGTCCAAAAGAAGATGCTGGGAGCGGAAGCTTTTTTTAAAATCCATCTTTAAATCGAGCGACTACTGTATAAAGTATATAAAAAACAATAATACAAAAGAACGATTAAGATATTTTGTTACTTTATTCAACTGAAGTCTTAACTACGAAATAATGGGGTCTATTTATGCTCTTTTGAACGCTGACTGTGATTACAATCGCCAGTCCATTGTCTTGACTATTGAATTCCACATGAATTCAATGGTACGTTGTCACCGACAGATTACTTCAATGACTTCTAATAATATTTTCTATAGGCTCTTCCATTGTATTCAATGTGTCAGAATTCCAAATTTGGAGAATTTATTTAAATTTGGATTACGGATGATTTTATCTTATGTGCGTTTAGCACAACAAGTGCGGAATCGAAGGATTGTACCGAAATTGACGTGCAAGATAACTGAATTTCAAGAGAAAGGCATATGTCTGGATACTGTCTTACCACTGTTCATAAAACGTAAGTATAAAATAAATAATATGCATGGAAATTCACCTTTACTAAACTATACCCTTATGCTGTAGGTAAGGCCTTTCATGACATCTTTACAAAACTATAGCGCCAAATTAGCTAAATGTCTCAAAACCAAACGTCCCAATGTCTCCAGTTTGTAAGTATTTACAATCAAGGACTGTTAGTGAGCGTACAAGGGACAAAAGGGCGGGGTGACGGATCTAACCTTATATATTTTTCTAGTTGTTACTGCCGTTTGCTTTGTTTGTTACGTAATTCCAACAATCATGTTGAACGTGCCCGAACACTCTGTTTTGATGTGGTTCGTGGATCCACTTGTAACAAAAACACATGTTCCTGTTTATACAATATTGTCTTGTTATGAGTAAAGAGCTTTTGGTATTGTTAAAAGCTGTTCAAAGCAGTGTCCGACATATCTTCGATCACTCGGATATTCCTGACAATATCAACGTAATGTACATAGAGATCATAAACGCTGTAATTGGACCGCACTATACCAAATCCCTTCAACAATTGAGGTGATTGAGGAAGTCGTGGATCCCGAAGGTGTTACAGTGACAAGTAAAGTAAATTTAATAAACCCAACATATTTTACCAATCGCATTTGACTGTTTGAGATTTAAAACTGTGAAGTCCTTTGAGTTGATTTTCCACGTCCTTGGTGACTGGAAAAAATTGTACAATACATTAACAATGGATGTGATGGATGACGTGGCATTAGAAACCATGGGTAACAGACAAATTTTACTTGCTCTGTCTTTGAGTGCCTAGTCAAGCCGTAAGTAATACATTTTTGTCACCAAAGTCATAATAGAATAATAAGGCTTCAATTTGTATGTAGCCACTTGCTCCAAGTCCCACGAACGAACCCAGGCGCCCAATTTGAATTAACGAGCGTACGACTCAAAACAAAAAGGGTCAAAGACCGCACTCGTAGAAGCCATCAAGAAAGTGGTTCTAAAGAAACAGCAATCTTAATGGGATAAAGCTTCATACAAGGCATCTTATCAGTTTTTTCCGAGGAAAAAGAACTCTCTCTACTACTAAATAAAGCCTTGAACTATCAAAAGGAATAGTATAATCATAAATAAATGGCTTTTTTTTTTGGTAATAATATTTTTAGACCTGACTTTTTTAATGAAGACTTAAGTATTTTTGAAAACGTATGTAGCCCATTGAATAATCCGCCGGAATCCTGTGCACAACATGGCATCTTTTGTGTGCTATATGCCATAGAATGAGCATTAAAAGTCACTTTTTACAAGGGGATTATTTATGTATCCAAACAAGCAATTAACACTAATGATTATATCATTTAGGGGAGATGGCTCAATTATGATGTAAGGCAACTGTTTGTGAAAAGCAGAACTCCCGGCTATGAAGACCGGATAAAAAGATAACAGTTAGTAAATGATTTTCATTAGAAGACAGCCAATTAAGTTGAATCATCAGATGGAAGAAAATGTTCCTTTAAGTATGTATCTATTATGAGCCGTGTTGCAAATAAAAATTATATTGGGAACAGTGTAAACAAAGAGCTTGTGCAAAAATATTCTTTTATTGGTATCTGGCCTTCTTCGTTCATTCTTCAATAATAAATTACGGCAGAATAAGCGATAGTCGCTACTGAGAGAAGTTCCACGTAATCTTCAAATTTACATATACGGAACACAGTAGGCTGATAGCAATAATCATAGTAACGCATTAGCCCAGTAACAATTTTTGCCAGTGCCAACTTACAAATATTATAAAAGCATAAGCAGTTACATTTATCTGTTGCGACCACCGATAACAATCTGGTCATTTAAGACGGTCGAGACAATTGTCTTAAAATCTATTTCAAAATTGTTACCGTGAACATTTCTGGACTAGAATGTGTATTAAATATTGAAACAAATGATAATTCGCGCTTTTGAAATTTTAAAAAAAACATTCTCATTTACATTTTTACATAAAACAAACACATACGTGACTAATTAGAACAGAAAGACAGTATATGCAAAGGATTTCTGTATGAGTTATGGCAGCAGAACGTTATGCCAAGGTTTAAGGTTGAGAGGTCAGCGTAATTGATAGTCTATTGTCGTCTATGATCTCCCAATTATCTACACTGGGGACGTTCATTGTTTACATGAATATCGCAATCTTTTACCCTTACTTCACTGGAAAGACATGTAAACGTCGCTGAGTTCCTCATTTATAATTCACCTTGATAAGCCGTCTTTTCCCTCCCCTCTCCACAGATAGCATGTCGTTGATTTTGTTGGTTTATTATTAGAAAAAAAAAAAAGGAATCTAATCTGTTGCCGTTTTCATATACGAGTTTAATTTGTGTTTGTGGTAATAATAATAAAAATTATGTACAGGGTTTGATTTTTATCTTATTTCTTCATTTTGGTCTCGGTAAACAAAACATGTTGCTTGACTAAAGGAATAAAAAAAAAGATTAGGGGATGAGTTCCTGATTAGTCGATTGAATTCATAAATGTATTACCCATGGGATCGTATTTCATCAAGGACAATTTTGCAGAGATTCTGGGACGACTCTTAATGTAGTTGAAGCCGGTACCAGCAGTCGATAATAATTTAACGAGAATAACTCTTGCCTTTGCTTTCTTAGCCATGTTGTATTTTAATGGTTTTTTGACAAGGAAAAAAAAATTACAGGTAAGGGGTAATATGGGCTCCGGGGGTAGAAAAAAAAAAAGTAAAATTAAGTCACACACTATGGAGTTTCAAAAAATGTCGCATTAAGGTTGACGTGTCAACTTTTTATTTATTAGACTTTGGTAGGTCTTCTACGGCCTCCAACCTTGGCACCAACAACATTCACCTTTTCACCTGTAGCTCTCTTACGAAGAGCCTTTTTTGCAGGAGCTTTAGGTGATTCGACAGCAGAATCCACCTTTTCGTTTTGCTCCTCTTCAACTTCTTCGTCCTCTTCAACAATAGGCTCCTTCTTTCCTGTGATCTTGTTGAACAAGCGCTTGGGCCAAGCAACAATAAAGAGACTGTCAAAAGTAGGTTCAGTGACCCATTCAGCATCCAAGTGGATAGGTTCTCCAGAGCGTTCATCAGGGTAAACAACAATTGCAGTGTCGCTCTTAACTTCGCAACGCATGTGTCTTTGACCCACTTCGATATAGCTACGACCCATGGTAGGTGCGCGTCCCTTGGGTGCATCCTGAATCATTTGAGTTCTAGCATTAGCGATAAATTCCAAAATCTTCTTCTTTTCTTGACGATAATTGATCTGACCAGCGATGTATTGCATACCTGCGGCAATGAGTGTAAGCACTACAATCACTGTACCCAATCCAGGTCTGAAACGGCTGTAGAGATAGCCAGTACCACGCCAGCGAGGTACACCGTTCTTGTAGAAGAAGTTGTAACGTTCACGGCTGGTGGGATCACGTAAAATGGTGACAATAACACCTAAACGCGTAAATCTCTCTTTTGCCTTGGGATCACCTTGGTTCTTGTCAGGACTAGAATATTTTTTTAAGTTTTATATCCCCTTTCTCTTTTTGTTACGGCTGCATACTTACTGCCACTTTAAAGAAAGCTTACGATATGCCTTACTAATGTCAGCTTGAGAAGCAGTAGCCTAATATAATATAATTGAGTGACAATTTGAAGCCTATCGTTTTTATTTAAGCTTACAGGTACGCCCAACCAGCTGTAAAAGTTGGTATTCTTTCCTTCAGCCTTTTCCAAAGCATCGACAATGTCAAAGATTTCAAAATCGGCTAACATGGAGAGGTAAATAACAATTTAATAATCATCATCTTTTTTATTTTACCTTCTGTCCAAGCCTTTACATTGGGCACCATGGTTGAAAGGACAACCATAATGATCAACAAAAGACCCAAGATACCTTGGTTCTTTAAAAAACTTATACGTGTCATGTAAAGAAAAGAAAAGTTTTCAAAGATGGATAAAAAGGATAATTGTTTTTTTTTGCAACCCACTCTTTCTTTGACACACACACATCCAAAAAGTTAATTTCAGTCGGAGTTTCGGAGTTTATACAATTAACATTTTGGCTTATAAGCAGGTTGCTATGGGTGTTTGTAGATTTCGAGAGGATGGTATCAATATCTTTCATATAAAATATACATGTCTTTTATTTATTTCATTAAAGTAGTCTGGATTTCATAATTCTGCAGGTCAATTAAACTGTATTTATCATTGTAATTTTTACAGTGTTAGTCCACAGATTGACAACATGAAAAATTATGCACCTTGTCTTTGACAGCGTCAGATAAATTAGTACTAAGATCTAAACAAATTTATCTTTTCCCATTAAAGCTCAAATGAAAAGATGGTTTAGTTCAGGGGGGGGGGGGTTTATGATTATCCGAAAAAGGCCATAGTTGAGGGAGAAAATGCAAGCGATCATTGACAGTGTAGATAGTGTAAACAAAGAACATACAAATTGATGTAACTATCATAAAAGCAGCTTGTCAGAATGCACAACTTAATTTTCTAACTCACCAATGTACACACGTAACAGAATATATAAGTGCTACTGACTAGATCATTAGTAGTAATAAATCGTAAGCAGACAAAAGATTGAGATATTCTTCAAGAAGCAATGAAGCATACGATAATAAAACTTGCTTAAATGAGACTGTCAGTTTATAAATAATTTTCTGCTTCATTGAGACGCATTATGCCGATATTAAAAAAGTAATCCTGTTTAGTAAAAAAAGGGGGTCAATACATGTTGTTGATAGGTTATTACGCGACGATAGTATAAAAAGTTATTTTGACTTGCAGTTGGTAATAACACTTGAAAAATGCCAAAAGTGTCATCCAAGAACCCCGTTAAAAGTTTGACAAGTATCATCTTAAAAAGATTTAACTTATTAAAGTGGTAATATATTTCTAGGCACTACTAGAACAAATGCAGCGTTTTAATGAAAAAAAAAAGAATAAAAAAGAATATTTATCCAATAGCAAACAATGACGTGGATAACCGTTCAAGCTAGTGTAAACGCAATGATGGTATACATATTAGTTCTGGAAAGTTCTTTCACCATAAATAGTGTTATGTGGGTGGACGTGTTTGAAGGAATTTCTTTAATCGAATAACAAATACTTTTATAGATGGTTGTTTTAATTTGATAGGTTTGAAGAATGGAATAGTGTCATGTTTAGATGAAACGAAATACAAATATTTGATTTTTATTTGCCTGTGCAAAAAAAAAAAAAAAAAAAAAAAAAAAAAAAAAAAGAAAAAGTGTTTGCGCGAAAGGGGGCGGATCCGTTAAGGCGCCTCAAATTGCCTTCTTTAGAATAAGACCTTTTTCAACAGATGATCTGGTTCCAACAAGATCTTTTCGAGAGTCACGCCATATGTATAAGTCGCTTTTTTTTTCATGATGAGTCTTTTACTGCTGTGGGCAATTGCATGTACGACAGTGTAATTTTAAACTATTTTTGGGATTGTATGTTGATCTTACAGTTTCATGAGGAAATACACACTGAAACTTGATTTTACGCGGCATGTAGATAACTCATACCTACACCAGACTATGAATTCTGGAGTACACTTGTTATTGATCATGATTGAAATCTATTTACCCTTAATCGTGTAAAAATATGTAAACATGGTCAAAACCTGCTTCACTGTCTGAGTTGAATTAAAGCCATTAAAGCGTCTTTCCTTGTCAATGCAAAAGAGAAGGACGCGATTTGATTGGCCCAAGTCATCAGGAATGAACAGAGGTGTTGTGGTGAGGGGATAAAGCAGTTCAATTTAAATCGAAAAAAATAGTCTTATTTTGATGGATAAGAATATTAAATTTGACTCTTTTGTTAGAATGTTTTATGCATTCCACGTGGGATTGTTTAATATAGTGTATTAGTGGTAATGATGACCACATTGGCGTCAATTAGCACCAAAAAGCTAGTCACGCTCGGAAGGCGTTTTTTTAGTAGGGGTTAAAGAAGGGAGAAGGGAGGGAGAAGGGAAACGGAGAGGGAGAGAAAAAAGGGAATGAAGAATCCAGTCTGTATCAAAATCTATTGGAATTTGAGGAGACAGCAAAAAAAAGGGGTCAATAAATATATAAACAGAGGGCTTTTTTCGCATTTTGTTCAAAAATAATCTTTATCTCTCTTAAACATGACTCCATCTCTCAGTATCGCACTTCCTTCTATTCATCGTATTACAAAGCGAGAAAATAAGGTGATTAGTAAACCACAAACCACTCAACCTCAGACAGCATGCCAATTTACCAACAAGACTCGTCATCATGTGCGCACCACCTCCGTACCTTCAGTTTTACCCAGTTTTAAAATTCAAAAAGACACTAGTAAATTATCAATGGATATTTTGTTGGATGCTATTGATCTTGACCAGCAAATGCGTCAATTCTTTAGAACAGAGGTTGTCAAATCAAAGACCAGAATCAGTACATTTAAACCTTCTCAGGTCATGATGGCAAGACGTCGTTCCAAATCAGCACCTGGTGCCCCACCATCCTATCACCATCAACGTGCTTTTAGTGCTCGTTGGACAACACCAAACCAAACCGTTACTTCAGATTCACAAGCACAAGAAGTAGCAAAATTGATTGTTCAACAACATTTCGAAGCTGTCAAAAAGAGATAAATAGCATTGCTGTCTATCCATCTTTTTATATATATATATATTATAATCATTCCATTCATTTATATTAACATACACTCATTCCTTGTAATTTGTTATATTATCTCATGAAAACCTCTTTTTTTCTTTCTTTCTTTTTTCTCTCTCTTTCTATACAAGTATTATCCCCAAACATAGTAGTCGTCACTCCTATCAAATAAACATACATATAAAAATAAAAAAAAAGCACCCCTTCATTCTTGACACAACAACATTTTGCCCCGGGGAAAAACTCACCCCTTACAACAACATTCCTCTCTGCTGTGCCCCCTCAATGTCAGATGATTAATACTGCTTGGATATGATTGGTTGAGATTTATTAATGATAAACTTTGACGGCTTCAGACATGAGACGATCTAATTCCTATCATTATGAAACACGTTCAGTAACAAGTAAAAAAGAAAGATTAAAAAAAAAAGTGAATATTACCTTTTCTAATTGATCTAATCGAGTATGACTATCTTTAAATACTTCACTAATTTCAGAACGAATAGGTCGGTTGGAATTTCTACCTGTGAGTTTCTTTTCTTGCGCACTTGCTGCACCACGAATCATGACCATGAGGTCATTCATACCAAAGTCGTTGCAATATAACATGGATTCCGACGATTCAGGTCTTACACGCTGTGGCTGTGTTGTGGATTTATTAAGGGTATCAATAGCCTCGTCTAATTGGGACAAGATATTTTCACTAGGCGGTGAACTAGATAATTCAATGGGGCTGCCACTTAATTCTCGATTAATTTCTTCCGCCAAAATCACCTGAGGCTGATATTGTGGTAAAGATGGGGCTCGGTCGTATTTAAATCCGTCCGTAGGCGTAGTCTCTTGACGAGGCATGGGTGTATCTTGTCGAACAAGATGATGATGATGAGGACGATGATCTAATCGATTCGTAAGCACAAATAATTTCAAAATACAAATAATAACTTACGTCGTGAGTCTTCCACGTCTTCCTTCTTTTTAGACTCAACACATTTCAAAATGAAGAAAATCTCATCCTTTTCGGGAGGTGTGATATTCACTGTGATTGAAGTTCGGTCAGGATTACTGTTGCGGCGATAATGAATATTAGGAATTTGATCATCCTCAAACACATTCAATAATTTTTCTTCTAAATCAAGTAAATATTCTAAATAAACAAAAACATGTTTTAATTTTCTGCATACTTGACCTGAAAAAAAATTTGGCCTACCTTGTCCATTCTTATTCACTGCAAGATGGTATTTAAGAATATCTTGCTCAGACAATCGAAGTGATTTAATGTCATCCTCTGTCTGAGGTCCAGCTACCACACCGTTTAAAATATGGAATTTCTCCAGCAAAAGCGTCACTGCATCTTTAATTAAAATACTGGAAGGAATCTTTACAAGTTTGTCTACTCTTTTAGTCACGTCGTCCGATGCTTGTTGTTGTAGTTGAGAAGGAAATAATGAGACCTTAATTTGAATCTCACCATCATCAATTCGTTTTGTTTTAGAAAGCAAATAAAATTGAACTTCGTCTTCGTTAGCCAATTCTTTACTGGGTCGTCCCATATGTGTTCCGTTATCACTGCCCATCAACTGAGAGATACGTCGTGCTTTCTTCAAGGATGGCATTGGTGTATTTAAATGAGCTGTTAATGAATGGAAGATCTCTAATGGTTTATCGGAAGGGACAAGTGTACATTCATCTCCACCCAATGTTCGGACGATCAGATAAAAATCATGGTATGTCATATCTTGTTGTTGTAATTGTTCCTGATCAGTCAATGCCATATGAATCAAATCTGTAGCCGTAGTGGAAGGATAGGCAGTGACGTATTTGTAGGATTGCATCAACCCACTGGTGTTTACGAAATGATTGATATTACCAGCATGAATTTTCAATTCGGTACCCTGTTGTTGGATGGTAGAATCTAAGCTACCAGATCTATCACGGTCCAGAACTGAGACAATTCCAGTAGATTGTGAGCTAATAGAAGCTGTCTCATATTGTGATCCACCCGAAGATTGTCTTTCCAACGTATTAGCGCTCTTACTTTTACTATTGCTACGACTGAAAAATTTACGAATGCCGGATTTTTCCTTCTTGCTATTGCTGTCTTTTGATCCTCTGCGTTCTTGCTGAGGTTCTTCAGGAGATGATGAACGTAATAATTGATCTAGCTTTGCGGCTTTTTTTAATTTGCCAGTGATGCTACTATCTGATGAACGATGGTCGTCTCGAGCAATGGAGGGAGTCAATGAGATTTTGATGGTCTCTTCATCTAAATTTAGTGTATCTCTGTTGCTAGGCTCTCGATCATTGAGAATGTCTGAATCGCCACTGAGGCGAGCTTCGGTATAGTAATCGTCTTGTTTATCGGTATAGGAAGCATACAGGTTATCGGACTGCTCGGAATAAGATTGTCTAGCATTTGTAGTGGCAGTGGCATGATCGTAATAATCGTAAGGATCTTCACTATCAACGTCTGAATCATCAGACATATCAGAAAGATCAGACTGCATTCTTTCGTCCCACTGTTCAAATTGAGATTCAAAAAAGTCATCCTCATCATCACTTGAACCAAAGATAATTTGAGATTGAAATTGAACGCCTTTAGCAAGCGTCACACGCTTGGTCTTTTTTACTTTATTGGAAGGAGGTGTGGGGAAAGCATCTTGAATATCTTTTCTTGTAAGTTCGATATTACGATGAGAATTTAAACGAGCCAATCTTTCATGAGGAGTCTAATTTATGGTAAGTTTTTTTTGTTGTTGTTGTTATGCTCCATTTGTGTAGGAGTTACCTCAATATTTTCTGCAGGAATGTATCCTACTTCAGCCGTCTTTAGTACTTTAACAAGCCACCAATACGAGTTGCTGTCATCCAGTAATGTCAATGCATCACCGCGCACTACTGAGGCTTGTCCTTCCACAGTGGCGGCGAAGGTATGAAGCGCATATACCATATCAAAGTCAATGTTGGGATCGGGAATGCTTAATTCGGATCCTGTGTCGTCGTCTTCTTCATCGTCATCTTGCTTATTGCTGTTGCCAAGAACATCATCTAAATCTTCATCATATTCATCATATACATCGTCTTCAATGTGGTTGTAATGTTGGTAATCTTCCATATCATCGTCATAAAGGGGTTGTGAATTATCTGTGTAGCCTGTCAGGCGTCGTGCGTCTTTAGCTGTAGACATGTGTAAGGAATGGAATGGGGGAAGAAGAAGAAAAAACTAGCTTTTTTTTTGTGTCTGGGTTTAGTCTTTCTTGTTTAATAGACGAGAAAAAAAAACAATTAAAGTGCGGAGTGGTCTTGTCACACGAAGTAATTCCCATCCAATATACCACCAACTCCCTTTTTTATACAGGAAAGTGTTGGTTTGAACACCCAAAAAGGGATCTAACACATTTGATTTTATCTAGCTACACAAGGTTTGAATCTTAAGAGTTATTTAATCGAACTTCATATGCAGTAGATCCCGTAAACAGAACAATGAATTATTCGTTAGTTTAATGAAATTAGAAGGTAATAAAAACTTAATTTTTAGTTAAATACATCTAAATAGCAGTAATTTATTAAACCGCCACTTCATTGTTGGTGATATAATATTGATAGGTCTGTGCCTGATTTACCCTTTTCAAACAGGGGCGAACAACGATCTATATTAGTGCAAAAGTGTGCTTGTTTGTGTTAAATTAGTGTAACTAACCAAGACTCGATAAAGAGAAGAAAGAAACAATTGCCAGGTAATTGTTGAATGAATTTTGTTATTGGAAGACCGCAAATGCGCAAAAAAAAAAGTAACTGTCCCTTGGCATAAACTGTCAGCCTTACAAGTTTGATCGACGGTCGGTAACCAAAACCCCTCGTGATAGCTGAGAGCAAGCTTTTCTATAGCCTATGGGATGCGCACCTACTCATGTATTATAATTTTTATTATCTTTTACTTGTTAAACTCATTATTGAAGAATTAACAATGACTTGAACCAGTACAAAGAATTATTCACAGACAAGTTCTTTATTTTATTCTGTTGTTTTTTGGGTGATGTAAGTGAAAAAAAAAAGCTATCGATATCTATAAATGTTAAAGACAGTCAATTTGGTAATCACAAGATAACATGATGTGGATTATTTAGAGAAAGTGGAACCAACTTTTATCACACTTTATCATGTATTTGTCTCACCTGGTGAAGGTCATAGTAAAATACCTATATGAATACGAGGTACAATTTAGAGAGATAGTTCACCAAATGTAGATTAAGTGAATAATAAAAGTATGATATAATGTATTATAGTCATGACAATCAATCATAGTCTAAATTGCAACGTAAACTATAAGCTGGTTCTTCGATGCAAAGGATTACTGTTACGCACAACCAACATGTTCGATTTGGCTCATGTTTAAAAGACATTGATTGATCCTGCGAAGGTGTTAGTAATCCAAATATTCTTCCATATTATCATTTGACCCTAATTACAGCCTCCAAAAAAGCATTTATGCATGGGAGTGATTACTAGTTATGATGATTTGCTGATGGTTACAATTATGTGCTGTGATTTATTATTATTTAAAGGACTTCATGGTTGCATTTAAGCTTGAAGTAATTATTTTTAATGACCTGATTTATCAATACGCTTGTTTTGAATGGGGTTTGGGTATGTTTCAAGTCAATATTAATTAGATCTAAACCAAAATCTCTCGTGAGTAGCCCTACCATGATTAGTTTAATATCTTTATCTTGACCATAGTATAAGTCATCAAGTGTTGGAGCACCAATCATTTAGACATCAAAGTCGGAGTGCTAACTTTAGAAACGCCCCTTTGGTTCCTTGATGTCTTCAATGCATATTATACATATATGCCTTCGATTAGAAAAAGGCTCTATTTGATTCACAACTGTTATATAACATAAAATGACCAAGATGTTACCTTTGTTTTTAAAAAGATGATTATCGAGTGCGAATAAGTACTAACCTCTGTCAATGTGGACTTATAAAGTTGGCAAGCATCATAAGGTAAAGCTGCCATTGTGTTGTGAGAAGTGAGGAAAAAGTTCAGGGTTCGGTTTTTTACTCAAAAGAACACATTGGGCCAGTAAAATTATCAATTTTTTTGGTTTGAATAAATAAATAATCAATGCACTTTATGTATAAGTTGCATAAACAAGAGTTAGTTTTTGTCCGGATGATTAAATAGCTTATTAAATCCTCCATAATTTTTGAGCCATTATTTTTAATAGAAAAAGATTAAGTCTACACTTAGGTTTATATGAATGGACGTAGACTCTTAGGCGAATGTATGTATGGGTTTTAATTGATAGCATAACTTTTGTAATTTCGCCAATTATTAATTTCTGTCTCGCTTGACTCAGGCGATTTTCATACTCATTGAAACACGAAAGTATCTCAAGCAGTTTTTATGTTGAGATAACCTCTATTTGTTGGATGTACTCCTACCCATGTCACATACTTTAAGCTGATTAGAAGGAAAGGATTGGGAAGGGGTGAATGTAAGATATTGAGAGCCCGAAGCAAATTACCATTTTTTCGGACATTTGATTGGTCAAATGGGGTGCCATACCATATGAAAAAAAAAAGCTTCCAGGCTCTCTTTTGTTATTCTTCGCTTGCTTTATTTATTTTTTTCTTTGAAAAAATAATAATTTTAAAATGGACTCTAGTGCAGAAGTAAAGACACCACCTTCTCGACATTACTTTTACCGAAAAGCGACGCAGCAACAACAACCTACATCACCAAATGTTATAGTTGATGGCTTAGAAAGTGCCAACGCCTTTGAAAATCGGATCCATGAGTTTATCAATAAGGACGCGTTACCATCGTCCATTCATAAATTGCGACAAGATGCCACGACTGATCTGAATCGTCGTAAAGCAGATCGAAAAGCTCGAAAAGAAAAGGAAAATAATACTACTGTGGTTGAGCACACTACACCGCCTGTGTATGACGTCTTGTTTGAAAAACTGTCTTCGCTTTCGACCTCTGAACAAAATGCGTGGTTAGCGAATATTCATGACGAAGCCATGTTGATGAATCCTCATCAATGGCTTAAACTAGCCAACCTTTTTAACGTGAATTCAAAAGCATCTCGTCAACAATCCTTATTAAATCTCGAATCGCTTGATGATGTTTTAAAAGATCGAAGTATTACGAAAGAGGAGATCAAACCACTCGAAGGCTTTTTGGAATTACGTGATATCCAAAACAGAAATTATGCAAGAGATGCGTAAGTAGAAGAACACTGCTTTTTTTGCACCTTTTTCTCAAACAATTCTTGTAGTGTGGCAGAAGGTGTGAAATTGATCAAGCAAGATAGAATTAAAGAAGCCATGGAATATTATAAAAGGGCACTTGACATGGATCCCAAGTATGCAGAAGGGTGGTTCCATGTTGCTGAAGGGTAAAAGTGATTGAGAATTGTTTTATTTATTGATTCTAACCTATATTTTGTATCTGAAAGGCTTGTCCAGCAAAGAAAATTAACAGAAGCTGAGCAACATCTTGAACGTGTTCTCCGACTTGATCCAACCCACGAAGGCGCTAAAGCTTTGTTGGCCAGTATACGTCGCAGCATTAAACCCAAAAAAGTCCAAAAGGGTGATGAATGGGATATTGTGGACGAGCAAGGAAAATCGCTTAATGAGCAAGAGAAGGTTGTAAAACCTAAGAAAAGAGCTGACGATGATAACATTGAAGTTGAGGACGACGACAGCAAGAAGAAAAAATCAGATTCAAGGTCTTATCGTAGACGTCGTGACTCTCGAAGCCCAGAACGTAGTAGTAAAAAGAGAGAAAGTCGCCGAAGATCTTCCAGAAGCCCTACCCATAAAGCCTCAAGAAGCCCTACCCATAGTAGACGTCGTAGAAGCCCAAGTCCTGTACGTAGACATCGTAGAGATGAAAAGAAGGACGAAAAAACAACAGACAAAAAGTCGTCTTACCGTGAAGAAGACCGAAAAGTGAGAGATGCGGACGAGGATAGAAGGCCTAGAAAGACAGTGGATGAAGATCATAGAAAAAAAGATAGAAAGTACAGAGATGATGATAGAAAGAGTGACAGAAAGTCAAGGGACGATCGAAAGTACAAAGATGACGATACAAAGACAGAAGATGATAATAGAAGGGGTAAAGAGGATGAACGAAAGACAAGGGACCGTTACGACGTAAAGAAAAGAAGAACCGATGATACAAGCAGAAAGAGTAAGGATTATCGTGATGATGACAGAAAGAATAGAGATCACCGTGATGATGATAGAAGGAGCAGACATTACGAAGGCGATAGAAAGTCCAAATATAGCGACTATGACAGAAAGAGCAGATATCACGAGAGTGATAGTAAAAAGAGCAAAGACTTAGAGAAGCCAAGCAGCAGAGAATCAACCAAGAAGGATACCACAGATAAGCCAAGCAGCAAAGAAGTAAAATCTGATGTAAAGAAGGATACCACGGATAAGCCAAGCAGCAAAGAAGTAAAATCTGATGTAAAGAAGGATATCACAGATAAGCCAAGCAGCAAAGAAGTAAAATCTGATGTAAAGAAGGATACCGCAGATAAGCCAAGCAGCAAAGAAGTAAAATCTGATGTAAAGAAGGATATCACAGATAAGCCAAGCAGCAAAGAAGTAAAGTCTGATGTAAAGAAAGATACCACCGATAAGCCAAGCAGCAAAGAAGTAAAATCTGATGTAAAGAAGGATATCACAGATAAGCCAAGCAGCAAAGAAGTAAAGTCTGATGTAAAGAAGGATACCACCGATAAGCCAAGCAGCAAAGAAGCCAAGCAGGATATTGGCAAAGAAGCTAGAAAGCATGATATTGGTAGGGATACTAGTAAGCATGATGTTGTAAAGAAGGATACCACAGTTAAAGATGCGGATAAAACAAACGCTAAAGAAGTCAAGAAGATTGAAATTACAAGAAAAGATACCACCACCATAAAGAAATTGGATACTGTAAAGAGAGATACCTCTGCCACTGCTGCCGCTGCTTTTGCTGCCATAGCCGCTGCAGTAAGAGAAAACGGGTCCCTTAATAATAAATTACAAAGTTCGGGCAGAAGAATGTCGGCCTCCCCTCCAAAGGAGGAGAGCCGAAAAAAGAGAAACTTCTAAAATAAAAATTTATTTTTCATTTTACACAGATCATTCCATCTTCCAGTAAATTGGTCTGATGTAAAACTGCCTTTAAAACGTCGTATTAATTGGTGTCATCATAATAAAAATAAACGAAATTTCGCCAAGTAGATAGTGGCTTATTTTACTCCCACTCAAAGATATGCAGGATCATGGGGAATCCGGCGGACGAAATAAATCTTTTGATACGGTTTGAAAATAGAAATTGGGACGATTTTTGGTACGAAATACATTTTTATTTTGGGATTAAATACGTAAGAAAAGTAACATAGTTACGGTGATAATATTCACCTTAAGTCTACTTCTTTGTTAATACACCTGTCCCAGGAAGTCTCAGCATGTCTCACCCAATCTTGACAGTCTTGAGCAGTAACAGATCCGCAAGCTCCAGGAAGACGCGATGTCAAATTATATGCTTTGTCAAGTGGGCTTCTCTTGATATTACTCTTTATTTTTGACCAGCATTCTTCGATCGGGTTTAAAAAAGGTGAGTAAGGAGGCATGAACAAAGGTTTATACCCTCTCTTATTAATAGCATCGACAACAAATGCAGAATGGTGAATTCTACAATTATCCATTACTATAAAAAGTCCCTTTTTGCCGTGCTTATTAAGTGTGTCCATTATTGCTTCCAAAAACCTGACAATATGATATGCCGTGGTTCCCTTTTTTAAAGGCTTTTTCTTTTAAGGATCTTTTGCTCTTCATTATTGGAGGCCGGGTTTGCATACTCTTGTTCAAGCTTTTCTGCAGCTGTATTTGTTAAAGGCTCTACTTTTGAAAAATTGACTGTTCCAAAATACGCAATGCATTCAACGATACTGATATTAGCACCTCTTTACTCGTGAACAGTAGCATTCACTGGCTCTCCCACTTTGGACCGAGCTCGTCCTTTTATCATATGCGTGTTAAAGCCTGCTTCATCTACAGATACGCAATTATTTCTAAAGTCGACGCCAATTTCCTTCCATTTACTTACCACCTTGTGACGGAGGCGAAGTGTTCGTTCAGCGTCCCTTTCTTCATTGTATAAAGATGCTCTCTTTAACAAAAGAAATCATGGCTTACTGTTACGTGCTTCCACAGAGAAGTAATAGGAATATCTTCTAAGTCTGCAAATTGCTTCAGAAGAGCTTCTTTTGCCAATCCAGGTGTTGTAGACTTGTGGCTGTCAAGGTAATCAATCATAAACACGGTATGCTGACCGAAAAGCTTTTGTTCCGTACCTCTGTTCTTGGCTTTCGGAGCAAAACCAGGCAATACGCTACCGTTGCTATCATTAAATTCCTTGAGCAGTCTGTAAGTACTTTATCGAGGAATGTTACAGCGTACTGCCGCTTTAGGTACATTAGTACCTTCGTCTTGCATTATTTGTATGAACATGCGCACTTGCTCAGGTGTGTAATTCTTGTGCTTTTTACTACCGTCGTCAATAGATACAGTTCTCATGCTTTCTGTAAGCGAATCAATCCCAAAAATGGCGTACCAATTAAAACTAAAAACCTGTAAGCGTGATTTTTTCAAGACTTATAAAATAGAAATCAAACTTTTTTATGGCCAATCAAGCTTCTCATAGTCCATTCAAATTTTTTGTACATTGAATGAAGGAGAAAACTGGAAATGTCTAGACTTCCGTATTTTTTTCAAACGTATTTTTTTTATACCACTTACAGGAATTCCGGCCAAGACCAGGAGGCCAGTATGACTGCACCTTTTTACAGTCCAATCACAGCTATTCACAGTACGTGAGTTCCAAAAAAACTCAAGAACCGTGCCTAGGAGGTCGCCCTCCTATAGCAAAGACTAGCCGCAGCCGCAAAATCACAATATATCTTTTTCAATTTAGCTTCCTTTCAAATAAACAAGAGTCATTAGTAACTAACCTTTTTACGTGATCGGCTACTTTCATACGATAAAAGAAGTATGTTAAGGGAAAAGAAAAGGAGAAGAATAAAGTGTGTGAACCAGCTTTATTGATAGATAAACAAGCTTATGTCAGGATGATTTCATTTGTCTATTTTATCATCCATAATGTTTGAGCATTTACTTAAAATAGAAACACTTGCAAAAACCTCCCAAGCAAGTCAGAGCTTGGTAATTGTCTATCTGCGTTACAATAGTAGCTTGTAGTGACAGTGAAGCAGATTTTATGGAAAACAGAAATCGATCATCCTATGAAGTTTAGATATGGCATGTCAATCGACGTGTAGACCATCACGTGATTCTAAAAAATAAATTTATCAATAAAATAGCTTGATTTATAAATAATTTGATAAACCACCATTTGCTTATTGTTTGTTTTTGTTTTTTAAAAAAGAAGCTTTTAAACTGTTAGAGTCTTTATAAGATTTGAAAAAACCTTTTGCTCTTCCAGCATTGAAGCAGGCGTTCCAGTTCATCTTCTTTTAATTGCTTTTAAAACTTTCAGTAAAAGTAAAATCAGGTGATTTTGTTTTTAATAAATTTGAAGCTGGTAAAAAATCATCATTGCACTCACTTCTAGTAGATGGTCCGTGTTTTTTTGCTTCTTCTGGTAGAGATGGAGGTTCAGGTAAAAATGTGCGCCGATACTTTGATTTGTATGTCTCCAAATACATACAGCCGTCTTCGGCATACTCTCTTGTACGTTTTTTTAGCTGTTCCAGATCTTCGATTTCTAGTGCCTCCTTAATCTTAAAAAACTGCTTTTGCGCCTGTTCACATACATTTAAAAGGACGTCAATCGTTCGTTTCTCCAAAGTGATATCAGTTTCAAATATTTGTTTTGCAACAGTATATAACAGTTGGATGGTCTCATCAGCGCGCTCCTTGCTATCTATACCTAACAGAGTTCTTTTTTGCTTGTGAAAAAAGTGTTCTACTGCAACTAATGGTTTGAGTGGTACTTCATGAATATGACTATTGATAGTGTTAGGATCCAGAATGTAATAGGATTTAGCCCATGGATTGCAAGGATATTCTTCTGCGTATGGTATCTGATCACTTTGTACTAAATTCTGTCAGAAACATTATTGTCAATGCTGTACTAGGTAAGGGCCAGCTAATTGCTTTTTTAAGGGTACATATAACTTAACATAGTGCTTTAATAACATAGGTTCTGAAGCCTGTTCTCAGTATGTCGATCGGTCTACGGAATAGCCTAGTGGACGATGCTCAGATGTGTTATTTGCCCCCATTGAAGTCACCATTTCCTTGCCTCCTGCTCTAATCGAAATTGACCTCAAGTTTATACAAAGAACCATTGAATACAGCCTTGCAGTTATTAAAGAAAATAGTCTCTTACCAATCATTGTTGTCTTTGGTATACATCCCACAAAACCAAGCGTAGCCAATGATTTAGTACAAAGTGATCAGATACCATATTCAAAAGAATATCCTTGCAAACCATGGGCTAAATCCTATTACATTCTGGATCCTAACACTATCAATAGTCATATTCATGAAGTACCACTCAAACCATTAGTTGCAGTAGAACACTTTTTTCACAAGCAAAAAAGAACTCTGTTAGGTATAGATAGCAAGGAGCGCGCTGATGAGACCATCCAACTGTTATATACTGTTGCAAAACAAATATTTGAAACTGATATCACTTTGGAGAAACGAACGATTGACGTCCTTTTAAATGTATGTGAACAGGCGCAAAAGCAGTTTTTTAAGATTAAGGAGGCCCTAGAAATCGAAGATCTGGAACAGCTAAAAAAACGTACAAGAGAGTATGCCGAAGACGGCTGTATGTATTTGGAGACATGCAAATCAAAGTATCGGCGCACATCTTTACCTGAACCTCCATCTCTACCAGAAGAAGCAAAAAAAACACGGACCATCTACTAGAAGTGAGTGCAATGATGATTTTTTACCAGCTTCAAATTTATTAAAAACAAAATCACCTGATTTTACTTTTACTGAAAGTTTTAAAAGCAATCAAAAGAAGATGAACCGGAACGCTTGCTTCAATGCTGGAAGAGCAAAAGGTTTTTTCAAATCTTATAAAGACTCCAACAGTTTAAAAGCTTTTTTTAAAAACAAAAACAAACAATACGCAAGTGGTGGTTTATCAAAACAAACTATTTTATTGGAATAAATTGATCATTTTTTACAATAATTATGAGGGTTCTTTAAAAGTTGAACTGTGATTACCGGTAACTTTTTTTTGTTGATATTAATGCTTACTCTAATCTGAAGTTGACTATTTATTTCTGATATTGGTATCATGTTGTTACTCTTGATTCTTTAGGTGGAAGCCATAATCGTAATTAAAATGTACCAAATTTGCCACTTATGAGACACTGGTTTCTTGAGTACAAAGTAACTTTTCTGCTTCAAATTAATTCTGGTCACTGGAAATGAGAGATGTTTTAGAAGTACTTCACGCATAAATAACTATCAAGAATGACTGTAAATCAGTAACCCTCAGGCATATTCGCAAATTGATAAAGTGATACCCTTGACCACAATTCATGCAAAAAAACTTACCATTGGCAACAAATCGAATTTGTTAGATTTTTAAAAGGGGCAATAAAATTAGAAGCACATATTTTCTTACGATCCTCCTTTCTCTCCTTATCAATTAGTCTATGAACAGATATCAATTTTTGAATTGTATGACGAGGTACAGTAAAAAGAAGCAAGTTCACTTTGATACTTAATTAACTTCGTCATGGCCTGTATATAGAAGCAATAACAATGGACAAAATTGTAAACTGGCCACCTACTATTACAACAACGAGCATTATCTTAAGATAAAGAGGTATAGCGAAGTAGCATTTAGCTTTTTATTATAAACATGTGTTCATCTTTTAAATAGTTTACCGTTAGAGGGACTCCTTATGAAGATGGTATCGGCGACTACTTTAAAGAGCTGTGGATGAAAAAACGAGTTAATCGATCCTGATCAAAATACTGATGAAAACGAGAAGAGAAATGCTGATTATGGAACTCTTTTGTTCTCATTTAACAATGTATTGAGGCATGATCTATCTGAAAACATATCTGATATTGTCCGTCAAAAACTGGAGAAAGCCAGTAAATTATTTATTGTTTCATCTATATTGGTGTTAAGACACTGGTAATAGTTCTTAAAGGATAAGGTGGATATAGGTTATTAACACTGCGGTTAATAATAAAGTAGTTATGAAAGTGAGCACCAGACTGGAAGTAGTCAACTTAAGAAATCTTATAATATAAAGTTTTTAGGATAAGAAGATAATCAACGATGATTTTAAGAGGGCGTAAGTAATATAAATATAAACGAATTGCCAAGATTAAAAAGAAAAGTAATTATGTTTTTATAAACAATATCTTATGTACAGTTGTAGTAATAAAGAGATTCGAGTCGAGTGTGAAAATATGAACTTTAAGTTAATTGTTATATGTAAGTATAAACTTAAGATAAACAAGAAGTAGAAAAGTTGAGGGAAACACAAAGGAGTCAATTACAAATTATTAAGAACTAGATTTTTAGTTAAGATAAAACTGAAGTAATATTTATTAGAAAAAAAAGGGACGTATTTATAGAAAATATCCTATCCTGTGTAACACCAAGTCAATTTAGATTGGCTGCAACATTGGTATCATCGACGAATATACACTAGCATCAATATTTTTGCTTAACTTCAAAAATAAAGAGTCAAGTTTAAAGTAACAAACACATAAATTATCCTAGTGTTAAGGCACTAGTAATAGTTCTTAAAGGATAAGGTAGATATAGGTTATTAACACTGATGTTAATAATAAAGTAGTTATGAAAGTAAGCACCAGACTGGAAACTTAAGAAATCTTATAATATAAAGTTTAAAGATAAGAAGATAATCAACGATGATTCTAAGAAGGCGTAAATAATATGAATGTAAACTGATTGACAAGATTAAAAAGAAAAGTAATTATGTTATTATAAACAATCTCTTATATACGGTTCTGATAATAAAGAGATTCAAGTGGAGTGTGATATGAACTTTGAGTTAAATGTTATATGATAAGTAAAGACTTAAGATAAACAAGAAGTATAAAAGTTGAGGGAAACACAAAGGAGTCAATTACAAATTATTAGAAAACTAAATTTTAGTCAAGATAAAACTATCGAAATATTTATTCAAAAAAGTGAGCGTATTTATAGGAAATATCCTATCCTGTGTAATACCAAGTCAATTTAGATTGGCTGCAACAATAGTAGACTAGCTGACGATAATTGGGTACGAGTAGCTACTCGCCTTTAGATCAATTATTAATTATCAGCATGTGTTGAACCCACTCAGCACATCATTTTTTCTAAAAGTTATTTGAAAACAAAAAGTTAGCAAGAAGTAACTTATAAAAGAAAATCTAACGTACTCGTTTTTGCCAAGAGGAAAACCATGTGAGAATACAGTACATTTTCATGGAGCTGTAATAAGAATACGTAGTTTTCGTCATTACGAGTCGATTCATAGCTTGATATTTCTTTTTGATTAGGATTCTTTCTTGTAATGAAAAGTCACGACTTGAGGCTTACATTAAAAATTAAAGGAACATTACGTTTTCTTGTGTGTTCTCCTTCTACAATATACTCAAGAGAAGGTATTCATGGTTTCTAGCAGTACAACCAAAGCTTGTTGATTGTCTTCGCAGCACTGCTTAAAGCCCATGCCAACAAACGTGAATGCTGCATTATTGCCCACACTCCAAGCACATAGTCAAATACAAAAAGAAATAAGAATAAATAAAATATGTAAATAACCAAAGCTTGTTGATTGTCTTTGTAGCACTGCTTAAAGCCCATGCCAACAAACGTGAATGCTGCATTATTGCCCACACTCCAAGCACATAGTCAAATACAAAAAGAAATAAGAATAAATAAAATATGTAAATAACCAAAGCTTGTTGATTGTCTTCGCAGCACTGCTTAAAGCCTATGACAACAAACGTGAATGCTGCATTATTGCCCACACTCCAAGCACATAGTCTACAAAAAGAAATATAAAGGGAAAAAAGGCTGACGCATTGCTCTGAAAAAAATAAAATTAATCGTCACAACCCACCTTCCTAATTCGGATAATACCCGTTGTCATCGATGGATGACTATGAAGATATGATGGTGTAGGTAACAATGTATCATATGTGTGAATATCTATGAATAACTATATGCTTCCAATCCTTGTATATGTTCAAATCTATCTTTATGCCGTTTTTGTAAGAATGTAAATACTACGAAATAAAACATTTTTCAAAAAAACAGTCCTCTCATTACAATTATACGCGCACCGTTTTTCTCTGGAAATGTCTAGAACTCCGTATTTTTTTCAAACGTATTTTTTCAAACGTATTTTTTCAAACGTATTTTTTCAAACGTGATGGTCTACACGTCGATTGACATGCCATATCATCTAAACTTCATTGGATGATCGTTTTCTGTTTTCCATAAAATCTGCTTTACTGTCATTACAAGCTACTACTGGAATGCAGATAGACAATTACCAAGCTCTGACTTGCTTGGGAGGTTTTTGCAACTGTTTCTATTTTAAGTAAAGGCTCAAACATTATGGATGATAAAATAGACAAATGAAATCATCCTGACATAAGCTTGTTTATCAATAAATAAAGCTGGTTCACACACTTTGTTCTTCTCCTTTTCTTTTTCCTTAACATACTTCTTTTATCGTATAAAAGTAACCGATCACATAAAAAGGTTAGTTTAGTAGTGACTCTTGTTTCTTTGAAAAGAAGCTAAATCGAAAAAGATATATAATTGTGATATTGCGGCTGCGGCTAGTCTTTGTAATAGGAGGGCGACCTCCTAGGCAGAGTTCTTGAGTTTTTGGAACTCACGAACCGTGAATAGCTGGGATTGGACTGTAAATAGGTGCAATCATACTGGTCTGCTGGTCTTCTGGCCAGAATTCCTGTAAGTGGTACAAAAAAAATACGTTTGAAAAAAATACGGAGGTCTAGACATTTCCTTTTTCTCTGCCATCGTAAAATTAAAAAAAAGTTACTAGTTTTCTCCTTCATTCAATGTAGACTTAATATGAATCTCGTCTTGAACATAACCGAAGACAAAGCCAAAATTAAGAGTATAATAAACAGCTATCTTTCGCAGAACACTATCTTGGATTGGAAGTATGAGCTTGCTTTGAAGGAACTAATCGACAAAAACCTATTGATGGAGCCTACCGACGAAAATATGAAAGAGCTTGGAAACATGTATCTGGAAGAGCTCTCTATCGTTTATGAATCTAGACGTGAAGGATGTACTACTGAAGAGAGTAGTAAGGTTGATATGCTCGATAATGATAGTTTTCTCAAGATAAGCACCTCCTCTCAAATTAAAAAGTTACTACGTCTTGCTGTTTATTCGGCACAGGCTTTGAACGATGCAATTGATGATCGCCTTTCGTCAGCTAAAAACTCTCAAACCTCTAATGATCAGGAAAATAGTGTTGAACTCAGACATTACCAGACCCTATCTATTGATGAACAAATGATATTTCTTTGCGACAAGTTTGGTAACCAGGGCCATCTCGATTTCTCCACTACTACTATAGCTAAGAGATTTGGAAAATCTATTAAAGATTTCGGTCTGAAGCTTCAACCAACTTTGACACGTAAAGAGAGGGACATACTCCTTGAAATCGCCCAATGTACTGACATCACAAGTGTGAACAGACTTCTTGCAAGATTGTACAGTGATATAGATATGAATCCAATGTGCCGTTACATCCGCTTGGCACTTTCCAGCATCACCGCAAAATCCCAGAGACGGCCAATTTTTCGCAAATAGTTACCTGTCACGGATACGGTCAATTTTAGAGTCACCGTATCCGTGACGGATACGGCCAATTTTTCCAATTTTTCACCGTAACCGTGACGGACGCGGATTTTAAATTCACCATATCCGTGACGGTCGCGGCCAATTTTTCTCATTTTTCACCGTGGCCGTGACGGATACGGCCAATTTTTCCCATTTTTCACCGTGGCCGTGACGGATACTGCCATTATTTCATTATTTTCACCATATCGGTGACGGATACTGCCATTATTTTATTATTTTCACCGTATTCGTGACTGAAAGGGTCAATTTATTTCCGTTATTGACCGTGCATTTGACGGATTTTATATAATTGTTCAGGGTTATATCCTATATTTTCCGGAATCTTTAAACACTCATTGCTATTGCGAAAGTTAATACATACACCGTTGTACTGTTGGACAGTTATATTTAATAGTTATGTTTATAAAAAAAAGTAATTTATTTATTTGTGTGAAGACAATTTGTATTGATAATAAAAGATATTACGATGTATTTTATTAAAAGAATATATTATGAGAGTTATAGAAAGAAATAAAGACCAAATTCTAATACGGTGTAGCCCATTGTTTGGTAGTGGAGTATCATAATAAATAGAACAGTGATAATCCTATAATCAAATTTATTAATAGGCGATTAACATATTTCATATGTATCATTTTATATACCTTATCCTATAGCCAACTTCATTGACATTTTATCTATAACAATACTATCAGAATATATCAACACAAACAAAGAGATCAAGTTACTCACATTTCAATAAACACGAGCAGAACACTAAAAAAATAGCAATGACTCATCCTATCAGATGCCGAAATACCACACACAATAGTTTACATCGGGAAAGCTTTAGATAGTAACAGAGTATGCCACATTTTATTATTTACAGAATATTTATATGAAAAAGATTTGGGGAAAGAAGAGTAGTTTTTAAAAAAAAACTCTTTTAAATAAGAGTGGGAAACTTATGTAACGTCAAACACACAGAATGGTCAAAAAATTGACCGTATCCGTTACGGTGACGGGATTATCAAAAATTGACCGTATCCGTGACGGTGACGGTATGGTCAAAAATTGGCCGTGGCCGTGACGGAGACGGAATCATCAAAAATTGACCATATCCGTGACGGTGACGGTCAATCTATAAACTTGCCCCGTCCAGGATACAGAATGACAAAAAATTGACCAGATCCGTCACGGATACGGTCAATTTATAAACTTGCCCCGTCCAGGATACAGAATGATCGAAAATTGACCAGATCCGTCACGGATACGGTCATTTTTCAAAAATTCCCGTCCAGGATACAGAATAGTCAAAAATTGACCAGATCCGTCACGGATACGGCCAAAATCGTTGTTAACCTTCACCGTAATTTTGCGGTGCATGGTCGAAATCTGGTCTTCGGATAGCCTTGTCACTGCTGATCATAATGAGTCCTGGTACCGCACACATGTTTATGGCCCAGTCTTTGATAATGCGTTCATTTATGATAAGAACTTCATCACCAAAAGAGCTGACTGTATTTCAAATATTACGAAGGAATTTGATGATGTCCCCAACCAGCGTGTTGACTTTATTCTACGCAACCTGAATGATGACACTGACTATCTTTCGGCAGAGGAAAAGCCAGGCGTCAAAGGCGTCAAAAAAGATATTAGTAAAGGAAAGGCCCTTCAACTGGCAATGCTACGCAAGTGGGCCCAATATGTTGGCAACAGCAGAATCTCCAACTTAGAAGCAATTACTTGCCAGTGGCAAGGTGTTAAACTACCACCCTAAAATAAATCAGCGATCAAAAATTGAAAAATATCGCAAACAAATTAGAGCGGAAATAACGATCTTTTTTTTAAAAATATCGCGATTGGCGATATCGATCAAATTTTCCAAAATATCGCGATTGGCAATATCGATCAAATTTTCTAAAATATCGCGATTGACAATATCGATCCATAAATCAAAAACAAAATATCGTTGGATGGGGTAAAAAAAAAGGGGGTAGTCGATAATCGATATAATATTACTTTTACACCCCTGCTAAATCAGTATGTAGGCTTGAAATTGATACGTTTATATATATTGGGAAAAACAAAGTTTTATTTATAAAAAAAATTAAATAACGTCGAATCTGACCATGATGGACCTCTTCAAATATGGAAAATGACCAGTAAAATATGACCAGAGACAGACATAATCAGAGGAACTACGATAGTGACCACACGAAGACCTCAGAAGAACAGCAGTATCACTTACCTGCAAAAATATGGTTTACGTTAATAAGAGAATAAATTATCATGTTTAGCAATGTGTACCTTTACAAAACCGTGGGATGTACGAGCCTCAAATAAACAGTAATATCAATCAGCTTTAAAAAGTTGGGTTAACTTAATAATAAACAAGTATACCAAAGTCAAGTTATTTGCCTTTCCACAAGTAATCAATGTATTGATTCCTTTAGCTATAAAAATGCGCTAATAGATATAAGAAAGTAGTTAGAGTTCCTTACCGAGCAAAGAGCATTGGTCTGATGCTATTATAAAGTTGTAACACGTTTATTATTAGTCACATAACTAAATCTAAATTAATTTAAAAATGGTTATGATGAATCAAATACCATTAACTATTCGCATATACATACATTAACCTGGAAGAAAAAGAAAAGGGGAAAAAGAATAATAATAAAAAGGTTTAAAAAACAAAGTTTGTTTAAATAAGAAAAAAAAAATTCAGACTCAATTCCTTTTTTTTTTTGGCAACGCCGTACGGGTTGATTATTTTCTACAGCAACTGATTCATCAGTCTTGTAAATGACAGATTCAAGACACTCTCCTATTTTTTTTATTTTTTTTTTTTTTTTTTGCAAATCTAAATTCATGTGTGCTCACTTAAAGTAATTTGGATGTCTCGGCCTGTTGAAAACTGGTACGTGTGTAAACGCTTGTTCTTTTTTGACTTTACATATCAAGAAAGTACTCCAGGCTCGAACTTCGTTTTTGGTGAACTTATAAAGAATCATGACGTTTCCCCTTATTCAAAGGCCATCCCGCGCATGATGAGGCAGAGCAAAAAAAAATTGTCGTCTTTGATGCAAAGGACCTTGTGTCTACTATTGGGTTGGTGAATGGGGTCGACAGGTCTAATAACAAATATGTAATAAAAACTGGTAAGGCTTTCAAAGTCGATAAGAGTAGTATTACCAGCAGTGTTGGAAAATCATTAAAACCCACAGTCACATGTCCCCTTTTCTCATTTTACTTACGTAATCTGAAGTTGTCTTTTTCTTACCCTGGCTATCATCCCCATAAACATTTTTTTTCTTTAAAAAATTACGTTTATCTATTAACATGGTATTGCTACATCTATTTATTTATGTATAGGTTGTTTTTATAGAGATTTGAAAATTTGGCTTTGCGATCAGCGATCAAAAAAAACATTTTGATTGCTGATTTATTTTAGGGTGTACATATAATCGGAACCAGATATATTTCTCAGAAACATTCCATTAGCTATAATAAGGGGGTCTTTGTTGTACCGAAAATTGTGAATAACTTAGCGTCTTTCGCTCAAGCTCTGGCTGCTGTCTTGTCCTTGAAACGTCTGGTGTACTTGAATTATCGTAAGATCAATGTTATCCTCGAAGCAAAAAGACGACACGATATAGAGTTCATGCACTTTCAGGGGGGTGAGACAGGTGATGATATTCTTCTTCATTCAGACAGCACTGCTGGGTACGACAGCAACAACGAAAGCAACAAAGACAGCAACAAAGACAGCAGCAACGACAGCAACAACGAAAGCAACAACGACAACAACAATGACAGTAACAACGACAGCAACAACGACAGCAACAACGACAGCAACAACGACGAGCAAAGTATCGACTTTGACTTAGAGGAAGACATCACAGAAGCTCTTCAAAATGTTCAACACGATGAGGATATTATAACTGTCAAAGATTGGGAAGAGTTTGTGATAAAAAGAGTAGCTAGTAGAAAAAGAAATAAATAAAAAATAAATTTCATTTGCCTGCAATACAAAAAATTCAAATGGACTATAAGAGAAAAAAGTTTGATTTCTATTTTATAGGATTGATTCGCTTACGGAAAGCATAAGAACTGTATCTATTGACGACGGTAGTAAAAAGCACAAGAATTACACACCTGAGCAAGTGCGCATGTTCATACAAATAATGCAAGACGAAGGTACTAATGTACCTAAAGCGGCAGTACGCTGTAACATTCCTCGATAAAGTACTTACAGACTGCTCAAGGAATTCAATGATAGTAACGGTAGTGTATTGTCTGGTTTTGCTCCGAAAGCCAAGAACAGAGGTACGAAACAAAAGCATACCCTGTTTATGATTGATTACCTTGACAATCACAAGTCTACAACACCTGGATTGGCAAAAGAAGCTTTTCTGAAGCAATTTGCAGACTTAGAAGATATTCCTATTCCTTCTCTGTGGAAGCACATAACAGTAAGCTGTGTTTGTTTGTTAAAGATACCATCTTTATACAACGGAGAAAGGGACGCTGAACGAACACTTCACCTTCATTGCGAGGTATTAAGTAAATGGAAGGAAATTGGCGTCGACTTTTAAAAGATTTGCGTATTTGTGGATGAAGCAGGCTTTAATACGCATATGATAAGAGGGAAAGCTCGGTCCAAAGTAGGAGAGCCAGCAAATGCTACTGTTCACGAGTAAAGAGGTGCTAATATCAGTATCGTTGGATGCATTGCGTATTTTGGAACAGTCAATTTTTCAAAAGTAGAGCCTTTAACAAATACAGCTGCAGAAAAGCTTGAACAAGAGTATGCAAACCCGGCCTCCAATAATGAAGAGCAAAAGATCCTGAGAAGAAAAAGTCTTTGAAAAAGGGAACTACGGCATATCATATTGTCAAGTTTTTAGAAGCAACAATGGACACACTTGATAAACACGATAAAAAATAATTTTTCATAGTAATGGATAATTGTAGAATTCACCATTCTGCATTTGTTATCGATGCTATTAATAAGAGAGGCAAAAACCTGTTGAGGAGACAACCGGCAACGCTTATTTAGCAGTAAAAGATGAGACGAGCCCCCCCCCCCCCCTTTTTTTTTTCTGTCCCGCCTAAAATAATTGAACAAGAACATATCTCTCCCCGTGCGTCATTCGATCAATGGAGCCTCGGAGGAGGACATTGCGGTAATTAATTCTGCCATTTTGATGATATCATTTGATGCTTCTGATAAGCATAATTTAGGGTTCATGGAATATCCACGTATACCATTGTTTCTTTATGCCCACGCGTGAGTAAATATTATAAATTGTATACCCGTGGCCCATGTGGTTGCTAAAAAGGTGATACTAATATTCACAGCTGAAACAGCAAGCTGATTAATGCAACCAATTATAGCGCGGGCCTGACCCTGAAGTTGATAAGAACTCTAAAAAAAGCACCATTTTTTATATATATATTTTATCCACAATATCAGGTCTACGAAATAGACGAATTTAATTCGAATATTAGATTATTTCATTAGCAGATATTAGTATTGCGCTTGGGGGGAGGAGGGGGAGGGCGGGGAGATATGTAAGAAAGGTAAATAATAAAGAATAAGGCAACGTTCGAGACTTGTACGACGAATAGCCGAATAATCAATCGGGGGGTCATTAACATATATCTAAACAGCTGTCTGTCTTCGTACAACCTTTGTGTTGATGCTGTAGGATACATCTTGTCCATCCAGACGATTTTAAGAGAGAAAACGGACTTTGAGACGGATATATCCGCGAATTCAGCTACAGCCAGTAAAATGAATTAAGTTTTTTTTTTTCTTACTTTCTTTTTGAGAAATGATGATTGTATTACATCCCTCACTTGCAGGTAAATGTACAAGACAATTATGACTGGTAAGGACTTTTGTATAAAGTAATGTCAACGCACTACGTGTGCAACCTCTGTACTACTAGTGTTCTTTTTCGGGTAAAAGGTAGCATGTGCTAAATCTGGTTGCTACGATTGAGTTCAGTGGAGAAGAAAAAAAAAGACTGTGTTACATGTTGAAAAAGATGATGTGATCTACAAAGAGAAAATATGATTTACTTCTATTGGGTTCGACTTGTGTGCGTCTATAAAAAAAAACGAGTGATTTTTGTAGTTGAGGCAATTACAGCAAATACGTAAAAATTCAACCCAGAAGTGAATGGGTTGTTGGGACCCAGCCATCGTGTTTTTGGATTTTTGTTTAAAATTGAAAGAAATTCCCTTATATACGGTGGATCAGGTCATTTTTATCAGCGCCCAAAGAGACTCCGCGCAGTTGTAAAAAGAGTGCATGTGCCCCAAGTAGCGATGATTGGACATTGGTAGAAAAAAGAGCTCAGATTTGAAGTTACACGTGGAAGCCGTGCTTTTTTTTTCATTATCGTGAGAAAAAACGATTGGAGTAGATAAATTATTCCCGGCTGTACATCAAAAAAAAAAAGTAGATGGTACTGACTCGGTGGTAAGAAATGGAGTTTCAAATTACCTACAAAAAAAATTTTTATAAGAAGTAATAATTTTCATCTTCACGTAAAGAAAGAAATAAAACAAAGCAAAAATTTATCAGATTGTACAACAGCAACATGAGAGATGCATGAATGTAAATCATATGCAGATAACAGAAAAAAATAAATAAAAAAGTGAATAGTTTTCCCGGAGTGTTGTCCGAAGATCGGTAATAAGAAACGTCATTTCATTGGACAAATCGTGGGAAACATGTTTATACGATCGGAATGTTAAAAGAGTTTGTAAAAAGAGTCATCCACCCACGTTTCTCCCTTTCTTTTCCCTCTTCTTTCCCTCCAATCTTTCTTTTTTTTTTTTTATTCATATATATCCATATGGTGTGTGCCACAATCATGAATAAACGACACTTGGAAGAAGAAGAAGATGAATTTGATATGGTTATGGAGGAAGACGATGACTCTGAAGACGACTCCTCTCAAGATGAATCCCCTCCTAAACGACCCATCACTCAACCTTTATTTTTAAACTTTACTTCGGATCTATCGCCTCAGAAAGCAAACAAAAAGAAATCAAAGCCAAAGAAACAGACTGCTTATAGAGTCAATGGTGTTAACATCCTTAATAGGTACATCTTTTCTTATCACTATTAAACTCTCTCGTTAAACATATCTTTTTCAAAATAGAAACAACCTAGACAGCAAAACAGCTATTGAACGAATTCAACGTCGTAGAGAAAACCATAATCATGTAGAACGTCGTCGCAGAGATAATATCAATAACACTATATTTGAACTATCCAATGTCGTCCCAAACGCCATTCAACCGGGTCAAAAACCTAATAAGGGCAGCATTTTAAAGCTTTCCCTGGATTATATTCGAGTAAGTCAGTAACCATCAAATGATAAATCTATAAATATTTATTTAATATTTTTATAGGACCTGCAAGCTGAGAATAATGCTTTAAAAGAGCGTCTGAATCTTTCTCATAATGTGGCCATCAACACAAATAATAGCATGCGTGTGCTACCAGTGGCAACCCCATTACCAGCATCCTCACCATCCCCACCAGCACCAGCACCAGCGGCATTACAAGCACTACAAGCACCAGCACTACAAGCACCAATAAATGTTGTGAATGAAATATATCCTCCATCAGCCCCCAATTCACCCCGATTTATTGTTAGTGATAATAGCATTTTTACCCAGACCTCAATTAGTTTGCCTTCTTCACCTCAAAAGGAAGAGCTGCGGTTACCCCAGCAACACCATCAGGCACAGTACACGCACCCACACCAGCAATATCATCCAGCACAGCAACAGCAACAACTGCAAAACGGATTCTCGAACATGTCAGTGTCTTCCAACTCATCCTCAGCGGCTAGTACTCCTACACATCAACAGACTTTCTATACACCCATTTACATCCCTCAACCTCCCCAATTATATAATCAAATGTTTAATACACAACAACCTCAACAACATAAACAACCTCAACCTCAACAACAACAAAGCGGCGGACTTCGACCTCTTTTACCAGCTGCTTCTTTCTTACCCGCTCTTCGTATGGGTGGTTATGAGAAAATATACGGTAACGTATGTCGCTATTAAGAAAAGATGATGATATTCTTGTAAATAAAAATTCCCTTCCCTTCCCTCCCTCCCCATTCATTGTTCACATCCCTTATTATATGACCCTTTCCCATTCTACCTATTACACATTATAAGCCCTGTCAAAAAAATAAAATAAACATATAAATATATATAATACAAAAACATTTACCCGCCTCTGACTCACATTATGTGTATGTTTCGGTAGAGCACTCACCACCACTCATCCCAAATACACCTTTGCCTCACATACTAGAAAATAAAAAGGAAGACTTCATTCATAAAAGACTACTTGCACTACGCGCTTATTTGCGTGATGCAATCAGAGCGTATGTTTATCTGATCTTTTCTATTTTCCTGAAAAAACAAGTGATGATCTCTATTTTGACGTGTTACAAGTAGATGCCACGTTTTCTTTTTTTTCAGATTCATCTCTCTGTTTAATGTTACGTTTCATTCTATGTCAGGTAGATTTCAATGATGAATGTATGAACACTTGTACAACATACCAAAAAAAAAAGATGGGGTGCGCATAGCCAACAAAAAATAGTTGTGCGCGTAACCACCTAACAAAAAAAAAAGAATTTGCACCCCCTGGTTATGATAGGGCAGTTGAAGGTGGGGGTCCTAAAATAAAAAAAAAGAAAATAAAAATTCCCTTTTTCTCTTTTTCAAAGTAGACAACTTCTTTTTTTTTGTAAGCGCACACCCTTAATATACAACGATTAAATTTTTTTAAAAAAAAAAAAAAAAAAAAAAAGTCAACTCACCAATGTGGAACATTAGATCTTGCCATGGCTTTCAGATTATTGACCAAGAGTGCTGCAGGTACTTTCTTGTCGATACTTAAAAAAGTATAGAGCTTGTTTTATTAAATAAAAAAGTCTTTTCTGTAGTTGCTCGTCCTGCCATGATGGCTGCTTCTCGCCAAACTGTTCGTGCTTCCGCGTAAGCATTTTATCTTTTTTTTTATGTATATATTGTATTCGCAACTAATGCCAGAATAATCCATTGTAGTGTCCGTGGATTCACCTCCAAGACCGAAGGTATTATTACGAACCCCATGATAAATAAGAAAAAAAATTAACATGTTCATTTGCAGAGGAACCCAAGCAAAAGGCCAACAGCTTCCTCGATTCTCTTCCCGGTAACTCTCTCATTTCCAAGACTGGTTATGTTACTGCTGCCACTGGTTTGTCTGCTTTCTTGATCTCCAAGGAAATCTACGTCATTAACGAAGAAACTTTGGTCTTGATCTCTTCTGCTGGTCTCCTCGGTGTCCTTATCAAGTACCTCAGAGAACCTTTCACCAACATGGCCAACGAACACATTGAGGTAACGATGGAAACGAGAAATGACGCACCTTAAAAGAAACTAACCCTCTAATTTTACCACTGTGCAGCGTATCAAGAGCATCTTGGTCCAAGCCCGTGATGACCACAAGGGTGCTGTTCAAGAGCGTATTGAAGAAGTTGGACAAATGAAGGATCTTGTGCAAGTTACAAAGGCTCTCTTTGAGCTCTCTCGTGAGACTGCTCAATTAGAAGCTCAAGCTTTCGAATTGAAGCAAAACGTTGCTGTTGCCACCGAGATCAAGTCCACCTTGGACTCTTGGGTTCGTCATGAAACCAGTCTCCGTGAACGTGAGCAAAAGCAATTGGCTGCCTTCTTGATCGAAAAGATCAACAAGGACTTGCAAGACCCTGCCATCCAACAACAAATCTTGGACCAAGCTATTTTGGATGTCCAAAGTAAGTATTCTATTTCTTATATATATATGTGTGTTTATTATACGGGGGAAAAAATGAAAGACTAACTTTTCATTAATAGACGTTGCCAAGACTGCTTAAATTTGATATTATACATGAACCTTTTTATTATTACTATTATTATTAAAAAAAAAAGTGTGTTTTTTTTTGTTCAGTTTACTAGTTCCATCCTAAACCTCCACGACGACCCATTTGCATTTGCTTTCTTAATTGCAAACCCGAATCAAATTGTTTTTCTAAATCATTTGTGATACGGGCCTTTTCATCCTCGTCAATTGCACTCTTTAATCCACCATACAAACCGCCTGATTTCTTGGCAGGTGTGAAGGATTCAGCGGGTGACTTCTTGGCCCCCAATAAGCGAAGAAACTTGTTCTTTTTGGCATCGTCACCGTCAAATGAGGCCTTGTTCCAGTCGTTCCAACCAGCGCCCGGTGTGCTCTCCTGTGCCGTTGCTGCTGCAGGTGCTGTTGGCTTAGCTGTAGCCTTAGTATGGTCCACCTTGGTCTTTTTAAAGTGGTTTTCGTGAATGATGAATTCTTCCTCACTTTCACTACTCTCATGCTTTCTCTTTTTCTCCTTCTTTTCCTTTTTCTCTTTCTTTTCTTTTTTCTCTTTCTTTTCCTTTTTCTCCTTCTTTTCTTTTTTCTCTTTCTTTTCTTTTTTCTCCTTCTTTTCCTAACATGAGTTTCTCATTAGAAAAATGCCGTGCATGTGTGCGTATGTGTGCGTGTGTGTACCTTTTTAGCTACAGTCTTGTCTTCCTTCTTGTTGACAATCTTGTCTTTCTTATCCTTAATTTCGCTTTTGCCCATGGTAGATTAATGTTGTGAAAAAAGAGATAAAAAAAAGAAAAACTTTTTATTTTCGGTGTCTAAAACATCACCCAAATTTGTTTTTTGACAGCCCATTAAGCAGTCTTCATTTATTAAGTTAAGTATACAAAAAAATTACATGCTAAATACTAAACAAGTACCATCGTCCGAAGCAGAACAAATGACATTACCATCACTACAAGAGAAAATGAGTATCTACAATCCAAGAAAAAAATATGAATACTTACTCGGCAACGGCGATATCAAGTACGGTATCACGATGACCAGACCAAGACTTGAGACATTGACCGGTACGAGCATCCCACATTTTCACAGTGCGATCAGCAGAACATGTAGCGAGCATGGGTGAATTCTTGACGAATTTCACCTTGACCACTGCATCCTCGTGTTGTAATGTGGCACGCAGACGCAAGGTTTGCACATCCCAGATAGAAATCGTACCGTCCACTGAACCTGTAGCAGCCAAAGGAAGCACATCACAAAACGACGATGTCTCGATAGAGTCCGTGTGGTTTTCCAACGAAGCGACAATCTATAAAATGTAAGTATCCTCCTTCTTTTGTTCTTTCCTATCTCGTATTAGGTACTCACAGTGCCGTTCATGATGTTGACAAGTCGTGCTTTACCAGCGACATCACCAGTGATGGCCAATGTGCTATCCTTGTTGACACACACAGAGGTAATGGGATCCACATGGAAACGCGCATCTTCACCTGTCAAACGGAATTCTGCTGCAGCTGTCTTGGGATCCCAAACGATAAAGCTAGAATCTTCGGATGTAGACACAATCTTTTTACCATCGCGTGTAAATCCACCCGCTGTCACGGGACCTGCATGACCGTTGAAGATGTTCATGAACTTTCCGCTAGGCACTTAAAAAAAAATAGGTGAGCTTTTTGGTTCTTATGATACAAGTATGCCTATTACTTACTGGCCCACATCCAAATGGTAGAGTCATTAGCACCAGCCAACAAAATGTTACCCTTGGGATGCCAATCGATCCAAATAATCTCATCGGGACCATCTACAGATACACAGAAATCACCAGTCTCTGCATTCCAAACACGGACTTTACCATCCATGGCAGCGGAGGCGACGTATTTGCCATCACAACTGAAGGCAACGCCTGTGACAGAATCGGTATGACCGTCCAGGACCTTCATCATTTCACCGGTATCACAACGCCAGAGATAACTCTTGTCGTCACCACCACCACTGACAATAATACCGTTACTGGTAGGATGCATAGCAATGGCATAGACGGGTTCACGGTGGTCAAAGAAACCTTGCACGGAGTCGTCTGCTAACTCGACGGTATTTTCGTCGTTGGGTCTGACTTCGAAGCCCTCTGCTGAATCTACAGGCAGCATGAGTATCTGAAGTACTATTAAAAAAAAGAGGGAGAGAGAAAGACTTACCGTCCATGTCCTCTTCGTCGTCATCGTCCATGGGTTCACCTTGATCTAAATCAGGAATTTCTTCTTCGAGAATATCGCCTTCTTGAAGGTATTCCTCTTCAACGAGATCATCGATTTCTTCGTGGTGCTAGATTATTTTTTCTGTCAGTCGCCGTCTTTCTTTTAAGTGTTTTGTGCATTTACCTGTTCGGGAGCAGACATGTCTTGAGCGAAATAAAAGTATGTTTATAAAACTATAAAAAAAAAGCTTTTTTTTTTTTTTTTTGTATTTCTTATATGTAAAAATCAATAGTCACAGATTACAAATTGTTTTTTTTTGGGTCATCTCTCTTTTCACTTATTAATCATGTCTGCATTGTTCAATGAATACAAAAAAAAAAAAGTCGTTCTGCTGCGGTAGTTTCCTTCCCAAAATAAAAAAATGAAATTCTTTCTGACTTTTATAAATTTATCACGTAAGCTCATGTTTTTTTTTAACTGTAATGAGGAACATGTTGACAGGCCGACAAAGGGGGGACGGCTGAAAATATATAACCTATTCGATGAACTCGATGCACTGCAAAATAAAAAGAGCTGTTTTTCTCTTGAGGGTTTTAGTGTAACATATTCGATTGTAACACGAGCTTTTGTTGCGTTTTTTCATTCATGCTTTTTCTTGTACGAAAAAATAAAGGGGGTTTCACCTTATGAGAAAAGCCCTTCAGTGAGATTAGAATACATTATATGTTTGTTGTGATATGTGACCATTAATTTTGGATTATCCAAAGGCCATATATTTTTTCATTCCTTAGTTTTGCCTTTGGAACAACTGTAATTGTCTGGATTAGCCGTTGATTATGAAATCGACACATGTTTACGAGCGGATGTATGTTTAGGTATGAAAAAAGAGAAGGGTTGCGTTGGTTTTAGTTTGTATTCATTGTTTCCTATGGTCAGTGGTGTGATTATGACCCGAAATGACGGGAATCTATCTATAGATCCTCATTCTATTTAAAAAAAGACAAGTGTTCATCCCCTCTCTTTTTTTGCTTCGATGGTGTGGCATTTCCCATGCGGCACTTTGTGTAAATAAAGAGGCTTACCCTTTTGTCTTGCATACACTGAGGTTTAATTAAAAAAAATCTCCCATTTTATATTTTTTTTTTTTTTTTTTTTTACAACAAATCCTTTAATCAATCCATGACGAAAAAGAATCCAAAGCGCTCGTTACAAAGAAAAGAGCAATCAGAAAGAGACAAGGCCAAGCATTTATGCGACACTTCGGTAGAAAAGAGAGAGAGAAAAAGAGAGATGGGGAAGTAACGAGCATTTGGAATTTAAACAAAAAAATATTATGTAGGTGTATGGACAAGTAGCGGCTTTTCAACAATTGTTAGGACTTGTGCAGAGACAAGGCATGCATGGCCAGTATATCCCCATCCCCTTTGAATTAATTGGTAATAACATGCAGGTTACTTCTTATATGATTATCTCATAACTCACACCTAAAAAAAACAACAAAAAGACTTGACGGCATCGTTTATTGCTAGCCTGATTAGTGGTAGTGATTTCATCTTGGTCACACCACCGTTGGGAGATAGTCTTCAAGCGTTTCGAGAAAACGTAAACTTTATCAAAAAGACACTCTCCAAGGCCCAAATATCCTGCTCGTCCTTGATCTGCAGTCTATGGTACATTGATCAATATTTTCAGCACACCACCGATATCATAAAACACGCTTGGAATCCCCGCGACCTGTTTATCGCTAGTATCGTAGTCGCCGATAAATACCTGTAAAACATGTGTCCTTTTTTTTTTTATCAACACACACACACACTTTTTTATATATATTTATCATTTCTCTTCTTTTATCACAGTGCCGATGTAACATGGTTGAACCTGGACTGGTCAGAATGGACCCATTTTACTTACTCCACTGCACAAATCAATAAGCTCGAAAAGCGTTTCTTGAGCGACATGAATTTTAACCTCTATATATCCAATGTAAATTACACCAATTTTACCAGCTACCTAGAATTCCGCCTTCATACACGCCAACTCTTGCTCTGTGGGAACGTCTCCTACCGTGACATGGATGTGCTCAGCCAGGCACTGAACCCAGAATACGTGGCTCGTTTAGGTCTTAACCTAAGACCGTTCCAGGCCATGCTCTTAATTCTAAAACAAGCACTCTCTATCTTAGTCATGTATGCTGCTACCTTGGCTACCCTCGTTTCAGCAGGCTTTTATATCATACAACAACAATCCGATGCATTCATTGTCTATGAGAATGAGTGTCTTTTCATTTCGCCGGTTGCTCCTCCTGGTGGTGGTGGTGGTGGTGGTGTTGCCATGGTAGCGGTTGCCGCTTAAAAAAAAGTATCACATGTCAATTTAATTAAAACAAGTGAAAAAAAAAATATTTTTGTGTGTGCGTGTGTGTGTGTGTGTCTGTACCTTATTTTTTTTTTTTTTTTTTACTTTATAATGTCTATAAAACATGACAAAACATTCAAGGTCCTGGAAGACTGGTTAGATGCGTTAAAGGATCGAGCACCTATTAATATTTCATACGTCACTCGTTCGATCAATAACACGGTGGTAGCTCGTATCAAGACACTGGAGCTCATCTATAGCAAGTCTTGGTTATATACCTTTCTGCTGAATAAAGGAGTTTACCCTTTTGTTCTCTTTTCGTTTCTCACTACTGCCCTCACGTATGGGGCTATCCGAACCTACCGTCGATCCACACACCTTGTCCTTAACCTTGTTGGCGTGCTCTACCCGTCTTGGCGTTGCTGGCAATTGATAAAACAGAAACAACATGACACGGACGAATTAAAGGCATGGCTGACTTATTGGATGATGTTTGGTTCATTCCAAGGTGTGATTTTTAGTTTTCTTTTCTTTTTTGTGGAATAAGACAACTAACCCTTTTTTCACTCATAGTGCTGGATCACTGGATGGATATGGTGTCTGTTTCAAGGAGAAAGTACAACTTGTACAAGTTATTCATCTTGTACTGGGCACAAAGTCCTCATTCGAAAGGAGCCGAGTTATTGTACCGTCATGTCCTTCAGAAACCACAGGAAGAAAAAAGAGAAGAAGAAGAGTGTGAAGGAATAGAGGTGACACGGAAGGAAACTGTCTATAGTTACATGGATGGATACCAACCACCTCATCTACTCGCTTCCAATCATAGCAGTGATGATGATGATTCTGTAAAATCAGGTATCATTACCCATGCCCCCACTACAACCATTGTTGAAAAAGAGGTATAAAAAGATATATTATTTTATTTTATAAGTTAACAAACAAAACAAAAATAGACATTCCCATTGTTAAACGAGAGTGCTTGGTAAAAAAAAAATTGTTATCATTCAAGACGACTGTAATTGGTGGATAAAGCTGTAAAAAATAAAGGACCACAAGCCAGTGTGGTAGTATTAATCTTGAGGTGAGCCTTGACTCTTTTGGTTGGGTGGATGACGGGAGGAGGAGGAGGAGCGATAGACGCATTCTGTGGAATCAGTAATTGGGCCCTGAATGCCTGTAATTGAAGTGACGCACCGGCAAATGGGGAACGGTCATAATCTGTTGCGCTGTGTGTGTATGCAATTGTATCCCTCTCATTGGAGAATTGAACCTTTTTATGATGATTTAATGTCATTGTTTTCAGTTTGTGTGTGTGTGCGTGTGTGTGTATAAGAGGTTTATATTTTATATGATGATGATGTAGGGAAAAAAATGGGGTAGAAGGGTTTTTGGCTTCTTTTTATAGTGAGAAAATAGGAGGGCCATGATTTTTTTTTTTTTTTTTTCCGCCGAGCCTCAAAAATAATTTATAGTTTACATTTCTTGTGATGTGCATGAAAAGAGTTAAAATTAGAAACTGAGTGATCATTCGTTAAAGCAAAAGCGAAAAAAAATAAAGGGCACCTCCTTTTTTTTTTTTTTTTTTTTTTCTTATTGATCAAATTACCGTCAATCCAGCCAATGGGGAAATAGATAAACTTTTTATTATTGTTATTATTATTAGACTACGGTGGTAGTGGAAGTAGAAGTGGTGGTTGGCGTGGTATTTAAATCGTTAGCATTGTTATTAGAGTAGTTGTATAAAGGAGTGGAAGTATAAGGCTGTATCTTGGTGGTGACAAAGGCATTGGTAGTCTGTTTACCTGTCTGAACCGTCACTAGATGGTTATTTACATTGAGCATGGCGTCTTCTGGTACAGCGTCTAAAAACTCTTTCCGTATTGAAGCCGACATATCCGACACGATATTTGATTTGAGGACCTGACCATAATTCCGGAACATGTAATCCAGTGTGAGTAACTTGAGACCTACTTCCTCTGCCATGATGGCCTTTTCAAAGATGAGACCACATGTGTTGATGGAGAGGTGATGTCTGTAGAGCCTCTCACAACAGATCTTTTTTAGCCGTGACAGTAAATACATATTGGCCAACACCAGCACTTCACAAATGATTTCACAGGGCTCATCCACATCCAACCGATCATTGTATAGATACTTTAGAAAGGAAAGTACGACGTTGTAAGGCTCTGGAATTTCCATACGTCGCTGCCGACTTTCGATCATGCCTGATTTATAAATGTTTCGAAAATGCGGCCAGCGCGTTATAAGTATCACTTGATGTACATGAAATTCCTGACCACCCTCGGGTACAATGACAAAATCAGATAATTCGGGATTGTTTAGCAGACGAGAGAATTCGCAGGAGACCTGGAGTGGCTGGGGTATATCGTACAGCCCCAAAGACTCACCATTGATCACCAAAGCGTCACTAATAAGAAAGAGTTAGTCAGTCAGCTTGTTCTATGTAAAGAAGACAAAAAAAAAACTCACCGAAAGTGGTCATATCCTTGCGGACGAAAGGGATCTGTGTTGCCTAGGAAAAAGAGATTGTTGAGAGAGACTTGTCCGTCGTCCATAGTATGATGTGTGTTATTTTCGGACATGATTGTAAAATAATTCCAGCCCCCAATTTCGAAATGAGCGTTACATTCCTGCCTTGTCCATTCGAGGGTATCCAAATCCAGCATCCAGAGACCGTACATGGAATCCACATTGTTGGTGAGATATCTGCCAAACACAAGTAATTTTCCACAAACGGCTTCACAGAAATGCTGACTTTTTAGTAGGACCATACTGGTATTCCCGCCCAACACCAGATGCGGTGTGTAAGGTGGCGTATTGAGGTTGACAACGTACAGATCAGAAATGGTGTTCCCGTGCTCGTCTTTACCGGCATAAATGTACATCTTGTGCCCCACCAGTGTGGCAGAATGGTTGTATCGTGGTGGTACGCCGTGATATTTTGTCCAGGTAAAAGTCCTTAAATCCAGTACGCTTAATTCGTCTAGCACATAGGTACCTATAACCATTGTTTTTTTAGTTGTTTATAAAAAGAGATGAAAAATATATAAAAAAAAAAAAAATTCTTACAATCTGAATTCTTTGCAAATCCACCATAAATAAATAGTTTGTTGTCGTACACGGACGCACTATGCAAGTAGCGTGCAGGTACGATGCCATTTATATCTGGTTGAAACCAAGTCTGTTTCTGTATATCATACACATGGATATCATTGCAATATTCCTGAAATTCGTTGCATCCACCTAATTTTTGTATGTTGAATACACTACTTTAATTTGTTGTCCGATTACTACTTACCAAAGACAATGATGTAATTATCCCAGAGAGTGGCTGTATGTCCATATCGCTTACACGGTGCTGTTCCCTTGACAGTCTAAGGATAGAATCGTTTTTAGTGGGGGAGAAAAAAGAACGGAGAAAAATAGCAAGTAAAATAAAAATAAAAAAACATACTTGAATAGTCTCCCATCGCATATCAACCAAGTTGAGTACGTGTAAATCATTCGTGACATTTCCACCACCGCCATAAACAAATAGTCTATCCTTGACTTTGACAAAGGATGGTCTCCAAAGGCCTACTAAATTATTTCCACTCGTCTGAATAGGTTGACCTGATTTAAAGAACATTTTTATTGTTTGTTTTAAATATATATAAAGTAGTTAAAAAAGATATAATAAATAAAAGAGGAAAGGAGGAGGAAAAGAAAAGAAAAAAATAAAAGAGAGAGAGAGAGAGAGAGAGAGAGAGAGAGAGAGAGAGAGTTTATTGAAGAGGAGTGGGAATGGAGAATTTATTTTAGAAGAGAATCAAAAATAAAAAAAAAAGGGGGTTCAGTATATTCATTGAGAGGGAGTAAAATAAATAATCATATAAGTATAAATTTATAAAAATTTCCGTTTAAAAAAAAACACTCAGGAACAAGGCATATTCTGTGTGACATTCCTCTCTTCTCTCTTCTTCTCTCCGTCTTTTTATTTTGTCTCCCCCAATGTTGTCAGCGCTGGATGAAAAATGCAGTCAAGTGACGTGTTTTTTAATGTGACACCAGTGGTACCTATATAATAATCGGGGAGCCTTTTTTCTTCTTTCTTTCTTTTTTTTAAGGGCTCATCATGACTGAAATTATAAAAGACGGTTACCTCTCTGTAAAAGAAGACGGTTTACGGGCGTGGATCTGGTCAAAACGTTTCTGTGTCTTGAGAGATCAAGCATTGACCTTTCATCGCAACGAGGTAAGCTACTTCTCACTATCACCAATACACACACTCTCTTATACCCTACCATAATAGCAATCAGGACAGTGTGTGGCCCTGATATTCCTCAAAGAAATCACATCAGTTACCCGAACAGATCTGAAGCCTTACTGCTTTGAAGTAGCCACCAAAGACAAGACCTATTATATCGCTTGTAAAAGTGATGAAGATCTGTACGGTTGGATGGACGAGATTTATAATGTAAGCATACACATACTATACATACTGTGGGGAGAGCTCTAACTTCTTTTTTTAAAAAAAAGAGATCCACAGTGGGTGCATCAGGTCCTACCAATTTTGTTCATGAGGTTCATGTAGGCTTTGATCCTCATACTGGCGCATTTACGGTAATAGATAGATATTAGCATGAAAAAAAAAATACCTATACTCAACCCTGCATGTAGGGTTTACCGGATCAATGGACGAAATTATTAAAAGGATCTGCTATTACAGCTGAAGATGCAGCCAAGAATCCCCAGGCTGTGTTGGACGTATTAGAGTTTTATACAGAACAAACCAAACGCGAAGCTGAAGAATACGGATCCTCCAATTTACAGGGAGCTGTAGAACGTATGAGTGATGATCGATGGGCTGCTCTCATTAGTGAATCAGGTCATCGTCCTGCTCCTCCTCGTCCTGCCCCTCCTCCACCACAACAGCAACAACAACAACAACAGCAGCAGAGAAGAAATGATATGAATGAAATGATGGATGATTTGGCTATCAGAACTGTAAAATTATGTGAGATGCACAAGGGAGACACAAGTTAATTAACCTTCTTTTTTTAGCCTAAATCTCCCATGAGTCCCCAATACCCACCTAACGACCGCGTGCCTCCCTCCCCCGTAAGTCCCTTTCTTTTTCTTTTTTGGTATCCTAGTTACGGTCCTCCCTTGTATCCCATGCTAAAAAAAATTCATTCATCTATATATAAAAATAGGGATATGCGAGAGATAACTACCCAAGTCCTGAACCTTCCCGATCACATGGATCACACCGAGTCCCAGCTCGTACGACCAGCATATCTACCTATGACGAACGCATCATGTTTGAACGTGAAAAGTTGGAACTAGAGATGCGCGAACGCGAAAGACAGTTACGAGAACAGCAACGCGAAAAGGACCGATTGCGCGACCAACAACTTCAAAAGGAGCGCGAGAAGGAACGTCAAAGAGAGCGCGAGCGGGATCAAGAACGTGAGAGAGAACGCGAGATTCGCGATCGTGAAAGAGAGAAGGCCGCACAATTGGTTTCTGCGCCTCAACAAAAGAAGCGCGTGGAGCAACGTATCAGTACAATGACAGAGGCCCAAGTGATGGAGCAATTAAAGAGTGTGGTTACACCAGGGGATCCCAATGATCTTTACAAGAAGTTGAAGCGTGTGGGACAAGGTGCGTCAGGTTCAGTCTATGTTGCGAATGCGTTAGCTACCAATACCAAAGTCGCTATCAAGCAAATGGATTTGGGTCATCAACCACGTAAGGATTTGATCGTAACTGAAATCTTGGTTATGAGAGAATCGCAACATCCTAATATCGTGAATTACCTTGATTCCTTCTTGGTGCGTAATAGTGATCTTTGGGTTATCATGGAATATATGGAGGGTGGTGCTTTAACCGATGTCATTGATAATAACTCCATGACCGAACAACAAATTGCTACTGTCTGTCATGAAACAACTGCAGGTTTATTACATTTACATTCCCAAAATATCCTACACAGAGACATCAAGTCCGATAATATCTTATTGAATGCTCAGGGCCAAGTCAAGATCAGTGATTTTGGTTTCTGTGCTAAATTAACAGACCAAAGAAATAAGCGTGCTACGATGGTAGGTACGCCCTACTGGATGGCACCCGAAGTGGTGAAGCAAAAGGAATACGGAGCCAAAGTGGATATTTGGTCTCTTGGTATTATGGCTATTGAAATGATTGAAAATGAACCTCCTTACCTTGATGAAGAACCTCTCAAGGCTTTATATTTGATTGCTACCAATGGTACACCTACGCTCAAGAACCCCGAGAAACTCTCGCGTGAATTAAAGGGTTTCTTGGCTGTCTGTCTTTGTGTGGATGTCAGATCAAGAGCAACTGCTGATGAATTAATGGACCATGATTTCCTCAAGAAGGCAGGTCCTTTAAATATCTTGGCTCCTTTACTTAAATTCAAGACAAAACATTAAAACTTATTATTCCCTATATCTATTCTATCTATTTATTATCACTACTATTATAAAAAGCATATAAAAAAAATAAAAATAAAAAAACATTAAGACTTGATATTACCCAATCGACTCTTCAAATGACTAGGAATTTCGCGCACTACGTTATCCTCTTCTTGTCTTCTGTGGTTAGGCGATAAGGATCTTCTTTCTCTCTGGGCATCAGGCGATAAAGATCTTCGGTCGACAGTTTTACCTAAGCGACTAAATACACTTCGACCGTCACCTCCACTCTTTGCCATGCGTTCACGATGTGATTTACGTGCTTCCTTTCGTTCTTCTGAAATTGTACTCTCGTCTTCCTCTACGCCGTGAATCAAATAGTATCGACTACGTGTACGCGCTCCACGCTCCTTGACATCTTCATCGGTTGAGATACGAATAAACAATTCATGTGTCACGTCTTCCTTGACATAAGGTTTAGCTGCTACCAGTTGACGATGTTGCACTTCCACAGAGGGATTAAGCAACAAACTCTGTAAGGCTTCCTGTGCTTGTTCACGCGTGGCGAAGGCTAGATTACAGGCGGAATCATTGATCCATTCGACCTTTTGTAATAGTGGGTGGTTACAATAACTGGTAATGTCTTTGGTGCTCATATCATCTACACCGTGGAGAAATAATGCGGTTGGACGAGGTAATGCTTCAAACCGATCGATTTCCTCATCGGCTACTAACTGAACTTTAGTGTCGTCATTAGCAAGAGTGGGTGAAGCAGGTTGTTCCAAGAGTGCATCTAACTCTAAATCTATACGTGTGAATTTTTTTTTAAAAAAAAAAAAAGTAGGGGTATAAGTTTTACGGTTTAAGAAAAAAAAAGAGGGAGGTCTTTTTACCTAGTTCCATGGTTTCGGCATCCGTCATTTTTATTATGGGAAGGGAGGTGTGAAAGAGTGTTTAAAAAAAAAAAAAGAGCCAAAAATAAACTACTATTGAGTAATTTGAAACTACGCATGAAAAGAAGAAGGGGGAGTATTGTGTCATTTCATGTGTGCTCATCTCCGAGGATTTTCACGTAAAATAAAAAGGAGGAGAGTCTTTAACTGTTTTTAGACGAGGATTGAAGACTCCCTTTTTTTTTTATATGTAACCAAAGGGCTATATTAAACTCAATCATATTATTAGTAGACATTAAAGACGATCTTATGTATTAGAAATTATCACAGTGTCTCTACTTCTTAAATGATGTTTAAGATACGTTGCTCCGTCTCAAAACAAAGGGTCCTTTCTTGCTTAAATGATCATCAATGCATTGCGTTACCATGTCATAACTATATTAAGCTAAAAAGCTTCTCCCCCGTCTTTATTCTCGGGTAAATGCTCTCGCTAATATGTGTGTACAATCATAATCGAGACACTTCTAATGTTTTATTAACATCAGGAATTTCCAAGGATTTACTATCCAAGACCAAAACATCTCTAGTTTGATAATGGGGACTACATGTGAGTAACTATCTTTTTTTTTTTTATCTTTCGCTAGCAACTACTAAAAACGTACTAACCTAAAGTGGTCATGACCTAGAGGTCGAACGTCGTCTCTATTTCCCACAAAAACCAAGCTAGAATCCTTCAAGGCTGTAAAATAATTCCATGCTCCCGTATCAAAATAATGTGTGTCTGTAGCCTGTTTCGTCCATTGAAGGGTGTTGAAATCTAGCATCCATAAACCATACATGGAATCAGGATGGTATTTACCAAACACGAGTAATTTTCCGTCGACCGAGACCGAAAAATGCTTGCTCTTAAGCAACATCATACCATCACTCTTCAACATGAATCGCGATGTATAAGGTGAGATACTTAGATCAATCACATAAAGGTCAGACGTCGTGTCTCCACAAACATCTTTACCGCCATAAATATACAATTTATGTCCCATCAGAGTGGATGAATGATTGTATCGTGGCATCACATTCTCGTATTTTGACCAGCTGAAACTGAGTAAATCCAGTACGTTTAATTCATTGAGGACATAGGTGCCTTTATAAAGAAAATTTTCATTTTAAAAACTGTTAGTCAAAAGATGAAAATAATAAATTGCCTCTCCCCACTCACAGTCCTTGTTCTTTGCAAATCCACCATAAACAAAGAGTTTGTTGTTATACACAGATGCACTATGCAAGTAGCGTGCATGCGTCGTACCATCGATATCTGGTTGAGACCAAGCTTGTTTCTGGATATCGTAAATATGGATAGCATTGCTATAATTTCCAGAAGCATCACATCCGCCTTCACAAATTCATGAGTTTTTCTTTTCAAAAACAAAAAAAAACATAAAGGTTACCAAAGACAACAATAGAATTGTCCCAGAGGGTTGCTGTGTGTCCGTATACTCTAGGTGGTTCTTTTCCCTTGACAATCTAAATAAAGAAAATAAGTGATAAAAACAAGAACAAATGAGAGAAAGGAAACAGTACAATGGTTTTCCATTGCATTTTCAAAAGATCTAAAACGCGTAAATTATCTATCAAAGCTCCACCACCACCTATCACAAATAGTTGTTCTTGGACTTTCACAATAGAAGGTTGCCATAGTCCCACCACATTATCTCCAGTGGTTTCGATTATTTGGCCTGGTTGTAAAAGCATTTATTCTGGTTATAAAAGATTATTGGATCGAGAAAAAAAAATGAAAGAAAGAGAGGAAGTGGGAAAGTGAACAAGTTATTTACTTTTGTTACTCTAGCCAAGCATCAATAAACAAAATATAATCTAAAAAGGAAACTTAGGCCTTTATCACTTTAGCTTATTTAACTTGAGATAAAACAGCTGTTGTTATCATTTTTGACCAGAATAATCCCACCCCCCCAAAAAAATGACCTATGGGAAGTATTCACTAGGTCTTTTAATAGAAATCGCGTAATTGCTTCCCCTACAATTATTCGTCTTTCTAGTACGTGGTATCTACGGATAAATATTGCTGTAGTTTCAACATTCTATAATAACACAATAAAAGGGATCTACATAATTCACATTGTAACTTCTAGATTTTGCGTGGGACACGGGTATTGGGAATATAGACCCCACAAAACAACAACAAGGACTGGATTTGGAACCCAAGATTGTATGTACAATGTTGAATGAGTAAACTAAATCATATTAAAAGTTGGTTCCGAACCAACGTACATTCCTTATTGCATACGGGTGATTCTTGTTTCTAATAACACCAAGTTGAAGAACATAGTCCACTGAGTTAATCGAACAATGACTATAAATATTGTAGATAATCAGCGTGTTCATTAAATATTACGATATTTCAACAAGGTGAACTTATATCACTTTAAGGAGCATCATCAGAACATACCGTAAAATCTAAAAGTCGGTAGCATCTTTTTCATTTTCTCGATGCATTCTTTAAAAAAAATCGGTTTATAGGAGACACTTTATGATCCCAAGCCTGTACTTTTATTCATTTGCTGAGTCGTGTGTACAAAAAAAATTGTAGTCAAAAATGATACATGTTTTAAACAATAAGGTTTTTTTTAATTCGGATTTTCATTAGGTATTGTAGGTGTTAATGGATGCGAACTCTCATTATTATAGGTTGATATCAGATAGTCGTCGTTCATCCAATTATTCCACACTGTAGATTGATCTGGCATCCATGTCATTATATTCTGCTGCGAGTGCCGATCCGATCTTTTTCTGGACCGAAGATTGGGATGATGATAGGTCTCATCCAGCAACCTTAATGTATCATGTTCTATGGGCTCTACTTCCATATCGTTTATCTCGTCTTTCATTAATAGTTGGTCCATATAACCTAATGCCAAACTATTATGTCGCTTCGATGATGATTTCATGGGACGTTTACGATCCTCTTCTGGCTCAGGCTTTGCTCGCTCCAGTCGTTGAGAAATGGGTTCCTTTTTTCGAAAAGGGTAAGGCAGTTTGATTGATTTTAAAATGGTTGCATCTGGAGGGTCTAAATAATTTCGATGACTGGTGGGTGGTGGAATAAAATAGTCCGCGTTTTTGCTTGCAATGACGATGGGTCTCTCTTTAAATGGTAAAGTAAAAGCTGAAAAATCCTGTAGTCTGCGTGAAAAAAAAAATAAGTCAATAAAGGACTACCTTTTTTTTAAAAAAAAAGAAATGAATACTTGCGCTTCATCATGTATATCATCCTCCATATGATTAGCCAAATAATTCGGTGATCTTTTGAAGGAGCTATGTATCGAGGCCGGATGACGATCGTTATCCGGCTTCAAACGATCGAATGTTTGCTGTAGTACTTCAGTGGTATCTTCTTGTGGTGTGTCAGCATCGTGGACAAGTGACTGCAGCTGTTTTTCAATAATGCTAGAAGAGGCAAAACTATGCGTGCTATGTATACTGCTTGCTGCCGAGTGTGGCTGGCATCGGTTTCTATTCAATCGTCTTTCTACAAGCGTTTGTAGCCTATTTTGTGGTATTTCCATTAGTACATGAATTGGGGAAAATAAATGTTATTTGAAAGTGTTCAAAAGTGACATAATTTTTTTTTTCCTGTTTCTATTTCATGGTAGGTGAAACATATCAATAAGCTTTCTGTTTCTCAGAGATGATTCATTTATTCAATTTCATGCAATACTAAAAAAAAAAAAAGACTAGGCGACTTCTAGTCCTAATTTTCGATGAACAATGCAGGACCATAATGCCACTGTTCAGATAGGGAAAAAAAAAAGAAAAGAAAGATAGGATATCCCTACATACAGCCCACAATATTCAAAAAAATATAAAAGTAACCGAGGCCGGGTTTGAACCGACGATCTTCTCAGAGTGAATGAGACGGGTTAAACCACTTCCCCACTCGGTTGTTATGTTGCGTGTAATCCTCAGATGTCTAGTTGACCCTTACGTAATAACCTAACACGTGACTATCACGTGAACCTATTCCTATTGGCTAGAAGAGTACTCTTCAAAGTACAAGTACAAAATAAAGTATGAGATAAAAGATAAAGATTTATTAATTATAATGTGGGGTTATTTATACTATCTAAATTGATTGATGTTTCATATGTATGTAATTGTTTTATGCTAAATTAGTTTATGGCTTTGCTTGTTTGTTCTTATGACATATAGTTTTGATTTCTTGTTTGGTCTTGCTTTCGTGACCTTTGGTTTAAACCTTCGTTTGGGTCTTGTGAGTTCCATTGCGTCATAGTAGTTCTCGGTACCGGGCTGTTGTGCCGGAACTATTTCATTGGCTGGATTGGTTCTGACATTAGCCCCCCCTAGGCTCTGTGCTCGTCCCTGAGCACCTAAAACTGGAGAGCCGATTGAGATAGAGCTAGGAACAGTGGAGTCAACCATAGGGGAATCAACCATAGGAGAGTCAATGTCAGTTATAGATTCAGAGTTTTCGAGAGTAGTGTCCATAGGTACGGGTGCATGTTTAGTGATAGGAGAGGTAGGTAAAGGCTTAAATTGTGGACTTGAGGATTTTTCGGAAGTAGGACTTGGTGGTGTTGGATCGATAGGGTCAATAAAATCGGTGACTTCATTTTCGGTAATAGGTGGAAGAATTATTTTTTGTAAAACCTGGGTTCCAGTTTCTTTTTCGAAATCACGCCAAATTTTTCTTGTCTCAGTCGGATTAAACCATGGTTCTTCGGGTTTCGGACCATTAGCAGCTTTTAAGCGATCAACGTGAACGAGTGATTTCAATGGTTCACCCGCGATTGTTTCCAACTTGTACGTTCCAAAGTCAGGGAAATTTTTCACCACCATGTAGGGACCTTTAAAAGTTGGTTCCAGTCCATACTTGCCTTCGTTTGTTAGCATTACCATGTCACCAATTTCAAAAGATACAGGCTTGATGGCAGCATCCCAGCGAGTCTTGTCCTTTTCACCCATGGCTTTCATTCTAAACTCTGCAGCAGCACGGTCTTGACCTAAGGACGCCAATTCACGTGAGGTGAAATCGGCTACAGTTCGAGGATCTTTAAAAACCGATGAGTCAATGTAAGGACGCATGACATCACCAGGTATGCGAGGTTGTCGGCCGTAGGTTAAATAGTAAGGGCTGAATCCCGTGGTAGAATGTATGCGAATACGACAGGCCCAAAGGGCAGCATGGACGAAATCATCCCAACGATGAATGGCACCATTAGTGTACTTTCGAAGCATTTGTTTTATGACGCCGTTAAACCGTTCAACCTTGGAGTTCGTGCGGGGGTGATAAGCACTGGTAAGTTTGTGGTTAATACCAACACGCTTTTGGTACTCTTTCATTAATAAGCTGCAGAAATTAGATCCACGGTCGGTGATCAACTCAGAGAAGTTTCCAAAATTCATGACAATTTCTTCATACAAGAAATCAGCAACGTTTTCAGCCGAAGCAACTGGCATAGCACGAGCAACGCACCAATTTGTAGCGTAATCAACACCAATTAACAACCAACGATTACCTTTTGTGGACGTGGGCAGATCTAAGAAATCCAAATGCCAACGATCAAATGCGGTGGGAACTTTTAGTGGGTGCATAACATCCTTGTGAGCTAGACCTCGTCGACTATTTAGTTGGCATGCCGGACAGAGTTTCAACCAGTCAATAATATCTTGTTTGATTCCAGGCCACCAAAAACGAGAGAGCATGTAGTACAACGTGGTTTTTATTCCTGCGTGACCTAATGATTCATGATATTTGGCAAGAGTATCCGCCCGTTCTTCGAAAGGTAAATAAGGTACATCATGAACTTGATCGGTATTTGGCAGTTTAACATGTCTATAAATACGATTGGAGATAATACTGAAGTTATTTTGTTCTTTGTTTAACACGTCGTTAATCTCATCTGATTTTACCTTATCCCTTGATAGAAATAGTAATGGCCAGTCCGCACGTACCAGAGGAGGTAGTTTATCCCAAGCAGCATATAACATGTCAGGTTCGAGTGATTCTTCTTCAGGAGCCATCTCTTCTGACGAGTAGTTCATACGCGATAGAACATCAGCAATTTGGTTGTCTTTTCCCGCTTTGTAAACAATGGTTGGAGCCATAGCTTCTATTTCGTTGATCCATCTGACAAGTCGACTGGGAGGATTTTCTTTGGATCGGAAATATTGTAGCGGCATATGGTCAGAATATACGGTATAGCCAGCAGGACAACCATCAACGTAGCAACGCCATTTCCTTAGAGCATAAATTATACCCAACAATTCTTTTTCTTGCGCAGGCATACGAGATTCGCTTAACGTGAATTTTTTGACTCGAAACAGATTGGATGCCAAGGCAATTCGGAATCATCATCAGGTTGGTAGAGTACTGCACCACATCCACGATCGGACGCATCGACTTCAATTTTGAAAGGTTTGTTCATGTTAACGAGTTTAAGAACAGGATTTGAAGTAAGCACCTTTTTTAGTGTATTGAAACTTTGTTGGCAATCTGGGTTCCAAGTAATGGGCCGTTTCTTGTGACCAGTTCCACGAGTGAGATCAGTTAGAGGGGCTGCAATGGAAGCAAAATCTTTAATAAATCTTTTGTAAAACTGTGCAAATCCAATGAATTGTCTGACTTCTTGAACGTTAGTTAGTTTGGGCCAATGTTCTAGAACTTTCACCTTTTCCGGGCTTGGTTTGACGCCATTGCTTGATATATGAAAACCCACAAAAGTTAGTTCCTTTTTTCCAAAATTGCATTTTTTTAAATTCACGATAAGTTTTTCCTTTCGCAACAATTCCAATACATGACGCACATGTTGTTTATGTTGTTCCAACGTATCACTCCAGATAAGAATGTCGTCTAAGTAAACTAACGCAAATTTATCAAGGCAATCTGCAAGGACATTATTCATCAATCGTTGAAACGTAGGTGGTGCATTTGATAGACCAAAGGGAAGTACAAGAAAAGCGAATTTGCCATAGCGTGTATTGAAAGCTGTTTTGTCGATATCTTCATCCGCGATTCGAAGCTGATGATAACCAGACTTGAGATCGATACTAGTAAAATATTTGGCACCGGCTAATCGTTCCAAACATTCATCAGGGCGCGGTATACTCGACGAATCTCTAACGGTAAGTTTATTCAAAGCTCTATAGTCAATACACATTCTTAATTTACCCGGTTCTTTTGATCCTGGATCAGGCTTTTTTCGAACGAATAGAACGGGAGCGCCCCAGGGAGAGCTACTTGGCTTGATCAACCCCAATTTGAGTAACTCTTGAATTTGCATTTTTAACTCGTCCAATTCCAATGGAGACATCTTGAATGGAGGTCTTGATATCGGTCTTGCATCGCCAGTGTTAATAATATGTTGAATCCCACGGTCTGGTGGTAATCCAGGCAGATCAGTCTTAAAAATTTCATCAAATTCTTGAATCAGCTTTTTCCAGTAATCATCATCCGTTGTTTGTGAATATGCGCCGTCAGGTTTTTCAGTGTCTCGGATGCAGAGCAAAAAACTATCCGCCCCTTTCTTCATATATCGGTCAGCTTGTTTATGTGATATTAAATAACTAAGATCGGATATAGAAGTGAGTGACGAATGTTTTGTATGTGCTTTAGGTTTTAATTGTATACTTCCATTATTTATGGACCAGACATCAGTGTCCCAATTTGGAATAGGTTTTTCTTGTTTTAACCACGAGCGTCCTAGAATGAGATCGAATTTCGTTGGAAAAACATAGGCCAATATAGAGGTGGTATAACCATTTAAGTTCACGTTTAAGTTTATCTTGTACTTAATTTCGGATATTTCGCCACCAGCGGTTTCCACTCGTCGATTGAGTACTGGGATTAGTTCTTGACCTGCCGGAATTATGTGGGGTGATACATAATTTTCGCTTGCACCTGAGTCAATCAACACCTGTAAAGATTGTCCATAACAAGTACCATCATATAACGGCAGTACTGTGCCGAGAGTATTTAGTTCATCCAAGTGATTAAATTCCTCAGTCAAATCATTAGTGGGATAGACAATAGGGGTCAATTCGACTACGGATCTATGTGGGCTTTGAACATACGCGATTACATCCTGTTTTGTTTGGGGTTCCAAAATAGGATAGTCTACTGTGTCACTAGGGTCAAAAGCATATGGGTCAAAATCAATAAGTTTATTATTTTTTTGTTTAGCATTATCACCGACATCTTGTTCCATATCAATTAAATTAATGGAGTGTCCATATCGACGGTTACGTAATTCATCCAGCTTTTTAATTTCATTCAATCTTTCCCGACAAAAACGCTTGATGTGACCCGTTTTGTTACAGAAAAAACATACAGCATTGGAGTTTGAATTTCCACCACCACGCGACCTATTGTTGTTGTAGCCACCACGACTATTTCCATTTCGGGAACCACCGTTGTTTCTGTTGTACCTATTATTTTGTTGGCGATTGTCAATCCAATCCAACTCCATTGGGTCGTCAATGTAAGTTTTAACAACAGGATGACGTGCTGGAGGTCTAAACAGTGTTTCTTGATGATGAGCGCTGTCAAATGTAAGTGCTGATTTAGCTGCAGTTCTGAGGGTACCATCGTAGTATTGTCGGACGTAAGCGGCAGTGTTTACGTTTGACAATCCGCGCATGAATTTGTCACATGCCTCATCATCTGTCATGTTTTTGATAGCTAATTTATAATCCATAAAAGTATTGATGTAAGAGTTCAAGTCACCTGTTTGCTGTAGCTTCGCAATTTTGTCTCTTGCTATAAGTTCGGAGTTTTCAGGACAGAAAAAATCGACTAAAGCTCGTTTTAGTTCTAACCAGCCAAGAGGAGCCTCGCCATCTCTTGGTTTTTCAATCGTTCGGTACCAAGTGTCAGCCTTGTCTTTGAGTAGTCCTATAGCATAAGTACCAGTTTCGTCGTCCTTCATTTCTTGAACACGAGCATAGTTTTCAACAGCAGATATCCACCCATCGATTTTTACAGCATCACGGTCACCATAATAGTCATCAGGTTCCTTTGCTTTTATATTTTTGTTCTTGTTCACTTCTCGCATCAGTTTTGCCAAGTTATTAACCAAATCTGCCATGTCATTGTATGACGCCTTAGCCTCTTGATTTTCAGCCATATTAATTCTTGTTTCCCTTTGAACGCCTGGTGCTACCAATTGTAATCCTCAGATGTCTAGTTGACCCTTACGTAATAACCTAACACGTGACTATCACGTGAACCTATTCCTATTGGCTAGAAGAGTACTCTTCAAAGTACAAGTACAAAATAAAGTATGAGATAAAAGATAAAGATTTATTAATTATAATGTGGGGTTATTTATACTATCTAAATTGATTGATGTTTCATATGTATGTAATTGTTTTATGCTAAATTAGTTTATGGCTTTGCTTGTTTGTTCTTATGACATATAGTTTTGATTTCTTGTTTGGTCTTGCTTTCGTGACCTTTGGTTTAAACCTTCGTTTGGGTCTTGTGAGTTCCATTGCGTCATAGTAGTTCTCGGTACCGGGCTGTTGTGCCGGAACTATTTCATTGGCTGGATTGGTTCTGACATGCGTAATAAAAATAAAATAATATATATCGTTATTTTAAATTATTAAATCACGTGACTGTCACGTGTTTTATAAAATGTCAACCAATAGGAAGTTTACGGAAAAATTACCCGTCAAAGCTTAAAGTTAGTAGAGTATCACTGTAGAGATACTTATAAAAAAAAAGAAGTAAGATTCCGTGTTCACGCGGACAATTTCATTATTATTTAAATCTTTTATTTCACGTTTATAAAGCCATCTCTTTCATTTTAATGTCACTACGACGCGAGGCTTTTATTGATCCTAAATAAAATCACGATTATCAATGAAGTTACTTTGTAAGCCTATCTATCGAACTTTATAAAAAAGACTTTGTCTGCCTCGGCTAGCTACAATTACGTACTATCATGTCATATTAAACCTGTTCAAGTATAACTGGAGAAGAAAAAGATTATTCCTGCAAATGCCTAGATCTCCGTATTTTTTTAATCGTATTTTTCAAAACATAAGCCTAAGACAAATGTTTACGTCGATTGACATGCCATATCATCTTAACTTTTTAGGATGATCAATTTTTGATTTTCATAAAATTTGCTTCACTATCGGTATATGCTACAACTGAAATGCTGATAGACAACTACCAAGTTCTGATTTGCTTGGGGGGGGGGTTGCAAATGTTTTTATTTTAAGTAAAGGCCCAAACATTTAATGCAGCAATTTATCAAGGAAATAGTTATTGATCATGGCTTTTCCTTCGAGATTATGTCCCACTTTGATCTCTCGAGGAATAACGGCGTTGGCAAGTTCGATTGCAGGCAAGCGAATATCAAGAGATCCAAGCAATTTTCTAGTGCTAATGGTTTGTCTAAAAAAGTTGTTATTGCACCAAAAATGAATATATTACATGTAAATGTATTTTAACGCCCGATTCTGATGCGCTAAGAATTATCCTGTTTAAAAACCCTACATCTATGATCACATAATAATAGAAGGAATAGGAGCCAAACCTGTGCCAAATCGTGGTTTTGACAAGTATATCTTCGAAATAAAGTGAGCATTGTAGAGGTATATAATGTATATTCATAATAATGGAAATAGTATTGCTTTATTCTAGAAGATGTGAGATAAACTGCCTCAGTAGGAAGTATCTTCATGGCTTCAAACAAGGAAGTTTTTGGCGAAAAAAGAGATTTAATTGGTTTTCAAAAATTAGAGTGCATTTGGCATTTAACGACATATAAATAAAAGTGTGCGAATTTTTTTATGCAGAATTTTTCTTAAAGAAATTTAAATGTTTATATATATCTAATCCTTTTAAAAAAGGGTATCCGTCTTATTTTTGGGAGCGCGGATAAGAGGTGTAAGCATTTTTTGATCCAGTATCCGAGACTGTTTGACAAACATTTAAATTTGTCATGATACAATTTATCATGTCATGTTAAATAAATAAAAATCCTATTTGTTTATTTTATAAAAAAGTCTTTGTACTTGCATACATACATTCAGATACATTCGTTCCTAATGCAGGTTGTGTATCCGTGTAACTGTCATTACTGATCTATTACTAACAAGCATCGAAAAGAACAATAGTTTTTGTTTTGTTTTACGCATGTAGCAAACTTTAATGAGAGCTGAAGACAACCTATCAATCAGCTTATTTTTTCTTGATGATCACTGTTTTTTCATGTGTATAATATAAGCTTGACGATAAAATTTATATAACATAATCTATTATTAAACACCAGAAAAAACTGGCAACATTCCACGTTCGGTTTTGACGGCTGGTCCTACAAAGAACGTATTTAGTATTACTTTTTACAGATAATATTGTATTTTACATGATTTAGAAACGCCCAAAATATAAAAAGAGAATTGGCTGTGTGAATTGATTCCATAGTGCTAATCAAAAACTTGTTATGATTTTTGTTTCGACTCCGCGATCTTCCATTGTTTAAACATACAATCAAAAGGATGATTATGTATAAGAAAACTTTCATTTTGCATGAAATTTTTTTTTTTTTTTTTTTTTTTTTTTTTTTTGCCTGCTAACGTCACCATGCCGTTTTATTTAATAACTATTTGTGATCTGTTGCATAGGATTATCAATTATCTGTTGTCTATTCAATAATAGAAACAGTGATTAATCAAGATAGTTAAATTTTAATAACGCATAAATAACAAGTATACAGAAAGGATATCTTCCAGTGAGTAAAAAATAGACACTTTGTCGTTCAGTACTTCTGATAATCTGAGAGCCCTTGGCTACAGCACTGATTGGGTCCTGCTCATGACGAGCAACAATCATCATCGCCTTTTTTTTTGTTAAAGAAGTACCACATTGCATATTTTGATTTTGGTTGAAGCATTTTTTTTTTTGTGTACAGTGGTCATGTGTGTGTTATAAAATTAGGTTAAATATAACTCTTTCACCAAATACGATCTGGGTAAAGGATCTGTAAATATTGTTGTTTATTTCAGAGCTTCTTTTGTAAGATTCCCTAACGCCCCTTTTCCCTTTCATACATAATGCGTAAACAACATCATGATGTGTATCAGGCGTTTTAAGCGTATATCCTACAACATTATATCTTGAACGGTACACGTCCGAAGAATTAAATTTCAGGTCTATTTAAAGACGTGTAACGCGAGGCTGAGGGGAAACGTCGGGACGAGTTTTTTTTTTTTTTTTTTTTTTTTTTACAAATGATTTTAAAGGAAAATCTGCTTATATGTTGGGGGAAAGAAAAGCTAGAACAAACGTTTGCACATACAATTTAATGATTGGAGGATGTAGAGAGGCTGCATTATTATTATTATTCTTTTTTTTTTTTTAGTTTTTTTTTATTACATGAAGTTTGTTATAAGTAGTATATTAAGATATTAAATTATTATCATTTGGTTTTATTACAAGTGTACAAAGGCAAGAATGAGAGAGGCCGCGAGGAGGAGTTTTGAAATTTCAGAACCAGCGTTAGCTGAGTTACCTTTGTCGAAGATATTGGCGGGTGCAGAAGTGGTAGGTGCAGCAGTTACTGAACCAGAAGGAAGGGAGGAGATTGTAGGAGCAGGAGCCGCAGAGATTGTAATAGGAATGCTGACATTTGTTTGAGAAACATTATCGAAGAACACAACTTGATAAGGGCCGGCGGTTGTATTGGTAGGAAGGTTAAACTATAAATACACATTAATAATTATAAATAATACAGGGCTTGTTTTTTTTTTTTTTTTCACTTTACGTTCAGTTGATGTTCAAAAACAATGGCACCACCCACTTGCTTTTGGAAACTAAACCCTTGAGTGATATCAGCGCTCATTATCATTGGGGTTGTACTATTGGTTCCAACCAAACTAATAGATAATTGAAGATCTATTGATAACCCCAAGTTAATACTCTGCATTCTTTTTTCTTCTTCTTCATACTTACTATCAGAAGTCGTGTTACTGGCAATGTCATAAATACAAGGAAGAATTTGACTTGCAACATATGGAGAATTAGGGCTGGGAGAGGTGACGTTGAACTGATAAGTGGGGGATTGTACTTGGGCCTTAACAGCAAGAGCCAAAGCAGAGAGTAAAATCAAAATTTTAACCATTTTTTTTTTGTATAGATTTGAAAATTAAAACAAAAGGGAAAGAAGTTAAAGAAAAAAAGGATTATGTGAGATTTTTATAGTGTGGAAAAAAAACAATAAAAAAGGAGGGAGGGAGAGGGGAGGGGGGGGGGGCAGGTGAGGGGAAGTTTGTGTGTATGTGTGTGTGTGTTGGGCGATGGTTGTTTAAAGCGAAGAGGAGGAGCTTAAAAAAAAAGGGTGCAACACCAATAGTAACGGGTTATAATAAATTTGACAGGGCTCCAGATATAAAATTACCTGTATCGTAGAAACCTATCATATTTCATTATTCCATTTCCTGTTCTTCTTTTGCCACTTATTGAACAAAAAGAGTAAAAGAAAATTGATTTTTAAGAGGAAAAATCCCCTCCCCCCCCCTCTTTAGTTAACATTTTTTTTCTCTCCTCTTTAATAGGTAATCGTAGCTTTTATTGCGTGTCAGACCTGAGCCAGATTTGTATTACATTCTGTTCATAGATTTTACAGCAAATAGTGATTTTCACAATGCATATTATTCGCAGAAAAAGTGCTACGGTGTGACATAGTTACACGATAAAAATTGCTTTGGTTCGTGTGACTTTAAAAATCAGTTAACATAGTGGCCCTTCCTCCCCTTACTTTTTAATAATGAAATCAGAAGGATTGCAAACTTTTTTTTATACAGGTAGGTTTGTTTTTTATTTTTGTTAAATATATTTGTTTTTTTCTGTTAAATGTCTTTTAGATGGTATGATGGGAGGTTTTAAAAATAACGGCAAGGAGAAATAAGTAGGATTTGTGTACAATAAATAATAAGAGAAAATAATGAAATGGAATTAATGAGTTTTTGTTCCAGTTCTCAAGTTCGAAATACGTGCAAATGCACGAATGTAGATTGATATTGTTTCATAAAAGGTACTCATAATAGCACGTGCTACTGGACCTTTAAAGCCATACATGCAGCGAAGCGCAATCCATTGTTGTTGACGTTTGGGCACCTTGGCTCGAAGTGGAAAACCGGGATCGTTACGTAAAGTAGGACCAATAGCCATGTAAATTTCAAAGGCAGCACGAATACTATCTTGCACTTCATTAGGTAAACCATCGATTCCTTTTTGTGCCTTGTCAGAGATTTGGTCAGCAAGTGAAAGAATACGAAGAGAAAATGATTTGAGTGTGGGCTCTCCTACTTGCGAGGGGTTTCTTGCCACCTTGAGGATATCATAAATCTGGGGATAAGGCATGTATTGAACAGGAACATAACAGCGACCGACTAAACTATCAGCAATGATATCACGCGCAATATTGATTAATTGAAGGCACTATTTGAGAAAGGTCAGTAAACAATGAAAATAAAGTAGTCTAGTAAATTAATTACCTGTCCTGTTGATCTGGCTCTGGATAAAACTTGGTCGTTTCTTGCCTTGTTATTATTACGGGTATTACCCCAGTTACCATTGCCCGTCTTGTACATAATGACGCACGTACAAAGTTCACCAAATGTACCAGAGATCAAAGCGGCATAGTTTAGTAAATCATTCTGTTTCTTTACAGGTTCTCCACGAAGATCAAGTTCCCAAGCATCCGTCAACTCAGACATTGCACGTGGACAAAGGTAATGAGATATACGAGCAAAGTTTCTAAAAATAGCAAGAACATCATCATTAGGCAACAGACCCGCGTAATGATCCCAATTTATTTCTGATGGTAAGGCGGTATGTCCGTCTCCTTGCTCTTTTGCCATGGAAATGTCAAACACTTGTTTCAAAAACTCGCGAATTGTCACCAAATTAGCCTCACACTGAGCAGGTGTAGGGGCATCATCAACCAAATCATCAGCTGTACGGAAGAAGGCATACAAAAGACAAAGATCCTGTCTCAAATTGACAGGGAACAATGCAGCCATTGTTTTCCATGAGCGGGAAGCAGGACCCAAGACACGAATAGCAGTTTCCAAGTCATCAATGGGAGAAGGATCAAGTTCAGACTCAGAAGGCATACTCATTACAAGTCGTAAGATAGCAAACCAGTAAGTGGCAGTAGTTGGATCTTGCAAGAGATTTTGTTCCGACTTAACAGGATTGACCAAATAAGGGTAAGCATTTAAAATAGCGTCCAAGTGATCGAGTGTGTTACATGCAAATACTAAGGTAATGGGAAACAGACAATAGAGGCTGTAGCTAGTACAAACTCCGTGGTAACTGGAGGCCCCAAGACAAAGTAAATAAGCAAGTACTGACGTTATGCTGCATACTGCACCGATCACCTTTATCCTGCGGACAAAGTAAGGACCAGAAATGTACCATAATGCACTAATTGCAGCTAATGTGACAGAGAGGGTATAATTTAGTGATGCTTGGCTAATATAAATAATGAAAGAATAGGAGGGGTCAATATAACTTTGATTTGGATGCTGTTAATAGTTGCATATATTACCTTAAAATAGCTAAGACAACTAATAACGTGGAGATGCCATGTCTTATTAAACCCGAAACATAGACGTTTGTTCTGGGTTTAATAAATGTAATTGGAAATTGCCATCTTGTAAGTAAACCATTTATGGAAACAGTAACAATACTGATTAAAAGATACACAATAGCGTCCATTAATGCGTATATGGTAAAACGATCGAATGCTGCATTTGCTGTAATAGGCAATATAGGATGCATTGTGTTGTTTGTTGATGCTGTTGTTGTCTCTGTTGTCATAGAAAACTTATTATTGTAGCTGATAATGTAAGGAATCATAAAAGATATACCACCCAGGGTAATATACTTGACTATGTCAAGTTTAGTTATGAAAGGACGATAAATAGCAAAAAAGAATAGGGCAGTAGCTGATGTATAATAAATATATGTCATTATTATAAAATATGAAGTAAATGAAAATGAGAAACCTTTGAAAAGTTGAAATACAAACCAGTATTTATACCACAGTGACAAAATAAAATAAAAATAACGATGCCTTTCCCCCGTTTTTCTTCCCCTATAATTACACAGAACCATAAAATAGCTGAAGCAAACTTAAAAAAAAAGATGTAAGAACTTCTCATAAGACCGTGCCAAATAAAGCAATAAGTGCTTAGACTGATGAATTTATGTATACATGATAATCGTCCCCTTTTATTCCTTCCTGAAAGATTGTAGCCACCTTTTGATAAGGTACCTAAAAGCTTGGATTTTTTTTAAAGCAGCGATAATCTGCTAAGCTTGATTTGTATATATCGTCTTTTAGATGAAACAAAAAAGCATATTATATGCGTTGGTTATTTGTTGTGTATACTCATTGTGACACGCCGCCGTTAAGATTTGTTTTCTTCTGTTACCGTTATTTACACGTTTTCGTTAAGTCTCGGTTTGAATCTACTCTCGTTATAACTCCTGCAGTTTGAAAGGTCCCATCACCCCTGCCTTTATGAAAAAAAAAAAGAAAAAAAAAACGAAGCAACACGATAGGCAGCTTACAAATGACTTATACAACAAATTGATTAACACTTTTAAGGAATATATTCAATATAACAGTTCTTAAGCAACACAGATTTTAATAGCTTTACAGATATAATAGGCGTAATGCGGATAACTGGTCCCCAAAACCTGTTTTTGAGTGCACATTTGTTTTGTTTTGCGGCTAAAGCAGCACATTTTCCCTCTTACTCGGCCTACCGATTAAGCATTACATCTTTTTTAGACTTCTTTGTTTACTTGTGTAGAAGTTTTGCACTTGGATTTTTTCTTGACAGTGTCAGCCACTCTCTATTAATATTTTATATATACATATCCTAAAAGGAAATATGTACCTGGCTTGAAAATGTTGTTATCCCTACCGTTTTTTTTTCACTCCTATTCTCTTAGTATATGGTTTTGTGTCATAATTATAACAGCTTCTGTATGAACTACCGGTTAATGTATCTGGCAATTGATTTTCTCCCTATTATTACAAATATATCCCTGCCAAATCTGTGCTCAACAAATCTTCCTTTTGCCACCAAAAGAAATACGGGAAATAAGCAGATAATGACCACAAGTTGTTATATCGTGATAAGAAATCAAATGATGCGATGCCTACATCACATTATGTAGCAAGTAAACTGTATGGTATTCAAATTAAACTTGTACCAGCATGATGCATACATAAAAAGTAGTTACGTCCAGGGATATAGGTGTTTTTTTGACGTTATATCCCTGTTCACCCTCAATTAGATATACCGGAAGAAATAAATCCAGCTTTCTGTTTTATTTCAGCTTGTGAACCATATAAGCTGCTTATTAGAAAGAATTAATTTCTTGATATTCTTTGTTCTAATCAAGTTTTTAAAAATTCTGAATTTAAAGGAGTATCAAAGATTGACAGAATAGAAAAAGAGAAAATACATGTGGGGGCTTCTTTTGAATGCATGAAGATGATCCATGATATTATGTCGAAGCACTAGCTTACAAAAGAACTAAAAGTATATAGCCGTAACAAGTTCGGTAGTATAGCTTTATTCGATTCGTAGAAACTAAAGACCTAGATTTTCGTTTTTTTATATTTTTATATCACGATGGACAGGCCCATCTTTCTGTTATCAAGCTTTTTTGTGTAATGGTCTGAAACAGCGTACTTTTCTGGTGTAAAATGACGTTTTTATACGTTAGTGCGCAGATGAAAACCTTCTTTTTTTAATAAACACATCGGTAAACCGGTTTTCTATATATACTAGCATACACAAACACACACACACACACACACAAATAAAAGGTGATCTATGCGGTTGTGTAATGGTAACAATAAAATGGGACCCAAGCGTGTGTATGTTTATTTTTTTATTGTACAGTGTCAACTTTAATCTAAAGTCAGATTCTAAGCAGCCAGCAGGTCACAAAAACGATAAATGCAGATTTTTAGTGTGTATAACACAAAAATACAAGTTTTTCATCTATGGCACAGAGTTTAAAAATAAAAAATGATACATTATTTCCCGCCCAGAAATATTCAAATCGGCGTACACCTCCGAATATATATGTTAATATATATACATATACTTTTATTCAGAAAGGAAGACAATAATCTTGCACCAACCGAAGGGTACGCAGTTCCTATTTTCCCAAAAAAAAAAAGTATATAAATGCTATTAATAAGTCCGCCCCTCACACATAGTTAATATTAAAAGCAGTGTTGGACCGATATAATATGATCGTTCTTATTGACAAAATAAAATAAAATAAAGCGTACATGATGTATACAAAAAGCCACATTTCTGCACTTTCACCAATACTTTATTGTCGTAATATGCAATGCGTGCATGAACAATTTCCAAACGCCGACTGAACAATTTTCAGGTCGGCATAACCTATTTCTTTTTTAGTTTTTTACTTCTTGAAACTATTTATGGATTCGAACAAGGTAAATTACATGTTATGATTCTGAAAAGGGAGAATCTCAACTTAAAAACCCAAACCTTAGTCGACCCCCATTCTTCAGTCAAGTTCACCTGCTATTGGTCAACCCATGAGTTCATCTTATGGAGAGCAATGGCTGGGTTCTGAAGATTCACATGTCCGCAGAAGAAGTAGTTTGAACACACCGGACACATCTACGCGTTCACCCAATAGATTTGGAAAGTCCCATAGTTTAAGAGGCGAACGACGTGTAGCTCAAGGGAAACAGAAGGCTGAAAAACCAGAAAAGCCTGAAAAGCTAAGAATAGAGTTGCAAAAGCGTGTTAAAATTTCCTCCTCAAATAATTCCCCTTTAACCACTGAGAAGCCCGAACCGACCAAGAAGAAAACTCAATCTCAACAACAGACACCTAGAAAGGGTATTCTGAATCATTTAGAATTAGACAAGAAGCCAGACAGCGAGAAATTTAAAGACCTCCATCCAGCTGTTCTCACACTTGGACTCTTATTCTCAGAATACAAAATCGTTGGTTCCAATGCTCGTTGTGTGGCCGTACTAGAGACTCTTTCCAAAGTCATTCGCGATCACCGACCGCCCAGTAATGCATCCTTTGTTCGTCATATTCAAAAACACTTGGATCCTCATATTGCTTTTTTGTTGAACATCCGAAGCTTTTCATTAAGCATTAGAGAGATTGTTCGATATGTTAAAAAGGCAGTAGCCGATTTAGTTGCTATACACCCGCCTTTATCTGACGAGGAGGCAAGGACTCAATTAACCAATACAATTGCACATTTTATACGTGCACGTATCACCATTGCAGATCAACTCATTATTCAATACGGTCTTTCCAAGATCGAAAACGGTGATGTCATTTTAACGTTTGCCAAATCATCTGTCGTGGAAAGCTTATTATTAAAAGCAAAGCAGATCGGCAAAGAATTTTCAGTTATTATAGTTGACAGTAGACCCCTTTTGGAAGGTAAAAACTTGCTCACAAAGTTAACTGAAGCGGGTATAGCATGTAAATATGCTCTTATATCGAGCATATATGTCCTTTTAAAGAATGTCACCAAAGTGTTTATGGGGACACATGCGATTTTAAACAACGGATCATCATATTCGAGAATAGGGTCTGCAGCAGTTGCTATGGCAGCCACCGATAAGAAAATTCCTGTTATGGTTTGTGCTGAAACGTACAAGTTTATTAACAGGACCCAAGTTGATTCTTTAGTCATGAATGAAAAAGGAGATCCAGAAAGATTGGTGCGTACAAAACAATACGATACATCGCCTATATTAGCTGATTGGAAGCACACATCCAATCTAAATATTTTGAATTTGATGTATGATGTAACGCCCGCAAAGTATATTTCGCTCGTCATTACAGAGATTGGTATGATTCCGTGCACTTCTGCACCTGTCATTTGGCGCGAATACAAGTAAGTCGTGGAAAAAAAAAAGGCTCTCCTTATACCATTATTTTAATCTCTTTTCTTTCTTTGCAGTGAAGTGTTCGGAAAAACAATGGATGAGTTGTGATCAAAACAATGATAAATATTTAATAAATCGAGACGGCCTATAAGAATAATTTGAATAATCAAGATGGATCCCACGCTTTACAGGCATACGTTGAAACAAAAAAAGAAGAACCTTTATATTTAATTTAATTATTTGTGTGTGGATTGATAACAATAATTAGTCCAAAATCATATCAGTATCTTCATTGTTAGCCTATATTTTTATAAAAGAATGAATATCTTTTTTGAAGGTAGCATATTATTGATTATGTACTTACAGTTGATTTCATATAACTGTCCATTTCCCTATCCAAATCTTCAGCAGTCTTTGTTTGCTTTGAACGGTCGTCTCTCTTGTTGTTATTTCTTGAACGACCCCCACGATCGTTATCACGACTGTCACGACCTCCGCGATCATTATTGCGACTATCTCTACTGTCTCTAGCTCTGTCATTACGTCCTCTGTCGTTACGATTTCCTCTATCATTACGTCTTGAATCGAGGCGGTTATTGTTGAAGCGGCTAGGATAGAAAGTATCAATACACATGTCTGTCTTTGATTTTGTACCAGTAGCTATAATTTTTACCCGCCAGAAACTCGAGGTGGACGAGACGTGAATTCCTTTATTTCAATGCGCATCGCTTGGCCATCGAGTTCAACATTGTTGTATTTTTTCACGGCCTTTTCGGCATCGTCAAGAGAGCTATACTTGATAGTGGCGACACCTGTTGAACGACCAGAGAGATCAAACACGAGTTTGGCGGAAACTACGTCAGCAACGGTAGAGAACAACTCTTCAAGATCCTTTTCAGTGACATTATAATGAAGATTTTCAACATTGATTATTGAACCTCTGTTACTACCGTTAGAAGATCCGCGTCCACCAAGTCTAGAGATGATGGGAGGAATTTCGTCATCAAACATATCATGAGCCCAAGTACTGTTTACATTTCTGCTGCCTCTCTAAATGTATATATAATTAAACACGGAGGTCCTTTTTTTCAGTTATTGGTCACTGCTTACGCTATCGCTTTGAACATTAACAGTGCGAACAAAAGACTTGATTGTATCAGAAGGACCTAATCTTTTACGAATAACATTGTCGCTATCGACTTGACGTCTACGAGTAAAGTCGCCTCCATTTCTGTTGCCTCTGTTGTTATTTCTTCTTTCACCACCAGATCTCTCACTTCTTCTGTCCTTGATAACTTCATCAAGTGCTTGATCGAGTCTAGAAGCCATGTTTTTTTATTTACTTATTTTAAAAATAAAAGGAAGGGGGAAAAATATACAGTGAAATAAAAATCTCACGAAGAGTTTAATATGTGACTTCATAAATGTCTGCCAGACCATCGCCAATAAGTCTCATAAATGAAATTCCTTCTGCATCACCAACCAATGCCATAATGAAAGTAGGTCCTCGTTCTTTAAGCTCTGTGTTTTTCAATGATTGATAATTGGTGTTGGATATGTTTGTAAGTTGAGCAAACAATTGGTTTTGTTCGTGTAATGAGGGCATTGGATCACGTATACTGTTAGTTATGTCAGTATAAATCCCAAGCATTCATGTTGTATGCTTACTTGTTGACAATGATTTGGAAATCAGGTAAACCTGGTTCTTTCTTTCTCCACGAGGCCCTTGGTTTATACACGTCCCAATCAAAGTTTCTACATAGACTATTGTAAAAGGGTTTATACCAAGGGGACGAAGGGATTATTTGAAGAGTTGAATATATTTTTCCTTATTTTTCATGCAGTATCAGTGACATATTTTCCTAATTTATCTTGGTTGTACTTACGATAGTTGGTGTATTTATAGTTCCACACTAGTGGTAACATACTGTCTTTGTAGATCCAATGTGTCAGTTTTTGAACAAGTAAGTCCCATATGCTGCAATTGTCATTTATGAATTTTGTTTCTACATTTAACAATGCCAAATTTGTGGGCTTTGACCTCATTACAATATACCCCAATCTTTTTAGATAAGCATACACTTGGTACTTGTCAAATGATATCCAGCCATCTGACTCTTCACAAAGAATTTCACAGAAATCCCTAAAACTTAAAGGCTGATCATTTTCATCGGTTACTATAAGAGCGTCCCTGGAAACGAGAAAAGCAGCTTCTTCGGGAAACAAGGTAACCACGCCTTTTTGAGAGAAGCCCATAGTTCGCAAATGGGTACCCTTGTTTACGCTTATACTAGTGTAGGCATCTTTTTTTAAAATACCTTTACTGCATTGCTTTGGGATCTTTGGTGGAACTGAAATGCATTCGAATAAAGCATTACGTGCTCTTTCAACAGAGCTATCTTGCACTTGGGTAGCTTTAAGACCACGTTTGGGTGCTTTGTTACTAGACTTTCCATAAGAAAACAATAAATAAAAAAAGGACGCTTTGTTGTTCATTACCCTTTTTTATTGGTTAGACGGGAATAGTCGATCATTTCTTCTTCCTCATCTTCATAGTCGCTCATGGCTGTATTGAACAAAGAACGAAAGAAAGAAAAAAAAAAATATCGCGGGCGAACCGGGCATTGAATAAAAGAATATCAAGTTTTTGATTGCAACTTAATTGTTACACTTGTAATATTATATGGTAACGATAAGTAGAGACAGCATCTCTTAACGTGTCGATCCTGTCCCAGAGTGCTCTTAATCGTGGTGACAGCTAATGCAATCAGTTTATCAAGTGATAGTTGATTTTTACACAGCAAAAGTTAGTCCAGCCAATGAATGGAACCCCCCCTATAAATTTAAAGTTAAAAAGTAAACGTCCCCAAATTTAATTCTTTTTTTAGGTTGATTCTTTCTTTTTGCTCTGTTTCAGCTTATATCCAACATTCCATACTTTTTTATTGTTTAAATTTTAAGCTATAAGAGTATCATTAGAGCAGCAACAACAAAAAAATAGACCCGCAACCGTACAAAAAATAGAAAATGGGAACCCCAGATGAATGGTTAGATACTGTTCGTAAATGTGAATATTTGCCTGAGCAAGACATCAAAAAATTATGCGAGATGGTAAGTTTACAAAGAGACATCTCTATAAAAAGGTTGTGAAAGCATTTGTTAAATGAAAAATAATAGGTCAAAGAGTTATTAATGGAAGAATCCAACATTCAACCAGTTCAATCGCCTGTTACTGTCTGTGGTGATATTCACGGTAAATTAGTCTCCTATTGTTTATATACACCTAATCTCCCCTTTTTTAATCCTTAATTTTGTTTGCTAGGCCAGTTTTATGATCTGTTGGAGTTATTTAACGTTGGTGGTGATGTGAAGGATACAAACTACATTTTTATGGTATAAAAAAAACATCATTTGATGCAACATTGTTGTTCATTTCTTCTTACAGGGTGATTATGTGGATCGTGGCTATTTTAGTTTAGAAACCTTTACACTTTTGATGGTCTTGAAAGCAAAGTAAGTTGTAAACTAATTGATATCAAGACAATAGAAGTTTAATTTATTTATTACTATTAGGTACCCAGATAAAATTACATTGTTAAGAGGAAACCATGAGAGTAGACAAATTACCCAAGTATACGGCTTTTATGGTAGTTTATAGGGAAATTTGATACATTTGTTCTTTACTAAATATGTTAATCTGTAGACGAATGTCAAACGAAATATGGAAATGCAAACGTATGGAAGTATTGTTGCTCGGTGTTTGATTATTTAACCTTGGCTGCTGTAAGTGGTAACGAAAAAGGCTCATTAGTACATTAAAAAATTAAAAAACCAGGGCTTATTAGATTATTGATGGAACGATCTTATGTGTTCATGGTGGATTATCTCCTGATATTAAAGCGCTCGATCAAATGAGAACTATCCATCGTTTACAGGAAATCCCTCACGAAGGGTCCTTTTGTGATTTAATGTGGTCTGATCCTGATGATATAGATACTTGGGCAGTTAGTCCTAGAGGAGCTGGTTGGTTATTTGGTGGTAAAGTGACAAGTGAAGTAAGTAGGAAAAAAAAAGTGGGGGGATAAAACTATGATGTACTGATCAAGGATATACGTTTAGTTTAATCATATCAATGGATTATCTTTAATTGCAAGAGCTCATCAATTGGTGCAAGAAGGATATAAATACATGTTTCCTAATGATGAGTTGGTTACTGTCTGGTCAGCACCTAACTATTGTTACCGTTGTGGTAATGTTGCTTCTATTATGGAAGTACGTGATAACGAAACAAAGTTTAAAATTTTTGATGCCGTACCTGATCAAGATCGTTTTGCTCCTTTCTCTGTAAGAAACGGTATGGCCGGAGGTGGATCTAAGATGGGTGGCACTGGAGGCCAATATTTTGTATAGTTTTTCTTTTTCTTTTCCCCTCTCCCTCTCTTCTTTAATATTAATAATACAATGTCCATTCTTTTATGATTATACATTTTTAAGGATCGCCGACTTACACAAGGAAATAATATAGCGTGCATAAGATAGTGGCTTTATATTTACTAAAAATCCTATCAATGATTAAATCACGATTTACAACTTTTCTCATTTATCAGAGGGTGCCTGATTTCATGTTACCTCCAAGCAAAGAATGGTGGTTTCACTAAATTGGATAGATAGTAATTAATTTTTTTATTTTTTTTTTAATGCACACGTATGTATACCAATGAAATAATCAAAGGAGATTCTTAACTGTTTACTATCACATGAGAACTGGGTGGCGTTTGGGCTATCTTTGTGACTCTATTCACAAACCTGTTTAAATTTGCTTGGTTTGTTACCTAAAGCCCTTAATTTTTTTTTATTCCTTTACACAATAATGAAAAGCCAAGTCAATCTCATTGTGGTAATATACCCGGCCTTCTTTTTTTCTTTTCTTTTTCTGCGACTCTTTACTGATACTCCTTACTGTTAGAACTCACTCAAAGACGAATTGACATGTGGCAAGTACACCTATCCTCACTTATGCTTTAACAACTAATCGCCTTATATCATAGCACTATGTCAAGACGTCTTTGAAAAACCTCAGGCTTTATTACCATGCTTACACACATTTTGTCTCGAATGTGTGAGCTCCATTCCCAGGTATGAGAACTAAAACTTTTTTTTTTCCGTTTTTGTATTTTATTATTCACATGGTTTAGAGAGAACGAATATTTTTCATGCCCTGTTTGTAGGGCAACAGTCAATCGTTATACCACGAACTATGCGTTGCAGAATATTATCGATATTTTTAAAAAAGCTGAAGACTACAGTCTCGAAGAATTGTTGGATCGTAGCACAAGTTCCACACCTACAAGGACCATCGAAAGTTTAAACGTAAGATAAAAAAGGGATGATCGTCATCGTGTTTTAAAAGTTTTTTTGTTAGATTGATGGGCCTTCTGGTGAATCTTCATCATCCTCATCACCAGCCGAGTAAGATAATTTTCTGACTTTTTTTTTTTTTTTTTTTTGTATTTTTATGCTAAATACATTGCCTTGCAGAATCACAAATACCAAAAAGTCATGCCGCTCTTGCCGCCCAATAAACGGAACAGGTTATATTTGTGATGTCCCTATAACAGATACCGTACAAAATGGTTTCGGGCACATTTTTTGTGGGTATTGTTCCGAATATTTGCCTGCTAGAGGTCCTGGAGGAAATGAACCGGCGTTGAATCAGTGTTGTAAGCGGACCCCTTATTTTATTCTCAGTTTCAATTTTTCTTAATACTTCTTATTAGGTAGTTTTTGTGGAGTCGTAGCTTGTGATAAATATTGGGTGTGTAAAAACAAAGGAAAAGAAGCAAAACTATACATACTTAGTGGTAAGTAACACTGATTTATGTGATAAAATGAGCATGCATTGACAGTATCTGATTGTTTAGAGATATCGGCGGTAGAGGAATATATAAAAGACGTGGAAGTGATCGATACATTGGCAGACGGACATTTGAACCATTCAGAAATTCGATTGCTTAAAGACTATCTAGATAGAAGCCGACTTACATGGAACGAAGCATGGGCAACATGTTTATCGGACTTTAATGATAATCACTACACAACAGGTATTAATCCTAATTTTTTATTGAAGAAATGTGGACTAACATTACATATATATATATATAGCTATTGCAAGAAGATTAACCCCATTAGCTCAACAGTTATATAATACACGTCGTCTTGTAAATTTCGGTGATTCTAGTACTGCAATAGATGTTGATGAGGAAGATGAATATTATGATCGAATGGGAGAGGATGGCATTTTACCCTCAGAACATTTGCACGCATGTTACGGGTGCGCTGTCACAGTAGTTAATGGGCAATTTTATGGATTCTGGAAAGAAGTAGTCGAAAATGGTTTGCAAAGAGGTACAATAATTATTATATATTTCTGAGATTATTAAGCTAAAAAATGGATGTAGATTTACGAGAAAAGTGTCCACACGGAACTCTTTGTGAATCACAATGGAGAACCGAAGGTGTGCAAAACGAGATTGCATATTCTTTTAATATTAACCATTTGCTTTATAGGCCACGCAGAAAGATTATCTCATATCGAGACAGAAGGTATAGAATATATTCCCAAACAATTACCGTAGAAGTAATAATTTGATTAGGAACAGGATTGACAGTCTATCGAAATTCCAGCGAATTTTATGAAATTTACGATGAATTCAACGATTAAAAGTGTAATAAACCTTTTATTGAATTTATAATTCATCTCTCGTAATTTCTTTCTTTTCCTTTAATAATTTGGAAGGTTGGATAGGTTTATAATTGCCACTCCATTTTTCAAAGTTAAGGTCCATCATGCGAGCCTCGAGTTCTTTCAAATAAGGCAATTCCAATTCATAGTTATCCACAGAGATGAAAGAGATGAATGTATTGAGAGGTGAGTCATTCAAATTACAGCCTGAGCGACTGACCAAAGCATCTTCAATGAAAGAGGGGTTGGCGATCCTTTGATTTAATTCTCTATGGGAAAATGTTAGTATACGCTAATAAGATATAACATATATTATAAACATGCACTTACGCCGAGCATGAATCTGAAACATAGGCCTCCAAACCAATACCACCAGCAGGCACTCTGCATAACTGACCTAAAGTTTTTTTGAAATCGGCCAAGCTTTCCACTTTATTGCCCTTGTGAATTGATCTCCAAAAGGCAGGCGAAAAGTAAGATGTCTTGTAGTTGGGGGTTGAGACAATGCTGTCAGCAATACTTATATGTAACTTAGTGCGAACACCAACAACCTCACCATCACCGACCCATTGGGACATTTCAGGATCATAATTGACAACCTTGCCTAAAGAGGGCCAGCGGTTCTTTCCGGCAACGAAAACTTCCACAAATGGACACTATGTCATATTTTTAAGAAACGTAACCAATGCTCCTATCTGTTTTGTGTACCTCTTTTTTAACAAATTCACTTGTTCCTGGAGTCAATTCTGTGTGCACCTTACATCTTTCGTCAATCAAATCTTCCAAATCCTTTGTCTCGACAGCTTGGTCTACATTCTCGGACTTGAGGTTTAAAATAAGAATTTGTTCAACGTTATCCCTTGAGAAAGTGAAAATAGATTCGAGGACATCGGTAAAGTAAAGACTTGAAGGTGTGGAGTCGAATTCTGAACAAATCACAACCTTTCCTCGACTGATTTTTTACCATAGAAGTATATAAGCGTTATTTAGAATATTGTTACAGTCATATAATGTTTTACTCACTCTTTGCACAAGTTGATATCCAAGTAACGAATACCATCCTCGAGCATTTGAGAAATATCTCGTGTCTGACTGCCCTGACAGGGTTTATCAAAGACATGCGATCCAGCATTATGAGCACCAAGATAAAAGGCTTGATTGAGTGGCAGTTTTCTGAATTCTGGGTAGCCGTTGCAGGGTAAAGGTCCGTCTGTTATTTCGGTAAATCCCATCTCGACGCTATAAAATTGTGTTCAGTGAGGCAACTTTTGTCATTGCTAAAAAAAATTACTTTACTCGTCATCTTCTACCATTTCAACACTAAAGTCATCGTAGAACTGGGCTGACACGCCACCTAAAATTAAACCTGCAAATAATAAAGGGGACAAAAGTTTCATTTTTATGTTTAAAAAGTGAAAGGTGAAAAAAAAAAGGCGAAAATACAACTGAACTTTACCGCGGACTTGAAAAAAGAATGCAACTGTGTCTGCTTGTCCTCAATTTACAGTTCTCGGCACTTTTGGGCGAACCGACGACTGTGTTTTAGTTGAAGATTGCCTCAATGCTCATATATCAAAAAATAGTTCTCACTTGTATAGTTAAATTCTCTGATTGGCTTGTCCAAAGGTGAGATCGAGCACGCTCGAGTTTTAAATCACGAAATGTGTGTGGAAGCCTTTATTAGACCCTTAGGATTGGGTTATAGATCAAGAAGAAATTATGAGGGGGCTCTAGTTTCCATTTACGAAATTAATTTTCAGCATAAATGTAGCTTACACTAGGGCTATATAGTTGATTATAAAAAATGAATTTTTTATTTATACAGTAAATGCAGACGAGCTTTAACTAGAGCACAGTCGATAGTCGCCCGATAGTTTTGGCCTTCGTTCTAGACACTAGACAACAGGAGCTTAATTTCTAAAATCTCTTTAGTGAGCTCAAATTGTACTTTGCCAAATCAATAATTTAAAAAGTCAGGGTTAATTTTACGTATCTCATCGATAATGAGAGAGGTAACAGCATCAGATCAATTTGAAAAGCATATTAGTCGTAGTGTTATATAGAAAAATGGAACCCTTTTCTTGCCCAGACAGCTTCAGATGATTATTAAGGTATCTTTGTTAATAACCATCTCGTTATGCAGTTTCCTATCGATACCAGAAGCGCTTAAATTCGTAAGGAGTGGCCATTACGCGTCTTAATGTATTTAACTAATTTTCGCACATACAGTGTGACATTGACTGTTTAAAGAATAATAGTGAGCGATACATTATTTAATATACTATGCCTGTAAGACAATAATTTTAATCAAAAATAAAATGTATTATAAGACTATCTCCTCATAGTAACAATCAATCTATTGTAAATGTGGAATAAATACAAATCACCGACTCAACAAACAAGAACAAATAAAAATATATATGCAAGAGTAAACTAAGCATTTAAGAAAGAACCATCTTAAATTTGATTGGAATTATTGTCTTACATACATCGGATAATATATTGTGAGTTATGTATGGCCCATTCTGATCAAGTATTTTATCGCACTCTATTCTCACCACCATTTTATCTCTTTACGTTTCAGTGACAAATACCACAATTTTTTGAGCAAGAACCGTCGAGAATCTGCTGCCTCTCAAATCCCCATTGGGACCCCAAACCAAATGGACTCTCAAGGACAAGAACCCTTTGCTATGGATTTCTCTAAGTACACCCTCCAAGTAGAGGAAAGTCAAGTCGCTTCTGCTCCCTCTGGTCCTGACGTTACATCAATCCAGAAAGGGAATGTTGGTTCTGTTAATGGAAATATTGAGCGCGACGTTGAAAACAAATTTCCTCGTCAATTAATTGGAATCACCAATAATGTTTCTATTTTAGATGACGCCATGTTCGTGACCAGATTATAAAGTATTGCAAGGAATCTGCGTACTTTGACAGATTTCTCCTGTCAAACAAGACTGGGTTTACCAAAAGAGGTAAGGAAATCGTAGAAGGTGTCATTCTGTCCATCCTGAACAACAAGAAGGTCAAGGTCAAGAATGATGCCACCCCCCCCCGACGTGATTCGGTTCAAGAGGACTGAGAAAAGAGTTAATGAGAGAAGAAGTAGAGTAAGTGATACTTTTAAAATAAATAATATAAAAAAAAATTGCTAAAGAGTACCTTTTTCTTGTTAGAAACTCGCTCGTAGATTGGCCATCTACAAAAGCCATCCCGAGGAAACACCTGCTTTTGCAACGGCTGCCGAATGTTTCAAGGTTCTGGTAGCCGATTGCCAGTCGGACGAAGAGGACGTTCCCGGCAATAAGACATTGCTGGATCGACAGGTGCCAGCTTGGAGATCTAAGTCTGTATGTTGTTACACGGCACTTTTTGTCGTTTTGACTTAAGATTTTTTATTTTTGTTGACTGCTTTTTGAACCTTTTTCTATAAAAGGTTCCCAAAAATTCATAATAAAATAATTAGTTTGTTCTTTACTTTAATACTTTAAGTCTTTGTGATTTTGTATTTATTATAATTGCTTGTAATTTCCTTCAGTAAAATCAGCATTGTAGCTATTCCATTACGTATTTCACTATACTCCTTCGAATACCACTCTTATCTGATTTCGTCGTATAAATTACCCTCTTATATAAATATATTTTATCTTTTTCAGTTGACAACTATATAGTCTGGTGCTCACTTTTTAAGAACTTTTATCTTAATCTCTATTTTATTTTCTTCTATTACTTTTACTGAAACTTGCCAGTAACAATGTACAATGCGAATTAATTAAAATGTATCAAAATCGAATCAAACAACTGCATAAAGCACAACTCATGTCTGACGATTTAGAAACCTCACCCAAAAACAACAAATTGATTGCACAACTCAACCTGTCTATCAATGAACTCAAACCAAAAATCAAAAAACAACCGGAAATGGAGAAACCAGCTCTCAACAAAAACAACTTTAAAAAATTCGACATACCCAACTTTCAGCTCATCAATGACCCTGCATCCACCAAATCGGATCACTACCCATCGTATGAAAATGCGGAAGCCTTTCTAGACACATTTAAAACAATTCTCCTGTCAAACGACGTCGACCCAACAACAACATGGAAAAAGTATCTGCCTAATACTTTCATGCTCAACAAAAATGAAAAACACCGACGTTGGTATACGAATTACATTAATCCTATCAGTCAACATGTTTCTTGGGATGGAGCAAATAAGAAAAAGAAAATATGTATATACCACCTGAGCTATACTATATATAGTAATTTCTCTTATATACCACCTGCCGGATTGTACCCGGACAATCGATGCCCGGCAGGTGGTAGATAGCCCATTATACGTGTTGATATGGATTAATAAAACGGCACTTTTTAGGCTCATAAATTCAATTACCACCTGTCTGTTATGTGAAGTCTGGCAGGTGTTAAACAGGCAGAACCCTCCTACCACCATTTCTTTACAAGATCAACAGTGCTCTGTCTAGTAACGTATTTTCCTTCATACTTTCCGTAGACAAGAAATGGCCGTGCAAGTGTTCTCGGTTAACCTTATCAGATTGGTCTACTGCTTGTACCCGTAAAAGCTTTCGATGCTTGAATCTTAGTTGGATTGGATATTTATTCTTACAGCTTGATCGTTTGTTCTCTTTTTCCTCAACGATTTCAATAGTAGTCGTACGAGCATTTCCATGCTTATAGCGAAAAACTAAGTATGTTAATTCACTTTTATCGACATCTAAAGCAAAGATGTTTTTGAAAGCCTATATTTAAAGTACTGTTTAATCTGTGTTGACTGCCGAAAGGCCTCATTTATAGCATTTAAAAGAGATGATATCCAAATTATTTTGAAGTAAAGTAAAGTGAAGCATAATAAAGTATTACTGTGTTCCTACTATTATCTATTTACGTTAACCGTAAGTCAAAAAAAATAACTTTATGAGCCTAAAAAATGCCGTTTTATTAATCCATATCAACACGTATAATGGGCTATCTACCACCTGCCGGGCATCGATTGTCCGGGTACAATCCGGCAGGTGGTATATAAGAGAAATTACTATATATAGTATAGCTCAGGTGGTATATACAGGTTCTTCCAACATAAATCATCAAATTAAAGATTCAGTTGTATATTACTACTCCTTCGAATTCTGCATTGAACTGATTTCGTCGCTAAAGTTATCCAAAGCTATAACCTTTTATTATTATTTCTAAATAAGTTGACTACTTTCACAGTCTGGTGCTCACTATAAACACATCTGTTATTTTTTCTTTTATTCCTTATTTTAAATTTCATACCAAATACCTTACAACAATGCTAAGAAATTTATCAAGTCACTATTACCAAAGGCAACTCACTGAAGAATCAAAAAGCGGATATAGAATCATATCTACTCGATCCACTTAAGAATAAATAAGCAAATCTTTCAAATAAAATTATGAAATAAAAAAACCTACCTCCGATGTTGTATATCAGTATACACATGTATAGTACTATACAGCTTCTCCTGCTAAGAGGGAATACTTCTGTATTAAAGATTGAATGATTAGCTTAAATATATATATATATGTATATGTATATGACAGATGGATATATAATCTAATCACTGCTGAATTTATACCTGGATTGGAAGAAAGATAAATTAAATATTGATGGTTTTCTCAATGGAGAAGCAACTCATAGAGAGAATAAAACAGCTACTAGTATAAATGGCTCATTTACGTATATATTGATATAATCATAAACGCTCCCGCGTGTGATCTTTAAACGCGTTTAAAGTGGAAGCGCTTATAATTATATCAATATATAAATAAATGAGCCATTTATACTATCATGCTTGCAGTTGTAAATAAGCCGACCGATTTGAGGATGAGAGTCTTTGAATGAAGAAACTGCGCTATACTTTTATCTAAGTTCTGATCGCAGCCTCAAGCTCTTTTCTTTATTCAAGGAACTTACGTACATAAATATCATATTATAATTTAATTCCAATTACTGTGTATAATGAATTTATAGCAAAGCAGCCATCCACTTTCGAATCGTCTATGTAACAAACTCTTACCGAGATTCGAAATTAGGTCATCAAAAACATCCCAGCCAATGATATTCTTTGCATGTGATAGTCACGTGACATATTTTAACCATAGTTTAAAGAATATTATTAAACAATATTTGTCAAACTGCATGAAAGACGGCTTGTCCGAGTGGTCTATGGAGTTGGTCTCGAAAGCCAATGTACTTTGTACGCGCAGGTTCAAATCCTGCAGCCGTCGTCTTTTTTAAAAAAATCCTCTGTCGGACTTTAAATTCAAAAAAATGTTTAATGCGTCAAATGTGCTTATGTAAAATTAAATATAGTAAATGAAAGAAGAAGGTCTTTATTGAATTATAGTTTTGTGAAATGGTTATATCTGACAAATAATACGAATGGTGCCTACAAGGTCGAACCTGTTTAAAATAGTTACCATCGGTATGGATTTTCATATTTTTTTTTTTTTACCAATTTACCTGTTTTTTTAGAGCGACAAAACGGCGGCAACGGTTTATCGTCAGATGATACTAGTTTTAATAATCCAATTAAGCCAATGTTCTTTGCCCCGTTCGCATCGCGATTTACGGTAGTATGCCGTTGCAATCTTGCAGGGCACTTTGTATTATAGCAAACTAGTACCCATTGAATTCTTTTGAACATGTTATCTCGACGATGGCACTGGAGACGCATTTTTTTGAAGCATGAATTACAGTAGATGGTCGAGCCATATTCATCGACTGTCAAAGGCATATCATTTTCGACTGCCTTTAATCGGGAGATCATTGGTTTCAAGCTTGAGCGAATGATGCCTTTGATTTTAGTAGCATCTCCTCCCCAATTGACGGTAGTCTTATTCTTGACTTGCTTTCGCTGATTAGATATCATTTTCTTTAAGACAATGTCGGATCGTATTTTTCTTGTCAGAAGATCTCTTTGTAACTGCTTTGGGTGTGTGGTAATCCCTTTCTTTGTACTGGATTCTGGTTTGTGTCTATGGTTTTTGTACAAGGATGATCCGTGTAGAAAAGTTGGTGTAATATCCAACGCACTTGCTTTATAGTCGTCTTCTAAAGCTACATTCTCTGCTTCAATTAAACCATTCAAAACGCTGTATCTATTGATTGAAATAACATTTGACTTGGCAGAGGTGCAATTAGCCAGAGCTGCGCTATTTATACCTGGATCAATTCCGTTGATAGCAAGTCTGTTTGATTCCAACGCGTCTTTGAGACTTAATTTGGATACAACATCTTCTAAGTCTGAACTTATGTTCATTGTATCGCCTCTTTTGTTATATACTAACTTGTTAAGCTCATACAATTGTGCGCTGTTCTATCGAATTGCCGCTTCAAGGTCAACGACTTCTTTGTATGTGCTATTAAATTCAGTTCCTGCCTTTTTGAGCTCCTGGTAGAGCATTGTGTTCCATCCGTTCTTTTTTTCTTCTTTTCTAAAGGTGCTGGTCTCTTGGAGCCCCTTGATTTCAAGTACTTTTAACATAGAAGAAAGATTCTTAAGCTTTGCTTTATCAGCTTTAATCTGAATTTGAGTAGTTCCTAACGTGTTTTGTGACATTTCTGAGCATTCATATCATCTGATAGTTTTTTTTGCGTCCTCTTGTTCTTGAGTGGTAGCTTCATTGTGACTTACTTTTCTCGACGCTACGTTTGAGAGTAATTGTTTGACTGTTCACAAATCTCTTGCCCAAGAAAGAAATGTTGTGTATGTTAACATAATCAAAACTCCACACTGGATTAAGGTTTTGTTGTTTAAACCTCTTTAGCAAGTAGTCTACATTGAAAAGTTCCTTTTCATTGGGTCTTGTACTTGCGTACAAAACAATGATATTTCGCAACTTCTTCATTTGTATACAATTCGACAAAATAGAATTCTCTCCTCTTTTTAAACATATCGGACGTAAAGAGTTGACTAGCTTGGAGCAGATAATATATGCACTGTCAGGCATATCCTGCTTATCCGCATACATAAGGCTGTTTCTTGAAGTACTCCGGCGTCACAGCATAACTAATTTTGTCTGAGCAAGCCAACATTTATATTACAGCAGCTCATGCCCTAATAGTGCTGCTATTTAGGTCGCTAGTATCGGAGTCTTTCGTATTGTGTAAAGGTTAGAACTATATATCCAAGACCACGCCTAACTACCCAGGACACTCACCTTTAGATAGAGGATCGGATCCATCTTCGATTATTGAATCAGTATTATCAGCTGGGAATACCAAGGATTCAGAAACTGATAAGTGTTTGGGTAAAGGCTCACTAATCATGGTATCTATCGAACGAACCCTACTATTAAAAACCAGATAGATAATTTTATGTGTTCATAAATTACCTTTTGAATTAAAAACGTAGTTTACGAGTTTTGACAAGAAATGCATACTCCCTTTTGATCTCTTTAAAACCTCGGACTCAATACACTTTAGCATTCTCTTTTTCTGTAGATTGTTACTCTTGATCTTGGTATTTGACTCCTTAACATCCTTTGGCTTTTCTAAATTTGATTTTCTTAACCTGGTTTTAGCAAAATGGATGCGTAAAATGGTGTTGATGACGGTTTTTAAATCCTTTTTAAAAAGATCAACTGTCCACATATTCTTATATGAAGTATTTACTTTTTCTTAAGGCAGATCCAGTCAAAGTAGAGGTTTTATAACCTATTTTTTGCCTTGTCCATATTATGAACTAAAAAATTAATTATACTAGAAAAGATTTTAACAAATATAGCATTAAAAGTAGTAAAAAGTTCATAAGGAACTTACGGTGATTTTCTTCTTTCTTTTTTCTTGTCGCCGATGCAAGAAGACATTATCTGGTGAAGGAAGTGTGTCGAAAAGGTGTTTTCCGATTTAATTAGCTGATGCACCGCCTCTTTTATTATGGCAATTTGGTCAGAAGCGGATTCTCCCAGTTCGTTTCCTAACCTTAAGGAAGAATAATAATAATAAAAAAAAAATACTAGCGTCATCCGATTCTAAGCATAAACTAAAACTTCCGGTCAGCAAGGAGCTATTGTCAGAATCTCTAAAACATGTTGTATACTAGCTATAAGGTCGTGAACTTTGATTTGTTTTTCTTGAACGGTGTTTTTGAAAAACTTATAGTCGACTGATGGTAACAGAGCCTTTTTCAAGTTCATGGTACAGGTACGATATTTTTCAGTTACATTTTCTTCAACCAAAGAAAATGAGTCGTTTTCATCAGCGTCAGATTGATTTTCATCATCATCTTCTGGTTCAAGAGCACTAGATCCATTGACCTCGGAAGAGACACCAAGAGGTCAATATAACTTAATAACTTGAAATAGATACAAATTTATCAGTACCCACATAATGTAAACTAGTATATGTGTGTTAGAACTTACTTTCAGCTACTCGTTTTGGACTTTACCTTAATATTTCTGCGTACAATTAAGATCAAACGAGCTTAAAGGCGAAGGGGTAATGGCAGACCTGTCAAACCAAGTACAAATTATTCAATATACATTTTTTCGTAGTTATCATATTGTTTTTGATTATATTTTCTTGTTTCCAAGTCTAAAGGATAGCCAAATCACAGATCGCACGTTGTGACTACGTGCACTTTGACTGCCCCCAAGGAAAAAATGGCTGTCCCTAAGAAAAGCGAAATTTGTTTGTTACGTTTTGGATAATGATTTCGTCAGAGATTACATTAAGCTTATTTGGCCTTACAGCATTTTTCCCTTTCTCCCTAGATTCTTTTCTTTTGGCAACATATTTTGGCATCACAATATGGGTCGATGGTTGGATTTTTTTTTAGAGATGACTAATCTATCAATGGGCTTTGGATGATTTGAAAGAACCAATGGAAACCAACCCGTTTTTTGAGGCAGAAAAGAATCAGCGTGACGCAAAATGATTAACAAAGGCATTGGAACCTTGATAGTTACATTTAGCTGTAATACTGATGGGTCCGTATAACGGTTTTATGACTACTGGAGAGCAACGAGTAGAAAACGCTGCAAATCCGCAGTAACATGTTTAGTTGCAGTTATTGTCAGATTTTGAAACTACTAAATTGTGATTTCTAAAAAAAAGCAACGTTATTTACGACAGTTTTCCTTAAACCCACGCAGCTTGTAATTATTGTTGTAATAAGAGAGTGCGTTTCCTGTGCATTTATAGAATTAAATTTGGGTGTCGTATTCTGCAAACTCCCATTCAGACCGTAAGTTTTGCTCAACCGAATAAAAATTCAGCCACTTTGAGGGTCTTAACTCCATTTTCAACTTTTTGGAGGAAATTCCAGGTATGTCTTCCTCATCACTTTCTTTCTCCGGTGGTCTTTTCAAATGACTGTTTAAGCTTTCGTTTCGGTTCATTTCAACAAATATCTCTACAAAAAAAAAAAAAAAAAAAAAAAAAGAGCAGATGTGATAAGCAGCAAATACATGTAAATATGTCATTAAAGACATTAATGTACTTACAGTATGTGTGTTTACGAAGATATTACTGATCTCTTAAAGCTTCCTTACAAAAAAACGAAAAAAGAGGATAGAGGATTGGAATAAAGGAAGTAGAGTTAGAAAAAAATAGTAGAAATCACAAATCTAGATAAATACAGGATCATGTCTGATAAATGCGCACATGCATTAGCTTAATTGTTGTTACACATGAAAGGACCATTCCCCTTCTTTTCTGATAAATCAATGTTCTTCACCCAATTTCGGGATTTGTCTTCGTAATTAATATCAATTGTATCCCCTCCACTATTTGGTTACTTCAATATGTCTTTTGCGATTTTATAATCATAACAAAAACCTGCTGAAGAATATCCTTTCTGATATTTGATTTTATTTTAATCGTCTGATCTAATATCGTATCATCTAAACATCGCTCTTAAAATGTTCCTTTATAAAATAAATAACTCAAGTAGACTATTATAATTCCAGTGCTCACTATCAGAAGTGTTATATAATAACTGTCGATCTTATATTCTCATCTTGTTGGTAAGACTATAATATAAATCTCTTATTGCCTTACTTCTCTTATATAAATTAACCTCTCTTAAGTCATTTTAAGAGACCCAATTTATCCCAAAAGTTATATACTTCGCTCCTCATTCTAAACACTATCTGATCGCAGCTAACAGCGTGGTACTCACTATAATTACCCTTTTAATCACTCTCAACTTTACACCGCTAATAGATTGATTGGCCCGATTGTTCAGTTACCATTGCACAGCATTTTTCTGACAGTTTGTGACGATATTTGTGACCGGCTTTCCCTTTTTTTTTTACGCTCATCTCGTTCGGCCTTTTTTCAACAAGAATTTTTTTTTTCTCTGTAGACTTTTTTTGTTTTCTTCATTATAAACTAGATCAAAATGGCCGTTGCAAACTCCAAGAAAAATACCAAGGCACCCAAGACAAGCAAGGTTGCTGCCACCAAGAAGACAGTCAGCAAGAAGGTTGCCGCACCTTCCGATGATGCCGAAGAGTCTGGATCCAAGAGAAAGCGTGTTACCTTTTCCCAAAAGTTGACTGAATCCGAACCCAAAACTAAGAAGGTCGCTGTCAGCAAGAAGAAGGTCGCTGTTACTGTGACTGAAGATGCTGTGGAAGAGAAAGAGGAAGAGGAAACTATTGTCGAAGATGTCGAAGAGGATCTCACTGAAGAACAAGAGGAAGCTTTGAGAAGAGAGATCTTGGGTGACATTGCTAGTAGTGAAGGAGAAGATTCCTCTGACGATGAGGCTGCTGATATTGATAACAATGCCAATGTTGTTGCTTTAGATGCTGGTGAGTTAAAGAAGAGTATGGAAGAGACCAAAAAGACATTCGAAAAGAAGGTCACCAAGCCCAGCAAGGTAAAATATAATTAATAAAAAAGAAGGGGAGGAGAGAGGGTATAAATTAACGCATTCTATTAAAAAATAATAGGCCCCCAAGGTTGAAGAAAAGGGTGTTATTTTCCTTGGTCGTATTCCTCACGGTTTCTACGAAAAGGAAATGAAGGGATATTTCAGTCAATTTGGTGATATCACCCGACTCCGTCTTTCACGTAACAAGAAGACTGGTAATTCCAAGCATTATGCTTTTATTGAATTCGAATCTGAGGATGTTGCTCAAATTGTGACTGAAACTATGGATAACTACCTTTTATTCGGCAAACTCCTCCAATGTAAATTGATTCCCTCTTCAAAGGTCCATGAGAACTTATTTGTTGGTGCCGATAAGGTCTTCAAGCCCGTGAACACTGCTCTCATGAACCGTCAATGCATCAACAAGCCTAAGACTGCTGAAGCTTTAGCTGCTAAATGTGCCAAGCTCATCAGTAACGAAGCTTCCATGCGTAAAAAGTTAGTGGATGCTGGTATTGATTATGATTTCCCCGGTTATAACAAATCTGCCTAAATTTATGTGTGTCTCCTCCCCTATTTTAAAAAAACCGTTGTTCTATATTTGCTCTGTCATCCATGTCATAATTTTTACTTGTAATTTCCATATTTTTTTTTTTTCTTTCTTCTCTCTATTATTTTATATCTCCACTTGCACACACATGAAAATAAAAAAAGATAAAACAGTTAAATATACATTCATGATTTCATCTCCGGCATTGTAAGGTATGGGAAAAGGGGAGAAAGTTTATTTATTTAATTATACAATGTCACGTAGATGGTAAGTAGTTAAAAAAAAAGAGAGCACAAAGAGTATATAAGCGGTATTAATCTCTCTTGTCCCATGTTTTCTTGTCTCCATCTTCGGGAAATTTCCTCTGTTTAATGGCAGGAGCAGGAGCAGCAGCAGCGGGATTCGTATGATAATGCAGGTAACAATTGTCCAGGCCTGGATTTCCAGGAGCGACTTGCTGGTGTTCGGCTTCGACCAAATACTGTTTCAACATTTTCTGGGCCATGATTTTACCTCGAAGTCTATCACATGTTGTTTTAAGGTGTCCATTTTCATGCTGAACGTGATCTAGTTGACGTAGCAACAACTCGTTTTCTTTGGTCAATGAAGCAATCATGGACCTCATCTCTCCGTGTTGCTGATTCTTTTTGGCTCGGTATTTAGCAGATGCAGTCTTGTTGCGTAGTCTTCTTTCATGCAGTGACAAGGGAGCGGGCCCACCTCCCTCTGTTCCTCCTGTAGTGCTACCATCTTCAGAGCTTGGTTCTTGCACGCATTGATGATAGGGATAGTAAGATGACGGACCTGAGGACAAAGAATGACCAGGTTTGTGTGAGCTCGGGAATGAAGAGGTGGAAGATGTTGCGGAGTAATTTGAAAATGAACGACAGTGAGGTGACGAAGATCCTGATTTACTGCTTGGAGGGGGAGGAGTTACGATATCAGAGTTACTGCTGGATGATGAAGAAGGTGACTGGCATCTATTTAAATAAGTATCCGATGTATGCACACCAACAGGACTGGTGATGGATGATATAGCCATAGGTTTGGCATGATATTGATCTGAAGATAATGGCAAAAACAAGGACATTTTTTTTTTTAGAAAAAAACAAGAAAAAGAATAGATTAAAAATGGTGATAAAAGCGCCTTCCTTTTATATACTAAAATAAACCTGGTCAAACGCCATTATTCAGTAAGTTTCGTGTGCTATGAGCCACAGTTAAAAGATGATTCCGTATGGAACCGGGTCAAGTCAATTCTGAGGCCAAAAACAAGTTTGAACCCACAAAAAGATTAATACTGAGTTTCTCTCATTTATATAGATGAATTGATAATGGTACCAAAAACTGTCCAAACCCGCTAAAAATAACATGTTTACACTTAAGTTATCTCCCTTAATTATTAGTTTTTTTGTGTCATCCATATTAGGGATTGTATGCATAAACAATTAATTCCAACCACATAACTGTATGACCTGACACATTTTTATCTCCCCAGTTAAGAAACAAGAGCGTTTGATCTAAAGAGAGAAAAAATGTTCAATTAGTAAACAAGAAAAGGGGTGCGTCCTAAAAAAAAAATAAAAAGTAATGTTTTTTCACGGTTTATAATAAAATTCGTCATGCCAGGACATAGACATCATCTTAATCCGAGGATTTTAAGTGTGTTTATTTAACGGTATCATCATCGGGTTATTTTGCATAAATGGATTCTTTAACGGGATCAGGTACGTTGCTTTTGTAAATAAACATCATTTATTCTGTTGCTGTTTTAACCGGGAAAAAACATGTCAAACTGTCTACAGTTGAGAGGGAGGCTCCCCACCCCCTCCATCTTTTACCGTGTTCTTATTCTTTCTGGTCTATTTGAAATTAATGGTTTGAAATATAGGAGTTTATTATATGGTTTGATGTAAGTTTGGGAGAGAGAAAAATGGAAATGGTGAGTGAAATGATGTGCGTGTTAAAAGGTATGATATCTTGTGATGTATACAATTTTTTTTTTTTTTTTTTTTGGTAGTGTGGATGCAAAATGAGATGATTATTAATGGAAAGAGTGAGTGAGTATGTGTGTGAAAGGAAATGAACTAAGCTTCTTCTCCTCCCTCGCCTGCTCCTTCAGCTTCGGTATCATCTGCAGGAGGAGGAGCATCAGCGACTACCGGGTTAGTTTCTTTGGTTTCAGCCCTTTTTTCCAGTTTTTTATTACCTTCATCCTCAGGTTCATCCTTTTCTTCTTCGCTCTTGTCCTTCTCTTCTTCTTCACCCTTGTCTTTTTCTTCTTCTTCACCCTTGTCCTTTTCTTCTTCTTGGTCTTTTTCTTCTTCTTCCTTCTTTTCAACTTCTTCAGCGTCTTCCTCTTCCTTGACGGCTTTTTTAGTGACAGCGGGAGCAGCGGCTACTGGTGCAGCAGCAGGAGCAGCAGCCACAGGAGCTGGAGCAGCTACAGTAGCTGGAATAGCAACGCCACCAGGAACAGCTCCTACAGGGGAAACAGCGCCACCACAAGCGGTGCTACCAGGTGAAGAGCCACATCCATTGTCAATCAAAGCTTGAATAGCAGGAGGAACCGAAGCAGGAGCTACTGGTGCACCAGCAGGTGCTACAGAAGGAGGGAGAGGAGCAGCAAATGCGGGTAAGACTTGAGGCGCAGCAGCAGCTTGGGCGGCCTGGGCAGCTAAAGCGGCTTGTTGAGCCTTGGCAGCCTCCTGAGCCTGAACCATTCGATTAAATTCACTAAGCACACTACCCAATTGCTCACTATTAATTTGTTCTTGAGTTTTTGGGACTGCAGCAGCAGGTGCTACTACTTGACGCTTTTTCATCATGATACGTCTTTCGCTAGAGTTGTTTAAAAAAGAAAAATAATGGATTAACGACTTGATGTGCTGAATGAATTTTTAGATTTATTACCGGTGAAGTTCGGCACCACTGGCAGCGGCGTGTACAGCGGCAACAGCCATGGTGATGGTAAATATGGTGATGGAAATGAATTTCATAGTGGTATCTTTAGTAGATGAATTTGATCACTGTCGAGAATAAATAAATAAATCAAAAAAAGAAGAAGAATTATCTCTGCCCACATCTTTTTTTATTTCTCTTTATATAAAAGAAATGTAATATATGCATCAAGTATTAAAAGATGGTAAAAAAAAGAGCCCTGAAAATGTTCTTGGTCTAAAAAAGCTTGGGTTAAAAAAAAAAGGGAAGGGGAGAAAAGGGGGCTCATATCTTTTTTTATAAGCATAGCAATATTTCATCACATCCCCTTCTTTTTGAGTAAGTAGTTTTTATTAATTATTTCAATACAAATGAAATCAATTTAGTGACAATATACAGTCTAAACACACTTTTTTTTATTTTATTTTTTTTATTTTTATAATTGGTCTGTCGCCAAAAGGAATTACATTATACTTGTTGTCCGTGCTATCAATCACATCCCAGGTCTATTTTTTTTTAATATATTTTTTAAACTTTTTTTTTTTTGATGTGCAAAAAAAAAAAGTCATAGTTACGAACTTTATTTGGACAAATCAAAATATCGGAACTATTTTTTCTCTTTGTTCCAAAAAACCATTATCTTTTTTTTTACTGTGAGTCAACGGGGAGCAAGCTAGGGGAGCTTTCTTCCCATTCCTAAAAGTATAATAGAAGGAACAACTATAAAATTCTCTTTTTTTTAAACGCAGTCTTTTTGGAATGACAAAACCCCTTAGCCTACAACAACGAGTTGTCACTAGTCTTAACCCGTCAAAGAAATCAATAACACTCATATACCTTCCATTCGACCGAACTATTTACATCCGCCTTATTTATATGTAGAATTCTGCATTGCATGAATTCATGACAAGTGTCATAAATCTATTTTCAGTATCATCTTGTGACAAGAACCCTATTCAATCTGTAAAAAAAAAAAAGACGCCACCATCAGATTGAAGGGTGATATATGCATGCCTTTACTTCAGGGAGAATGTGTCAAATCCATGCAAATCCATAGATAATAATTTGGTAAGGACGCACGCCAGTGAGTACCAAGAGAGAATCAATGTAGACTGTTTAACGAGTGAACAGACACTAGCTAGATTGATCTATACTTTAAAGGATACAGTCCTTATCTCACTAAACTCACAACATATCCGTCAATGTCGATCTATTTTTTTTATGGGTGGACTTAAAAGTAAGACAAAGTGAATTATGTACAGGGAGAAGTCGACATGACCCTGTACACATTATACATTTCTACACTTCATTGAGGCAGGCAAAGTGAAATAACTTTTTTTACGCATTTAGCTCAGAGACGGAGAACACTGCTGCAGGCTATACAGTCTTTTTTTCCCTTTTTTCTATTGCATTGACAGGGCAAAGTCTGTTTGATATTTATTCATCAGACACACACAAAGAGTCTTGAGATTTGACTGATCGAACTCCTCCTGTCTTGCTTTGATTGCTGCCTGTTTTACATATAAAATAGGATTTGTGTCGATTGTTATAAATATCAGGGTAGGTGCGAAATGACATGCGCGCACAATTAAGAAATTATACACTTTCCTTTTTTTTAAAAAAAAATCAGGGACTACCTGATTATAACTCACTGTAATGAGTAAAATCCCACCTAGTTGCTTAAAAAGGCTTTAATCGGGGGTTTGTATTGTAGACATTACCAGAGGGAATCTAGAGTCCCAATCGAGTGCAGGACCGTGCTATTACGCTATTATTTCACAGCGTAAACTTCTGTTCGTGTCCGTTCTTTTGTCAGCATAATCAAGGGCAGTGGCCAGAAACCTTATGATTGGCCGGTGAGCTAATAAAGAGTGCTTGTGAAACTGTCACTGCAGATAATTGTCTTTGGTTAAACGAGTGACCTTCTAGCAGCAGACACACATTTTTTTTCACTGCTTAAATATTTCGTTCATTATTTGTTTGTAAACCCTTTTTGTATAGAACAATGATAATAATTAACCATCTTGTGATGGGGCTGATGGCCTCATTATCGGCCCTTTTTTTTAAGTGTTGTACAAAAATGCGTGAGCAGTTTTTTTTATTTTATTTATATGCGTTGTTTTCGGTGAACGCTTTAAAAGGGGGATTTAACAGGTTAAAATATACATAATAGGGTGGGAGAAGGATTGAATTCTTGTGAGAAACTAAGAGATTTTGTTGAGGGTAGACTTGGGCTGGCGTCTCGCTGTACGAGGTAGGGAATTTTTCTTCATTCCAGCAGCCACGGGTTTCCTCTTCTTTATTGAGGTTGCATGGAAATCTTTGACGATAATGTGGTTGCTATAGGAGGAGGATCTCGGTGGAATAATTGGGATATTTCCGTCCTTGGGTAGCGGTTTGATTAAAGAGGAAAGAATCAACATTTGTGCAGCAATTTTAGCAGACTTTTTTTTATAAATGTGAGTCCAATCTGAATTAAAATGTATGCAAGTAAAATAATTACCTCGTCCTCATTGTCCATATGCGTAGAAGAGTTTAAATGCTGTCATAGAAGAGCAAGTCAGAAAGACAAATAGAAAAAGATACATAGATACCGAAAACAAACCTTGAAATTCGTGGGTCTACCAATAATACTTTTGGTGACCACGGATTTTCTCTTATAATGTTTTCTTTTGGCAAGACTTTGCTTGTTACGGAAAAACTTTGGTTTGATGAAGGGTTTTTTATTATTTGTTTTGGGTGGTTCATCTGCTACCATTGTTCTTTGCGAGGAGGTGGTAGAACAACGATGTTCTCCCTTTGGCATATCAAATATTTTGCTTTTGGAAATCGAACTGCCCATGATTGGTTATTTATTTATTTGAAATAAACAGAGGAAAGAGAAGCGAGATAGCAAATTTAAATTTGGGCCCTTTTTTATAGAGTACTCCACCCAAAAAAAATAATAATAAAAAAATAACAACAACATATTTACTTTTTAAGCCTATACACATTAAACCGATAACCGATTTTTTGTATTTTCTTCTTTGCACGTTACACAATGGGCAAAAAGGAATATAAAAAGGAGATTTTATTTTTTCGAGAAATGTTTATTTTTTCTTTCTCATAGGCGTCACATAATTTCTAAAGCTTTGACTCTTTCTATAATTTAATCTTTTTTCTCACGTTGATTTTCTTGTGAGGTTTTTGTTTTTGTTGTTGGTTTGTTTAGAATAGATCACACACTGCAGCTGAGGGGAATGCGCAAATGACGTCAAACAATGCGTAAAAATAAAAAAGACTTTATCGTCCTCCAAAGGTCTTTTTATATGTGTGAGCAAAAATTGAAAATGTGTGAATCAGATAATACAGACTGTACACGAGATCAGAAATTATGTATGAATCCCCAGAGTTAAACATTGTAAGAAGGGACGATCTCCCTTGTCATACCTTACAAAAACGCACGTATAAATGTATTAATGTTACACAGCCTAATTCGTTGCCCGAGTAGCACATTTTTATTTTTAGGACAAACAAGAAAATAAACTCGTTTCCTCTCTCTCTCTCTTTCTTTATTTTTTTTTAAAAACCAGGAAAAAAGATGGTAATTTCAAATTATACAAGTAATTTTCCAAAGAGATGGAGGCTCTTCTTTCTAGTGATATGTATGATTCTATTATTGGTGCAAGTGTACATGTTTACAACCCCTACAAAAGAGATACCTGTTGCTGTTGTTGTTACCGAGAAAAAGAAGGCACCCGTCTACACAGCACCTACAAAGGCACCTGTGAAACAATCCATCCTACTCGGGTTTGGAGGATTTCTTTCGAAATTGCCTCAGATCCAACACAATTTCAGCCCTGAACCGCGAGAATATACCATCCAAAGAGAGGCACGAAGAAACGCGGTCAAGACATCCTTCATCCATGGTTGGACAGGCTACAGTAAGGGGGAAGAGCATCACATAAAAATAAACAAAGAAAACTAATGACTTACTTGGTAGAAACGTATGCAATGGGTCATGATGAATTAAAGCCATTGACCAACAGACCTTCTGATCCGTTTGGAGGATGGGGAGCCACCATGATTGACTCACTCAGCACCTTGTTGATCATGGAACTGAACGACGAGTATGCACGTATCATGCCACGCATTAGCAAGATTAACTTTAAGGTAGATGAGGATATCAGTGTATTTGAATCCATCATTCGATACTTGGGAGGGTTTATGAGTGCCTATGAATTGGGTGAACGGAAGCAGGATTCATTGTTACAAAAGGCAGAGAAATTGGCCATCGAACTTTTACCTGCTTTTGAGACTCCTTCGGGATTACCTCATCATCTTTGGAATCCGGTCCAGTAAGTGCGATTTTACGATCCTAACTAGTCCAAACCCCCTTTATATTGATGAGCCTCTTTGTTTTACCCCTAGGAATAAGCCAAATAACAGAGAGACATTGATTGCTGAAGTGGGTACAGTCCAACTTGAATTCATGATGCTTTCACAACTTACAGGAAATCCTATCTACGGACAAAAGGTAAATTTTCCACTGATTATCCTGAAAGCGTACTAATCATGGATAATAGGCACAAGCAATCACTGATTTTTTGGACAATATGGGATATGAACATGGTCTTTATATTAAAGGACTTTACCCAACTGCCATGGATACCCATCAAGGTCGATTTAAAAATGGTAAAAAAAAAAAAAAAAAAGAGAGCTGTTTTAATAGATAAGATCGGTCACTGAAAAAATATTCTAAAATAGCAATCAGTTCGTTTGGAGCCATGGGAGACAGTGCATTTGAAGTAAGATAATACATATATATATATATAAAAGAAAGTGCAGGTATTTACATATTTCATAGTATTTTCTCAAGGAATATATTCTCATGGATGGCAGAGTGCCACAATATGCTAGAATGTGTAAGTTTTCTTTTTCCTGGGAAAGGGCTGTGGTTTAAAAATAATAATAATTGGTATTAATTAAAAAAAGGGGATCTACAACAGATACTCAGTCAATTAATAGCATGAAGAAACATATGCTCCGACAAGTGCCAGGTTACGATCTATTATTATTACCTCCCTACGATACGCAACACATGCAACATAGAAACTCCATGGATCACTTGGTAAAATATATTGTTTTATAAAATGGGGATCTAGAGACCTTATATACTTATGAATGTTAATATAGACTTGCTTTGTGCCGGGTATGCTGGCCATGGGCTCTGTCACATTAAACGAACCTGAAGATATGGAGATTGCCAAGGGACTATTAGAGACATGCGTGTTTATGTACCGCACAACAGAAACAGGCCTAAGTCCAGAAACTTGGTCGATTCCCAAAACGGTACCTTACAACCCATTAACGTACAACAAGACCAAGACACAATTAGCAAAGTTGCGTGATTGGTGGTACAATGATGAATTAATTAACCCGTTACTGATACAGCCAAAGAACGAAAGTGAGGCTGTCCGAGAAGAAACAAAGGAAACACAATATTCGACAAAGTATCAATTACCACCTGTCAAACAGAGACCCGATTCCTTGTATTTTGGAGACAAGCGGTATCTTTTGCGACCCGAAACAGTAGAGAGTTTGTTCATCATGTATCGAATCACAGGCGACCAAAAGTATCAGGTAAGCTACCATATACATTTATATGTAAGCAGCTTATTGAATTGCTATTCTTTTATCATCTAAAGGAATACGGATGGGAAATCTACGAGTCCATTGAGAAATGGTGCAAGACAAAGAGTGCATATGCATCAATTCGTAACGTGGAGCGTAAGAGGGAAGACGGAGACGAAGAAGATGAAGAATTTAATCAGATTGACTCGATGGAAACGTTCTTATTTGCAGAGACATTTAAATACTTGTACTTGTTGTTTAGTCCACCTGAAGTTATTTCGCTAGACAAGTTTATATTTAACACAGAAGCGCATCCCTTTTTACGTAAACAATGGAATTGGGATAGAATTTTTAAGAAATAAAAAAGAAGAAAAGCTTTTATTTAGATTTTAATAATAGAAAGCTGCCGTTGGGTAATAATTCTCCAATCATGTCTGTGATAAACCAGCCATCTGGATGCACTACGTCTAATAATGTGTCCTTATCATCATTCCAGTAGCCTGCAAACACATTATGACCACGCACTTGAATCTCACCACGAGGATTCGGTAGATCCTCGGCCGTGTATTCTTCATGGTCGGATAATTTGATTTCCATCACAGGGAGTGGCGGCCCAATCAAACGCTTATCAGACGTATAATCATACACGGAAGTAGCTGTCATACCAGAAGTGGTTTCGGCTCGACTGAATGTCTTGAGCACCTGTGCACCTAGTATAGCGCGATAAAAGGAAGCGTCATCCGACATGTTTTGATCGTCATCAATTAAGAGCAAACGAATGTTTCCACCAAACATGCGTTGTCGGATATCTCGAAAAACAAGCATATCGTAAATGCAATCCGACACCAGTCTTCCTTCACGATGATAGCGGTCTTTTCTTTTTAACCCACGTTGGTAGATAAAAGAGTTTCCATACTTGTTGGCAATCAGTATCCGTACCTGTTTTAAAAAGGGTGCACCACTTTTTTTTATTTTTTTAAAAAATATGTGCATTCATCCCCGCGCCCATTTTTTTTTTTTTTTTACCTTGCATAGATGGTGGGTCTAAATCCCTTGATGGTAGAGAGTACGTTTTCAACATTGAGGTGAAAGTCGTTATAGGGAATCTTGTCTTCAAACGAAAGTGTGGCGCCCATAAAGGTGCACAAGGCTCCCAGTATGTATCCAAGCACATTATCTATTCGAACATGAGTGTCTTCATGCTTTTATGTCGATGCTTTCTTTTGGGTTACCTATAGCAAAACCATGCATAAATCTATCTTTTGATGTAATTCTGTGACTTGCTGGGAGATGAGCCGCATAGCTTGCTATTAAACATTTTTCTTTTGTTTAGCAGGAAAGGTGACTAATAAATGGATGAGAATATGCTTACATAAGGCGGAAATCATATTCTAAAAAAAAAAAAGGGGTCAACAATGTGAGGGGTGAAAGGGAAGTAATAAGATGGTTTTTACCCGATGTGTTAATACAACACCTAGTGCGTTTTGATCGTCCTTGTTATCCAATATGATCTAAATTAGAGTAAGTCAATGATAAATATCAGCATAAAAAAATGGAATATTTACATTATTTTTGGGATTACTACTGTAATAAATGCTTGCCATTGTATCCGACGCTACCATATATATATATAAAAAAGGGCAAGGATGATGAGATAATCATGCTTTTAAAGGGAGTCGAGGACTTTAGTTTTTACATGTTTGATCTGACGTTTCGATAAGGGCTTCTAACCCCACTTTTTTCAGATAATCAAAACTAGAGACACGTATACCAAAATACTCGCGTTGTTCTTGTGGATGGTTTCCAAGAACAATGAGATGCTTGACGGTGGAGGCTTCGATTAAATGTAAGGCAAAGTCTAAATGGGAAGCGTCAATGACCAAGACGGTCAAGGAGGTATTGCGAATCACATGTAGCAAGTGGGAAGAGGTAGCCTGAGCGGCAATGGGGATGGTCACGAGTCCACCCCAATGACAAGCTATATTATGTTTTAATGATATGCTGGCCCATTGTTTTTTAGATAAATTGCACACAACTTGCCTATTTCGGTCATAAATGCGTCTTTGAAACCCCACGTTTTTTTTTAGAATACATAGATATATAAATAATCGTTTTTTTTTTGTGTTCAATACCTGGTGAAGTGGATGCGTAAATGCCTACAAAGGAAGATTCTTTATCTGAACATGGAACCAAGTTTGCAATGTTTACAAGGCCAGAAAATATGGACTGAATTGATTTCAATGAACCACCTACAGAATAGAATGCGTAAGTGTGTCTGTGTTACTCTTTTGGGTTTACGTGTTTACTTGCCATAACGACTCTATAAAAAAAAAAAGGGAATAAGGATGGGATAAATTTATGTTTGGATAATGAACATACACAGACTGTTTGGCCGGAAAGGATGAAAGTGTTTGTTTTATGCTTCAAGAAAGCCACTTCATATAATTGAGATAGGGTGTGTATGGTTTGATTGTTGGAAAAAAGCGTAGAGTGTGTATACATTTTTGATTTGATGATTGCACTTTCTCCTGCATAGCGCAGTGGAGAGAAGGAACCTTGGCTGTTCAAGACAAGTGGATGAACGTCGGAATGGCGACCATTCTTTATAGCAACGGCAGAAGCAGCACTAAAAATCGAGGTTAACAAGAGATAACTAAGCGTGTTTAATTCTACAGGCATAATTTTAAAGAATAAAGAAAGAAGGGTACAATGGACATTTAAAAAAAAAGAAAGACTATATAAAGAATTCCACACGTGATTTTTTTTTATTTATTTTTTTATGATACAATATGATACAGGATTTTTTTTTTTTTTTTTTTGTTAAGAGTGTTAGAATAATTGGTTGAGTAAGGCGGGGTCGGCAGTAAAATCGCCCATGCCTGCATTGACGACACTTTGATATTTAGTCATGAAATCCACTACATTTGCTGAGGAAGAGACGGTTTCGTTATTCTCATTCTCCATCATAAATAAGGAAGGATCGTTTTCTTTTAGTAGCAAGGCTTGTTGATAAAAGGTCATGAGTGATTGAGGGCTGGGCGTGTTTTGGTATGAAGAAGAGAGGTTTTGACTGGTGGAGCTACCTTCACTCAAGACATCATCAATATTTAGAGGCAAAGTGGCCAATATTAAATCATCAAACATGGTGCCATGAAACGGAATGACCTCTCCCTCTTCTTCTTCTGCCGGTGGAGAGAAGCAATAGTCGTTAAAGTCAAGCGTAACGGTGGTGCCTGAATAGCATGATTGATTTGAGTCTCTGCGAGATCTTTTGGTACTGGTAGATGTAGTAGTGGTAGTAGTCGAATCAAATTCAGCCAGTGTCTCTACGGTTAAGGGTAAATAATCCTCTCCTTCTTGCTTAATAGCAACGATGGGGGATGGAGGTGGAGGTACGTAAGGTTGTGGTGGAATTCGAGAAGCATATTTACGTGGTTTTAAATCCACTGTGAACTGATTTCTAAATGTATCCAAAGCACGTTGTAGCAGATTCTTTTTGTTTGCTAATTGTCGAGGGTTTAACCAGGCCAATTTCCAGCCAATTTCGTTGCATTTTGCTTCATCCAATCTACGTTGTGTGACACAAGGCGTGTCTGAAGTAATATGCATGGCTCTGGGGAACACGCAATTGTTCTTTCGAAAGGCCACATCAATGGCATCCAATACAACGGATTCAATGTTGATACGGATACGACACTTGATGTTGGCATCTTCAATCAGAATAGTTTTAGGTGCTTTTTCCACGGTATCGTGACTGGTCTTTGGCGTCTTTTGGGGTAACCCGTCTTCGTTATCACGGTGCTTTCTTTTACGTAAGGTGCCTTTTAATAACTTTTCTTGTCGAGCTACTCTACGTGATCGCATACTGGGATATCTGTTTCGATAGGAATCCACTGCTCGTTGGATCAATCCTCTCTTTCCTGCAATTTCTTCCAGATTGAGATATGCAAGTTTCCAACCAAGTACATTACATTCAGTTTCATATGCCCATCGATTACCTCGATAGGTTTCTCTGGGTAGGTTTGCTCTAGGATAAACCTATACAACACTGCTTGTTAAAAAAAAATTTTTTTTTATACACATGTAAAAATAAATATATATGTACATACGCAGTTTTCTTTTTTAAATTTATCGTCCAATATGCTTGTATCCACTTGATCGAGATCTGTTCGTATACAGTATCGACGTAATGTACGATGATGTGAATAAACAAAGCTAACCCATTCGATGCCTTCTTTGAGTTCAGTGGTAGGTTCATGGCTAGATAAAAATGGAGAAGGAGTGGTCGGTGGCTTGGCTACCGTAGAAGTAGTAGTAGTAGTTGTATTAGTAGTAGTAGTGGTGGTGGTGGTAGTAGTAGTGGATGGTATGGATTTTGAGTTGGAAGATACACATTTATTTGTTGTTGTATTTGGTTGTAATGACGATGATTTATTTGTTGTTGTTCCAGTGGTTGATATAGCATCCGCTAGTGCTTTGGCAACTTGTGTTGCAGTGGAATTCCAGGGAGCTTCTTCTACTTTTATTGAACTAGATGAGACAGATGAGCCATGCTCCATCGGCGAATTAGGTGTGCATGTCGAAACTGCTGATAGCATGGGCGTATTATTACTGCTGCTAGTAGTCTGTGTACTTGTAGTATCCACACCTTTATTTTTTTTTTTGAATTTTTAATATTATTATTATTATTATTATTCACATTTCTTGTCAAAATATAGTATATCTCACCTTGATCTTTGATGGTATTGAGTTTGCGTTCCTTGATTTTATTCACTGCTTGCTCAATAATATTCAGTTGTTCGTTGGATAATGTTTCTAGTAATGTTTCAGCAGATTCTGTAGGATGAACAAGATCATTGATACACAGCTGAAGTTCAGGATTATGGGGTAAAGTTTCATTGATAATTGCTGCATACGATGATAGTGTCATTATATCATCGCTTATAGTAGTAGTGGAAGACATTTTTTTTTTTTTTTTTTTTTTTTTTTTTTATAAAAAAAAAAAGAGAGTGGGGTTAAAGAAGAGAAAGGAAGGAAAAAAAAAAAAAAAAATAAAAAAAAATAAAAGCGCGTTATTATTTTTTTCTAACGGGTTCCTAAAAAAACAATAAAAAACGAGTCAAGACAGGCGGAGATTATCATAACACATATTTTGTAAAGCTCATTACACAGCGTGTATGGGACTTGTACTTTCTAGTTTAAACATAACCTTGCTATTCTATTCTGTTCTTGTCACCTCCTTTTTTCTAGTTGTCATCTCATAAACAAATTTAAGGTTTGGGGATAGCTAATCCGGATAATTTTACATTTTCATGTGCAACCTCATTTTTGAAAGCACGAAATGTCTAACCATGGAAATAAATTCTGCCATCAATGCAATGTGTACATAAATAATGCTCCCCTTTGGCTTTTATAACCACAGGCATTGCAATCAACATAGAACAGTTTATTTTATTTACAAGCTAAAAATGAGTTAAGCAGTTATAAGAGATGACCCCCGGGGGGAGATACAATGAGTGTCCCCTTCCCTCTTTTTTTAATATAGAATCGAGATTAAGGAAAGATACCCAATAAAATTACAACGAGCTACCCAGTTTTAGATCTTCACATTCGTTTTCCGAACACAGCGGCAAGCATTCCTTTGCGTAACCAGAAGGCCCTCATATCATACAACACATTGTTGACTTTTTTTTTATTTATTTTTTATTATCCGGATGAACTGATTATCATTCTTTGGGACTGTCATCAAAAATCATCACTTGTATTATAAGCTTTAGCAGCCTGTTACATATTGTGCATAGTCCAAGGTCGACACATACAGGATTTTACTAAATTGGTACGACTTCAAAATAAATTTGGCACACTCTGTTATGTTTTTTTTGGCTCTTTTACTCAATTCATCATAGTTCGTTTTAAACATTACCCCTTTTGCTTCTGAAATCGGTAATATGCTGATTTGACACTAGTCCATTTTGTATAACTACCAAATAGTTCTTTTACTTTACCAAGTTTAAAGATGGTTTCCTAGCAAAAGTCATCGCTACAACGTATGGATCGAAATGACGACATAACAATCCAACTACTCTATACTAATACACAGCAAATTTTTGGTGATAGATTGAAGGAAAATAAATCAGTGATACACAGCAGAAAATCTAGACCAAATCCACGATCAATGTACAAAGGACAAATCGTATATGCTTGAAGATGCTCTAAATGAAAGTTCAAGAAAACGTGCTCTGGATTGTTTGGATCGAGTTTTAGCCAGGATTAACGAACCACAAAAGAAGCCAACAGGATTTGTTATATCAAATAATGACAGTAATTTTCTAACCAAAGATTGGCAATGTGTTGATAAGTACTATGAAGATCATGGCTCATTAAATTGAGAAACCATATTTAAACTTGGTTAAGCAAAAGGAGTAATGTTTACGACGTACTATGATGAATTGAGTAAAAGAATTAGTTATGAATGTTTTCGAATTTTATCAGTGAATAATACACGTAAAAGAATCCAAACTCCGGCGGTGACTGTTCCCTCCCTTCCCGCTCACACCCAAAAAAGGTGAGAGGATGTTTGGGTTGGATTTTCTTGTTTTAAGGAAAGCAGTAAAAAATAAAAAATTTTAAAATGTCTGATCAAGAGGATGGATTATTTGGTTTTGACTTTGATGAACAAGATTTCGTAACGAAACAACCCACCAAAGTACAAGTTGACAAAATCGATTATGAGGCCAAAATAGAGACAGACGGTGTAAGGGCCTTTCTTTCGTACATTCATACAAAAAAAAAAGACTGACAGAATATATATAAAAAAAGTGGTTTCTCCATTCAGATAAAAGCTTTGACGACATTATGCTGGAACAACACGGACCTAATCAGATCAAGAGCATTATTGACTATCACTATTTGTATAAACGTTACGAACCAGCATTGACGGCTGCCCTTGGATTCATTAGAGTCGCCACAACCAATAAAGCATGTAAAGTCAACGGAACCAAAGAAATTAGCGAAATTGCCATGCATTGTGCCGCCAAATTAAACCGTCTGGACATTCTCAAAGAACTCTTGAATAACAAATCGGTAAGACAGAAAACGTTTTAAAGATACACTCCAGTCGTTTCTAAACATACAACAAAAAGCATACACAAGATACTGGATTGTACTTGTTACGCATCAAATTCTTCCCGCTTGTAGGACAATATACCGAAGCGATGGATGCATGTATCACTTACCACAAGGAACGAAAGCTGGATTATCGAGTGTGGTCCCATATGGCCAATATATTTTTGGGATCATTGGAAAGAGATACACGGACGCATGAGAATGAGATGCGACGCCATTTAGCCAAGCTTTCATTGGTGCGAGCCATTCATATTTATACCATTAGTCGTTGGAACACACAAGTTGATTTTGTGAAGCATCGATTCCAAGCTGAACTCCATTTATTACAAGCTCGCTTAGAAGCGACAGAAGGTGAAGCGGATATATTTGTTGATTGGATGGCACAGGGACACCCAAAGAGAGAAGAGGCTGGATTGGATGAATTTAATTGGCAAGATATCATTTGGATTTATAAAGATTGGGCTCTTCGACAAGATCTTGATTTGGATGATCAAGTCAAGGCTGTCAAAGATTTATAGGAACAGAAATAGAAATAAAAAAGGGTTTTTTTTTTATTTAAAAAGAAAAAGAGGTTTTTTTAAGCAGCTTCAGTTTGTTTTGACTCATCGGCTTTATCAGTCTCTGCTACAGTAAAAAGAAAAAATAAAAAAGTCAGTCTATGTGAGGTAGTAATTATTAAGAGAGGTTACCTTCTTGAATATCAGATGTCCATAAAGTCAAATTGTCTCTCAATAATTGCATGATCAAGGTGGAATCCTTGTAGGATTCTTCACTCAAGGTGTCGAGTTCGGCAATGGCATCGTCAAAGGCTTGCTTAGCTAAATGACAAGCACGATCGGGAGCATTTAAGATCTCGTAGTAAAAGACAGAGAAATTCAAGGCAAGACCGAGACGGATAGGATGGGTAGTGGCCAATTCGACTTGAGCAATATCTGTGGCGGACTTGTAAGAGTCATGAGCAGCAGTAGCAGCCTCCTTACGAGCATCACCGACAGCATATTCTGCGACATAACGATGATAATCACCTTTCCTATAGTATAGAACAAAAGTCAATAGGATGTAAAACGTAGAAATTTCGTCTGGACCTTACATCTTGTAGTAAAAGACCTTGGCTTCACCATCTTGAGCAGAAGGGATCAGATGTTCAGCCAAGAGCTTCAAGATATCGTTACAGACATCGTAAAGCTCGTTTTCGATCTTATTTCTGTATTCCTTAATCTTGACGACTTGAGCGTCATGACCTTTGCTTTCTTCCTTTTGTTCAATGGATGATACGATTCTCCAAGAGGCACGACGAGCACCAATCACGTTTTTGTACGCGACAGATAAGAGATTACGTTCTTCTACTGTTAAATCAACATTCAACTACAACAACATTGTTATTTTTGCTATCTTGGACTGCACACAGTTTATCTTTGTAACTTACTTTGGCGACATCCTTCATGTAAGAGACCATTTCTACAAAAAAAAACAGATAGATTGAGTCAATGTTGCAAGAAGTCCTCCTCCTTTACCCTCCCTCTTTTTTTCACTTACCATCATAACGCTCTGCTTGTTCAGCAATCTTTGCCATGTAGACCTATGAAAATAGCATTAGTTTCTTTACACGCCTCCCATCATTTTTTTTTTCAAGAGGAGTTTTTACTTGGTCTTCACGTTCCTGATTTTTCAAGATATATGTTAGTCTTTTTTCTTAATGAAGAAGCTTATCCCACTTACAATAGCCATCTTGAATTTATTAAGTTATTAAGAGTGAAAGGGGAGTAAAAAAAAATAAAGAAAAAGGGAAATAAAAGGGGGCTAAAAAAAAAAGAGGGGACGTCATGCGTGATTGTTTGTACTTCAAGTTCAGACAGGTTCAGACCTTTTTTGGGTGAAATGAAAATACCTAAATCCCACCCCATAACCGCTCACAAGGCAGATAATAGGCGAAATTTTTTTTTTGTCTATCCATGCCGCAGATAAAGTGTATAAAATAAAGTAAAAACCTGGCCTTTTTATAGGCCATTGATTGGAAACAAACAGCAGTAAAATAAAAAAATAAAATAAAAAAATAGCGCACTCAGGGGTGGAATAGCTTCTCCCCATCACCCTGTCATGTATGAACGCTTCTAAATGCGTTTGTCTGATTTTGCAGAAGCATTCATGCTTAGGTAATGTTCTTGTTGTCATTGAACCCTGCCTCCAACTCTTGGATTAAAGTCAACTTTATTATCATTTCGTAATATCTTGATATACCGAGATACCATGTTGCTATGCAATCCACCAACCCTTTTAAAAAGCTTATTGAAGTACCCTTTAACACTACTCAATAAAGGGTCTATTCTCTCAACAAGCATTAAATAGTACAAGCTTCATATGTCGATGAATTTCATTATTATTCTCCTGCTCGGGGATAAAATCTGGCTTTCAATATCTTTCTGCGTGCCAAAAGATATTCTTTGTCTGACTGTCGTGCAATGTATTTAATCACTCTTTGATCGCCCTTGTGCTATTTGAATGATAGAAAAGGGGGGCCGTTTGTGGGCATGTGTCCGTAATTATTTTATTATGATTGAATGTTATTTGATAAGGGAAGCGATGGAGAGAAAGAAGGTGTTTCGTAAATAAGTGCTGGTATACATGAGGATACTTAAAGCAGCTGCTGTAATAACAGTAGCCCACATCACTTGAGCTCCAAAGTTCTCATAGATAATACCACCCACCAAAGCACCTAGACCACTACCCAAGCCATTAAATGCCATGTTGAGTAAACCTTGCGCACTGCTTTTTAACCCGGCAGGCGCAATTTGATCTGCTTGTAGTGCTCCGGCACTCCAGGTCATGGAAAAGCCAATACCATGGAGTACTTGTGTGGCAGTGGCTAACCATGCTCCATAGGAGAGTTCAGAGCAAACAATGTAAGTAAGGCATCTGTACATGATGATGGATTGCGCCACCACCAACATACGGCGTGCTCCTAACCGATGCAGCAACTAAGTAAGAATGTGAGACTACAAAAACAACGAGTAAGGGTTGTAAAATGAGTTTACCTGCTTGGAAAAGTAAAAAGCGATGAGTTCTGTACTGCTGCCCAAGGGGCCAAAGAAGCCAACCATAAATGGAGTGCCATGTAAATCATTCTCAAAATAAAGATACAGAAAAGCCTGAACGATGGCGATACAGAAACCCATGCCGGTCATGAATGTAAAGAATTGAACTGCATCGGGATCTTTTAATAAGGACCACATGGACGGCACTGGTGGTAACACAGATATTTCATCATTTGCATCCACTATGATGGGCGATGTGGTAGATCCATAGATGAAGGGTTTATATTCGTCTTCAGAGGGCTCAATGTCTGTAAAATACACGGTAGCAATGAATGCCAAATTCGAAAAGGTGAAAACAATAAATAAAGCATACATCGAATCTAATTTCTCCGTCAAGAATCCTGTGAGAAATACACTGGATGCAAAACCAATCGGCACACCAATCTTTTGACGGCCATACAGATCCTTTCTATCGGCCAAGACTCGTAAAATCACACTATCGACCAAAGCCGCAATCACGGGATAGCCAAAGAAGGCATATCCAAAGCAACCTGCAGAGGTAAGCCCGATACGCGTCCACTCGGTATCTGCAACCCATGGCACCGCAGCGATGGACAAGACACACTGCATTAAAAAAGCTTAATTTTTATATGGGTAGTCATCCTTTGTGTTTCCTTTTTTTTTTTTACCAGAAGAGCGATAAACATGTTGGTCATCATGATCTTTTTATATTGGCCAGTGCGATCAATCAAGGCTGTCCAGTATGGAAAGGCAACAAACGACACAAAGGGTGCTAAAAAAAAAAGTCAGCCTCAATCGTTTAATAAAAAGTTATAAAATAGTTACTAATTGAATAGATAAGCCCAATTTTATCGTTGCCTAATCCCAGCACCTTTTTATAAAAGATGGGTAGAAACATTTGTCCTGAGCCAATACAACCGATACTGAATAAACTTAATAATTTGAGCCCAATATACCTATCCTGACCGGCCATTTATAGGTGTATATACAAAAAAAGTGTAAATAAAGAAAGAAAAAGAAGCATAAAGGTGGAAAATGGTGGAGGATTTAAATAGTCCGATCAAAAAGTAGCTCAGTTTTTTTTTTTATTATTGCACAAAAAAAAAAAAAAAAAAAAAATACATGACATGAAAAAAAAAAATAGAGTGAAAGAAAAAAAAAATTTACTTCATTAAATGCTCCATGGTATTATTTAAACAGTGTTGATCTGGACCTAAATCATGGTTAAGATAGGCAAGTTGATCATCGGTTTGAAACATGTTATTATTGACATGATGGCCTAAAGGTTGACGTTGATAGAAATGCATATAATCAGACATACCACTTCCTCCTCCTCCTCCACCACCACCGCCACCGCTGCTGCTACTGCCACCACCGTTTCCACCGTTACCATTGTTTCCATTGTTTCCACCGTTACCATTGTTGCCGTTGCCACCCGTGGACACATGTGGATGTGGATGCTCTACCGTAGGGGCTTCCTCATGTTGGCTCGTAATGGAGTTGCGCAGGTTGGAAGAAGGGGTGGTATAATCATACTGAGAAGACATGCCGATAGACTGTAATATATCATTGGAGCCGTTACTATTCAGAGGATGAATAGGGTTCAAGAGTTGACCCAGGTTGGGAGGTTGGTTGCTATTAGGGGTAGCCGAGTCTGAATAGTTGCGAGGATCAAAGCGAGGTAAAGAGTTGGAAGAGATAGAGGAGGTTGAATAATGTCTAGCGTGTTGCTGTTGATAGGATTGGCGTGCGGGTGATAACATGGGAGTACTGGGGGAGGTGGAAGGCGAAGGGAAATTTGTACCCGAGTTGGAGTATGGTATATTATTATTACTGGAATTATTAGTATTATTATTGTTGTTGTTGTTGTTATAGGGAGAATGATACATTTGTTGCATGATATCTTGCTGGCCACGATGAATCGAACCGACGGACATGCTGCGAAGAGGATGCATTAATCTATTTTGATCATGATGATTATTTGATTCAAAGGTTGTTTCGACCAGAGGAGGAATTCTAAAGTTTTGTTTGACAAGTAATTCAGGCGAAATTTCGAGACTAGCTAATTCAGGCACGGATGAAGGAGCACGCAATTTCTCTTGGATGACTTCATTGGGGTCGTAATAAGAAATCAAGTGTTGAGCCACACCATTGACAATGATAGACATGGTCTTTTTGATAAGCCCATCTTCTTTAAATCGGTAAGAATCAGACAGACTGCCCACTAATTGACGTTCCTTATTTCGATCCATAGACACTGAACTGTCTATACTGAAACTTCTCTTGGTTTCGTTTGTCAACATTTTTTTCTCATTGTTACTCTTTTTATCAAGTTCACGATAAATAAGAAAATTGCCTAATATGCGAGAGGGACTCCAAACACGCCCATCCGTCCACCGCTTAATTCCTTGAGTTAAATGTGAGAAAAAGAATAACAATAAATAATTTTTTTTTTTTTAGCTCGGGTACCCCTCACTTGTATTATTTGTTACCTGACTCTCTTTCGTCGAATACGAAAATCGAACCCGACCGAATCATTTTACGTTCTCGTTCTTGAAGACGGCGACAAATTCGTGGAAGAAGTCCTCGTCGACACCCTTCGAAAATCAACAAGACATCTTGTGTCGTTTCTATGTATCCGTGAAACGTTTCAGTCACCAACATAATTTCTTATTTATTTTAAAAAAGAAGCCTATGTGTATGTATTTAGAACAGGAAAACTATAAAAAAAAAAAAAAAAAAAAAAAAAAAGAAAGGAGAAGAGAGAATAGGGAAAAAAAGAAAAAAATGGGGAACCATGTCACACTGTGGCCGGATGAATATTTTTACCGCTCTTTTTCTCATACAAAAAAAAAATAACCTAGAAAAACATTCTTTACATCTATTGATAGACATTTGGTATCAAAATACGTTTTTATTCCCCCGGGCCTAAACAGAACAGACCCCCTTAAAAAAAATCACATATACACACATGTAAGATAAAAAAAAATCAACATAAAAATGGGCAGGGGGTTCCTTTATTATTTCTAAACTCCCCTTGTAGATGAGATCTTTTTTTAAACATTTTTCATGCTGATGACATTGTTTCAGTTGTTAAATCGAGATAAGTTATTGGACAATGCAGTAAAATCGTGATTAAGAGTCAGCACACGTAAACAAGAATAATATTGTAGTATAGTCTTCTTTTATTACATATATTGGTTTCACATTTACATCATTCCTCCCATTCCTCCCATACCACCCATACCAGGCATACCACCAGCAGCTCCACCAGCAGGAGCAGGAGCATCCGTAATCATGCATTCAGTGGTAGTCAAAAGAGATGCAACACCAGACGCATCAATTAAAGCAGTACGAACAACCTTGGTAGGATCAATAATACCACGCTCAATCATATCACAGTATTCGTTGGTAGCAGCATCATAACCCCAGTTGACGTTCTCTGGGTGATCTTCTGTTAATTTACCTGCAACAACAGATCCTTCACCTCCAGCATTATCAACAATTGTACGACAAGGGCCTTGGATCGCTTGACGGATAATATTAATACCCAATTGTTGATCGAAATTTGCTCCCTTTAAGGACTCCAAGGACTTGGCTGCCTTTAAAAGTGCAACACCTCCACCGGGAACAATACCTTCTTCCACAGCAGCACGAGTGGCACAGAGTGCATCATCAAAACGATCCTTCTTTTCGCCTACCTCAACCTCCGAGGATCCTCCCACCTTGATCACGGCAACACCACCAGAGAGCTTGGCAAGACGTTCCTGAAGTTTCTCCTTTTCATAGTCCGATGTGCTAGCATCAGACATGGCACCACGGATTTGCTCACAACGTTGGTTAATGTTTTCCTTGCTACCTGCACCGTTCAAAAAGATTGTATCTTCCTTGGTGATGCTGACAGAGCCAGTGGTACCGAATAACTCGGGTTGAGCATTTTCAAGCTTGATATCCAAATCATCAGAAAAGACGGTAGAGTGGGTCAAGACACCGAGATCGCCCAAGATGTTTCTACGGTTATCACCAAATCCAGGAGCTTTAACAGCAGCTACTTGCAATTGACCACGAAGCTTGTTCAAGATACAGGCAGCAAGAGCCTCACCATCCAAATCCTCGGCCACAATCAAGAGGGGACGACGTTGAGTGGCAGAAGCCTCGAGAGCAGGCAAGATATCTTGCAAGAGAGAGATCTTCTTTTCGGACAACAAGATCAAGGGCTTTTCAAATTCAACACGACCGGTCTTTGTATCGGTGATGAAATAAGGAGAGATGAAACCACGGTCGAAACGCATACCTTCAGTTACCTCCAATTCATCCTCGAGGGTCTTACCAGCCTTTACTGTAATCACACCTTCCTTACCAACACGCTCCATGGCTTGAGCAATCATGTTACCTACATGCTTATCACCATTGGCAGAGATAGTGGCTACTTGAGCAATTTCTTGAGGGGAAGTAATGACTTTACTGTGTTCTTGCAAGAACTTGACCACGGCATCGACGGCCATGGTAGCACCACGACGAAGATCCATGGGGTTGCAACCAGCAGCGACGTTCTTGACACCTTCAGTGAAAATGGCACGCGTTAAAACAGTGGCAGTTGTGGTACCGTCACCAGCAGCTTCGTTGGTCTTGTTGGCGACATCTTGCACGAGACGAGCACCCAAGTTTTCAAACTTGTCTTGTAAAACAATGGATTTGGCCACGGTAACACCATCCTTGGTGATCTTGGGGGATCCGTAAGCTTGTTCAATCAATACATTACGGCCCTTGGGTCCTAATGTGACAGCCACTGCCTTGGCAAGAATATCAACACCACGTAAAAGAGAGGCACGACCTTCAACACCGAATTTGATTTCCTTGTGCGAACTATAAAGACGACGGAGAATGCCGTTGGATTGAACAGATTTTTGGACAAGAAGACGGTTCATTTTTTTGTATGTGGGGTAATTAAAAAAAAGGGGCAAAAAATTAAAATGGCAGAAAAAAAAACCTCTTGTTTTATATTCTCTCGTGTCTTGTTTTTTTTTATCCCCGCGAGGAAAGAGCTAGAAGGCTCTATACACATTTCGATTGAATTTACCCTGGTGGCTTAGGCTGGTCCTCTTTTCTTTTTCTCTTTTTTTTGGTTTCTTTCTTCTTTTCAATCAATTACTGCTTTTTTTTTTGGTTTTAAAGTATGGTTGCTATGGTGATCCATTGCCATGGTGCATAAAGCTTTTTTTTTTATATTACAGCCTGCATGCGCTAGTGGGGGGTAGGAGATGGGTGTTGAAAAACTAGAATAAACCAATAATATTTTTTCCCACCGGTTCAAAACATTGGACCAATCAATCTGACTTGCAGCCGAATTAAGCTTTTATTTTTAAACCAGATTGGGGTTGATGACGCACTTGTGTAACTGGCGATTCTGTTTGGCTAAAAAATTGCATTATTTTATCGCCACTTGGGCCCGTCAAACCTGTCACTTTTTTTTTTTTAGTTTCAAAATAAAAAATAAAAAAAAATTGAAAAATATTATCAGTTTAGTGCTTTTTCTTTTTCCCTTCTTTCAAATGTCTTCACAAAATATTAACATTAGTTTGAAACACAAACCAATGTAAGTTTTCATTGTTTCTTTCCAATGGCCCATAAGGAACTCCTAACAAAACAAAAAAAAGTAGTAATGGGAGCTCTGCCATGTCATACTCACCTTCGTCTCACACGATGCCAGCTATATTTCAACACCGAGATAGTTTTGTGCATCAACGAGAGCTTGAATCAGCTTTTTGTAGTGACTTAGTTTGTTGTGGTATGCGAGTACGAGACTTACACGAATTATTACACCATTATGAGGAACATCACCATGCGCCCATTGAAGAAGAGCCCGAGCCAAAAGAGGAAGAGATGATGGATGAAGATGAAGAGGATGATGAATATCCAATACCATTACCTACACAACCTCATGAGCTAGCAGCATTGACATCTAGTCCTTTACTTCGAAAAACAGTCAGTCCTCCTGTGGAACAACAACAAATGTTGGTGTCACCTACGGTAAATGGACAACATACCGAAGAGATTTTGAAAGCTTTAAATACACATCATCCTACGGGCGATTTACAATACTTTCGGTCGGAAGCGTTATATCAAACATGCGGTAATAAATTCATTGATTAATTTTTTTGTGTGTGTGTGTGTTGTGATTTATACATACCGCAGCAAAAAAAGAAGAAAAAAAGAAAAAAATAGAAAATTAAGTAATATCTCCCCCTCCCCCTTCTAGATGATGGACAGGATAAACCTTACAAGTGTCCAATAGAAGGCTGCGAAAAGGCGTACAAAAACCCTAATGGGTTAAAATATCACCAGATGCATGGACACTCAGAGGAAGACAGTCTAAGTGATGCAGAGAGGGATGCACAAAAACCCTACATGTGTACTATTGGCTACTGCAATAAACGGTACAAGAACCTGAATGGATTAAAATATCATATCGAGCATTCTCATATTGCCAAATTAAAGCAATATCCACAAGAGCATTCGTGGCCCACCACTTGAAAAAAAAAGAGTTTGTTTACTCGGAAACAATTTGCATGAATTTTTGTAATATTAATAAATAAATAACACACCTTAATTTTCTTTTCTATTTCTTCTTTTTTTAACCTCTTCTATATGACTCGCACGTATCAACGAAGGGTGTCGTTTGATAATGTCACTAATATTCCACCTGCGTATCATTCATTCACCTTGAAACAATCAAGCCATGGGTTCATTCGAACAAGAAGATGCCGTACATTCATGGTTGCTATTGATGTGTTTGAAGGCACGATTGAAGCGCTGTCATTTACACTGACCAGTTTAGTGGATGAAGGAGATGAAATTGTGGTGGTAGGAGTTTATTCACCCATGACGACACAAGACATGACACCCAAAGAAAAAGCTCAGCAAATGATGGATTGGATTGTGCGTTCGCATCAAGGAGATAATGTATAAATAGAAAATCATTATGATTTATATAAAAATAGATATAAAAATAATACTGATAATGTAATCACTGCAGATTAATATGGTGGTTGAATTGACCTTTGGTAGACCCGAAGTCGCTCTGGAAGAGATGATTCGTATGTATCAACCGTCCATGTTGGTGGTGGGTTCACGAAACAAACCCAAATACAAACATGCGTATTCAGGTGCAGGTATCTTTAAATACCGATTGAAACATTCAACCATTCCTGTCATTGTTGTGCGAGACAAAGAGAGTCTGGATATCAAACCTCAAAAGAGGCTAAAGAAGTCATTTTCTCTATTTAATTGTACTTATTACTACACTTCGGAATGAACACAAATAATTATTTATATCCCGAGTTTTTTTTTCCTTTTTAATTTTCTTTTTCTTCTCTTCTTCTTTTATTAAAAGGCTATCCAGTGACTTTTTTTTTTTTTTTTTTTTTTTTTTTTTTACACCTTTTTTTTTTTTCGATATATATAATACATGGTAGATGAGCAATTTGCAGATGCGGTTGCATTGGCCATTCAATTGGAAGAAAAAGGACAGATAAAGGCAAGAGCTGAACAGAAAAAGAAAAGCTGACTTTATATGATTAACAATCAATGACACATACTATTTGTAGGAAGCTTACTTTTCTTTTACTGCCACAAGTCAATTGGCCATTACTGCATTAAACGAAATTAAATTTGTACATTCTTGTAAAAAAAAAACAAAAAAAATATTGTAAATGATTATCTACATATAAAAAAATTAAGCTCTTTTTACTTTTTTCTTCTTCTTTCCTGTACTTTTATATATATTCTATATTCCTTTTAGCCATTATTTCTAGCCCGAAACAATATCTTGCGCTTTTATCCTCAATAAGAACATGCTTGAACCATGTTGAAACCATCATAACCAGTCATTCACCAGTGACTCGACATACAACAGGAGTCGACACCAAAGCTCCACCTCCGCCCGTGCCACCCAAACCCAGCCGTATGCAAAAACCTGCTGTGCCTCCCAAACCGAAACAACAGCATGATGAATTGCTGGGTAAATATATATCTATTACTAAATATAAGATTAGCTCATTGTTTAATAATATTGAATACAGACAATTCAGCAAACGTGATCAAACCACGTGTTTTCGACCGACCCAGTAGTTTACCGCCTATTCAACAATCCCATTTATCCCGAGTATCAAGGCATCGCCCTTACACAGAATTCCCTGAAAATGAAAGTACACTGCATATCGTGGCAGAAGGAGAGATTGACCCAGATTATCTAGTGCCTGCTCAAACCACTGCAGGTGATAGTTTAGCCCCGTCCTCTTCCACCATGAACAATGATCATATTCCTCTCATTCCTGCTCCTCCTTTATTAACCACACATCGACTTTTACAATCCAAACTAGACGACATTGAGGAAAAGATAAAGGAATGCCGTCATCGTAAACAACTACTGCAGACAGAGGGACATCAATTGGACACCTTGACAGAGGAAGGATTGGACCAAATGATTGCGCAATACCAAGGCTTGACAGCCGACCTGAAAAGTAACCTGAATAGTGTACGTACCCTATACATGAATGCTGCTACCATACCTACCGTCCTACAATTTGGTGCTCATGTTATTGCCTATCAAATCACCTTGATTGAAGCTGCCATATTTGATGCTATACCCCCTTTAGCTTTACTAGAACATTCGTCAAAGCACCCGCATCCACGTATTGTGGCCTCCACCGATTTCTTTAATTATATCACTCGATGCATTGAACACGCCATTTTATTACCACAAGAGGCTTCCACACGAGCTCAATTAATTCATTATTGGATTAAAGTCGCTTCACGTTGTTTCGATGTCAATAATTATCAGACCTTGAAAGCCATTGTCTCTGCCTTAAGTACCCCACCCGTGCAAAGACTGAAACGTACATGGGCATATACACCAAAAAAGAGTTTGACCAAGTTAGAAGCATTAAACGATCTCATGTCGGAAGCCAATAATTATGGACAATACAGAGAGCATATGGGTATGGTAAGTACGACGGTGGTGAATGGTAAATCCGTGCAAATGATTCGAGAAGAGCATTATGCCAGACCCACCGTGCCCTTCCTTGGCACCTTTATCCTGGATATTACTTATTTATTAGCTGCGTTTAAATCCAGTCCCAATGCAGCACATATGGCGCCAGAAAACGAACCCCGAATCCATGAAGTCTTGCATACCCTTTCCCGATTTCAAAATGGGCCACGGTACACTCCCTCTTTACCTACCAGTTTCCTGAAATCTTCTCAAAAGCATCATTTCAGGCCTGCCATTTCTAATGCTCTACATCGTGGTGCGTCACGTATACAACGTATCAGTAGTGGTAATATTTTTGGTTTTGATTCCAACGCTACCATGAGTTCAAGTGCGTCTAATCTCAGTTCGATGAATGAACGTGCGGAAGAGGAAGAGGATGGAAATTTGGATGAGCAGCAAAAGATGGCTACTCAATATATTTTGATGCGGTCCTGGGTTAGTCAGAATACAGTGGATGAACTCAGTCATCTACGCGAGCCACCACTGGCCAAACCCAACGGCTATGGACCTCGCAGCAGCAGTAGTGGTCCTACCAGTATGAACAGATCAAGTTCTGTCTTTAGTAACAGTAGCTCCAATGTCAGATTCAGTACGGGCTCTGTCTCCATCAATACCGATAGTCGACCTGCCAGTGTGGAGGATGAGGAAGAAGAGCGTAAGCGACAACAGAATGGGATCTTTTCATTTAAACGCAGTGATTCTCAACGTCCCTTAACGATTCATGAAGGTTCGGGATTATCGCAGGAACAAGATCATTTCCATTTGGCTGATGATGACGAAAAGCCATACCATACACCTCCCGTTGTACCTCCTCGTCCCAAACCTACTCTACAGAACGATGAACTAAAAGCTGCTTTAGCCCAACGATTAGCTAAAGTCAATCAAAATAAATAAAAAAACAAATAAAAAATATATGGGATTTTTTATTAATATATTTTTAAATAAGGATGTTGGTACCGACAAAGTCTCGTAAAACGGGGAATGTCTGCACAAGTTTAATAATAGCAGGCTGAGAAAAGGTGAGAGGACTATCGAATTGAAAACCCCATGCCATAAAGCCATTAAAGATGTAGTAAAAAGTATAGTATCCAAAGGCCATGGTCCAGATACGCTTGATCAAGTAACAAGCAAAAGAATCCTTGAATTCTTTGGAAAGTTTGGGTGCCACCACTAATTCAACAACATGCTCGAAAAACACACCCAATCCATGACCCAAGAAAAAGATGCATTGTTCACCCATAAAGACTCGGCTATAAATAGGGAGTCCCATGTTGGCTGCAATCACGTATTCATGCATACCAGCTGAAGCGGCAAAGACGGCAATGGAAGCAACAATAAATCCAATGGATTTGGCATTCTTGACTCGCTTGTTCAACAAGCGCATCGTCAGAATACGAACGGGTCGGAAAGGGAAGGCCAACCATGTCGATTTGAAAAGTTGGTGCCAACGGTGAGACCAAAGGTCATCTAATGTGCCTGACATAACTGGGTGAATCATCAATGTACGCCATTGTTCTAAATCCATTTGGTGTTTAGTACACTATATCATTACCCTGCAATTTCCTTTTATGTACCTGATGAATAAGATCCTCCTTCAAACACAAGACAATAGAACAAATGAAGTGAAAATCCTACACTGTTAAACGCACCATTCAAGACAAGATTGGCGAAAAAGTAAATAGCAAAGAAAAGCTTGGGTCTCTCGAACCATGTGGCACAGAATTCGTTGGATGTAAACGTGGTCATCCAAGAACAAATAATATCCACCTCGATCAAATGGATAACCAAATTGATAAGAATATGATAGTATTTCTATAAAGAAAAAGAAGCGGAGTCATTATTTTAATCGATCTCCCGCAGTGTGTAACAATGTTTGTACCTTGTCTTTTGTGTATTGCTTTACTTCACCCTTTTTCAGGTCCTTTGTATCTTCTTTGGCGGGTTTAGGAAAGGTACGTAAACAACCCCAGAAATCTATCCAGAGACTCTCGGGAGTAGCATACACAGGACGGTGTTGAACTAAGGGACCGACCCAACATAATTCGAAAAAACGAAGAAAGAGGTTGTAATTAGTGACACCGGCAACAAGGTCAATAACTAAAGGAGGTTAAGTTAGTTACTAGGCAATAATTTGATAAAAAAAAAAAAGCTTACTCCTGTTTCCGTTTGTGAACCCAAAGGGAGTCATGAAAACGGCCAAGAGTAGTGGAATGGACAAGATCTGTTTTATAGCACTTGGAAACTTGTCATGAGGAATGACAACAAGACCTGCCAAGAGTATACTTGGTATAACCAGTATCACTGGGTAGAGTAAAAACGGTAATACTATTCGGTTCTCTCCACCGATAAATATAGATAGTAATTCGTTCATATATTAAATTTGTATAAAAAGAAAAAGAAGAATGAATTTAAAAAATTTTACAAGTCTAAATAAAAAAAAGTTTGACTTTTTTATATGAAAAAAAAAACATCCGTGCACTGGATTGAATAAATAAAACATTAGCTAATATTTTTACTATTTTGGCAACTTGTTGGGGATAAAAAACGAGTGCTAAGTTTATTCAATCATTCGATTTATTTTATTATTTTTCTCACTGTTGATTATCCCTCAGATGTAGAAAGAACTCTAAACCGTTTCTTGTTATTGTTTACAGTAAGCATAACTTTTACAAGTCATTTTTATTATGAATAAGAAATAAATAAAAAAAGTTGGGTACAATACACATTTATTGGCCCAATGTACTCACTTTTTGGACCTTTCAGTGCATTTACATGTTCTATTGGCTCTGTGAAATTTTCATGTGGTGTAAACTGTTACACTGGCTTCTGTAAGCACCAATACACAATGGTCGGAAAAACGTTATTGCCTTTGGCTTTCCGTTACCAGTTTTTTGTTTTTTTTAAAAAAAAAATAAACAGGCACAAGTCATTTTGTGTATACTTTGCCAATTTTCAAACATGCGAGTTATAAAAATGTGAGAACTTACAACACTTTTTGACATATTAAGACATCGAGGCAGGTGTTTGCCGTTTTTCTTTGGTTTCTTGGTGGCACACTTAGCGAAAACAAGGCAGAACCAACAGTGACCAATGTAAAAGTAAGCCCAGCCACATCAAACATGCAATGGAATATAAATTTTACAGAATAACTTGAACACGTTGAAAATAAGAGTTTAAACTTGAAAATCGATGCTGCGATGTCAGATATCTCCTCTTTTGTGGCATTGTTCAAATAGCTATATTGTGTATGAGTATGTTCTTTTGAGCGTAAGTCCTTTGTGCTTTATAAGGTAATGAATCTCCTTCGCAAAAAGTGTATTCGTGAAGCTAAAACCTCTGCCATAACTTTTTTTTTTTTTTTTTTGGGAATAAGCTACAAACACAGTGATCAGGTTTCATGTGTTAATAATTATGTACGGCATTAAATATTGGTAACTTTCTATGTCATAGTTCAATTCCAAAACATTATAAAAAGATACAGAGGCTAGACCATGCAATGCCTTGTTTTTGAATATATATTATTAATACGGACCGCTGGGCATGACACCATATTGCATGGTGTGTTTGTTGAGTGACTTTTTAATGGTCGTTTATTATTTTCAAGATTTACAATCCGCTATATTGCTAAAAAGTGATTTTTGATTTAACCTATATAAAGGTTTGTCGTTAATCCCTCGAGATAACTTGTATAAAACCAAGCAGTAACTCAATTGGAGCATAAAGCCGCCAAGAAGTTGTTACTTCATATTTATTCTTTTACAAATCAACAAAGAGCGGCACCCTGTTTAGTACGACCTCACTTTCTAAAAGAAAAAAACTGCGACTACTTTTTAAATTTGTCTGTACGACATTGTTTTTAGGCAATACGTGTACAATGGTTCTATACAAAAATAGTAAACCACAACGCATTGTTTCCAGCGTGAGTAACTTTCGTGAAAATCTTTGTCCATGCCAAAGCAAAAAACATAAGAAAAATTACAGTGTGTTTTTCAAAAATCACACTTAAAATACATGTATAAAAAAAATTATTTTTTTATGTAGCGCAAGGTGCTACACGAAATTATTGATTTATTAGTTCTCATCACATCTTTCTTCCCTGTTCACCTCTCTTTCCTTCTTGTATAACCTTTTTTTAATCACATTTTACTCATGGAACCCCCTCGTCGACCCAACAAGAGTAGGCTAAGAACCATGACGGATGGGGTATCAAACAGTAGCGGTTCTATTCGGTCAGAAGAGTCACCAACGAGCAGTAATGGATCAAGATATCAGAGTTCGCCCACACCCGGTAAATATTCCAGTCGATTCACCGAACACTTCGAAAAAAAAGACGTTTTATTAAACGAATATATAATATCGCCATTAAAAACTAGACCTGATATGCGTGCCTCAAAGAGTCTCAGTTCCACCAAGAACAACGATGATTTGCACTTGCCTCTAGACCATCTGCTGACAACATCCACCTTACCTGCTAAAAGAGTCCCATTGACCTCATCCATTTCAACCCCCCTTCAAATACCCAATAACATCAAACCGCGAAAATTTGGAAGTAATGGTTCAATTCTCACAAATGCAAGTAAAGTCTCTCTCAATCCCTTAAGTTTAAACCGTGCTGATGTAATCATCACTCGCTATGAGAGCTGGCTGGTCTTTCTTAAATCAATCACAAATTGGGTGGAAGAAGTCTCCAAAATTACCATTAACAGTAGTCGTGGTTATTACCAAAGAGCCTACCCATATCTGGATGAATCATCCGCCATATCCACTACCACAACTACAAACGATGCATCTACGGTGGTTCAACAAAACGTCAATCAATCAATTCTGACAGTACAGGCTGGATTCCAAGTGCTGACAATGCATATTGCCGCTGAACAACAAGCATTTTCGAAATGTCTAGAACGTGATTATTTGCCGAGTTTAAACAAGTTGAGAAAGGAGTGCAAAGAAAAGATACACAAGTTGAAAAGTGATCACGGGTTGGCTTTAGATGAATTATTACGTCGTGCAGAAGTAACAAGAAGTAAAATGACTCATCTTAGTCGTTGCTGTAAGCAAGCAGACAAGGGACAAGGTCAGCTAGAAATGGATCCTTGGGTAGCTAATTTATGTAAGTTCGGCGGTTCTTTTTTTAAAAAAAAAAAGTAGTGGTAATTAATCATATATAGTGGTGTTGAGACAATTGAAAAAAGAAGTGGATGAGGAAAATCGACTAAGACTATTAATGATACCTATCCAACAAGACGCCCAAGCATTTGAAAAAAGATTATTAGACCTTGTAAAGCCAACCGTTCAATATTGTTACGAAACGTTAGCACCGGGGATGTGGGATGGAACTGATGATAAAGATACAGCGCCGTTTAGTTTATTGATGGATCAAATCATGCCAAACTTTGAATGGGATCGTTTTGTAGAATTGCAGAAGAAGGATTTGGTCAATGAGAAGCATCCAACGAAAGATTATTTAAGGATCAATTATCCTAACAAGTTTCATCCCATGGTCATGACTCTCATGAAAGGCAAAATGGAAAGAAAATATGGTGTGCGTAAACAGTTTACAGATAGAAATTATGTGTTGAGTCAAGGTAAAAGTGATGTAGCGTGATTCATATGCGCTTTACTAAATTAAACCCCCCCCCCCCCATTTGATAGGTGGGTATCTTCATCAGTTTACAATGGATGATAAAGTCTCACCTGAGAAAACATTGTATATACCCAGTACGACTATCGTTCCATCCATTGATATACACCAAATATCCAGTCTAAATCAAGAAGCCGTTTTGGAAAATACACTGTTGGATAATTCCAACACGTTTGAAATATGTAAACCTGCTAGTAATGTACTTCAACGGGATAAAGTAGCTGTTTTCCGTACCTCTAATCGCCAAGAATTAATTGCCTGGTGTCGATTATTGATTCATTTCTCAAGTGGCATCAGTTTGCAAAAACTAGGTGTAGTTGAAAATGACGTATTTACAAATCACTCTTCCTCTAGCTCTTTTGAAGTCGACAACTTTCCTATGCCAAAAAAACTCGTATTGGATGAATCTCCTACGCTCAGCTTAAGATCTGTTAAGACTGAAGAGTCTTTCAACGAACCTCTTATCATGAACAAAAAGAATGACAGTCGTCCACCACCTACCAAAGCTTTGTCTGTACTCACTGATGATGGTTTAAGAACGCCGACCGCCACATCGTTTCAAGTAGATTACAAAATACTTGCAAAAAAAAATGACGCTACTGATACAGAGGATGCAAACAACAATACGGATGCAGAATCTTTTGTGACAGCAAAGTTTAATGACAATGCCACAAATCAAAATGATAGTGGCAACGATGACAGTGATGATGACGATGATGATGATGATGATGATGATGATGATGATGATGATGATGAAGATGGTGATAACCAGCTCGTGACGTCTAACGATTATTTCAGTATACCGCTCCGAGAAGATGACGCTGTTAGTATTGCCTCCGCATCTACTGCCAGAGGTCCTAACAGCAGACATGCGGAATCTCCTACAGAGTCTGTCACCCCTGAATTTGTAAGCAGCGCACCTTCTATCGTTAGTACATCTGAATTTGTCAGCATAGCACCCTCCATTGCTAGCACAAACTTTGATGATGCACAATCTTCCCTATATTTCTCATCTGGTTCAGCTCCAGCATCGCCTATTGTTTCAAGCCAATCGTCGATCGTGTCTATTCCAGATTATCACCTCGTACCTGAGGTTACTTCCATTGGATCTTCATCATCTAATAATACCCAACTATCTCCTGCACAACTATATAAGGCTAACTTAGCTTTTAGCTATGATGATAATCAATAATTATTTTAACATCATTATATTATTATACATTTATTAAAGTTTATAAATAAATTGATCGTCCTGCTTATCGGTAATATCAATGCTTTCTTCGTTATGGTTTTCCAATTTCTGTTTGGGCTGACGTAATATGTTTGCTTCTGACATGGTACGACGTGCAATAAGTAAAGATAGGATACATACAAGATTTGCTCCTATATAAGTTATAAGCCCACCAATGTAAAGGGGACTCTGGCTTGGTATCATCAATTGGGGACCGACAAAATTACCAATGGCAGAAAAAAATACCATAGAACAGTTGTAAAAGATTTTCTTAGTATATCCTGAAACATTGTTTGAGATGGATGTCATGACCAAGACGAGAGCACCAATATACGCAACGCATATATAAAGTCCAATAAGTTTAGCTTGGTTGATTGGAATGACCAATACCAATATTAAACCAACCACAGAAATAGAAAGCATGCCACAGCCAGTGTACATCATGCTATTCTTGAATTTGTTATGACATGTAATGGCAATAAAAATAAAAATACAATACATCGCTCCAGATGGGACACCGAGCAAGATCGTGTTTAAATTCTAAATAGCACGATGTCAATTAATATCTTTTTTAAGACAACTACAAGAGCTACGTATGTTTACCGAGAAACCAAACCCGCGCGTAATAATTGACCCAAAAACAGACAATGCACCATTTTGAAGTGATACGAAGAATGAAAAGGCAGAGAAACAATAATATCGACATTCTTTCAAAGCTTCTAAAATTTGTTGAGGATTGATTTTACGGGTAGCAACTACAGCATTGTCTTTGATGCGAAGTTCAATAAGTTTACGTTCATCATCTGAGGTTGCGATTACTTTTGCATCATCGATCAATAGAAAATAACAAACAATGCCGAAAGCTACTGTGCCACTTCCTAGAAGGATCATCACCCTATAAATAGAATACGGTCATTTTTATTGATTACAACTGGTTTAAAATCTATTACCATTGCCAAGCTCTCAATTGAGCTACACCCTCCATGTGGCCAATACCATAACATAGGAGTCCTCCAATTGCTATAGCACCACCACCGCTAAGGTAAATAACGCCAATGCGATTAGCTTGTTCTTTCCGGCGATACACTCGACTGACAATCATATAAGCACACGAAAGGACCCCTGCCTCAAAGACTCCGAGAAGGAATCTAAATACGGCCAAATGAGTAAAGTTTTTTGAGGCACTTGTGACTCCGAGTACGATACCCCAAAGCATAGTTATAGCACCAAGATATTTTCCCAAATGTAACTTTTGAATAAAATATGCATTTGGTATCTATAGTAGAAAGCAGGTGTTATTTTTTGACCTATGAATACGCACACACGGTTTCTATTTACTTGACACACGAGATAACCAATAAAGAATATGGAGCCTAGCCATCCGAATTCGAAATCGTTTATATAATTATCCTCCCTGATGCCTAATACAGACGAATAGTTCAGCGCTCCTTTATCAAAAAACTTGGAAATTTGTCAATTTACTAATTATTATTGTTATTTCCATTTAAGATTTACCTGTACGACAATTAACAGGCCGAGACAAGGCATCACATAAATATAATCAAGCTTTCGTACCAACTTTTTTTCCACTTGAATCATTTCATTGGAAAGAGACTCATAGGATTTAATAGAAACCGAACATCTTTCCTGATCGATACTGTCAGAATTCATGTAATGCGGTATTGAGTTCCAGAAAAATAAAAGGGAAGGGGTTCTGTAGGAATGGCCTCTATTATATATTTCGTCAATATTTTTTTTTCTACTTTGGTAAATAAAAAGGGGTGGCATGCTGTTTAATTTAAGTTTTCATCTGTGTTAAGTTGCAGATTGAACATTTTTTTTTCTTATTGTAACAAGTCGGAAAAATCAAAATAACAGTTTGCTGTTTTGAAATATTTAAACAACCTTCCTTTTTTCCTTTAGAAATTTTTTTCTATAATAATTTATGAGAACGGACAAGAAAGTAATTTGAAGTTCACGTGTACAAATGATCGTCTTTTGTTTATACATGATAACTAAACACTAAGACGTAGATTATTTTTATTTTAAAGATTCTTTTCATGTTTTCTTTTTTAATTAATGATGCAGCAGTGGTTTTGTTTAATGAATAGTATAAGAATGATAAGTATGAGAAGAAGAAAAAAATGAATTATATGTATAAGAGTAAATATTACAGTGGTACAGATTAATTTTTAAAAGTATGTAAACTAAAGCAGTTTTGTAGATCTGTTTAAAGACGATAAAGAAAATTGGAATCTTGTACATCACTCAAGTCATCTTCCACATGTGTCATAACGACAGCAGTACACGATAGTCTTTCTTCGTTCACTTTTGCCATTTGATAGCGAGCTATATAAAGCAAGACAATAACTACAACGATAGCACAGATGTAAACAATAACTGCACTAGCATAATTAGGTGCCTGGCTTTCGACAATCATCAAGGGTCCACAAAAGTTACCAATAGTATAGAAAACCATAAGCATACCATTGTAGAAAATTTTTTTGGTGTATCCTGACACGTTGTTTGATATCGATGTAATCATAAGTACGTACGATGCAGGGTAAGACCATGAAAGATAGAATCCAATTAGCTTCAAATGTGGAACTGGTATCACCTCGAGAAGGATAAGACCAATCATGTTGATAACCCCAAGGCCCATGGCTACGTAGATAGTTTGCTTAGTTTTTCCAACGACATAGATAGAACCGATAATAAATGATACATCGGCTGCACCCGTGCCCATACTAAGTAACACGGCTTGAAGACCCTATAAAAAAATTAACTTATGTACTTATTGAGATAGTCTTAAACTTACAGTAAAACCAAACCCCATAGCAAACTGCGTACTATAAGTAGTCATGGCACCATTTTGTAAATTTAAAAGCATACAGCTGACGCAAAAACACCAAAAACGAATCTCCTTAAGAGCTTCAAAGATGTGTTCTTTCTTTATCATGGTTGTGCGAACAACTGCATTGTCTCGTGTTCTTTCTTCGACCAGAATTTCTTGTTCGGCATTTAAGCTTAATACAGACGATTTAGGGTTATCGATCAAGAAGAAAAAACAGAACAGGCCTGTAAATGATGTTATTGAACCAAGAATGATCATGATCCTGTTTTTGAAGCGTCAGCTGCATTACCAAGAGAGAGCAAAAATTGATAATGTATACGTACCATCTCCATTTGGCCATACCAAGTGCATTGCCCATTTTATCAATACCGTAGGTGATGAGCCCTCCTACAACTAAAGCTACGCCGTTACAAACCCAGAAAGCACCTAGACGAGCTGCCTGTTCATCTCTGCGGTAAAAAGTACTAACCAAAAGAGTCAGCGAAGGATAAACGCCTGCTTCGAAGAAACCCAGTAAAAATCTCATGGCGGCTATTTGAGAGAAATTCATTGATGCAGCAGTGCAGGCTAAAACTGTACCCCATAAAAAAACGATGGTACCAATGTATTTTCCAACTGAAACTCGCTGTAAAAAGTAATTATTGGGAAACTAAAATCAAATTAATGAATAATTTATCTTGATAAAAATATGCTAAATATTAATTACCTGGAAAATAAAGTAACCTAAATAAAAAATTGATGCGACTAAACTGTAATGATTTCCGTTCAATTTGAGATCTTGTTTCAAGTCTAACGCTGCGGCATAATTGATACATGATTTATCTAGAAACTGTAATTACGTCAATTTTTGACATTTAAGATCATGTATCTCCGAATTGTACCTGGAGAAAAATGATGACACACACTAGAGGCATCAAAAAAAAATCAATTTTTCTGACAAGCGATTTTTCTTCAATTGACATGGGTATATCACTATCGTCGTATACTCCATATCGATCAATAGTTTCTGCATCGTCTTGATAATTTCCATATAATGCGTTATCTGAAAGTTTCTCCATGGAGTTCATTTGTCTATCTGACGCAGTACACGTCGTTGATTGAATGGATTTGGTGTCGAAAATATTGGGCAAGCAATAAAGCAAGAAATGAATAAAAATTAAATAGCTAGGTTATGCTTTCACTGGCGAGAAAAAAATATTTAACAAGAGAAAAGAGATTAAAAAAGAAAAGGATGAAAGAAATTTTTTGGCTAATGAAATAATTTAGTGTAACTGTATTTAGATAGGAGCAGGATGGTGTTCTGTTTTAAACATTATTATACTTTGTGTACTGTGCCATTTTTCATTTTGACAGATTTAAATATTTACCGGTTGATAATTTGTATCACCAAATGGTTATATATAGGATACGAAATGCTCATTCTCTTGTAACGGTAATTTTTTGCACTTACATACATGGTCGGCACTCTTTTGCAACTCACCCAAATGCCATCAATTGGCCAAGTCCGACAATATACACATGCAGTCTTACATTTAAGGCATCTGAATGCAAATAAATATAGTACCACTTAGTAGCAAGCAAATAAAATAAAGCTGTTAGAAACACCATTAAATATGAACAGGTAGAATTTTTACTGCCTTATTAAAATGAAATTGTACAAAAGTATTTTTACACCCAACCTAAATTATTCATTCTCAGATATTTACGAAGGCAGGTACACAAGGTTTCTCCCAGAAAAAAAAAAAGAGCTTCACATGTCTTCGAACTCCGAGGTTGCACCGCATCTACGCTTTGATTACTGAGGACATAGTAACTCTAACCTCTCTAGTACCTATGCCATATTACACTAAAGCCAAAGCTGTCTTCAGTAGTATATAAACTACATAGCTCTCAATGTATGTTGTTATGCATAGCATTTTAAAAAGCTTTCAAAGAAGTTTAAGCTATACTCCATACCAAGTGTAGTTCGTACACTGGAAAATATCAAATTAGCACTCCAAGAAACGTATATAGACGATTCCTTGAAATCCGAATATAAAAAGTATAGATTGGACCCTTGATTGTATGAATAAGAAGAAATTGAGCATTGATATCATCATATAAATATGATTGATACAATCTTCTGCACTTACATAGCAGTTTACAAAAATAATGCTCCAAATCTAACGAAACAAACCAAAACATTTGTAAAAGAAATAGTTACTAAAGTGTGAACCCATGTTACGTTAAAATAATAAACAGTATCTGATCGTACAGCAGTACGACCTAATTCTAACGTGTAGCTTCATAACATAGTATAATATTAACGAATGAACTCAGCAGTAATGATTTTACATGTAATCGAACCTATCAACTATATAGAACGATCCTTATATATCATATATTTCTGACCTGTCTCTTCAGTTCGGTTATCAGCAGATAATCATAGCTTCTTATGCATATACAAAACGTTTTTGTGATAACTAAACAAGGTTTTAAACAAGAAAAGGTCTGAAACATTCGACTCTCACGCCCTCTGGTTAAACATTTAGTACAAGATGTTCCGACAGCTTGGTGTCGTAAGGCAGCCAAACCTCGTACAAAAAACATCGAGCTTTACTTCATAGTGTTAAATGACCTTATATTTAGTTTCTGCTAACACAAACACAAATTAGCTTATACAACATTTACTTTTATTAAATATTAGGAGATAGCCCCTTTGCTTTCAGCACAGTCGTCTTACAAGCAGGCTGAATGACTTGCCAAATTAGTTTCTTTATGGTCAATTTTCCATTTGTTTTGCAATAAATCCTCATTGAACCACGCCGTTACGTTAAGTAGAAATTTCAATAAGGTTTTTTCCTGCATGCAGTACTTGATTTTTTTTTTTTTTTTTTTTTTTTTTTTTTTTTTTTTTTTTTGCAAAGAACAGTGACACAATCCAACAGCTGGCTTGATTTCGTTTAATACCTCCAAAAAAGGAAACAATATACGAGTTTTTTTTGTAACACGATCGTGTACTGCAACAAGATACACAAAGATATGCATACAAGAATTGTAAACGTGATTCTTATAGATCGTGTTATAATATCCTGATGACGTATGGAAACAAGGTTTTTACGAGGAACCAAATGACATAGAATTGGTATATTGATACACAACAACCTTTTCTTATTAGCTCTTTTGCTATAATTGTAGACCGGTATTGAGCTAAGTAATACACTAAGAACAATAGAAACCGTAGTCTTGTTTTTTTCTACAATGTCTAAAAGAGGACTAACCCCGGAATTAAAAGGAAAAGTGGACCCATAAATTTGAATCACTACGACTAAAAGCGTGTGTAAATCATGGATTCGTGGATCTTTAATTTGCAGACACTTCAACGTTAGGATTTGAGAAACAGGGGAAAAACGAGAATCCCTGAAAAATTGAAATGATGTTTTCACTTATACGGTAATGGTAGAAAGTCAATTTATTATTAGCACCCTTTTTTTTTTTTTTATTATTATTATTATGGGTATTATTATTAGTCTAAATAGTAATAGTAAAAGGTAGGAGGACTATTAAAGTCTATAAATGAAGTGAGGGTTTTCAACATCGGTTAAATCCTTCGTAGTGTCAATCTTTTCGGTAGATGGGTTTTCTAAACGTTGCTTGTTGACTTTGGCCATGGAATAACGAGCGTATTGTAAAAGAATAATACAAATGACATCGGCAGCCATATAACCAATCATACCACCAAGATACAAAGGCTTTTGGGAAGATACCATCATTTGAGGACCAGCAAAGTTACCAATGGTGTAAAAAACCATGATTGCACTGCTGTAGAAAATTTTTTTGGTATATCCGGAGACGTTGTTTGTCATAGCAGTAAGGAAAAGGGTATAAGAAGCTGCAAATGACCAACACATATAAAGACCTAAGAGTTTAACTTGAGGAATAGGGATTACGACAAGCAGCAAAAGACCAATAATAGCAATGACAAGTAAAATAGAAGCAAGGTGAAGAGAGTTTCCATATCGACCGTTATACCAAACAGCAAAACCAATGTAGAGACAATCGACGACACCAGCAGGTACAGTAAGTAAAATAGCATTAAGGCTCTAATTCATTAAATTAATTAATTGGGATTAAACGTTGTTACTTAAACTTACGGAAAATCCAAAACCAGCAGTAATAACAGAACTGAAAATACCTAGGGCACCGTTTTGAAGATTATAAAGAAGAGAGGCAAAAATAAAACAATAAAAACGAGGCTCTTTAAGAGCTTCAATCATATGGTGGTATTTGATTTCCTTGGTAACAATGGTTGAATTATCAATAGTACGAAGAGCAACGAGCTTTCTTTCGTCCTCAGTCAAATGAAGGAGCTTAGACTTGGGGTTGTCTGCTAATAAAAAGAAGCAGCCAATACCGAAAGCCATTGTCACTGATCCAAGAATGATCATAATCCTATTTCAAAAAATGGGTTAGTTTGCTTATTTTTATTGTATATACTTGATATATTTACCATTGCCAACCATTCATGCCTCTAACACCCATCATATGGCCAATACCATAGCCAATAAGACCACCAATTGCCATAGCAATACCGTTGCAGATATACACACAACCAATACGACCGGCTTGTTCGTCACGACGGTACATAGAACTAATGATCATCATACAACAGGGGTAGATACCGGCTTCAAAGAAACCAAGTAAGAAACGGAGAGCGGCCAATTGGGAAAAGTTTTTTCCCAAACATGTGACAGTAAGCACCAAACCCCAAACGACAATAAGCACACCAATGTATCTTCCAATAGGAAGTCTTTGAATGAAGTATGTGTTAGGGACCTATATATTAGTAATTAGTAAAATATACGCACAATGTAGTCAGCAATCATAATATATATGTACCTGATAAAGTAAATAACCAAGATAGAAGATGGAACCTAACCAACTGAACTGACTGTCAGTTAAATGAGCATCTTCTTTAATACCAAGCACAGCAGAGTAATTTAAGGTCGACTTATCAAAAAACTGCAAAAAATTGAGAACAGCAATGCAGGGCATAACATAATAGAAATCGAGCTTCCAGATCAAAGATTTTTCTGCAGCCTTAAACTCTGGGGTAAGTTCATTAGCAGATTCTTCACTATTAACAGTTTGGACATCGTATGCTTCTTTTTTCTCTTCAAATGAGTAAGCCCTTTCATCAGTTACTTCATTTGACATTTTTAATTGTTTACAAAGAAAAGAAAGAAACGATTTTTTTTTTATCGTGACGAATTTATGTAGAAATTATTGTGAGTTCGGAGCTCATACCGAGTGTTTCTTTAATATTAGTGCTACGATGCTCTCCAAAACGACCAATACACAAGCAAGAGAGGACTTTTAAAGCGAAAATCTAAATTCTATCTGCATCGTAATCAATTAACACTGTTTACTAGTTCAGGTTCAATTTCATAAGGCGCCATTGCACGTACATGTTTGAGTTACAACAGGTAATGCCAAATAAATTGCTTTCCGAATATAACACTTTGGTTACAGTTGGAAAAGAACATACCATTTTTAAAGTTTTCATCTGATCGGAGAAGAAAATAAAATAGATGAGAAAAATAAATTTGGAGATGAACATTTAACAAATCAAATCGAATAACATAAATCACTTACAATATTTGACTGTTAGAAAAGGGTGGAAAAAGCTAAAGTATTGTATTCATCGGGCAGGTACACACATCAAAAATTATCGATCAAACCATAAATTAGGTTTTTCTTGTACTCAATTAAAAGACTTACGGAACCATTTTCTCTCTCCTTGTTGAATACACATAACATTAGTCACGCTGAATAAATATTGGATAAAAGTGATACAATGCATCCATTCTATAATGGACATTTTTTTGGAATATTTGTGCAAGTCCGATTTTTACTCTAGGTTTTGTTTTTTAGTTTAGGGAGTTTGAAGCGGGATAGGTATATTGGTGTAACCAGTAAGTCACAACGTGTCTAACTCGGAATTTCCATAACAGAGATCCCCACTGCAAATTACAAGTTTTGTATAACAAATTGTGCAAAAAACAGAAAACTTGTCCCCATGAGTTCTTCTCTGAAGCGTGAATGTTTTTTCTATTTGGTTTTAAGTTAAATTTATCAATCAGTAACATTTTTTTTTTGAATAATATTGGTGGAATCAACTTAATTACTTTAAGTTTGAATAATGTAGAAAAACAACAACTGACTTTATGTTTATTTGACAGACTTATATGGCAGCAATAGGTTTAAGCTTACTTTTATGTCCGCAGAGACTAATAAATCATCATTAGTAAATATGATTGGAGTAAGTGTACTTTTACATGATAAGGTATACCTCATGACTTTTAGACGATTATACGCAATTCTTAGAAATACCGGCATTTTATTACTATAGTCACCATTTGGGTAGGGTATTGTAATTTGCCTAAGTGTTTTATACGAGTTATTGTTGTATCGGGATACTAACAGCCCTTAGACCTCACAAATAGCTATATATAACAGCAACCGCAAATCCCTAGAGAAACGAATCCTTTCTTATAACGTATAAGCCTAAATTTGGCTCGTGAGAGATAAAAGATCCCAATTTATTAAATGATGAATTATATTTAATTTATAAACGGGGTCGAGTAATACAAGGTATTACTCGACATGTCACGTAGCATTTAGAGCTTGAAGACTATGGATGGTAATAGCGGATACTGCTTTTATTTCATCTTAATTCGACCATTCAAAAATGCTACACAACAGTACATAATTAGCCGGCGAATCCATATTTATCTAGGAGATTTTATTGTGCAAGCAAACTTTAATAAAGTTACTTATGATATGTGTTCATCTTGAATGTTATGTCTGATACTGTTAAAATCGTTTCTCAAACTAGGGTACTTATTGATGAAATTATTGCGCATATCTTTATTAGATATAATGGGTAACTTAACATAGCCATCTGATATTTCTTCGCTATCATCGCTTTTTATGCCGGTTTCAAAAGCGCTTTTCTTAGGGACAGCCAAAGTGCACGTAGTCGCAACGTAAGATCTATGGTTTGGATGTTCTGTAGACATGGGAACAAGGATATACAATCAAAAACAATGTAAAAGTTACAAATAAATGTACATCAAACGATTTATACTTATTATGACAATTCTATTATCACTCTTTCGCCTTTGAGCTCGTTTGAATTAAATCTTACGCAGAAATATTAATGTAAAGTCCAAACGAGAAGCTGAAAGTTAGCTTTAAAATACATATACTGGTTTAAACTATGTTAGTTGTGATAAATGTGTATATATTTCAAGTTGTTAAATTCTATTGACCTCTTGATATCTATTAAAGTATCATAATCCCAACATTACGACTATGTGCACCTTGACTGTCCCTAAGAAAAATGGCTGTCCCTAAGAAAATTTGGCTGTCCCTTAGAGACCCGTTTCAAAAGTGTCAAGCTCCCAACTTGTCTTTTCGACTAAAGCGTAGATTACTCGTGATCAATGACGAAGAAGTTTCCAATCAGAGTCTTTGAATTAATCAGGCGTATACCAAATATGACACTGCATTACGACCAATTTCTTCAATAAATGACAGCTTTCTTTTTTGAATTTGTAGTATTAATAATGTTTGCTTGGCTCGACTTTTTTTTTTTGCCATGATAATAAAAAGAAAATGTTCGTTGTTATTTTATTGGGAGTTTTATTTAAAACTTCCATATCTAATTGAATGAATGTTAGATTAACAACAAATATCGTTCAAAGACTTCATCAATTCATAATATGCGTATTAGCATACTCCACATCTGCTTGCAACCGTTTATTTCATAAAAGCTGTAAGAAGTATTTATAATTCAAACGGAAGATCCTGCTATTAGAGTGCTTTCGATAGGGCTAAAATCCAACTTCCCATAGTAATCGTAAATTTTATATCAAAATCATCTTGCTTGCTACCCGAAAGCATTGTAAAACTTTGCCCAACTTTATATTTGTATGCCCGAACTTTTTGTAAAATGTGTCCTGAATTTTAAAGTATTGTCCTTTGGAAAAAACACATTAAAGCTTTTTCAATAACAGCTCAATAGCCCCACCATATCTCCCATCTTTCATAGTTTATTAATCCGACGTTCTTCTACAAGGCGAATTAACAGAGTTTTTCGAATCCTTATTAATAGATACTGCTTCTAGGGTCGACTTCTCTAAATCGAGAATAAAAGTATGTAAAGAACTGTACGTAGAGATCATTATATAGTGATGATTGTCAGTCATATCAAATTTAAATAAATCGTATCTGAAAAACTTACCGAAGAAATTTGCATGTTAAATTATAGTTATATAATCGTACCTCAACTGTATTGGTTCATCTTCTGTTGCTGATTAAAAGTACCAAAAATTACATTTTCCAACCTTCTAAAGTTTAACGTAAACTCTTCGTTTAAGGCTACACCTGTAAATATTTTATCAGTAATTACCCCAATCGCGACAGGGCCATCTTATAAAACAAAACAAGTAGTAAATGTAGATTCAAACCCCATGAGGATATTATTGTGAATCAAAATAAAATTCTAGACGTGATGAACTTTTTCTCTCACTTTAATCGAATTTTGAGTAAAGTTTAATGGTGTTTATGTGTTACAATTGATAGTGGTCCACGCAAATAAATGTGTATATCAACCTTGAACTATACCTGCTACATTTCGTGTCTATACTATGTCTCCAATTGACTAGCATCGTGTAACTTATAAATGCAGTTCCTCTTTAATAGGCCCTTGTAGTGTTTGACAAAGTCTTTGTACCGTTCGGGTACGACGTGCACAAAAATAGACATCGTGGTAGCAATAACTTACAACAAATATTCTAGATTGCACACTTTTCGGTAACGTTAGTCTATTTACCATATATGAACTGGGTGTTGTTACATTGTACAGTCATAATATGCATTACTGAGTACCCCCCCTTTTTTTTAAAGCTTCAGCTGAAATTAATTTTCACGATCACAGAGAAATCTCCTTTGTTTTTCATAGAACAATAATTTCTTCTAACAGGTCGAAAATCACATAATTCATGATCTTGTTTTGTCGTGTATTTAGTTTTTGATTGGTGTATCACAATTGAAATTACGACTTTTTAGCCTGTGCAACTAACAGATCTTCAGGTTGTACACCGACTTCGTGATGCCATTTCTCATAGAAAACCAAATCCCTATGCTAACACAGCTATGAAATGTACCTGATTTGTTTGGATTCAAGATTTATGATATTATCGAAAAAAATGATTGTACCTATTACTTTAAGTCAAACTTATTGACGGCTCGTATTTTTTTTTTTTTTTTTTTTTTTTTTTTTTTTTTTTTTTTGGTTTTTAAAGGAATTATACAAGAATGTAATTGGTTTATTGTTTTATATGTATGATACATGCCCAGGTTTCCCGGAAATTAGGATTACTACTGGAATTAAAATAAAATAATAATTACTGACATTACTAGAACTAACAAGGTCATTGTGCCTCTATAGTTTAAGCTTCTATTTGTACCATTGTCAATCAAAACATGGTTCGTTGGTAACATACTGATGTGATGAGGAGGGGATGATGTGCCATTGACTGAGGCGGCTGAAAGCTTTTTAGACGATATAGAGGGTGGCATCACGTCATTTAAACTGGATACTACGGATAGCGCATCGCCAATAGTATAAAAATCTACTTCTATGAAATTGGGTTTCTTATCGAATGCACTTTTACACATATTAACATGATCAGACAGAGATTTCTCATTGTTAGAATTGTGAGCCTGCTCTTTGATCGGGATTTCTATTTTGAGAGAACCCAATTCGATTATACCATATAGAAAATGGTTCATAACGTACATAAGTTCTTTCGGATTCATCTCTTGACCAATTCTATCCACATTACAGTTGAATGCATTTATATCAGTGTTATCATACGGTGTTTCAAAGACATGGGAAAATTGATCCATTAACCTAAATAATCGTGTTAAGTTTAGAATGATGGAAATCTCATGCTAGATTTTACCATGGTACTTGTTCATTGTCTGCTTCTGCATCAATAAAATTTACGAGACGCTTTCCAGTTTCAATCATTCTTTGAAGAGTGGGCCAATCGTCAGATTGTTCGTGATAATAAACTTTCGGCATAATGTCGCTGGCTTGATAGACTGCAGCAATTTGTGTGGCCTTAAAATTATACAAGTTATTCCACATAATAGTTACAACTTCTTTTGGGTTTTCATCGAGCCAGCTATTAATTTTATTTAAGGTGTCTGTTGCTAGTCCTGCGTCCAGAATGTGGCAATATGTATGACAGAGATGTATAATCGAATTATCCTTTGTGGATGGTGCGGCAGTGAGCTTAATTCCCCGAACACCATCGTTAAGCTGGTCCACAATGGTGGTATCTTGAGTGGCCGCAATATTTGGAGAAAGCGCATAGGAATCGTGCGTTATTAAGTGTGTGATATCACTATATGAACGATTACAGAGACTTTCTCCGCCATTACATTCTGCCATGACTATACCCACTTGGCACAAGAAACATGTAATATATACTAGATACAAATGCATATTGATAGTACAATAAGTAGCTAAGCAAGAAAGAGAAACGATTATTGGATAAAATATTGCTATGAAAGATTTAGCGTAACGTCCATTAAATGTTTTTTATCGGAAGAAAGTAAAACCAACACAGCTTCAACATTTTAATATTTTTTCGGACCGATTGAAATTTGAATTTTTCAGACAAATTAAAAGATGTCCATAGTAAGTACTGTTTTTCCTTAGAAATAAGTATTAAGATCATCCCATGTACCATATTTGGGAGTTATTCCTTCCAAATAAACTCCCTTGGGAGTTATCATCATGCTACTATTAGCTATACTAACGTCTCCCTGCTATATTTTGTAGCATTGTATACCGAAATTCTCGAAGTGATCAGTATATTCTTCTTTTTGATCCTTATCGAGAAGTGCTGGTTTCAAGGTCGAATAGCACAAAAAAAATCTGGCCTTTCGATACTTAAGCGTTTATAATCAAGACCGCCGCAAAACTTTAATATATATCGGCAAAGATAATTTTCTTTGATGGCTAATATTTTTTAAAGCCTATTGGAGTACATGTTTGATAAAGCTTAGCGTCTAGTTAAATATGAAATGTATTTATTAAGCTGTCCGAATAGTCTTTACAGTTAACATTTGCCTGTTTTTATAGTGTGAAAACTGTAGTAAGACTTTTCTTTTGATTATCTTCGAGATGTAAAAAAGCTTCCGACTCCAGATGATACAGCTCTTCCAAGTAACCCAGTAGCTCCACTTCCGAGCGAGCCCAGTGCTGATTGAGTAGCCATTGTCGTTGCCCACTTTCTCTTTGCGTCTTTATCGCATTGAGTGTAACCATAAACATTTGCCCCACTCATGGCTATAGCAATTGCTACAATCACTAACCACGATACTTTAAACGTAATTATACAAGACAAGGCCAATAAACACCACACAATAGGAGTTGCGTAAAGAACGGTCCAAAATAATTGAGAATCAGCTCGATTAGGTTTGCGGTTAGGCTTTATAGAACATCGTTAGCTGTTACAGAGTTCCACAGCATATTAAGAAACTTACGTGAGCACTTTCAAATACCCATTTATTTGATCCATCAGGTTGTATCTCATTCCACCAACGCAATCCAACTAATAGACGTCCTGAAACATTTTTAACAGTCCAGAAATCAAAAGCCAACTGTAAAATAGCCAAGACAAAGATAAGCGTAAAGTTGTCCGAAAAGATTGAGCCTAGTAAATACGTTAAAATAGCTCCTAAACGAAAAGCTAGAAAAAAAAAGGCTGCTAGGGGATGGCTGTAAAACTATAAATAGACAGAAATCAAAATTCGTTTAGACATTGTACCTTGATTGTTCAAAGTAATCGCGAATGGCACCATTGTTCCTGGATATATTTCCACCACCACCGCTGCCTGATTCCAAATCATCTACCGATAAGCTATTATATGGTAATAATCCAACTCTGCTCTCGTTAGCCTTTAAAAAAAGTTATTGAGTTATTTGCCCTTAAATGAGGTATTTCTGGTATTACCATGCTTGCTGATGCTAAGCAAAAAAAAAAAAAAAAAAAGCTCTCACAAGCTTACGACAAATCGGCGCCTTAATGTCGGCATGAACTAAATCACACACTGAGAGGCTACAGCTTGAGTGCAATGCGCTAAATATTTATAACAGTAGGGCCTTAAAAGACTAAAATTACTGATTTTATTATAATTTCGATCTATACAATACTTAGCCAAAGTTCACGAACTATAAAAAAGAAATGATGTTATAGTAACCTTTGTTTTTACTTTCCTTCTAATGAATGATACCACCCGAGATCATGAGGCATATATATGAATGTACCATAGCTACTTACACTCATAAAACACTAATAATATCAGGTAAAGGAAAATAGAAATAAAGAGTTTTTTTTTTTTTTTTTTTTTTTTTTTTTTTTTTTTTTTTTCATAAATAATATTTTGTATAAGATTAAAAAAATTGTTGCGGCGAACTATTCTTTAGTACTGCCTTCTGAAGGGTTTTCGGATTGTTTATAACTATCCTTGCTATCTTCAATAGGTTCCCCATCCACATCTTGTTGATTCGATGGCTCGTCATTTTGCTGAGAAGGATCGCTGCTTTGTTGCGATTGGTTGTATCCATATTGCTGTTGAGCGCCATAGTATTGTTGATACCATTGGTAGTAGGCTTGTTGTTGTTCAGGTGTGCTTTGTTGGCCACCATAATATTGAGCATAATAAGCCGAAGGGTCTACGGATGCAGAGCTCTTATCATTAGAGCCTGATTTATCATCATCGCCCTTATTTGATGCATCTGAAGATTTTCTATCACTGTTATGGGGTGGAGCGGAAGATTCACCTGACTGTTGATCACCTCCTGCTGTTTGCTCACTGTAATTAGAATATTGGTATCCTGGATATTGTTGGTAGCCTATATATAAATATCAAAATATTAGCGCTGTGGTCCTTAATTATGTGATGAAACCAAAACCGACCATCATTATTAGATCCGTCTTGTCCGGCTTGACTAAATTGACTTTGATCATAACCGTATTGTGCGTAATATTGACTATACTGTTGCTGCTGCTGCTGTTGTTGTTGAGAGTAGTCATATCCTCCATCGTTTCCACCATGTTGGTATCCTGATTGCTGACCATAGTCCTGACCTTGGGATTTATATCCCCCTCTACTGTAACTGTCGTTGTTATTATAACCTTTATATCTTCCTCCTCCACTACGACTGGCCTACATACTAATCAAAACCATGTATTCAACCTTATAATAAATACGTACTTCTGAAACCTTATCCTCTACAAGTTGTTTAGCAATAGCTACACATTTGGGGTCACCCGAGATGTTGACAGTACGCTCTTCAGAATTGGGATCATTTGTAGGATCGATTTTAACACGTGCGCCGGATTGTTCTTGTAAAGCTCTTACTGTCTCACCACCTTTGTTTAAAAAAGATTAAATGATTAACTTAGATCCAGAAAATATTACCATCACATACCTCTTCCGATAATAAGACCTACTGAAGATGCGGGAACAGTAACAAAAATGCGTTCATCATCAGGTCTTCCCATACGATTGACACCGTAAGAGTTGTTAGGGGGGTACCCAGGTGTTTGATCATAACTTCCACCCCCATTTCCATTTCCATAAGGCTGCTGAAGTGCCTGATTGCCCCAATTTCGATTAGGCATAACCTAAATGTGTAAAATGAGCAATCTAACCATTTAATAAAACGTATATTTAAAGTCTCTTACGTTATTGGATCCGAAGACAATATCTTCCACAAGGGTTTTAGCGTGTTGAACAGCAGCCTCATCACCCACAATGTTAATAATTCTTTCATTATTTACATCACCAGAACCATCTGAAGCAATCAATATCTTTGCTTTACTACGTTCCTCAAAATCACGAATGGTTTCACCCCCACGACCAATAACCAGCCCAACTTTAGCAACAGGAATCTTAATAGTGGTAGAGTGTCCACCTTGTCCAGAATTCCCTCCGCCACCCTGATAATCCGAACGTCCGCCTCCACCTCCACCTCCAGCACCTGTGAAACGGTTAGCATCATTATTTTGGGCATCCTCAACCATCTGTCTAATCATATCGCGAGCAATGTTGACTTGATCTGGTTCACCGGTTAAATTGACTTGTCTTTCGTTACCGATAGGATCTTTTTTTTTTTAACAAAAAGTTAGTTGATTTCAAATATTTCATCATAAGCTATTTAAATACCATTAGAAAATTGAACTTTGGAAACACCTGACATGCGCTCGATCTTTTTGAGATTTTCACCGCCTTTGCCAATAAGTAAGCCGACCATATGGTTGGGTACCATATATTCTTCAGAGTGTCCTCCGCCACCATAAGATTGTCCATATGGTTTACGTTCTTCGGAACCCAAACCACCGAATCGTCTAGAATCGCCATTGCCATCTATAATTGTAAGGTCAGTAAATCAAGAAAAGTGGACCAGAATTAAACATACAAGCAGGTCGAGACGAACCACCATCGTAAGCGCTTCTCTTGCTGTCACGATCATCTTGATAAGATCCATAAGATCGCGTGGATGAAGAAGAACGATAGTCTTCGCGATCGTCATCATTATAACCTCTCTTTGTACCTACAAAGTAGTATTAGTATAATGTGATAACAACATCGGGGCAAGCATTTACCAGAAGAAGAGTAAGATGCTGAAGAATTTGAAACAGGAGCAGATTCACCAGCAGATTGTTGCTTTAACTTTTCGGCAATGGCTCTTGCTTTGGACAATGCATCTTTGAAATCAAGTGGTGCACCGGCTTTGGAAGAGGATGAAAGAGAAGGTGGTGGTGGTACAGCCGAGTAGTTATTGCCATCCATATTGCTCTAAATTAACCGTTATTGTTTTAAGAAAAAAGGATTTTTTATTTCACCAGGACAGCTACCCAATTGTTTTTACACCTCCGTAGTGACTGTTTTAAAAGTGATTCAGTTGATCACAATTCATTGTATTTTTTTCTGAAAAACAGCTTCATTGTATCGTCTTAGAAAGTAGAGATGACAAAGTTTTTGAAAGTTAATAAATACTTTACAAGTGATTAAGTACAAGTGAGCACTTTTTTTTTTTTTTTTTTTTTTTTTTTTGAAGATGAAAGAAATCACCTTTTTGTAAGCCTTTATGTGTGCCTTCCAGTAACACAGTATTATTACATAAAGTAGCCAACCAGGATAATGTACCAACAAGAGCTCATTAATGTATCGCAATATCAGATTTTGGGACGAAAATATAGCTGAAAGCACTCTTGATTCGTTCCCTGGGGTTTGAATATCGTCGACTTATTTCTAGGGTTGTTATGATTCTTACTCTACTTACAATGCCATTTTGTTGTAAAATCAAAATGAATCTATGCTGAAGACCAGCTGGGATACATTGAATGATTCTAGAAATAGACCAAGTGAGTTGTCAAAACTCAAAGGGTTATTAATCACTGGAGTTTGCTGCTTAATGTTTTAATTTATTTCCGAATATCAATGCGCATTTTTTTATTTTCAAAAGTGCTCTATAAGTACATTTATCTTTACGGCAACTATTTTGATACACTAGTGTGCAACAATAACTCTATCTTTGTCTGCTAAATCCTTCCAGACCTCAATATCATTTAATCCGTTAATCTGCATTTCTTCCGTCAGCGGCTTAATCTGGTGAGTGCCACCCACTTCCATAAACAGACGTGGTAGATCATTATTATAGGGTCGACAGTGTTTAGCCACCTGAATAATTCTCTTATGAATTCGAGTCCCTTGTTCATCTGCTACTAATGCTCTAGGATCTTCCCATTCTTTTACATCCGGATCTAATGAGTTGTATTCGTCGTGTGTTATGTAAGGCGGGTTTGACACAATCATATCGACAGGTTCTTTTAGGTCTAGATTGAAAACATCCTTTTCTCGAAATTCCACAGCGTTTCGAATGGATAGTTTGTGGATATTCAGATTGTGATTGGCCAACGAAATGGCTTTGTTTGATATATCCAAGCCAATAATTTGAGCTGAATCTTTTGGTAAATGTTTTGCCAAAGCAAGAGCAATGCAGCCCGATCCAGTACATATATCGAGGATTCGCAAAGGTCTCGATTTATCCAAGTACTGGTGCATTAATTGTATTACCTTGTACGTCCATTCCTCCGTCTCCCATCTGTAGAAATTTTAACACGAGATTTCCTCACGAAGCTTTCTTTTTTACCTTGGAATTAGAATAGGTGGTCGTGTAACAATATCCAAGTCGCAAAAAGGTTGACTTCCTAAAACTTTTTTATAAATAACTACAGTCAAAATATCATTGCAATATTCTTTTTTACCTAGAATGTACTGTAAAGGTTTATGATCAAAAACGCGTTGGTTGATATACTTTTCTAGTTGAGTTTGTTCTTGTTCTGAAAGCTTATCATGGATTGCTCCGCCAGAACGGTCCGATATAATTTTCTCTTTCAGCCAAACTAATTGTCTCTTTGCATGGTTTAAATCACCATCGCATGCTGGCAATAACTTTTGAGCCCATTTCAAAGTTTGCTTTACTGGAGAAGACATGACTATAAAAATAAAACTGAACAGGCCTCCAAGACCATATTAAAAAACAGTCCTTACGCCCACTACAAACACAAACGTGACCTTTTCTAGATGGTCCTTTCAAAAAAATAAAAGTCAGCATAAATTTTTGACACTTGTGTTCATTATGATGGGATGTGACATGAAATATTGCCTGTAATCGACTTTGTCTAGTATATGAATATCTCACCTTAAGTTATTGGCGATTTTAATAAAAGTTATCTCTTGGTTTTTGTGGTCTTTGAAGCGTCATTCTCAAGCTCTTGAATTTCTACGCAGCCATACCTATTTCAATTTTTTTTTTTCAAAATTAGCCATTATAAATAACATCCAGCTATCATTATCATTGTAAGCTTAGTATATTTTGCATGTAGTAGTTACCGATACTTTAAAGCCAATTAAACTGGATTGTCTCCCGCCATAATATCTCAATAAAAGACGCATCATATCTAATAGAACGTTCCATAATATTTTACATGTACCCAGTTTGTATAATACTCGAGTGCAACCAAAAAAACTTGATTATCGGCTACTTTACCCAATATAAAAACTAGGCAGCTGCTATGTTCATCAAACTAACGATGTATGTATTAACTCTGTATTTACAATCTCTGTGATTACAGCTCCAATCATTTCATACCTAGTTCAACAAGGTACTCTCTCATCATAAGCCGAATTGGATAGGAACCATTATTATAACCATTGCTTCGGCTACGTTTCATATTTGGGGAACTTATAACAAGTCCAAGTCAAACCAGTAACACCGCTAAAAAAATATATTAATCTGCAAAAGTTTTATATGGAGTACTCAGTTAAATGGTTTGTGTACATATTCATCGGTTTGTTATTTGTTACCTGTTATGTCATATAAAAAAAATGAAAAGTACCCCCACGCAATTAAGAAGAGTCATGGCGTTTAGTTATATATACGGAAGCTGCATGACCACAATTCCGAAGGGAGGAAACAAGATTGGGAAATCCATTGTTACATTTGTGTACACTCTCTTGGCTATTATATTTAATCAATAAATAATCTTTCGGGTGGCGTATTTTTCGAAAGATCTGTCAGCTTTTTTAAAAACAAAAAATCAGTTCATGATTATGGAGGCAGACCCATAAAAAAATTAAGATGAGGGCCGATTGAAAGTTTCTAAGCTTGTTTTTTTTTTAATTGGAACTGTCAACACAATAAAACGTGGATCCAGCTACAAAAAATCTGTTCTAGAATAAACATGTACACGTTTAGTTTAGGGTAACGTCGAATAGGTTCTTAAAAGAGGTATATTTAGGTTAAAGATGTTCGAGAGTGCGTTTCCGAACTGAGCTGGAATTTTCTGAACTTTTGTGTGGGGTGAATGGCGTGTTTATGAAAAAAAAACGACGCTGGCCGCGTGACCTAGTTTTATCGTGAGAGTTTTTTTTTAATAATATTTGGATTTGATATTTGTTATAGTAATCATATGTCGTATAGACATAATTGAAAGCTCTATGCCTGAAATATAGAAATGTTAGTTACAATTGAGAAGGTACAAGTGGTCTGTGTTGAGTACTAAAAAAAGTCGTACTTAGGATCAGCCGTTTTCTCCCGGACCTGTTGTTTGTATAACTGTTGCATTTGTGGTCAGTAACGTGACCCCGAATTACAGTTATTTAATGAGATTTTTTTTTCTATAACTTGGTCTTTCAGTTTTTACCTCTTCCTTCTTTTAAAAAAAATGCCAAACCAACAGATACTTGCAAAGGGACCTTTATATTGGTATTTTATTTCAGGATCAAGGAAAGCTCCGTTACTAACTTTAAAAAATAGGGCTGTACCATTAACTGTAGCCGCAGCTACCGTATACACAGTTTCCAAAGTCAAATCAACTTCAATGGGTCAATTACAACCGTTGCAATATGTCCCTTCTGGTGAACCAAAGTTCGATTCGGCGAACTTGGATAGAATTCGTGCCGAATGGCGTCACAGAAACAATGGTATTGGATTGAGAGATGTTAGGTAAATTGATTAATGGAAAATGATTCATTACTTTTTGATTTGCTCACTGTTATTAATTCTGTTTTTTTTTGTTCCTTAGCCGAAGCGGTGGAGGAGTTTAATTTTGAAAATTCGGTCTTTATCTTTCTTGTCATATCCATGTACCATTAGAAGGAATTACGCTTATTTCTTCATATTCTAGTTCATTCATCATTATACCCTAAAAAATAAAACAAAAAAATAAATAAAAAATCGATTTATTCACTATCTCTCACAGCATATAAAAAATGTTTGTAAAGTAGGATTTCCTTGACATTTTCTCACGTCGGACATCGTACAAGTGGAACAATAAAATGTTTGTGCACTAATATCTTGGTGCTTAATTTGGGTACGCTCATCGTATTCACATGTAAAATGTGATTTTTTTTAAATGCGAGTTTTGTCAACCATCCCAAGGCAATTGTCGGGTATCTAAATTCCCAATTTTTGTTATGGCATTTCCCCTGCATGGCCAAAAGCCAATTATTGGTCTTATCTGAGATGGTATGAGCTTTCAAAGCACATACAATCGAATACTATGACCTGATGTATAGTATGTTTAAGTAGACTCGTGGCGTCACGCGAGTACATACATTTAGCTCTATCTGTGTGACAACCATCATATTTTCGGATGTCATTGATTTGGGGGTATTATAAACAAAGCAATAAACTGACGATTGCTGAAATTACACGCCATTCTCTCTAACTTCAATTCTGGAATGTAATATATCTTTAAATGGTTGAAATCAAACATCAACTCTTAATTTTTTTTCTTTAAAAAACAAAGTGCCCCCCCCCCCTTTGTTGCTTCTTCTTTATACTTTTCCAAATGCTAATCGCAAATATACTAGCAGACCAACACAGAAGAACTGAAACAATTAAAAACGAGCACAAAAGGCTGATGATAGCCTGGGACTTTGAGATCTCTAGAAACTCTATTCCGGATATGAAAAGATTTAATATCAGTAACTTAGAGCATATGGTTCACCTATTCAACAATCATTTAAATCAAATTTGGGACGATTCACAAGGCATGCTTAAATACGAGGAGCATCCCAAAAGCGAAAACGCAAAAGAAAACAACTCTGCCGATGCTGTTTTTTGTACAAATATTGTTGCATTGAATCTTATGAGGCAGTCTATCCATACTAGACAGGCGTTTTTTCAAATTGTAGATGGCACCAACAATTTTTTAGGAAACAGTAACACCGAGGTTTCGGAAAGTTTTATATCTGACTCTACCGTGTCGCAGGATTTGAAAGATTTTAAGGAGGACCGAAAGAACGAACGAGTTTTAATGAACTTTGAAAAACCTGACGAGCATAATACAACTAGAATAGACCATCCAGATATATCACCAAGAAAAATGGATTTTGTCGAGCCAGCAGCATCAATGAATTTAGGAAGACCTATCCGATTAACGAGCTCACCATCCACACCAATAATCAGTAGCAATTGTACCAGCCAGTTTTCATGCTCCCAAAGCTTTTCGCCCGCTTGCAATTATTCGGCTTACTTCCCAAGGATGGATGACATTGACATTGACCATAAACTGTCTTGTTATTTTTGTCAAGAAGCATTACCATTGAAGAAAAGTTTTTCAGTCCAGGATATGAATTCATTCAGACAAAACTACACCACCGACGATGATAGTGAGAAAGAATACCATGATGATAGTAGTTTTGAAATAGCTTCCTTCTATTACAACAGCGACAATGAAGACGAGGTAATTGAGCGCGAAGAGCTTTTGGAAAAATATCAGGATTCTACATTGAGTGAAAAATACCAAATCCCTAATGATACAGAAGGTAGCTCAAAGATAGAAATCGAACAAGATAACAAATCCTCATCATCGTCTATAATTCATTATGATGGGAAGACAAAACAGCTAAAAAAGAATAAAATTAGGCGGTGTAGAAAATCAGTACATAAATATGGTGACATAACATCTACACGGACATCAAGCCACTACTCTAAAGATATTAGCAAAGTCAATGTTGAGTTGTTAACGACATCAAAAGAAAGAAAAAGTTTACACGACAGTACATTGACGACACAAGTTGTATCGCTTTCCAATAAATTGCGAAGGAGCAAAGTTGGGACATTTATAAGTAAAAATTCCGCCAGAACAAAACAGAATGCAAAAACCATCAGTTCATCTCCGAGCAAAAATGTCAATCTTTGCAGAATATTTTCTTCAAGAAAGTCGAATTCAACCTCGCTCATTCATCAATAGAATTTAGTGATTTCAAAAATATATATTTATATTGTGTTATGTTCATGCTTATAGATATGTTTTACTATTTGTTATATTTTACAATGCTAAAGTTATTTCTTCGAGTTTTGTTTCCCTTTAGTTTTAGATCTGGGGGCAAGCCATTGAGTGGGTCCATTATAATACTTACCCAGTAAATATCTTCCTTTTGCAGTTAATTGGTCCTCATCGTGTATATTACGTGTATTTGCCGATACAGAACGGGCAAGTATAACAGGAGGTTCCCCACCACTGATACTTCGCTGGTGTGGATCAATGTGAGATGAGGTATCGGTTGCTAAGTACTGACTGGGGTTATGTAAATTTTCAGGAACAGACCTCTCAAGCTTGGATTCTGACGAAGAGGGTGACTTTTTTGGCTTCGTTAATCTAACAAAAGACGTTAAAAGCGGCAAGTCTGACTTAAATTAAGAACTTACTTGGACCAAATATGATTACGTTTAGGAGCGTTTTCTAGGCTTTCTGATTCATAGTTTTCATGCGAATGAGCTGAATGTAAAGAAACAATATCTCTGTCCAGATATTCGGCTTCTTCCCGAGAACTTTCTGTGTTTTCTGAAGTATTGTCAGCTTCGAAAATAGAAGCAGTACTATGTTTGTCACTTTCGGGGACATAGACAGGAATAGTGTGCAATGAGAGACTTGATTCAATCAACTTGCTGTTTTCTCGCGGATGTCGACGAAGGAGTTTTTCCTTTAAAAGGGCAGTACTATTGTGTAATAATGCCGCCCGCATAAAATCTGATTAAGGCAATTTAGTCAAGTTGCCTATTTATATAGTTTGACTATTACCTTTTTTGATGTTAGAGGCTAATTCAAACCATGACCATGTTTCATTACGGAATTCTAATGTAGGCTGCTCAAACGCAAAATCTCTTAAATCCTCTATATTCTTGTCTTTGGGGCCCTAAATAAGTGTATTTAATATTAACTTCATTAGAATTCAAATAATGGAGCTTACTTGATAGCTGAGACAGTGTCTAGCACCGGGAATTTTGACTAGAATGAACGCCCGATTGCTCGAGGCTCTCTTCTTCATTACTGTCAAATCATCCATTGTCTTTGGTTTTGTTAATTTGTGAATGTTTTGCTTTTTAGACTTTTTGGTAGGATTTAGCGGCAAAGTTGTGGAAGATGTATCAGTTTGTGTATCATGTTCTCCATCATCACGCAAGATCGTTTGACTAGTTCCGTTAATGCTGATACTTGATCTATCTTGATCATTAGGAGGAGTATTTGCAGGTTGTGAGCAATCGAAATTTTTAACGGAGCTAGATGATTTAGATGATTCTTTGTCTGTTTTTTCACTATTACTTGGATGAGGTGTAGAAGTCATCGGAACTGACATATCGGTCTCTGTTTCTTGCGTTATGACTTTACCACTTGTGACCGGTGTCGATACTGATGCTACCATAGGTGTAGATTCTATTGGTTTTAATCTTTTCTCGGGAGGGAAAAGATAATATGCTAATGCTTTGCCAAAGCTATGTGTCATCTGTACTCGTAGAGGATGAAGATTTGTTTCTAGATGTTGTATAACCGGAATTCCACCTACTGGTGCCAATGAAACAAAATAACATCGTAACATCTTGTGTCGAGAAAAGTCATATGGTTTGCGCGAGTCGTAATACGGTCCTAAAACATCCACAAATACAGGTGATGGGGACGTATTTTTCACTTGCACAACATCTACTTCCAGTGTATTTGTTGATGAATGATCTTCTTTACTCACAAAGCTAAAATTGAAGTTGGTTAAGGTCCATTCACTAAGGGGGGTATCGCCTTTAGAAAGCATCTCCCAGACAAGTTTTTCAGCACAAAATACGAATTTTAAATTAGTTTTCGGTTCATGATAATCTCTTCTTTGGTTGCTTTGCATGAGTTTAATAGCCTCCATTCCCAAGTAAAGCTCTTCCAAAGTGTCATACAATGCTACCCGAATAGATTTAAATTCCTCTATGTGTTTACTATCTAGAATAGCCATGTTTTGACGGTATTGATCGCGAGCTTGAATTAGGTTACGTGCCCTACTTTGTAGTTCTACAATCTTCTCAGTTGCTTCATACAAACTAGTACGATCTGCTGCCATCATAATTTCACGAAGTCGGGCAAGACGTTCCTTCTTTGCAGGTTCTTTATACAGTAACAAATCAGTAGTAACTTGATAAACAGCATTGTATTGGGCAGAATCTGCGGTCATTTTAAGTTTGGGGAAATTTAGCTGAACAGAATCGCATCTGTCCTCAAACGGATGAACCTGAGAATAAGCATTTGAATTTGTTTTGATACGGAGGGGATTATATTTATCGTACTGCAATGTGGCAGCAATTCTATCACCAATACGTTGAAACTTGTCGGAGTGCTTGACATAGTTGATCAGCATCTCTGGTGGAATCCAGGCCAACCAATGATCACTTTCCTTTGCACCATAGTGATTATCCAACAGAAGATCAACACTATCGAATTGTTCCTTTTTGGCAACAAAGAACTGAACATTATCTAAGCTAACAACAGTTCTGTGTTTCACCATTTCCATTTCTATGTCAGGGTCGGTTTCATCAATAATATTAAATCCTTTCACTTGGGTTCGCTCATTTGCCACCAACACAATGTTATTTGGGTCACAGTCACTTTGCAAACTAATTTGTGGATTGAGAAGATCTACGAGATAGCTGCTCTTCATTACATAGTTGTTGGGGATTGTTTTCAGCTGCATTTTTGGATTGTTCACATTATCGCTACGAGACATGTCAACCTCATCTGTTTCACGCCCACCTAATGGAGTTTTTTCTTCAGTTTCATTTGGAGCAAAAAGTTTGGTGTCTTGTTCTGCTAGAAGTTTAGCGATAAGATCTTGGGCCATAGAGCTATCCATGCCACCTTCATTATCATCAAGTACAAATGGTTTGAGGTTATCACCGTAGCTCAAATCAGAAGCTTCAATAAGGTCTCTCAAGAATTTGACGGTACGGGATGTCATGTAGTAAGATAAGGCACGTCGATGGTCACGAAGATCTAGACCATGATATAAAACATTTCGTACGGAATTGTTCCATAAAATTTGAGGGTTGTGAGCAATGTATCGTACTTTGAAATATCCCATCAACTCTTCCCATTGAGCAAGTGAATCCTTTCCAAAAATCGTAGAATTAGCATATGCATCTGATTTCTGACTGTGAACAACATCCGGCATAGCTTGTTTTGACAGCTCTTTTAAATAACGTTGAAGCAACTCCCTTTTTTCGTACAAAATTCTTGTCTTTTCTACAATTGCATCGGACTACAAGAACAATGTCAAGATAAAGTCAAGTTATACACTAATATAAGGTTTACTTACAAGCTCTTCCAGGGATTTCTCATCTGCCCCATGTTGAAGTCGCTTCAACTCTATATTATGAAGACGAGTTTGATGTTTTCTAATTTGTACATCAATACTTTTGCTTCTGTCATGTAACAAAGTAGTTTGCATTTCTCGCGTGTCTATTTAGTAATGTTGTCAATATTAATTTTTTGAAAACAATATTCAATGCACTTACCAACCGCAGTTCCAAGGATACAATCATGTGTATTATGTAAATATTTGTACTTCTGAATATCTTCTCTATTATTCTGTCGAAGATAATAGATACACGGAGAAAAGGCAAAAGGTAGAACTTGTATGGCAGGAAGAATCGAAGGTGTGGCTACTCCCATTTCTATAAAATCATCCAAGTCAACCCAATCGGAAGAATCAGAATCATTATTACACTGATAGTTCAGGCCTTCCATCATATCAAGACCATTATCACTTTGATCAGATAGATAATTTGGGTCTGAATGTACGGGGACACTGATGTTTTCAGCCCCGGAAGAAGATAAAGATTCATCGCCATTAACTGAATACTTTGCTCTTACTGCCCGCAGATCGATATTTTTTAATTGGACCTCTGCTTCTGAAACAGGCCAGTTCGCTTTTAACCGCTTTTGATCTAGTTTGTAGTTGGCAACATTGACAATCTCTCTTCTTTGATGCATATCAATGCAAAAAGATTTCACAAAGCCCTTTAATCCAACCGAATCACCCAATTCCTCCGTCGTGACTTCGTCCGCAACAACATTTTCGTCCTTCATAAAATATCCAATCGTGAGAGGATTGACAACCACTTTGTATTTCATTGTACTCATGTGTCGACCAAATTTTTGAGTGGGTCTAGTATCCGACTTAGAAAACAAGGAGCCGTCGCGCACCGGATATCCCATAGCTCCACCAAACAGTCTGAACCAAGCAACAAAATGATCAATAAATCCAGGTGTTAAATGCATGGAATTTCCAGTGACATTTTCTTTTTCAGTGTCTTGCTCGGGGACTGACAGCTTAATAACACTGATAGACAAATGAACGTAATCAGACCTGAAACCCCTATACGCATCATAATTCTTTTAATTTGTTAATAAGAGGTATACTTAAGTTTGAAAGACTTACTTTTTCATGGACATTTTGGGGGGCTTTCATCTTGACTTTGTAATGCGGTAAAAAAGTTAAGAGCTTCGCTTTGTGAACGTTACGAGCTTCAGCACTATAACTTCCATTTTCGTCACAAATCTCACAATGAGAGACACACATTCTTTCAAGCTGGCAACCAAGCCCCATACGAATACCACCAGACAATTTGAGTGCAATCTTTACAAATCGAGACTCGTTTTCATCATCTTTGGATAACGTGGACGAATTGAATGATGACATGGAAGTAGATTGACGCATGCCTTTGCTAGAGTTTCCACCAGACTCTTTTCTTGAACAATCCGCAGCAACGATATACGAAGCTGTATATCCACCGTTAACAAGATCGGGCACACCAAATGCATAATCGCGACTTATAATTTGCATGAATTCTCCCTGAGGGTTGTTACCACCAAAGTGCCAAACAACGTCATTTCTCCAAACTTTGGCAAGGCCAAAACCCTTCTCACTCATATCATAAGGATCTCTAGAGCCCTTCATGACAACGGCCAAATCACCACCGCCCACAAACGAAATCTTGGCACGGGTATGAACAATTAACCTAATTTTATCCCAGAAACCAATCTTATCAGAAGGATCCACAGGAGCACGAGTGAAGGTATCCATGACCCGCGAAATGTCTTGGATTGCTGGCTGGTAGGGTACACACCAGCATATTTGGGATAATCCGGAATTGTGTACGTCTATATTTACAACGGAAAAGAACTTGAGTGGGGTGCTGGTACGAGGAAAAACAATAGTGTAAAGTGCGTTATTCTCATCAACAACAGGTATGCTGATACATCGTGTACCATCTAAATCTCCTAAATCATCGGCAAAAACGTAATTTCCAGAAAGTGACCAAGCCGAAGTATTGTCTGGGTCCGTAATATTAGGTGGAACTAGAAAGAAAGGTACAGGGTAATCACGCAACTGAGCCCATGTGACACCTGATTTCCAATCCAAATGAAAGGGTATCAACGTTGACAAGGGTGTGTCCAACGGCTGATGCTTTCCTACATCATAGATAAACTCTCGTGTTTTCTCTAGATCAAAATCTGGGGGTCGGAAATCCAAACAGGTGTTTTTCATTGTAAGATCTAATAAGGCAGGGTAAAGAGGAAGATCAACAATCTTGATGCAAAACATTTCCGAAAGGTACTGTGTCTTTTCATCATTAGTATCATCGAATACTTCATCCATCTGACCAGCTATAATGGCGTGTCGATAATCACCACTTTGGAGTTTTTCATATGTTGAAGTTTCCTTTAAAATTGCTGCATCTATATGGCGTTTCCAAGATTTCGAGTTGTGTGTTTGGAGTCCTTGCCAAGCATCATTTACCCTACTATCAGTTTCTTCATCGATATATACAGATCCTACTATCGTTTATCAGTAAAAGTACTTCCTAATGGTTTAGTCTAGTATTACCTTTTTCTGATCCTTTTCTTTTATCACCAGAATTCATGAAAGTTTGTGCCTTTGCTTCAAAAGCATCTTGGATTGCTATACGATTTGCTTGTTCTACAACACCTGTTTTCCAAATCGATCTTAACCTGGCTTCAAACGGGTCATCTTCAAATTGGAAGGTAAAGAGATCACATACAAATCGCATATGAGGTATCACTGCGGGAGCTTTTTTTTCAGAAGGGCCGAAGAACAAAAATGAGTTGCCCTTGTAGATACGTGTATGTGACGCTTTTATCGCCTTGATCAATGTTACAGCACCATCCACAAATTCACTTAATTCGTAACCGTAAGGTATACGCATATAGAATTTGGACATGGATAGTTGGTTTGATTTATTCAATGTCCCACAGGTAAAATCGACATCCTTTTCAATAGAAAATCGCATATTGTCCATTTCCATTAGTTGATCCCACTGGCCTAGTTTACGGGGTGCAGCGCCATAAAGAGTTACATTTCTAATGGCAGTAGGGGGGACCTCGCCTTGATGTTCAACACCGCTATTCCATTGAGTTCTTAAACTATCCATGCGAATATAGAGTTCAGTATCTCCACCTGGCAAAAAGACATGGACATCACTTCGGTTGATTTGCAATTGAAGTTTTTGAAATTTAATTCTCTTTGCGGCACTTTTTGGTCCAGTCTCCTTGTTCTTTTTGGGAAAGCAACGCTTAATCAAATCCATGACAGAATGTGCCACTATGAGACATGCATAATGATTTGTGATCGTGTATTGGATACCATTTTTCTTAACAACAATGGAAGGTACGAGAACGATTTGAGCTGAATTTTCTAGCAGCATATCTGTCCTTGTATTGATACGCGATATCCATAATATAACAGCCTTTTTGTCCTCATGATCATGCCACCCTTGTTCCTCTACGGAATCATCCGATTTAAATATTCTTTCTATAACCGTATGTTGAACTGACAAACGAGAAGTTCCGAACGACACTTGCTGTAATGCTTCAGGTCCTGATTCGTGATTATCATCAGAGTCTTCAGTTGTCAGAGACGCGATACTTTGGCTTGCCCGATGCCTTTTGCGCGTCGCACCAAAAATACGAGATCCGTTAAATATGAGAGAAACTTGTTGAATGGTAACAATGATTCGAACATCGATATCTTTAACCGGCGCATTATCAAGGAAGCCGGTTGGTATTGGTCTTTTACCTTTAATTCCTTTATCCACGCCTTCCAAAACTATAACCGCGTCGGAGATGATTGCATTCACCTTGAGGATCGATACATAGCCAAATACTTCACTCATATCTTTATTTGCTGTATCATGTGACTCGACAGATGAATTATTTTTCAAGGCTAAATTCATTTGACCAGCAATGTCATTAACCCAAAACTCCAACTGGCTTTCATCTACAATAGGTGTTTTTGTCCATAAATTCAATATGGGTTTAACTATTGATATTTCGACATTAATATGATGCGCATCTGGATCCCACAGCATTCGAATATGTTGATCCACCACATCCTCTATAAATGAGACGTCGAAACGAGTGTGTGCCGTGCACTCAAAATTTCCGATCGAAATAAATGCATTTGAGTCACAACCGGCGTCAAATTGTTTTCTGTTGTCGACCTTTGGTTTCTTGGGCTCAAAAATATCCTCAAAACATGTATTCTGAACCAACAGCCGTACGGATGATTTGTAATGCCATTCAACCGCATTTCTCTGCTTTTTTTCGTCCGCTGCCTTGGTTTTCCAGCTTCTTCTGAATAAACTAGTCCATGAAGGTCTACTTTGTGATCGAATCCGTTGAATGGTACTTGAATCGGCGTGAATCTCTGTACAATCCATATCAGATTTTGAAGCGGTGGTAGGTGATAAAGGTTCAGAAAACCTGGAAATAACAGAAACAGGACGATTTTTCTGAGCATTGTAGATACCTGCAACTTCCAATGTGATATCCGAGCAAGAAATAACTCCCATATGATTTTTTAAGCTTTTCATATGAATGGCTGGACGGTCAATATGGACCGATAGACTGGCCCTTGGTAAATTATAAAAAGTAGTTGCTAGCTCCAAATTTTTCTCTGCATCATCCACATTTTTCTCTGCATCATCCACATTTTTCTCTGCATCCACATTTCCCTTTGCTTCATCCGTGGTGTTCATTTTATCGTACTGATTTTTTATGGATAAGTTTTCCAGCATATCTGCTTTTGAAACATCCACAAACAGTCTGGGTTCATGTACGACCAAAGTGATGTTGATATATTTCTGATTTGGTCCCGAATCGTTACTATTCCAAAATATATTCTCCTGTTCAAATGAAGGTATTACATCCACGACATGACTTTTACCTGGTATAATTAAGTCTTGAGACAAGTTAGAATTCAATCTTATCTCAGGTAGCGTCACTATTTTCATGTGTCGATCTTCGTTTGTTGTGTCGAACAGGGTCCAAGATGTCAAACCCAATAAAAGTTGCAATTTATAATACGGATCTATACCCGTCACACAGTTTTCTGATATTCCACTTAAATGCAATTCCTGCAGTTCAAGTAGACTGTGACATTCACCTCCATGTTGTGTTTCGACAATTCCATTATCAATCGATAGTGTGATGGATCGAAGCAATTTGATGACGCTGGCTTTAGTGTGTTTATCTTGTTGCTTATGATAGAGCAGATCAAAGTCCTGCTTCTTTGCTTGAGTGGGCTGTTTAACATGATTTAATAGATTCAACAGGGGGCTTAGCTTTAGCATAAATGTATCGACTCTGGTATTGACGTCCACATCTTTGAGAGTAACACAACCAGCAGATAAATGACATGACACAGCAATTTGTCCGCCTGTTGGGAAATTCAAGATTTCGGTAGGTTCAGAAGTAAGGTTTCGTCTGATCACGGCTATGGTCCCCACTTTAACCATGATCTCAAAAAACTTTTCTTTGAATAAATGCTGAGCTCTTTTCAATGAATGACGCTGATAACTTGAATGAAGTGAATTGAGGCGTTCTGATAAGTTTTGAAAGCTATCAGCGTTTGGAATGGGTGAACTAGGAACTGAGTTCGGAGCTGATGGAGCTGCGGAAGAAGGAATAGTGACATTTGCAAATAGGACTGAGCTGAGAATAACGTCATGTACCTTAATTTCGGCTTGTTGTTCAATTTCCAAACTAAAATTATCCACCTGAAAATCGACATAGTTTGCAAGTCCTGCCATCAATAATTGAGCAGGCAAAGCTGAAGTGAATTTGATGACTTGTTTCACAATTGACAGAGAGTACCACCAAGGTATTTTATTGAGTGAAGAGCTGACTCGAGAAAATCTCTTATTCAAGGTTAAACCCTTTTCTTTTTGTTGACGACGTGAGGCTGCTAGCGCTGCTAAACTGTGTAACTGAACCTGAATATCTGCTACATAAATCGTAAGGAATGGAGTGGGTGAAGAAAGTGTAGGTCTTCTTTTCAGGCGCAGTTTAAGTTTGCCTACTTTGACTGACCATAACGCAGTTTCGGAGGATCGGTGATGATGATACTGAATGTCCTTAATGGAAAAGAACCCAATGCGGCCAAAACTACAATGAAAGCGAAATGCGAGAACGGACCTTACGCAAATTCGAAAAAGCCAAAAGGCCAAGACAATGAAGACATAGTTGTATATGCTTAAAGACATTATCCCCTGTGTTTTCCCGACTTCCTTGAAAAAGTATTTAAGAAAAAAGTGACGGAAATAAAAAAAAAAGGTGGGAATGGAGTAAAAGATGAGAAAACCAAAAAGGTTTGTCGTTCTTCAATACCTTTATTAGTATAAACGCGCCCCGAAACAGAGGTAATAGCGGTATTTTAACTAAAGTGGTACAATGGCTAATGGGTTATCAATAGAATATGTGTTCAAAACGTGGTCTGCCCAAGCAAATGATTCCAACGTAAATAGTTCTGGGCTGAATACACTGGGAAATTCTTCAGAAAATACAGGTATCATTGAATTGTACATTTCCTGTAATGATTCATCTGCTTGAATGTTTAGACTATAGTAATTCGAGTGAGTTAAATAGATAAAGGAGATCGCTTTAGGAGACTTACCAATTCAATGATATTTTATCAAAAAATTCTCTCCATTCACTGCTCTGATTTGAATTTTCTTTAATCAAGCACAGCATCATGATAACATCAGCCTCTTCCTCAGAATCTTCAAACAGTTCTGAAATAACATTAGAAAACTCTGAGTCCTTGTTTAACAATCTCTTTGGCGTAATCACAACAGTATCTAAGGTGATAAATGGGCTACTGCTGTCAATTTCAATAGATGGCTGATAGTAATCAGGATTGTTAATGTTTAAAAAGGGTGCAAGGGGTGCGATTCTTTTCTCTTTGATGTCTTGATTCATCTTTTGAATAATATTCCGTTTCATTTGCTCAATTTTCTGTACGGTAATTTCAAAGATATCCTGTTGACCTATATACAGTTTTTCATTAGTAATGTTTATTTAACATGGTTCTTTTTCTAGTTTGTACCTGCTCGATACATCAAAGCGAACTTTTGGCATTCAGTCAATTTTTCATCCACTTCAAAAGAGACTGTTTTTAATGCATGCAGACGACTCTTCAAAAGAGCTAGGGTCATGGATAACATGGAAAGTTCATTTCTATATCCAACAAATTCCAACAATTGAGTATCCGCGCAAATTGAATAATATTCGGTTTCAACACTGTTCATGACTAAAACTCGCATTAATTTCAAAAATACAGGAGGGATATTGTTACGGTGAATATAAAATGTTAGTGGGTCGATATTTCCAGACGATACACCGCATTGTTTTAGGATATTCAATTTTGTTTCATGGTTTGGATCACGAGAAAAGTTGGGCTTTAACGCAATATGATCGTGTTCATTGTACTACTGTACATATTTAATATTTTTTATCAACTTTAAATGATGTACTACCGTTACCTCAAAACAGAACCCATATCCAAGCAACACTGTATATTTTTTAAAAAATTAAGTCAGTTTTCCTCTCCCTTTCTCTCCTTTTCGTTTTCTTACATTCTTCATTTGACTGTTATACAAATGGGTTATTAGTCGGCGTTTACGAAACAGAAGTTTTATTGTAATTTACCTTTGGACCATAGTTATTAAAAATTTCATCACCAGTTTGAAATACTTGACCAGCAACAAACGATAGTGACCCAGTTTCAACGTCTCCATTTCTAGACCAAGTGATTTTTGTGTTGGGCTTATGATTCAATGCATCCACGAGCGGAAAAAGCACTTCGGACACTTCTGTTGAAGACGGATCAATCAATTGGTATGGAAACGACCTAGAAGAAAATACACAATAACACCAAAGAAAATCTTCCCTATAGCAACACAGAGAAGAAGAGAAAGTTAGGAGGCGTCCATCACTTATTGCACTTTTTTTTACTAAGTGTTACCATTTAACGTCATTTTTATCCACACCTTCCGGCAAATGTTCTAAAAGTTTAGTATAATCCTTGTATAATGCAGCCTTTCTATCTCTTGTTGCTGATTCCAGATTAGTATTCTCTATAAATTTCAAATCGTGTTCGTCAAAGAATAGAGGTGTTTTTATAGTCTTTGGCAAGATGTTAATATAGGGCCAATAGAACGATTTCTCTCCAAGCCGCTTTTGTAAGAGTAAGAATAAGGATAAAACAATGCGCCCTGAAAATTCTGTCAAATTGGGTAGTTCTTTACGAGCAACATGTTCTGTAATACAAAGTTTGAAAGGAACGGAAGCGAAATTTTCTTTTTCTTGCACAGTATCGGTTGTATAAACACAACCTATAAATGAAACAAAGCGTCAACATGAAAACGCGTCAACAAGAAGAGACTCTTCATACCTTGGTTAAACTCAATTTTTTTGAATTGACCTCCGTGTGTTTTAATCCAATTCAAATAAATGGCGGTTGGTGTTTCTGTCATTTATGGTTATTAAATGTCGAAAGACTTTATTTAGTGTTCTTTTATAAAAAGTGGACTGCTCAAAATGTGACTTTTATTAGGTGAGAATAAATCATGAAAAAAAAAGGGTGGGGATAGATGTGTTACCCTAAAGTGTTCCTATGATCAAGAGCAGAACATATTTGTGTAACTTTTGTCAATAGGTCCCGACAATGTATTTAAATGACTTGCTCCTTTCTTTTTTTCTCTCTTTATCCTTTTCCTTCCTCATCCTTATATCTTTTTTTCCCTCTCATCCTTATTCTTTCCTTATTTCCTTTATATACACTCCTTTTAATTTATAATGTCCACCAAAACCTTAAACATCAACGCCAATGGGTTTTTTAAAAACCATGCTATGAAAAATATTCCTCGCGAGCCAGCCTCGCCTACATTATCTACCTCATCTTTTTCTTGGATTACTCAGAGACCGGCAGCAGAAGTCAAGCATCTCTTTAAATCTACTTTCAATGCACTCGTCGAAAAGGAGAAAGGTAATATAAATAAGCAACACGGAATTAAACAAGTTTCTATTTTTATTCAATTTAATCAATGTAGATCTTAAACTTGCGGCTGAAGTAGGTAAATCCTTATTAGAAAACAATACAGTCCTCCAGCATCAATATCATGCTTTACAGAATGAATTCGATATACACCAACAAGAGTCTAACAGACTTTTACAAACTAAATTGGAAAGTAACGAAAATGTGATTATTTCACTTGAATCTCAAAATGCTGAATTAGTAAAGAAATATGAAGCCACATTAGAATCCAGTGAAAAAATCAGCCGACAAAATAATTCGTCGCAACAAAAATTAATGGATCAAGTCAATGAACTATATCAGTCTCTAGAACAAGCTTACGAAAAAATTCAGGAGCACGAAGACTACCGTCAAGATTTTTTAAAGAAGATGATTGTGAAAGAAATCAATATTGTGGATACCCCCACTGCTATTATAAGTACCACAGAAGAATTTAACGAATTATCTCATAAAATTGAACACATGATGGGACAAAACCAGCAGCTTTTTAAAGCAAAAGATCAAATTCAGCATCAATTTCAAGATACGATATTCGAACTTGAGCAACTAAAATCACAATTTAACCAAGTTCAACAAACAAAGGAGCAAATATCCTTGCTCGAAAATAAATTCCAGTATCAAGAGAATCATATCCATGAATTAACCACTTTAATAGAGGAATATAGATTGAATCTGACAAATGATTGCCATATTTCTATGCCCAGCTTAATGATTGAAAGTCATAGCCATGCCTCTTCAGACGATGATGATGACTATGAGCGCTTTGACACTTTACCCCAGCACATTAAAGGAAACAGCTTACATTCGGAATTACAATTAGCGTTTGACAACGATAAAAATCTACATGATCTCCGCACATTCGATCAAGATAGCAGCATGATGCTTGCAGAGACACCTAAAAGAATATGCCGTAAAAGAAGAAGTAGACAAGCCATTTACCCAAGTCTAAAAATCGATGACAGTTTAATTGCCCCAGCTTATCGCAAAAATATTCCCACCACCGCAATGGTTGTACATAGGCCTTGCGGTCTGGTGGACCGGATTGTGCAGGCCCCATACAACAGTATTTACTTGGTTTGGCGTTTTATGAGATTTTTTATTGTTATTCAATTAGCCATGTTTATTCATCTTTTTAGTCGTAAATAAATATAGAAACCATACTATTGTGTGTTTGTATCTGTTTGCAGTTATGAGCGTTCAGGTCGGCCAATAAAGTTGTGTTGTAGCACACGGAATACCAATAGCGGCCGTTAATGCCAATTGTCTTGTCATAGCAGAAAAGTATCATCCTATGCTTATCTTGATATAAATAAAAAAATATCAAGTTATTGTATTTGACTGGCTACTTCTACATCTATTAACTACCCTTAACTTATAGAAATAAACCTTTAAATAATGAATAGAAAGCAGTAATGTTGGGAATATTCTTTGAGACAGTAAAAAAAGTTTTGTTTAGATCTGTCTGAAGTTTAAAAAATAAATAAAGGATCTTTTTTTTAATTTTAAAGCCTTTCCATTCTCCCTCCCACATTTAGCCATGGAATCCACATTACATGAGTTTATTGCCAATCTAACTGCTTTAGCAGAAGACGCTCCTTCTCAAAAACCTACGCCTACTTTGACGTGGGTTAATGTAGCTATTGCTTCTTCTTTTATCCTTGTCAATGGTAAATATAATAAAACTTTCCTTATAGCGCACAATTTCTTGATATTGACTCCAAATTCTGACTAAAACAGGTGGAATATCTCTTGTTTTGGGATTACAGCTTGAAAAGACATTAATAATTGCTGCTATTCGATGTTTAGTTCAATTAACCTTGATGGTAAGAAATTTTTATTGTTATTCCAACACAACGGCTAAACTTAATTTTTGTGTTCACATCTTTTTAAAAATAATACACTAACACTTGTGACATTAGGGCTATGTGTTAGAAGATGTATTTAAGGCTCGACACCCTGCCCTTGTCATGTTAATGACTTGTAAAGTTAAATCAATATATGTCGTATCAAAAGACTAATTGTTTCAAATGTAGTTGTTTTAATCTTCCTTGGGGCCTATGAAACAGTTTATAATAAATCGAAACAGACATATAAAGGAATGGTAAATTAAAAAAGTTGAAGTAAACTCTATCAGTTTATTGATATTTTTGTAGTTCTTTTCTGTTCTGGTGTCGTCGGGTGTATCAACCTTGTTGGTGGGTGTGATTGGTGCACGATATGCTATGGGTCAAGACCCCTTTTGGACTCCAGAGATCTTCATCCCAACCATGGGTATGTTGTTAGGTAATTCGATGAGTGGAATGGCCGTTGGCTTAAGTACCTGCTTATCAAGTGTTGGCACTCATAAAGAGCATATTGAAACATATTTGGCTTTCGGAGCTAGCCGATGGGAAGCAGGCCAAGCTGTAGCTATTGAAGCCGTCAGATTATCCATGTTACCAACAATTAACCAAATGTCAGTCATTGGTTTAATTGCTATTCCCGGCATGTAAGACGACTTAAATAATTACTTTTTACATAATTGTACTTATAACTCTTATAGGATGACTGGTCAATTAATATCAGGTACACCAATGAAAGATGCTGTCATGTATCAGCAAATCATCATGTTTATGATTTCAGCAAGTACAGCACTAGGTGTTCTTAACGCTGTCGTGGTATGTCTATACACAGTACTAATTTGTATTTAAAAACTTACGTGTATCTCTAGTCTTGCATTGCCGTCATGATTGACAGTCGTCATCGACTTCGACCCGAAAGAATCATCCATAAACAAGCAAGTTTATTCCAAGATATCAAGGAACTTTTCAAAAATATCTGGAGTGGGCTGGTGTACGTGTTCTGTTGCTTACATTTTAAGAACAAGAAGAACCGTGATTATGATTTAATAGAAGAATCACCTTCAAATGAAGATGATGATCAACAACGTAGACCTTTATTAACTAATTAGATTATACATTTACTTTTACCCCACCCCACCCCTTCCTCTCCCCCACCATTCCTTGCATTAAACAAACATTTTTTGGAATTCATAGCCATATTCAGCATGTGCCAATGTTCTCTTAAACCCCCATAAATATCACAGCAAAAAAAAGTGACGGCTCATGTCAAAAAGAAAAAAAAAAAGAAAAAAAAAAGAAAAAAAAAAGAGATAGAGCTCTTCCTTACCTTATTCTCAATGGATGACACGATCAGTTATCTCAAAGTCGTGGCACCTGAATCGGCCCAAGGTCAGCGAATCCGACGTTGGCTGTTAGTGAATCACCGAGACGTAGCCAAAACACAAAAAAACCTCCATCGTGCGTTTTCCAGAAAAGAGATCTCCGTGAATGGAGAACCTGTTGAGGAATGTCGATTATTGGCCAAGGACGATGTCATTGAAGTCAAATACGACAAGTCGATTGAAGAAGCCGAAAAAATGAAAATCATTCCCATTAAGGTTTCGTACGAGGATCCGCATTTAGCTGTTGTTTGGAAGCCTTCTGGTCAGGTATGATCTATGTTTTTGTTGTTGTTGCTATCTCCAAACTAACGATTCTTTTTCAATTATAGACTTTTGTTACGTTTGAAAAGGCTATTGAATATAACACAGCATTAAAGGACCTGGAAGGAAATCGAGAAAAAGTGTGGTGCATCAATGATATTCAAAAGGCTGCTTCTGGATTGGTAACTACAAGTCTAATAATGTTGTTTATATTCTGACAGATGTGATAGATCATTGTAGCAAAAACCCCAGAAATGAAGGACGCTCTCATGAATGATTATAAGAACGATGAAATCCAAGTGACAATGAGACTTCTCGTGCATGGATCAGTACCAACTGTCGATATCGACACACTTTTCCGACCCGAGATGAACAAAAAGGAAGAGGATGCTGAACCCATTGTCCCCACCGAAGTAGTAAAATCCATCTCCATTGTATCACAAACACGATCCAACAATTCGCAATTTATATCTAAAATTGATTTGGAATTACACACACCTTTATCCAACTGTGCCTTAAGAAAGCTATTTTATTTTCATTCGGATCATCCCATCATTGGCAACTCCAATTATACCAAGCCCTTGAAAACAAATCGTGATAAAGGCCTTTGTGCCGCACTTTTAGCTGTTTCGTTTACTCATCCCATTACAAAAGCACAGATCAGTGTAAAAGAGGATGAACCTTCTAAATTCCGTGTGGTATGTGAAAGAGAAGCCAAGTTCTATCAAAACAAACTCGACCGAGAAAGTGATGAGATTAAAAAATCAGGTATATTACCTATTGACTTGGAAGAACGTAAACAAGGCCAATTGCTTGCGTATATACTGGGCCAAAAGGATTTCTTTGGTCACTCTTTTAAAATCACAAAGGACTGTTTAATCCCTCGTGCTAGTTCTGAAACACTTGTGCAAGCCGCCATAACTGTCTTAAAAAACAAGTCGAATCCAAAGGTTATAGATGTAGGTACTGGGTGTGGAAATTTGTTGATTTCAATTCTGCATAAAGTGCCATCTTCTTCTGGCGTAGGTGTTGATATTAGTCAAGCAGCTTTAGATGTTGCCAAAGAAAATGAGCGTAGTATCTTGAATGAGGATGAAAAGAGAATAGAGTGGCGATTACAAGACATGTCACATATATCGGATGTAGACCTATACGATGTACTGGTCTGTAACCCACCTTATTTAGATTTTGACAAAACAAGTAAAGAAAAGGAACAAATGGCTGCCTTGGAGCAAGAGCCAGCTGAAGCATTATTTGCTAAAGACAATGGTTATGAGTGGTACAAGGTCTTGAGTAATGTGGCCCCCAAAATTGTAAAAGAAGATGGGTATGTTGTATTAGAATGTGGAAAGAACATGATGGAAAAAGTCTTGGGTATCTGGTCAGACTGGGAACAAGACGAAGTGTATAAGGATATACAAGGCTGGAACAGGTGTCTGGTCTTGAAAAAAAGTTGTAAATAATTATGGATTAAACGATGTAATAAACGTTTTCAATAATTGCTAGCAATTGTATTGATAGTAAATATACACTTATGCTGTAATAAATGTAAGCATGTCAAATAGTAACTGTTGCCTACAGTTTAATCATATGAAAATCACTCGGCTGTTAATTATAACTGTCATGCTATTGGAATTAAATGTATAATTCTTTACACATACGTTACTGATGTAGCATCCCGTCTACCATCTTATAAACTTATGATCCTATACATCACTTCCCGTCGCTTTGCTTTACACTTTTAATTTGGGTAAAAAGAATAATCATATATTTATCTTTAACTTCAGCCATTAGAATTGACAAAACGAAGTCACGACATTAGCTTACATTTGACACATGGAGGCCACTTGTGATAAATAGTTTCCCTCTCAAGCCATTCAATACGTCTTGAACTATGAAAATTAAAATAGAACCTGATAAGGATGAGGATGAGGATGAACAAAGGCGAAAATAGTCCTTAAGTAAGCTCCTTGTGTGAATTTTTATTAAAAGCCTTCATGTATCATTGCTTGTTTTATGAACGCTTTTCTTAGGGACAGCCAAATTTTCCTTAGGGACAGCCAAAGTACACGTAGTCGCAACGTAAAATCTGTTCTGTAGACCTGGAAACAAGGATATACAATCAAAAACAATGTAACAATTACGAATAAATGTATATTAAACGATTTATACTTATTTTGACAATTCTATCATCACTTTTTCGCCTTTGAGCTCGTTTGATCTTAATCTTACGCAGCAATATTAAGGTAAAGTCCAGACGAGAAGCTGAAAGTAAGCTGCAAAACACATATACTGGTTTAAACTATGTTGGTTGTAATAAATGTGTATATATTTCAAGTTGTTAAGTTATATTGACCTCTTGATGTCTATAAAAGTATCATAATCCCAACATCACGACTACGCGCACCATGGCTGTCCCTAAGAGACCCGTTTTATGAATAGGGCGAAAAACAGTAGGTTTCACTGTCCAGGATAGTGGTTTGGCTGTTCAGGGTTGGTTTCTTTAATTTCTATAACTGGCAATTATAGTAAGACTTATTTATAATTTATATTTCTTTAGATGATGGATTTCCTCAAGGACTTTTGACTTTTACTTGGGCGGATAAGAACAGCAGTGAGATTAAACTGCCTTCCTAAGGAAATAAAGAACTTAAGACAAGATTTGAAAAGGCTTATGAAGTTTTTCCATGAAAGTATAGTCAGAATGAATTCACGCCTAAAAAGTTACGGTGTGAAAACCTGCAAGATAAAATTTACTGACAACAACGGTATCAAGCCCCACTATCTAAACAGTCGTTACATCTGCAATCTTCTAAACTCACCCGATGCAAAGTTGTTTTAATGTATTCCAATGCTTACAGGTCAGATAATGTCAATGTAAAAGGACGTCTTCTGATGTATGCTATTTTTCAACTATACCGATGTAGGATAATGATTTTTTCAGTACTTTATTATTATTATTATCTTATGAGATTAGATACTATCTTATATTTCTCTTAATAAACCAAGAATAAGAGGACGATCTATTACATAATTATTGATTACAGTATTAAACTAATTTAATGTTTGTGTTGAAAATATGGTTGATGATGCAGACGATGAAGAGGAAGACAAAGAGTCTAAAGAATACTCGCTATTTCGTTTTTGATGAGCATGAGTAGCTATAATAGTTTATGAGTAAATACAACCGCACAGCCAATATTTTATACTCACTTGTCATTTTTGTGGCATCGTAATATTGTTTTACAGATTCGTAGTCTGAGTTTTGGCCAGATAAACCTGCTTCATAACTCTGGTTAATTCTTATGACTGCTTCGTGATTGCCCATATCGGCCGCCATCTCCCAGTATGCTATTGATTTGAGCATGTCACGTTCAGTTCCAATACCTTCTTCATAACATCTAGCAATAGGTACAAATGCCACACTGCCACCAGCTTTTGCTATGTCCAGCAATATGCTCAATCCTGTCTGGGTATCTTGTGACTTTCGTCCCCAACCGTTTAAATAATAAAGAGCGACCATCACTTTAGCACAAAACCCCTGGTGCTTGTTTATTGAGCTAATGGCTGCACTTTCAAACCAAACGAATGCTTCTTCTCTCATATCATCTGCTTCTTTGGGATCATTAATTGATTCAGCCATGATATGCTTTAGTTTACCAATAGCTAGCTCCGTTAATCCACCACCATTTAGTCGATATGCTGATTCATACCACTGAAGTGCTCTTTCACAATCTTGGCCTAACTCTTCTTTCAGATAGCCCTCTTCAAAATAATTACCTACCATAAGTGCTGCCGTTGGATCTCCTTTCTGTGCAGCCTCACAATAGTAGCCAAAGGCTCTCTTATAATCTTGATGTACAATAGTGATACCTTCCGACGAAAATCCCCTGTGGGATAGATGACCAAGTTCTCGTAACGCATCAGAGACGCCAAGTTGTGCCGCCAGTCTAAATAGTTCATACCCGAATACATGATCATCGTTACGGTTCCAGACTATGCGTGCTAATTCAAATGTAGCTAACGGATGACCCCCGTCAGATGCCTTTGAAAAGTATTTTTGGGCAGCAATAATATTTCTTTCCAATCCTCCAAGACCATTTAAATGATATAAACCCAACTGGTAGTGTGAATCACGGTGTTTTCCTTTCTCTGCTGCCTTTCTGAACCATTCTAGGGCGCTTATTTTATCCCCTTCCAAGTTGCTGTAAATAATTCCTAATCTCCACATGGCTTCCACATGCTGTGAAATGAGTACAGAGCGACGATACCACTCTATTGCTAATGATATGTTGACAGGTGTCCCACGTCCAAGTTCGTAACACTGACCTAGGATATAAAATGCCAGACCAAGCCCTTCTTTTCTCATCGTTAATTGTTGGTCATTGGCTTGTGAATCTTCTTCTTCCATGTTTGCCATTTCTTCATGAATCATATTTCGGAGCACTTCAAAATGATACATGTCATTTTTGTCTGTCTTGCTGTGACCTTGAAAATCAAATGAGACTAGCATGACTTTTGCTTTGATATTGTTTGTTAAATTGACAGCCTTCTGAAACCAGTATATTGAATCTTCGTACCTCCCTAAGGAATTACTTAGGATTTCACCTGCTTTTACCATAGCTAGCTCATGCATTCCGGTTGCTGCTTTTATATAATAAGCCAGAGCAGTTTCGCTATCTTTTAAAGTAACGGAGCCAAGGCCATCTTCATGCGCAATCCCAAGTTGATAGATTGCTTCTGTATCTCCCATATTAGCTGCACTTTCTAATAAACCTAAAATATGAGCACCACCATCATAATCCTCATATTCATCGGGTTGGTCGCTTTCTTCGGAGAGTAAAATCATTGCTAATGCGCGCATACATCCTGCATGTCCAATGCCTTCTTCGTATCGATGTTTGGCTTCTTCTTCTTCATTTATTGTGGAGTAATATTTGCCCAATTCATAAACTGCGTCATTATCACCATCATCAGCAGCAGATGTTATCCAAGAAACGCCACTCTGTATATTTCTTTCTGTACCCAAACCATACATCAATAGATACCCTATAAAAGGGTAAGTACAAAAGTATAAACATGACATGCAATTTTTTACCTAAAAAATATTTCACTCGACGTGCCTGAATATTAGCATCTGTGGACAACTGTCTCATATCATCTAGGTCGGGTTTCAGAATTTCCAAATAATAGTATGCTGAAGCGTAATCCTTTTGATCCATATAGTAACTCACAAGTCTACAAAGTGAGCGTTGTTTAGCCCAATCGAATTCTTTTGCTTCAACGCAAGATATATACCAGTGTAAAGCTACATCCTTGTCTATGGCGGTTCCTTTACCGTTCTCTGTACAATAGCCTAGAAATTCAAATACTTGGGCTAGTGGTTTATTTCGTTTGTACTGCATATGCATTAGCCAAGAATAGACTTTAAGCTGATCCTTTTCAGTACCACCATCTTCAAATATAATCATTCTTGAAAATTTGAGCCGTGCATTCCAGCCAGTAGTAGATTTTATACTGTAAGCTTCAGTGAGTCTGGTATATACAATTAAAGCATCTTCCATCATTTTGTTTCTGCAGTACAGTTCTGCCAAATCCAAAGCTGCACTAAAAATTAGATATATTATATTAGTATATATTACAAACACAAAAAAATGAAGAGTAACGTTACACTGAATATCCTAACACTTCTGCTTTCTCTAAACAGGAAACTGCTTTTTCAAGATTGACAGGTACGATGATACCTTGTTCGTAGAATTCCGACAGGGCATGCCAAGACATTGCATCATCTCTATATGCAGCCTTTTGAAATAAATCAAACGCTTCTTGATGTTGCTGGTACCCTTCAATTAAACCATTTTTATAAAATGTGGCTAATTCACGTAACGCTGATATATCCCCTTTATCAATCGCTGTTGTCAACCAATAAACCACTTTGTCCGTAGATTTTACTAATCTTGCTAATCTCACCATGGCCAGTGTAATGTCTTGTTTAGCAGCGCGGGTGTACCAATATATCGCTTTTTTTAAGTCAACAGACATAAATAAGCCGTTCTCATAGTATAGACCTGCACTATATTGAGCTGTTTTATGCCCATTTTCTGCAGCTTTCAAATACCAAGAAAAAGCGGCTTCGACATCCTTAATGCAAGTACTGTTTGATTGATAACCGTTGGATAGCATGTAGGCTACTTGAAATTGACAATCAACGTCACCTGATATCGCACCTTTAGTGTATAAAGCAAGCGACTTGTCTAGGTCTTTTTCTTCTTCATACCAAGCAGCTAACCAATAATGAGCTTCTTTAAAGTCATTTGCTGAAAGCTCTTTCAATTCATTGATTGCCCAAGAAACATCTTTTTTAACACCCCAGCCATTATATGTATATCTTGCGAGCATAAGTCTTGCTATATTGCATTGTTCCAAGCTGGAATCCGGCCCGTATTTTTTTGATGATGTGGTCGGGGTACCTTTAGCAGCTATTTGAAACCATTTAAATGCAAGCGTGTATTGATGTTTTGATTGCAATAAAAATGCTAAAGCAATTTGGCAAGACAGGGAACCCATTTCAGCGGCTTCATGATACGAGTCCAGTGTTTCTTTGGTATGAGCCATTAGACTTAGAGAACGAAGGTCACCTTGAGAAGAAGCAGATTCTAATAATTTATGCGACAAATTTAGATTTTTTTCGGTGCCAATACCTTTTGCATACATCAGTCCCAAAGCACGTTGGGCGTGACTAAAGCCGAGATTAGATGATATAGTAAGGTGTTTGAAGGCAATGTTGGTATCTTGTTCAAGACCTAAATCGCCGAGTCTATAATTAATGCCTACCAAGTAATGGGCGAACGATGAGATAGGAGGTGAAATACAAGGGGAGATAGCTGCTCGTTTGTAATAATTTATTGACTTTAAATCGTCTTGTTGTACCAAGATGCCTTCTTCATGCAAAGAGCCAAGTCGAATTAAAGCGCTTGCATTTTCCTGTTGTGGAATGTATAAGAGTTATAATTTTAAACAAATTGAAATATAATTACTTGTGCTTCAGCTTTAGATAGCCAAAAAAGAGCGTCTTGTATTAAGCTAGGATTATTTTCAAGTTTTGCCTGATGAATTAGCAGGTTACTCAGGGCGGTTTGAGCCTCCGCAAAGCCAGTGTTTGCCGATCTTTGGTACCACATTTTTGCCAGTTGGATGGATTGCTTGACAAGTGAACCATGTTGAAAATACAAGCCCATCATGAACTGAGCATACTTATTACCGTCATTTGCTGCCGATACCATATAATGGAGTGACTGTTTCTCCTTTGATTGCCTTTTCAAAATTAATGCCATTCTGTACTTGTTTTGACATTTCTCAAAATATGCATATGCTTTCTCATCATCATGGTGTTGTTCATAATAACAAGCTAATGGATAATAGGCTTCCTTGTGGTGTCGTAACTTGTATAGTTCTCGAAATCCTTCGTTTTCGTTCTTTGTGAATAGTTTAGATTGTGCGACCTGAACGCGTATAATGATAGTTTTGTTCTTAGAATTACTGTCTTTGGTCATGTTAATTAGATTTGAATCATCCAGTGCACTATGAAGTGGTAATATATCAAAGGATGTCGTATTCAAGATAAAATAAAGAAGAAAGGAAAAGAGAAAGGAACGTTTGGTTTCTGAAACACATTTTAATTTAGAGTGAGCGGAGACTTTAAGAACGTCCGCTCCGAAAGTTGCGCAAGCCGCCTTTGGTGATTTAACAGTAATAAAGGTTAAAGGCACCCCTCTTTTTCATGCGAGCATGCTGGCTGAAAAGACGAGTTGACATTTTATTGCGCCATAAATGGTAAAAGAAAGGGTGGGAGATGAAAAACAGTGGGAGCTAAAACATTGAACCGGACTCTTTTTTAATCAAGTCACACTTATAAAAAGAACAAAAAGGAAAATAAAAATCTTTTTTTTCTGTACCGCAGTTTTTATTACACAACCAGTTTTTTTTTTTATATTCATATAAAAAAGAAAGAAACCAAAACTTGATATACTCTTTTAAACAGAAAAGCGAATAGAATATAAAGAAAAAGTTGTCTGAAACTTGTACATGACATTGAACTTGAATCGAATATTTGAACAGAAAGACAGCATAGAGCAGCACCAATTACATCATTTCCTCAAAGTTAAAAAGAAGAACCAATCCCTCTCTTAACTTTTCACTATACAATTTTTAAACTCTTGAAAGAAAATATTCCTATTTTTCTTTTATTTCCCACAAACACATACACACACTTAAAAAAACTCACCCTCACACTTTTAAATAATAATTCATCATGGCTACTGTTAATGTAAGACGTGACGTCCAAGATTCCTTTTATCGTTACAAGATGCCCAAGCTCACTGCAAAGGTAAGACCCCTACCATTTTTTTTTTTTTTTTTTTTTTTTTTTGATATTGCGCTAATTTTTTTTTTCTTTCTTTTTTTTTACGCTAGGTTGAAGGCAAAGGTAATGGTATCAAAACAGTCATCATGAATATGGCCGAAATTGCACGTGCTCTGTCTCGTCCTCCTTCATGTAAGTAATGCTCTTGAATGATTTGAACAATTGACTAATCAATACATTACATAGATCCTACCAAATATTTTGGTTGCGAACTTGGTGCCCAAGTTAAATGTGACGATAAAAACGAACGTTATATTGTTAACGGTGATCATGACCCTACCAAGCTCCAAAATACCCTTGATGGTTTTATCAACAAGTATGTTTTATGTCAATCTTGTAAGAACCCTGAAACCGACATCATCATTAAGAACGATGAAATTGTTATGGATTGTAAAGCATGTGGTGCCAGAAATAATGCTGATATGCGTCACAAGCTTTCTACTTTCATCGTAAAGAATCCTCCTTCAGTTGCCTCCAAGAATGTTCGTAAACAGCGTAAGGCTGCTACCGCTCAAGCCAATAACACTGGTGAAGATGCTGATAATGCTAACGAAGATGCTGATGGTTCTGATGATGATATCATTTCTCAACGTCTTTCTAAGCAAGCTGCTGGTCTTAATATGGAAAGTAAGTTGGCTCTTGAAGATTGGTCCGAAGATACCAGTGATGCCGCCGTTGCTCAACGTTTAAAGGAATTGTCCGTCAAAGGCCATGGTGCTTTTGGTGATGAAGATGAAGATGAGAGCGGAGAAAACAAGTATGAAGCTTTCGGTGTATGGCTTTTAGAGAACAAGGAAGGTACTGATGAAGAAGTTATCGAAAAGGCTGAAGAATTAGGTGTCCTTGATAAATACAAGGCCTGTCAAGTTTTGGTTCAAGGTATCTTTGACGAAAACATCCTTACTCAAATTCCTAAGCGTGCCAAATTACTTGCAAAGTTTGTCACCGACGAAAAGTCCCAAAAGGCCACTTTGGGTGGTATTGAGCGTCTTGTCGGTGTTGATTACAAGGATGCCTTGTTAAAGAAAATCCCTACCATTTTGATGAAGGTTTACGATTTAGATCTTATTGAAGATGAGGTTTTCATCAAGTGGGGTGAGAAGCCTTCCAAGCGTTATGTTGAGAAGGACATTTCCAAGGAAATTAAGAAGGCTGCTGCTCCCTTCTTGGAATGGCTCGAAAATGCTTCCGAAGAGGAATCCGAAGAGGAATCTGATTAGTTCCCTTATTTTAATAATCTTGTAATAAAGTACAATATATTAAACTATACCTTGAAGCCCAGGAGTACATCTGAATGTATGTCATTGAAAGCAAGGAGTCGATTGTGTCATTCATTGTGAGATGGAGAAAGTGTAATTGTCAGCTGATACAGCAGAGTGCACCCCATCTGTTCGATGCATAGAACCTGTTTTTGTTCCATAATCGGCAAAAAGATAAATGTATAATGATGCGCATGATTGCTAATGACCGATTATACACAGGCTGTTGTGAGAGAGGCTAATACTGTAAGGACTTCTTATTGGCGCCATTCAAACCTGCATATACCTACTCACCATATAAAGGTTGCAGTAGATTGTACATGAGCAAACTAAACAATAAAAAGCTCTGTTGCCTTCTTCAGGTCTTCCATAATGCATATGGTTAGAAGGCTTACTAGAAATTAAAATGTGATGCCATCAGTTCCAGATATATAAAATAAAAGGGAGGCAATCAATACTTATTTTAAGAAAAAAGAGCTTTTAAAGACAAAGCCTTTCCGATGAATACAAGGGGAGGACCAAGACTATTCTAGGTTAATGACACCGAGGGCTAGATCGAATAAATCCAAACTATTGGTTACTTACTAGTGAGCCTGTAAAGGTAAATATGCCTTTGGGTCTTTTTCTCCTTTCTGTTACTACTTTCTTATTTCTTCTAATTTGTTATTTATATGAATTTTTAAAACATTAGCAAAAAAAGAAAAAGGGAACTTAGCAAACATACATGTGTATAGTCGTTCTATACATGTAGACATATTTTAATGTAAATAATGTTTACTAATGTAACGGATAGTCAGTGGCAATATATCCTGGAAAGGAGCAATCTTTTATTCTTTTTTTAATCATGTAAAGGGGAGTATTACGACTAATAAAAAGGGAGAAAGATTCGAATAAAAAGGAAGGGAGTCTTATCATAAGTAAACGAAAGAATATGGTGACAAGAAACACAATCTGTATTATTTCATCAGTGTAATGTTTACTCTCAAGAGTTTATGTTGCATGCCACATGTTGACTATTACATCAAATGCCTGCTATTAATATAAAAAATAACTTCTATTGCAAACAACTAGTTGCTGAAAATAAATTCAGGAGGTATATCTACTTTTTTTTTTCAAAAAATAAAATAAAACTGTGTTTGAGTGTGTGTGTGTGTGTGTGTGTGTGCGCACCTATATATATATATATATATATGTGTGTGTGTGTGTGTGTGTGTGTGTGCAAGTAAATGGCATATAGACATCACCCTAATATAGTTTAGAACTGCATATATTACTATTGTTATTGTAAGTTACTTATATAAGTCCCTATCATAATTTCTGTCCTTTTTATCATTATTCTTTCTTTTTATTATTCTTAGATATTCGGATCTGTATTTTTCTGCTTTACAACCTTTTAAAACAAGCTAGCACTTTTCTATAACAATGGGTTTACTTAGCTTTACAAAAAAATCCCGGAAACAAGAACAGCAACGTAATCATACTTCTTCCAAGCAGGCTTTTGCTATTGCATCTCATATCCCCTCTCAGGTCGAAAACAATCACAATTTTGAATTCCCTTTACTCGGCTCAGGCAATGACTCATCTGCTCAGAACCAACCGGAACTGAGTTTTATGGACGATATTATGAACGAACTTGACTCTGTAAAATCCATTAATAAATCATCTGGTATCATGAAACCACCAAATTATAAAAGAGGTATATAAAGTTTTATTATTACTTTAATCAAACACTGTTTCTTATTAATATTATCTACAGTGAGCCAAAATAAATTGTCGCCACCCCTTCTCTCTTTTGATTTACAAAAGGCATCACCATCTTCAACAACCATTGGTTTGGTTGGAGCTGCTGCCACAAGCCCTGCATCAATCCCTTCTGAACACCAACAGTATACTGCAGCTCGTAATATGCAGCAGCAAAGGCCCAGACCCCTGATCAATTTCTCAAATAATCATAACAGCGAAAATAATATGCAACGTGATAATACAATGCTTAATTGTGATGACACAGATTCATATTTTTCTGATGCAGATAATGAACCGATTGCCCCCAGATCAGCAATGCGCCAGATTATCAATCGGGCATCTACACAGGCTGAAATACTTAATATCAGTGTCATTAATGGGAAAAAAGCAATTACACCTCCTCTTCCTCCTACAACAAATGCTTTAAATAATATTAAATCTTCCCCCCCTGCCTCTACCCTTGCCACCACTAATCCTGCTGGGGTCACTCTTTTAGATAGAATGAAAGAAAGACATCGGCAAGAAGTTCGTAGGTCGTTGAACAACTCACCATTTTTAGAAAATCAGAATGCTACAAAAAGCTCGCCATCCATGCCTCTTATCTTCTCAGTCGAAGACTCTCCTCCTTTATCAAGTGCAAGACCATTGGTGCAATCACAGTCTTTTACGAGTAACGCCCAGTCTCCTATTAACCATATACCAAAACGTCCTTTGGTAAATATAGTTCGCTCAACATCGACTGCTAACGATATTTATGGAAACAACAGCGGAGCGTCTACAAATCAGGTATTGTGTTTGTATAAACTACAAACGTACTAGGCAACCATTTAATCTTTATTTTAATCTAGACTCAACAAGAAGTCAACATCCATCATCGATATTCTGCACCTTTACAGCCCAGAAATGGTCAGGTATTATCAACGACAAAACCCGGCTATATACAAAATGTGCCATTATTTACATCTGCTCCGTATCAAGTTCAAGAATCCACCTTAGTAACCAGCGAAGAAGTGTTTCCATTGAATCGATCAGTGTCAGCATATTCTGGTTTTCCTCAGCAGACATTACTTCAACAACAATTCCAACACCAACAGCAGCAGATAAACATGCAACAACAGATCTATCAGCAGCAGCAGCAGCAGCAACTACAGCAAAAAATTCAACTACAAATTGAACACCAGCAAATGCAACAACAACTGGAGCAACAGCAAATTCAATACCAGCTTGATCAAAAACAATTACAGCTTCAAGAACAACAAAGAATACAACAGTATCAGCTACAACAACTAAAAATTCAGCAACAACAACAGCAATACATTAATCAAGCCATATTAGAAAAACCCCTAATTCGACGGGATAATCCACCAAAGGCAATCGTGACTGAGTTGGACGAGGACATGAAACCACTCAAGTCACGACCACTTTATGAAAGGTTAACAGTATATGATGAAAATCACAGTACTGATCAAATAGCTACTCCAGACACGCCACCCCCTGAATCTCAACAGAATTCGTCTGAGATTGTGTTGGCTAAAGAAATTCTTTTATCTAATTCATCTACAAGCACACTAACTGAACCAAAAGCCATATTCAAGCCCAAGGAAAAGACAATTAAATTGCCCAATAAGTTAAAGAAAGAGTTACAAGAAATGCAATTGCGTCGATCGCCCTATTCATTACCTGATTTAAGCACGTTATCAAATACTGAACAAGAACAAGAGAATGATGACATAATCAATTGGAATACTATCCAAATATTTCATTATCCCTATGTTACTAACAGCGAAGAGACTTGTTATACCCAAGAAAACCAAACACCAAAAATTGACTGCTACCCAGCAATTGTAAAATGCTGCTCTATGCAAGACAGAAGACACACTTGTTCAAAACGACACCATTGTACGCATTTATCCTGTATTAATACCAAGCATCCTAATTATTCTACGGATTCTTCGAATCTTTATTATAAGAAACATCATAGCAAGCATAGACATCATCGATGCCATAAAAAAGATTCATATTCAAAAACAGTTCAAGTTTAATTCGACTGAAAAATAAAAGCCTTTTTATTATTTATAATGTATCTGTCCTAAATAGAGTTTGCCATTCTTATTTTTTTTTTTACTCAGCAGGGCGATCCCTTGTTGGGATTGAAAAAATCAAAAACCTTCAGGCAAAAATGGAGGAACTTTTGCCAAAGAATTTAGAGTTTCATTTCATTCAACTATTCAATGTTGTTACATACATATTCTTGCATATATATATACATATATATTTTTTCAAAGGAAAAGGTAAAATGTCCATACTGGTACTTCACAAGTTCTATTTTAAGGAAAAGCTGGTACGAAGCAACTGCTTATAGAAGCTCGTGTATATGGAAACAAGTGTAGGACAGGCGAAAACGAAAATGTCAAGACGGGGATTTAATGCATTCAGCAAACTGCATGATTTGAGATTGTTTTTTTTAAGAGCATAATATGGTACTGGGGTTACAGGAAGCTGACTACTATTAACAGATGCCCTGCAGACTAAGCCCCAACAAAAAAATATATATATATAATGAAGACATTACCTGCCTTTCTTTATTCTAATTGGTAATTAATTGTTTGGTAACTCGTGCCCGTGCTAACATGCTTTATACAAAGAAAAGGAAACAACTTTTTATTTTAAAAAGGAAATTAGGCCAAGCATCATTTATAACGATGAGTATTTTTTTCTTGCAATGAAAAAAAGTAAGGAGTTCAATCCATAAAAAAATGGGTCCGACATTAGACATGAGTAAAAGGTTTATACGCGTATCCAAAGGATCATCTATTGAATCTCCGAATGATGCTCCCTTTCCCCTTCATTTTCCAAACAAGTGCATGTCTTGAATGGTTCAATATGACCGTTACAGAGAGAACAAGATAAAAGAAATGCGAAAAACAATTGATTGGAGTGTCACATTGACTGATGATATGGTATTTATAACAACAATAAAAATTTGGTTATTGTTGCTATTTTTATATTACTTGTGTCACAAGTAGACCAATTGATTGTTTGATGTAACACTATTTATTTTTGTTATTATTATTTTATAGTTTCTATTTCCTCCCTTTTTCTCTTTTTCTTTTCTCTATATTTCTTTTCTACATATATTATGGGAAAAATAAGGAAATCACAGATTAGTGATGCAACGAATCGAACAGACCTATCAACTATAACCAATCCCACACTAGAAAGCATTGCAACATGCTTGCATGCACGCTATGAGGCATCCAAGGTTTACACATATGTCGGTTCTCGTCACATTGTGGCCGTCAATCCATTAAAGGAACTTAGCATTAATGATGATCAAACCAGTTTAGAATACGTTGCTGCTTATAAAGATGCTTCAGGCAGTACTCAAACTCCACAGTCATTGTTGGATCCTCATTTGTTTGATTTAATTAACCGTGTTTATTTTCATATGAGAAGAACAGGAAGCGATCAAAATATTACATTAAGGTAGAAGAATTTTTCTTTTTATTTTTCCCCTTGAAATAACAATATTGTTTTTTTAGAGGAGAATCCGGTAGTGGAAAGTCCGAAATCCGTAAATTGACTATCCGACACTTGGTGCGACTTAGCAGCCATCGAAAAGAATCCAAAGTTCAACAACAAATCATAGAATCACAAAAGGTTTTTGAAGCTTTTGGTCAATGTATCAACGGCTCCCGTTATGGTTACTACGGTGAAATCCAGTTTAATGAACGTGGAAGAATGATCGGTGCAAAAACACTTTCATACTTTTTGGAAAAAGCCCGTGTCACAGGTCACTCATCCTCCGTCGCCGACGGTAATTTCAATATCTTTTATTACTTATTGGCTGGTGTATCCCCAGAAGAAAAATCAGTACTCCAAATTCTCAACACAGATCCATCTCAATACAACTATCTATCAAAATATAAGAAACGCCCGCTTAATTTGATTGACGACGGCGCCCAATTCCAGCAACTCAAAGTATCGTTGAAGACATCTGGTTTCCGAAAGGAACATATTGGAAGAATCGTACAACTCGTTGCAACCATACTTCATCTTGGTAACCTGGTCTTTGTGGATCCTGTGGGTACTGGTACACAGGAAGCTGCTTTTGTTAAAAACACCGAACAACTCGAAATTGCTGCAGATTTTTTGGGTTTGGACCCTCATGCTTTAGAAAATGTATTGACGTTTAAAACAACAATGATCCGTAAAGATATCACCACTTTGATTCTTAATGCTGAACAAGCCTCAGTTCAGCGTGATGAACTCTGCCAGGCCCTATATTCTCTCATGTTTTCGTGGATTGTTGAGCGTGTCAATAGTAAAACTTGTCAAGATGAATTTAATAGTTTCATTGGCATTTTAGACTTCCCCTCACTTCAGTCAAATGGTGCATTTGATCAACTCTGTGTCAATATTGGAAATGAACGTATATTGCATTATCTCAACGAAACCGTTTTTGATATAGAACCTGATCTTTTCCGTTCCGAAGGCGTTGCTGTTCCAGATATTCAGGTCGATAATTCTTGTACTGATCTTTTAAGTCGTCCAAAAGGTATTTGTGACACCATCAATACAATGACCGACGTTTCAAAACGATCATACACTGATGCAAATGTGATGGATTCACTTGTTAAATTCAATACAACACATCCTGCATTTTTTGTCAAGACTTCGGATACACATGCCCGCCGTTTTGTTATCAATCATTATGAAGGTAAAGCTCCTGTTGAGTATTCTACAGATGGGTTTGTCGCACAAAACAACAGCCAGATCTCTGTCGATTTCGTTTCGCTTTTCAAGGGCGGTCTAGATGTACAACCTTCTTGGAATACTTTTATCGTTGATTTATTTGCAAATGTTAAGATTGAAAATCATCCCAAACATGCTGCCGCCATTGTCGCTGCAAGCCAGTCGGCTAAGCCTACCAGAGCTCCTTCTCAGCGTCGTTCTACACGTAGAAAGGATGGTTTGGATAATGAAAAATCCCATACCACAGGATCTTCCAGCCAAACTATATTATCTCAAATTCAATCGTCTATGGACGAACTTATTCAATCGTTTGAGGAAGCTAAGTTATGGATGGTTTTTTGTATCTCCCCCAAAAAACAAGGTTCAAAATCCTTCGACTCTAAATATGTACAATCTCAAATTAATTATTTCAACTTACCCGCTGTGCTTCAATTACCAACGATCCACTATGTCGAATCTTATCCTCATCAAGAATTTTTGGATCGTTATGGTCACTTATTTCAAGAACTTGATACTTCACGGTTACTCCGTTCCCAATGTGAGACAGCTGCAGGCTTAATGAATTGGACTACAAATAATATGTGTACCACACAAAATAAGGTACATTAAACAAGTTATCTGGAATGTTCACTTTATTAATTTTTATTTATATCCCAGGTCTTTCTTAGTGCCATTGCATGGCGTGAATTAGAAGATCAACTGCGCTCATACGAAAAAATAGAACAACGTCAAGCTAAAGATGAATTAGATTCGGGTAGTCAAGTAAATGTGTCCAATAGAAGTACAGGACATCCTTTTGCTGCTGCTGCTGCCGCTGCCGGACTTCCATTACCACCACAACAGTATGCTCAACAAGACGATCAACGATCATATTATTCTGAGGACGAATCTGCACAATATGTTGAGAACGATGGTTCTTATTATGGTTCTGACTCCTACGGATACTCCAATAGCAGTCAAGGTAAAAATGGTCTTGGTTTACTTCCTACACAGCCCGCCATTGTTGAAAACTTGGATGCGTCGGAAGAAGATGAAACTAAAATGACAAGCGGAAGAAAACGCTGGTTATTTTTTGTTTATTTTTGTACATGGTGGATTCCTTCCAAATTCATGGTTTGGTGTGGTCGTATGAAGAGAAAGGACGTGCGTATTGCTTGGCGTGAAAAGGTGACACTCTGTATGCTTATTTTCTTAATGTGTGCTTTTGTTATTTGGTTTTTGGTATTCTTTGGTGAATTTGTCTGTCCCCATCAAAATGTATATTCAACATCTGAATTACAAAGTCATGGCGCTGATGCCGATACGGCCTATGTCGTTATTCGGGGCGAAGTATTCGACTTGACTGCATTTGCTCCTCATCATTACCCTCCCAATCTGGTGCCTACTTCTTCCGTTTATAATTATGCTGGTACCGATGCTACCGGATTATTCCCCGTTCAAGTATCTGCTCTTTGTGAGGCTCCAGATGGCTCTCAAATATCTCCTTATGTCTCTTTGAACTACCAAATTAATTTGACTGATACCAATGGTAATTATCATGATTTCAGATACTCAACCGATAGCTATAATCCCAACTGGTATTATGATCATATGACTCTTTTGCGCAAAAATTACAAAGTCGGTCATATGGGCTTTGAAATGAAGGCCATCTCTGATCAATCTAAAAGCGCTACCTTGGTCAATGGCATTAAAAGTCTTCGTACTTGGGGTGTTATTGATGGTCATATTTATGATTTGACTGCTTATGCTATGGGTGGTCGATTTGCTCGCGGTCCTCCCGGTGAAGATGTGCCTACTGATATCAATACAAATTTTATGTCTCAAACAGTCGTTGATCTCTTTCAGCAACAATCTGGTGGCGACCTCACCAAATCTTTTTACAATCTTCCACTTGATGCCGCTACTCGTGAACGTGAATTGGTCTGTCTTCGCAACCTGTTCTTTGTTGGCTATTTGGATACCCGTAACTCAGTCAAGTGCCAATTCTCTACATACCTGTTATTGGTAGTAACTTGCTGTATGGCTTTTGTTGTTGTCTTTAAGTTTGCTGCCGCTATTCGTATTGGTGGAAAACGTGCCCCTGAAGAACATGACAAGTTTGTTATTTGCCAAATTACTTGTTATACTGAAGATGAAGAATCCTTGCGTAAGACTGTCGATTCAATCGCTACATTGCATTATGATGATAAGCGCAAGCTTTTGTTCGTTATTTGTGATGGTATGGTTGTTGGTAGTGGTAACGATTTACCCACATCTCGTATTGTGCTTGACATTTTGGGTGTTGATTCTCAAGTTGATCCAGAAGCGCTATCTTTTGTCTCTGTCGGCGATGGTAATAAGCAGCATAATATGGGTAAAATTTACTCTGGTTTATACGAAGTAGCTGGTCATGTTGTGCCTTATATTGTAGTAGCTAAATGTGGTAATCCCCGTGAACGTCAAAAGCCAGGTAATCGTGGTAAACGTGATTCCCAGTTGGTCTTGATGTCTTTCCTCAATCGTGTCCATTATGATGCTCCAATGAATCCTCTTCAACTTGAAATTTATCATCAAATGAAAAATGTAATCGGTGTTAGTCCAGGTTTTTATGATTTTGTACTCATGGTGGATGCCGATACCGAAGTTATGCGTGATGGTTTAAATTATTTGGTGTCTAGTGCTGTGCATGATTCCAAGATTATTGGTATTTGTGGCGAAACTACTCTTTCTAACGAAAAAGACACCTGGGTTACTATGATCCAAGTTTACGAATACTTCATTTCCCATCATTTAATCAAGTCTTTTGAATCACTGTTTTCTACAGTTAGTTGTTTGCCTGGTTGCTTCACTATGTATCGTATTCGTACTGTAGATGGTAAACGCGCCTTGTTTGTCAGTAACGAGATTATTGCCGATTATTCGGTCAATGTAGTTGACACCTTGCACAAGAAGAATTTGCTTCATCTTGGTGAAGATCGTTATTTAACTACTTTGCTCTTAAAACATTTTGCTGAATTCAAGACCAAATTCACTCCCGATGCGCATTGTAAGACTAATGCTCCTGATCTTTGGAGTGTTTTGATCTCTCAACGTCGTCGTTGGATTAATTCTACCGTTCACAATCTCGGAGAACTTGTATTCTTGGATCGACTCTGTGGTTTCTGTTGTTTCTCTATGCGTTTCATTGTTATGCTCGATTTGATCAGTACACTTGTCATGCCTGCTATTATGGGTTATCTTGGTTATCTGATCTATACTTTGGCACATTCTGATGGAACCATTCCTATTATTACTGTTGCTACAATTGCTGGTACTTACGGTCTTCAAGCCTTACTATTCATCATGAAGGGTCGTTGGGAATTTATCATGTGGATGATTGTTTCTATTTTCGCTATTCCCGTCTTTTCATTTTACATTCCAATTTACTCTTATTGGCATTTCGATGATTTCTCTTGGGGTAACACTCGTGTTGTTGTTGGTGAAACAGGTAAAAAGGTGGCTGTTGCTGCCGATGAAGGCAACTTTGATCCTAAATCCATTCCCACAATGAAATGGTCCGAATACGAACAAGCCTTACTTTCTGAAGAAAACTGGAGCGATAATTTGTCTCAAGGTAGCAGCAGTGGTTACACGCATAACAGTCGCCGTAGTGGTAACCGTAAAACGAACAATGCAACCTCTATATACAACCAAAGCGCTATGATGAATGGATCATCCGATAACATGAGTAACTATTCGCCAAGTATGATGATGCAACAACAACGCGGTCCTGGCAGTGTGTACGATCATCAAAGTATGATAATGCCATCCTCCACATCGATGCCAATGATGGTATATTCCAACAGTGTTAATAATTTAAATATGATGCCTATGCCTTCTAGTCGTTCTATGGCTTCATTCGCGCCTGCTGCACAATCTTTCAACCAACCCGGACAGTATATTGCTATGCAACAATCACCCCAATTTGCCAACAATATTAGTAGTCCATCTATAATTATGGATGGCTTTGCTATGGGTGATAATATCGGACCCAAAAATGAAGAAATTATGCTTCAGGTCCAACGCATATTGAGCACTGCAGATTTAACCCAGGTCACCAAGAAGCAGGTTCGTGAAGAATTACAAGAAATATTTGGTGTTTCAATGGCAACTAGGAAAGACTACATTAATGCTTGTATCGAAAATATCCTTCAAACCCGGGCTTAGTTCATGTCATGTGTCTTGTAACTTTCTTTCCTTATTTACTTACTATTTATACTTTTTTTACACCCATTCTTTTTTTTTTTTTTATATAATTCTTTATTCAGCACTCATACCCCCACACAAACCACACACAAAATATAACTCCTCTGTGAATAATTCCACCATTAATAATAAAATTTAATTAGATATTATTATGAAACGATAATTTATTTACCCAGTTCGTTCGTGTTTATTATATTTACAATTTTTACGCCATGGCATTGAAATTCGACAAGACATACTCCGGATGATTTGACTGAATGGTACCAATAACAGCATCAATATCCTGACAAAGTGCTTGGATAGCGGTATCCCATTTCATAATTTCCAGCATTGATTGTTCAACACGAACGTTTGTTTGGAAAGTACCATTAGCAGCTGCAGCTGCAGCACTGATAGCATTGTAGTCTGCAGCTTGCTCTTCTCGCGCAGCACCGCCCGACTCAAACGAAATTAATTGATCCAACTGGTCGATACTACCTATCATACGATTTTCACTAATCATACGAGCGGCTACATGTTCTGCTTGGTCAGTCGAAACATTCAATAAAACCGCCAATTCACCTATGGCAATATTATTATAAATTTTAGATGCTGATAATAAATTGTGCTCAATGATAGCACGATCAAAAACAGTGGTATTATCTGCTAAACGAGCTAAGTGATGAGGGCGTAAAGAAGCTGCAAATTCAGATACTTCATTGGGTCTGATAACGCGCTCCAGATATGTCTTCTCTAATATCGAAAAAGATGATAGATGATGCGTGCGTTCATCCTTGTACAATGTGGCCAAACTACGAGAGCGCTGAGGTCCTGCTCCTGCCAATACAGCACATTGAACTGCTGCTGTTCTATATAGGAATTCATGAATTAAAACACGATATTTTCTTGAAGAAAAATAAATATGTCATGCTTACAAGCAAAGAATCCTTTCATCCTCCTCGACTTGGCTGACATAACTCAATTCGTGATATTTTGAACAAGCTTCCAGAAATTTGCGTTTGGAATCCAAAATACGAGCTTGCGATAATTTGAAAGTCAAAGTTAACAATGTATCCGTTTCTGGGGTCATTAATAAGGATGCCCGGTTTAGATAAGATTCAGCTTGAGCCGCTTCGTCTTCTTCTAAAAGCAATCTCACAATACGAACATACACTTGTAGTTTGTAATCGTCAGAAATAGCACTATATCACAAAATGAGAACGAATTGTATCATGTTTTACATTATCATGCTTACCGATGGCCTGAATCAAGTGGAATACCTTGCAATGTTTTTGCAGCTTTCAGGTAATCTTCTTCTTCTTCGTATACACTAGCAAGTTTTTCTCTTAATTGAGAGAGCTAAGCTATACATGTTAGTGAAAGGAGTTTAGACTAAATAATCCTTCACTTACAGATTCCTCAAAGCTAACAGCACGAGGTTGAGCGCGTTCAATAGCATATAATAACAACTGCTTCTTTACGTTATGATCGGTAATCTTGTCGTTAAACAATCCAATAAATTCGGATAAAAGTTGCCTTGAAATGACCAAACCAACTTGTTCGTCCAAAACAGCTTCAATATAATCTTGAAGTAGTTGAGCCTGATCAGGACTTGAAAGAATTTCATTTGAGATACTGCGAAAAGCATCAAGTTTCTCTTTTTGTTGTGGAAGTGAGATGCAATCCTGAAGTCGGGACTCGATATTCATTTTGTTACAGGAAGAGAGGTAAAAAATAATGGTTTCATTATGTGGAGGGTAAATGCACTACAGACGCGTGTAACCCGAAGTTAACTGAATGCAGTGTCAAAAAAAAGAAACAATTATTTTATCGGAAAAAAGGGTGTCGATATCTAGAAGATCTTAGAATATAGAATATTGATGATGTTTAGTACTACACAATTTAGATGTTCAAATAAAAAATAAAGCTTTTTAAATTTTCAATTTCATATGAATATTTTTACATGGCAAGCGTTCATATGTCTTATCTACAGTATACGATTCCTCGTGTAATATAAACGTGACAGAGAAAGTGGAATGCAACCTCTGTCTATAATAGTCATACATTCAATCACAAAAAACGGCACCATATTCAAAAAGAGAAGACTTATAAATGATGGTATTTTTGCCATATTTTCATTGGAACCGCACTGAAGACTCTAATTTTCGTTGATCAACACATTATGGGCGCTTCAAATTGTAATCGATGAAGGCTGTTGTAAGGTTGATGAAGGTTGCTGAAGGCCGTTCCAAGGTTGATGATGGCTGCTGAGGGTTGCTGAAGGATGACTCTTCAATATGTAATATTAGGTCCGACAATTCTCAGCTATTGTTGCAACGGCAGATACTTGTGTGATACCGGTATTATATTTTTTGATGATTTTTTTATAAAAGCTGGTGTATTAATAATTCTCGGTAGTGAATGAGATACAAGAAGGAAATAAATTTGTCATCTAATTAGTCCTTGTTGATCCTACCCTAACCAATCAAACCCCATTTAATCAAGCTTAATCCAATGATTTGATAAAGTACATTCAGGTATATAATAAAGACATAAATATATCTTGTTAGTACTGATAATATGTTTAGTTGTACGAACCGGTTTGACTGCTTTTTGATGTGAGCTAGTTAGGAAAAAAAAAGGTTGATATATAATTGATTGCTACGGTATGATCAAACTAACCTGTATCCATAAGCAGTTTCGTGTAATTTATTTCCTTGTAATAATTCTAAAGGATACAAGTGGATTAATACATGATTTCCTGTATGTTTATCCCAATTTTATATTCTTAGCAGGTATAAGAAGCTTTAAAACTGCCGTGTTACTATGTACAATTCCCCTATCCCTACAAACAATGTAAAGACACGTATCGAAAGTCGTGGATACAGAGGCTTTATTTTAGTGACGTTTTAGGATTTTTAGGTATACTTACTTAAATAATCAACAAATGTGCTTCTATTTCGAAAACAATTGCATAATTGAGCGATTACATACTTCATCACTGATCAAAATTTAAAATTAGTATGCTCATGAAAGTTACCCGGTACCTCTTCTGCCTTAGTCCAAGACACGAGCTGATTTTGATACGTTGTTTTGTTTTGGTTGGAAATGTTTTGTGACCAAGTCTGATAATTTACTCGCTAAAATAACATTATTGTACTTTAAACCTGGACGGCCGTTATCATTTCACTTGAAGATTATATCGTCTTTATACTTTGGCTCCCAAATAGTGAAATGGTTTAATTTTTGAAGAGGCTGTATAATGCCTAATGCACAAAGCAACCCGGTAAAACAGAATTTCCTTAAAGGGGGAGTTTCATTCATGTGTCTCTGAATATAAAATTTTATAATTTTTTTTTTAAATACTTCTTTCTCATTCCTTCATGTCTACTTTACAAAAACGGTCGAGACATGCTTCCCTGATACCTAAAGCTAAGCCAACCGAATTAAATAATTGGGTAGATGACCGTAAAACTCGTAGTTTGTCAGTGCCTGACTTGCACAGGTTAAGAAACGAATGGGATACATATCAGCAATCCGATACTATACATTCAATATCAGAATCAATGCTACAGGCAAGAAATTTAGTGTGCATTCATTTACTAACGTTGCTGATAGTCATACTATAGATTGACTTGTTAAATATTCGTATGGATTGTGACATAAAAAAGCCTCAAATTAGATTAAAAATGGGTCCCTCAAGATATTTCTCAAAGAGGTCCGATAGTGTCACAGGCGATTGGAACGAAGGTTTTTTATTTCTTGTGTCGTATCATGCCCAATTGTTTAATACGGTTGAGGTAACTATTCTCATATGGATTAGCTTCAACAACCTGACTCATTTATTTTTATTAGTTCGACTTATACGACAAGCCACACAAGCATTGGCCTACAACAAAGCATGTTGGAAAAGCTAAATTAAGGTTATCCAAACTCGAAGGAAAAAATGACGTCTTTGTAACGTGAGTAGATATTTACGTTTGGTACAACACAATGCTTAAAAATATTAGAAAGTTTTTTGCCCATATACGAATATCGTTCAAAACGTCTACTGCCTTCTGATTTTCAGCCTACCCTATTAGAGACAGAATGGATCGACCAGGCTAGTATACACAATAAGGTTGGAGATCTAAGCTTGATTGGGTCTATACAAATACGGGTTCGATACAAGTTTCAAGAACCTGTGCACGAACTGATACCTAATCGCAATATTTTGGCAGACGACGAACCCGCATTTTTGTCACCTGGATTACATCCACTTACTACAGCAACCACTCGCCGTTCTTCCTACGGTCGAGCAGACTTAGCACAAGATGAGGAATACGTCGATAATTTATTTGAGAAACGACTTACACAAGTGATGTCTGCGCATATACCTTCAGAACAGAGCATTGGAGCACACAAAAAGAAGAAACGTAATTTATTTCAACTGCATCGAAATGCTTCTTTTCAATCCATTGCAAGTTATCAAATGCACTGGATACATGGTTTATTTTCTCCTGCAAAAAAATTGCCAAATTCGTCAAGTGGTAGAAGGTTTGGCTTTTCTCAAAACGATTCTGATGATAACAACCGATTCAATCCGGATGGTGAGGATGACCAAGAAAGCGAATCGAGTTCTTTGTCTTCTTCTGCTCCAGTATCTGATCGTTTCGCTCATGGTGCACGTAAAAAGGCACAGCATATCATCGACAGTGTGAATTTTGGTGATAGGAATTTCGCTTCACAATGGATGGCAGATTCATTTGAGGATGTTGCTCTATCTCATCCGATTGTAGATAAGCTTATTGGGCTCGTTGTGAGTAAACAGACACAGGCCATGGTACGAGCGATTATCAAGACAGCAAACTCATTTGGTCAAGGGTTCCGTGTAACAGGGATTAAGTTATTAAAATCTGCTTTATTAGTTCAGAGTTTCTACGAATCTTTACCCAGACCTGTGGAATCTGCTTCGATTACGGATATTGAAGTGATCGATGACGCATGCCATTATTTCGCTTTTGCTCTGGTTGCGTATGGATGGCGTGGATTATGTTACATTGGTCCCTATGGACAATATGCTCGTGGTGCCCGAGATCGCAGATCCAACCGATTAGCCATCATTCGTTTTTTACAGATTGACCCAGAAGATTTGTTGGGATACGAGTATGCATTAAGAAAGGGTGCTTCTTTTCAGCCGAGTTATTACGTCGCGTTGGATAGGAAAAGGGATGCGATTGTACTTAGTATTCGGGGTACATGGAGCTTATATGATGCGATCACAGATTTGGTATGTGAATATATGCCTTGGAAAGGAGGTCTAGTTCATTCGGGTATGCTGGCATCTGCTCAGTGGTTTTATACAAACATTATACCGCAGATATTTCGATATATTCATCATCATAAACTGGAATTGAAAAGCTTTATTATTACTGGACACTCTTTGGGAGGAGGAACTGCAAGTTTACTGACAATGATGGTAGCAGATCATGTTCAAGAATTGCGGAATTTAGCAGACAATCAACAATTTAATTTTCATTGCTATAATTATGCTCCTGCTGCAGTGAGTTCACCAGATTTATGTAATATGTACCGAGATTATATCACGAGTTTTGTTTGTCAGGATGATGTAGTAGGTAGATTATCTTATGGTACTGCCATGAAATTAAAGGAGCTTGTATTGGATATGATTAGTGCTTATGAAATGTTAGGAGGCTTCAGGACGGTGAGCTTTTAATCAATGATCCTAACAGGAGTTGTACTCATAAATTTTTAGGCCATGACTGATCCCAAGGCAAGAAAATTGTGTTTTCAAATAGCCAGTCAACGTCGGGAAAAACTTGATGCAGACTCGATGTACCCATCTGTAAGTGTTTAAAAAAGAAAAGTATTTATATCACATTGAATGACCGAATTACAGTTGTACATTCCTGGGCAAATTATTCATATCCAACGAAAGGAATCAACTTACTCTTTACACTATACCACACATGTAATTTCCAATGAAATGAAACTGACAAAGACATGCATCGAAGACCATATGATTTCCGCTTACCAGAATGCTTTTGTTGCACTACGAGAACAGTATCACCCTTAATGCTGAGCATAGTAATAGAAGAAATAGATTAAAAAAAACTTTTAATAAAAGCGTCACACAGTGGGCTGGTGAAACAAAAAAAACATAAAAAAAAAGAAGTATTTAGCCCTTTTTTCTTTTCTTTTTTCCTCTATTCTTTATACATCAAAAAAAAAATGGGTAAAAGAAAAAATCATAGCATACACGCTTTTTTTAAAAAAAAATAAAAACCTATATATATTAACAATGATTTAGGTTTATTAAATATGCTTAGTGGGATCCCTATAAAATATCTCTCGCTTATTATCCTTGTGGTTCAAAACAGTGCACTCATCTTGGTCATGCGTTATACCCGAGCTAATGTAGAAGAAGACAAGTTATATTTAGCATCTACAGCAGTTGTCATGAGTGAAGTTATCAAGTCAACCGTGTGTCTCGGCGTACTTTACCTTTCTCCGGAGTCTCGTAAACGTTCACTTAAAAGACTTTTCTCACTGTTAAATCGTGAGCTTATATTAAACTGGAGGGAATCAGCAAAACTTGCATTTCCTGCTGCATTATATCTTGTTCAGGTAAATACAACCATTATAGGAATAATTAGGTGAATTTGAACTGATTGGACCTCATTTTAGAATAACTTACAATACGTGGCAGCTTCGAACCTGGACGCAGCTACATTTCAAGTGACTTATCAACTAAAGATCTTGACTACTGCCTTCTTCAGTGTCTTGATCCTTAAAAGAAACATCTCAAAATTAAAATGGATGGCATTGGCTATTTTGACGATTGGTATTGCGCTGGTTGTATTACCAAAGGGAGCCTCTACGGCATTTATCACATATATCACAGGAAATACAATCACAGACACAACAGTCGAAACATCAAGTGGCGGTAATCAATCAAACTTGCATGGATTTATTGCAGTTTTAACCGCCTGTTTCTTATCCGGTTTGGCAGGTGTTTATTTCGAAAAAATTCTCAAGGCACCAGCATCGACTCATAAACCTGTTCCTACTTCTGAAGAAGATGCCGACGAGACTAAAAAGATGCAAGAGGAGGATATGGATGATGAATTGGCTGCTAGTAATCAGATCTGGATTAGAAACATTCAAATGTCATTCTTTTCTGTTGTTTTAGGACTTGTCTTTGTTGTTATGCTTCAAGATGGTGTAACAATCGTAGAAAGAGGTTTTTTTGTGAATTACAATGCTTTGACTTGGACTGTAATTGGTATTCAAGCCCTCGGTGGATTGATTGTGGCTCTGGTAGTTAAGTACGCCGATAATATCTTGAAGGGCTTTGCAACAAGTATTAGTATTATTTTGTCTTCTATAATTAGCGTGTGGCTTTTCAACTTTACTTTTTCGGCCCCATTTTTACTGGGCGCAGCACTCGTTATATACGCAACTTACTTGTACGGTTTATAAAAAAGAAATCAAATAACAAACAATAACATTCATACCCCCACCCCACCTCTTATTTTCGTCCTTTTGTCCTTTTGATACAGGGTGTTTCGAAATTATTTACGCACTTTTTGAAAATAAAAAACAAGCACTAACTAAAAATAATTTCAAAATTTGGGTTTTCTGTTTAATCAATCATACTGAATATCTACAAAAGCCTTGCAAGTCATTTGTGAGCACATTATTGCAAGCTTCCCTAATATTGGAAGATAATGTCTCCTTCTTCAAAAGTGCCTCTCTCTTTATTTTACTTTTGCATACTGACCAAAATTGCTCAAGGCGAGTAGATATGCGTTATGTAAAGAATTTTTTGATGATTTTATTAATTGTTAATTTTTTTGTTAATTTGGCCAAATAATAAATATAACATAAAACTTTTTTTTGCTTTTGCTGTGGTATGATAATTTTAAAGTTTTCCAATGTGTAAAATATTATGTAATCTTTTTTTTTACAATGGAGCCCGCCTCCACTATCATAAGATCATTGTGGTAGTCCAAAGGCTAATATCAGGAGTATCTTCGATTGGCGTTGTTTCACGATCTTTTTTAAAAAAAAAGTGCAAAGCAACCCATTTTCTTACACACATCCCGCCACAACAGCTTTTGAAGAGGAGTCCACACTTTAATTTCGGCTATTTTTGGATGGCTTCAAATTAAATTTCAGACTACACACTTACAGATAATTGTTACAAAAAAAGTTTTTTTCAGTCATTTTTACGGAGCTAACTTACGGGTGTGTAGGGAAGCATCGTATGCGACTGCTCACAAATCCACCGTTTCGGTTAATACTTTAGAAGCCACAATATTCTTTCCAGTGTTTTCTTTTTGCGTTTGTTTACTTTTAAACATTATAAACTCAAAGCGCCCAACTAATGAAAATATTTATTACCTTCTTGAGGGCATTCATACATATGTAGCTGTCCCAGGGATATATTTTAAGGATAATGTCATTAAATACCATCTTTATGATTTTAATTAGATACAAGTAGAATCAGAAGCAATATATTTTGAAGGATACATATCCTATTTTAGGCTGTCCTATTGACATCTTTATACTACGCAGCCGATAAATAACACGAAGCATCCTAAAATTAAAATAATAACTACGTAACATAGCTCCAAGCAATCTAAAATTGCATTTATTACTGCATAAGGTGTTTCTTTATTTACACTTTGTAGTTTTACCGAGTAAATGATCTTATAATAGATTATGTGCGCTGGTAATACAATATCTTTTCTAATAGAACATTGCATGATAAACAAAATCTCACAAACAAAGGAGATCTTTCAGTGGCAGCAATGTCAGGCGACTATTTTACATTTTTTTTTTTTTTACTTTCCTGCCATCAATGGTTTTAAGTATGATATTTATTCGTATTGCTGATTGGTGAATTTCAATGTCTGCTATATTTGGTTAATACACGTGTGGCAAAAGAAACTGAATTAGAGGACTGTTGTAAAACATCTCTGAAATACGTATCCATATCGAAATAATGGGTAAATATTCCTCATTTATACTATAATTCGCACGTTTTTGTTACATGACGTAGGGTGTGTACAAATTGATTGGAAAGAATGCTTATATGAACTGATTTGTCGACGGGACTAAATAAACGAGAGAATGACAAGAAAAATTACTGGGATGACTCCCACGCTTATCCATATAATGGACAAGCTGCGAAAGTATGCTAACGATTTTTATATCAAGTGTTTACGGGTAAAAATAGTTTTTTCTAAAAGACATACACGTGCCCTGAGATTCAACATTTTTATATCAACATTGAAGTATGACAACAACAAATAAAAGGAAAGTCTATTTGGGTTTGATTTTATTAGATGTAGTAAGGAGTAAAGCGAGGAGATTTACAATTCATTAGGTTTACTGCTGTAATCCTTAACATTAGGTTTATCAGAAATATAGGCCATCTCATTTAAGTTTCCAGCACTCGTAGGAGATGTAGCCTCATTAAAATGCTTTGGTGTATCATAATACTCATGTCGTGCGTTATCATATCCAGGTTGATAAGCATTATTATCATAATAGCCATAATCAGGTTGTGCTTGATTTTGATAATCAGGTTGGGAGTGTTGATAATCTGCTTGGTGAGCATAATCGTGGTGTTGATAGTCGGCAACTGGGGCTTGATGTTGATAATTTCCATCTTGGCTATATCCTTCTTGACTATACCCACCTTGACTAAACCCTTCTTGGTAATCGGGATATTGTTCACCATAAGCAGGTGTGGGTGCGTAACGACGAGTGTTATCAAAAGGAGAAAGTGGTTCGGTTGAAACTACTGTGGCTGCTGTGCCAGCTCCAGCTCCAGCAGCAACTGCAGCGGCAGCTGCGTGAGAATGGTTAAAATCGTTCTGATTCATATCAATGGTGTAATCATCTTGAGTAAATCCCTCCTTGTTACGCTTTGTACGCTTTGTACATCCACCACGGCGATTCATCCATGTCAGGATACCGCCAATTAAAGCAAGTCCGACTAAAAAGGAGAAATAAAAAGATAATCAGTATTAAGTCGGTAACAAAATTACAATAAACCTTACCAACACCACCAACCACAGAGCCTGCAATTACGCCTGTCTTGCTACCAGTGTCGTCTGAGCTATCGGGGGAAGCGGTAGATTCGGGTGCACCGGAAGATTTGGATTGATGTGATTGGGTAGGACTACTCTTGGAGCCAGTACCAGCACTAGTAGGGTCTGGAGTGCTGCCTGGTTTGTTAGAGGTAGTAGCGGTTTGGTCTGCTTCTGAGGAAGAGTCAGGCTTAGAAGAAGAGGCGGCTTTAGTAGTAGTGGTGGCTGCTGGGGCACTAGTAGGTGCTTGGGTAGTGGTAGCAGGAGCTTGTGTAGTTGCAGGTGCTTGAGTGGTAGTAACAGGCGCTTCAGTAGTAACAGGCGCTTCAGTAGTGGTAGGTGCTTCGGTTGTATCAGGTGCTTGAGTGGTGGCGGGAGCATTTGTAGTAGCAGGTTCGGTTGTTTTAGCTTCCTCAGTAGTAGCAGGTTGGACAGTGGTGGGGTCAGGAGCAGGAGCACTGGTGGCTTGCGCTGTTATAGACTTTGTAATGGAAGATAACAATGAAGTAGTTGTAGAATCAATGATATCAGATGTTGTTTGAGGTGTTAATGATTGAATAGGAGAGGAGGAAGGAGGAGGAAGGTCAGTCGTCGTGGATTTCGAGCTGTCTGTTGTTGTACTTACGTCAATAGCGGTAGTGGTTGGTTCGATTTCTGTAGGTTTAACAGTATCATTGGACTGAGCATGTACTACAAGAATACAAAAAAGCAGTACACAAATCGACAATTTATGGACAGATGAGAACTTCATTTTCGGTCCAAAATATATAAATGTTAAAAGAAAGGGAAAAAGACAAAAGAAAAAGAAAAAAAACAACAAAAATAGCTCTTTTAATCTATTTTTGACTAGATAAAAAAAAAAAAATGAAACTTGCTCATTCAACGTCTGAGTTTCTTGGCAAAACAAATATTTTTTCGAGTCCGTTTGACCCGGTCGTTTTGGTGCCTGTTCACCTGTCAGTTCACTTATTTCGGTGTGTTAGCACTTTTCATGTAAACATATTATAAACAAATATTAGACTTTATAATCCCGTTTTGTAAGATTTACCAAACAGATCTGTTTGTTTCAACCTCATGACGTCAAGTATTGTTTATCTCTTATAAGAGAAAAAATGTACCAGTATATGTACGTATGGCTGCTAAGCAACGTTACTGTGGAATAGTTACAAAATTCAGTTTCCCTTTGAAAAAAAATTTCTCGGTTCCTGAAATTTTTTTTCAGCATTGTTCTCAGTCATAACGAATGGCAGAGTCAGATCAGCAAAGAAAAAATTCCTGTCGGGATTGGCTCTAAGCGTGAAATTTTCATGAGTTGTACCACCCATTAAATATTTATTTTGTTCTCACTCTCAAAAAAATTCTCATCTATTCTTTTCTTCTCCCTCACCACTTACCCAACACCTTCCTTCCTTTTGAATTCCTAATGAAAATATCTGGGCTCTCCATTGTTCAGCTCACGCTTGCTTCAATAGTTTTGCTTCCTAACTCAATTTTAACTCAGACAGCAGAAGAAAATGCTATTTTCTCGAGATATTATTTTTCACCTGTTGTAAAAGATGGAATCGTATATATCTTTGGTGGCTCCAATGTAAGAGCTTATAATACATATGTGAAAACAAGACAATAAGATACTTACACTTGCCATCATCATTGAAGCAAACTCTAGATGTTCCTTTCCTCAATATTGCAAATGGGCTTGAAGACACCAATAACCCTGTTTGGAATTGGTGGTCCGCCCCAAAAGACGATAAATTAAGACCGTTTGATAGAGGTGTAGCTTACCTCGGTGCTAATGATGAAATATTCGTTCAAGCTGGTGGACTATCAACTACAACCCTTGAAAGTTTAGTCAATTTCAAAACCAATGGCCAATGGGTGAATGGTAAACCTTTCTTTCTTCAACCCAAACGTCTGTAATCGAATATTTTTTTTTCTATTTTTTTCGCAGCCACCACAGTTGGTAGTCGTCCCTCTACGAGTTTAATGACTGCCACTGTAAATCCATCGACTGGCATTGCTTATTATTACGGAGGACAACCTTTAACAGATCATAGAGTTGATATTAAAAAACATGCTGTAGGTATTCCCTGCCCATCACATTTACTCTTTTCACTAACGGTTTGGATTAGCTTTCATCTTTTTACAGTTTTGATACATATTCAAGTCGCTGGACAGCATTAAATCCTACCGCTCCCGCAGCTGTGCGTCCAGGTCGTAATTCTCATACTTCAAATATCATGTAAAGATTGAAATTATACTGTTGAATTATCAGACTAAAATCCTATTTTTGATAGTAACAATCAAATGTTCATTATGGGTGGTCTTACAGATGGTGCTAATGATACCGTCAGAACTGTCCAAGCAGACTTCGAAAGTGTTCTTGGTAAAACAAATTTGTGGAAATAGATCAACAAGGCACATGCAAACTAACTATATACTCATAGTTTATGATATCATTACAAACAATGCGATCTCCGTAACTACTCTTGGTGATATTCCAGGCGCTAGACAAGGGTAAAATCACATTATTTATTCGATGAATCAATTAACTAACTATTACTTTTTTCTCTCATTAGCTACTCTACTGCTTTAGGTAAGAATGCTAAAAAAAATATTGTCAGCTGATGGCACTAAAACTGGTTATTATTATAGGTTTAGATGGTCATTCTATTGTTATTTATGGTGGATACATCTTTGATGGAACAGCCAATTTTAACCCTGCTCCAAATGATGTGTACGTGCTCGATACTTGTACGCTTACATGGCGCAAACAAGAAGTAAGCGGTACATCACCTGGAACATTGTATGCCCATAGTGCTATCAACGTTAACGATTACATGATCCTTTTGATGGGAAAAGTATCAGATGCAGAATTCAATGACCATATCTATATTCTTGATATGAAACAATGGAAATGGGTCACCAGTTTCACTGCCACCGCTGATACTATTCCTGGTTCTGAATGCCGATTTGAATTACCTAACGTCAATTCTACAAATTTTGTTCCTTATAGTTATGATTTTGGAGTTATCGCCAATCCTCTCACACCCTCTGAAAAAAAGAAGGTGAATGGAAAAGGTTTTGGTATTGGATTCGGTATTGTGGGTGTTTTATTGGTCGCAGGTGGTGTCTTTTACTATATGAGACGTGTACGCAATAAGAAATCTAGAGCTTTGAATCCTAGATGGATGCGCACTATTCCTGCACAAAAAGATAGCAGCTATAGCAATGATCGTGATTACCCATTGTTTGTTTATAACAAAGAATTAGATAATGACAACAATAACAATCCCAACGCCCCCCGTAAAAATTCCGGTGCATTTGCCCCTAACGGTGTCCGAACATACACTGCCTCAGATCACGAGCAATGGGAACAACAATTGAACCAGGAAGCTGAGAATCCTGATAATACAGCACGTCGTCACAGTGATATCTGGAGTCGTATGCGTGGTTTGAACGACGCCTCTGTTATTAGCGACGAAGAAGTTCAGCACAACCGTAACCCTAATCATACCTCTGGTAAACTCGTTGATTTTTAAACGAGCACTTTATCTTTAATAAAACATATCCATTCCTTCATTATTTGATTTTTTATAGCTATTGTAATTAAGCGAAGCGCTCTATTTGCGCGGATCCTGTTAGCACATAACAAAATACATATATTTTGCAGCATGATCTTCATAAATGATATGTTCACTCCTTTAACAAGACCAATTAATCCTGTCAGGAAGCATACCGTTTATAAGAAACCACGCATTTATCTTGAAAAATAATGAATTTGTAAATCCAGGTCTAGACTCTGTCGATGTTTAAAAATGCTCCGCACAAAAAATAATGCCAAGCTAAAATACCTTCCACGACTTTTGTGTTTACGTAGCTGCTCAAAACTAGATTGCTTTATATTTTAGCCCTCATTCGGTCAATGAATTTTTGGCTAATGATCGACGGTACGTTTTTTAAACTTATGACGTGATTGCTGGGCTTGTACAAACGGAGAGATTTCAAGACAATATTCAGAAATGAAAGAAAAACTTTTTTCAATGCGAACCAAAGGTTCTAGCCAAACAAATGACGCCTGTAACAATTCTAATCCTTATTCCTAAGAAAACCCGTATTGTTTGACTGACCATCGATAGCCTTCACTTGAGTGTGGATTCAACCTCCTTTATGGTATTCACGCTTCGAATTCAGAGAGCTGTTTGTCACAAATACTTGATGTAAAATGCTTAGGTTCATTTTAGTTCTCAAATCTGTACCCTTCTACTTAATAGAGCCAGTGATAATAAGACATGAATAACCAACCCAGCATGTGATTATACAGGAATTTGTTCCTGACGACCCGACTTTTTGCTTGTTATTATGATCTTCTCAACATCGTTAAAAATCTTTGTCTGAATAGTATGTTTGTTTCACCCGATTTTTTTTTTTTTTTTTTTTTTTTTTTTTTTTTTTTTTTTTTTTTTTGCACTTGCCTGAAAAATATTCTTTTACGTCTGAAAGCATTTTTGAGTCGGTCCGAAATATTTTTTATCTGTCTAAATTTAAAGTGTAAAGACAATAATCAGTGTAATTTACATCGGTAGCCTAATTATTGAGCCACTCATAGAGTATCGATGCTTAAAATTACGTATGTAAAAAAGTTGCCAGATTTCAGGAAATACATTAGCACTCATACAATGATCTAAATTGCTGTTTATAACAAGTGAGAGGGAACTTAGACAGATTATTAAAAAGTTGATGCCTATCCAGCTTTTGACGTTAAATTAACTACATCTTTTTCAATGACAGTTGCACGATTAAAAACCTTTTGCAGCCGTGTCTGGACAGCTGGAGGGGTAATCCAACTGCCTGAATGGTTATCTAAAATGTTGTATCACTTGTATATTTTTTAATGGTTACAATAAAATGGAAAATTTTATTGAAAAAAATTGGGAAGTAAAACGAAGTGATTAAGCTTGAGCAGCAGCGGCTTTTTCTGCCAAGTCCTGTTTTCTGGACTTGCTCTTGGGATCAAAATAAGGAGCTTCGGCTTGAGGTGTAACTCTCCAACCATGACGCTTACCGATATCGAGGTAATCGAAGATGGCATTATGTACTGTAGAACGGTTATCCCATACAGCAACACTGTTTTCTTGCCACTTGAAACGAACTTGGAAATCGACACCGCCAGCAATGTGTTCAAACAAGTGCTTCAAAATAATATCAGACTCACGTTTTGAAAGACCTACAATAGAGCTGGTAAAACCAGGTTGGACAAAGAGCGCTTTCCATCCGGTGACAGGATGTGTACGAATAACGGGATGAGTAGCTGTCCAGACAGAACGACGGACAACATGGCCAGCTCTGTTAGCTTCATCTACCTGCTGTTGACCAGTATGTACGGCTTCTAAGCCTTCAAGAAATTTTCGGAAAGGAGGTGAAAGTCTGTCGTAAGCACTATAACCAGAAGCCCACAAAGTATCACCACCAGCAGAAGGTAATGTATCAATCTTAAGTAAAGTTAGACCGGCAGGCTGATTCTCATAGGTGACATCAGAGTGCCATCCATCGGCAGCAGTTCTCAATAAAGAAAAGTCAATTCCACTAGCCGACTTGTAATTCTTGAAGGTGTTGGTATCGAAATAGACTATATGAGCCTCAGGAACGCCTTCAGGATGACCAAAAGTATTATGAATATGACTATATCAATTCATTAGTAAAGAGAATATTTTGATTTAAATTTCGTACTTACGGAGGTCCGTAATGCTTGATAAATTCAACGCCTTGATAAACGTCAATATCTTGATCTCTGAAGAAGACAACACCACGTTCAGCAACCAATAAAGCCAAATCATCCTTTTGAGTGTCAGTCAATGCTGATAATTGAAGACCGTGGATTTCAGTACCAATGTGGGGAGTAAGGTCAAAGACCTTTTCTGCATTCTTTAAAATAGAGGCCTTTGTGGGATCAGCACGATGTCCAGGATCTTTGTGCTCGAACAGCTCGAGGTCAGGATACTACAACTTATGGTTAAATATTTTGTAATGCCCAAGAAAATAGAATATGTACCTTTGTTTCTGGATAAACAAGGTAAGGACCTTTCTCGCGGGCAAGAGATTGTAAATCAAGCTTCTTAATTTCTTGGATAATAGCGTCAGTATTGGGAGGAGACATTTGTTGGTGTTGTTGTTGTGGTAGAACAATTATAGAGAAAAAAAACGTCAATGATGTTTTTATCTTTTATATACGAGCTTTTTTTTTTAAATACGCAATTTTTGCAATATATTTTGTCAAATAGCTCTCAGCAAAGATAGTACAGATATCATCAAATTGCATAGACATAATGACAATGGCGCAATTTGGTTGATTCATGCACCATATAGTTTTTACAGCTGGTAATGTGACACATTCTTTTTGCTAATTGAGTGACACAAAGAAATCGCGGGGTAAAAGTTTCCGCAGTGGAAACATACACACAACATAACGTTTGCAAGTATAGTAATTGTTGGTAAATATCCCATTTTTTGTTTAGTAAAATTGCTAAGCTATGAGAAACGTTTGCCAGTTTATAATTGATAAAAGCTTAAAAATAATACACGCACGCAATCAGCAAAAACCATGACGCAACATACCCAAGGTCTGGTGTATTACGTGTTCACACCATCCAAAAATGACGAATACTAGAGAGAAGATCTACCGGTATTTATTTACACCATCAGTTTCCATATACAAATATATACTACTATATGTAAATTTGGCTTGTGCGACATATCTGGAGATATCCACCCGCCTTAAATTAATAACGGGCTCTACCAAAACTCTCGACATCGCTAGACTGGTGTGTTGAGAATGAACTGGATAAGTTGAACCTATTTATAATCAGCATATGTGTATTTAAAGAACTGTAAAGCCGATGCCCGACCCACTTTTTTAAATTATATATCCTCTTCGGAACGGAGGAAGGGGTAGGCCATCTCGGGAAACCAGTGAGCTGAGGCTAATTAATAGGATGTTTTTAGCCACGTTATGATCTTGGTTGACAGTGTTAGAGTGGGGGGATACCCCTCTTGGCTTTACGGGGTTTATACAGACCACTGCTCCTTCAAATCTTTGTAATATGTCTTCTGGAAGTACAACTTGTTTTACGGTTGTTTTAAAACAACTAGAACATATTACAGTTGATGCATATTTATCAACAACCTGAAACAAATCTTGTTTGTAACTCCTAACCATTGATAGATCTGGTGAAAGGCTCCTTTGGGTAAGACTTCGTTTATATTTCGAATTTCGATGCTAATCTCCCAAGAATATACAAAGCCATCCTTTTTTTTAGGCAAATTAAAATCCTTGCAAAGTTACTTTCGATGGTTTTAATATAGATGTTGATATGATTTTTTGTTTCGGATTTTTTTTTGTAAGTATTATTTGTTTAGATATTGATTGTCTACTTCTTTGGTTCTAGTAGCCTTAGCTCTCTTTTTTTTTCTAAGCATATTAATAAAGTTTGCACAGTTTATGAATCCTACAGTTAGAAAAGATGGTATCTCTTGTTCTTTAAATGAGCTGGAGATATATTCTCCCCTTTTCTAAGCTATCAAAAATTTGAAAAGGGCTTATGATTTTAGATATAGAGTCAGAAGACCCACTACTGTTTATTGTCGCGATTGGAATAACTCCAGAGTCCATGCCTTGTACAATAATACTTCCATCTTGGATCTTTTTTATCATATGTTCTAAAATACCGTCGATCTTTTGGCAGAAAGAGAGGATGAGAAAAATAAGGCTTCCAAGGTTTGAGATTTGAAGATGCAATCTCCTAATTATCTAGTACGTTGTTGAATACTCATAACGACATTTGTGACACACTTTTGTGTTGACATTGCCAAAACATTATACAGTCGTTGGCCACCACTAGTGTTCGAGCTTTTCGATCTACCATTGATCTTGCGCCAGTTAAACAAAGCTCAAAACGAGTTTTTGTACTCGAGCATGCGCCAGTTTGTTTTTTATTCGAGTGACCATCGAGCTAGCACCGAAATTATCTCGCTCGGCTACATAATTGAAAGTGTTCACTTTAAATCTAAGTACTTGAACGAAGGTGATTTTCATTTCAGCCGTATCGCCGGTATGCGTACTATACAAGTGATGAAGCATGATTTTTCTATATGACAAAAGTTTAGCTTTGTCATGATACATTTTGGTGGGGAATGTAAGAAATGTCTAGATCTTTGTATTTTTTTCAAACGTATTTTTTAACCTTTTACAATATCGATTACTTTCATTCAAAAAAAAAAAAAAAAAAAAAAAAAAAAAAAAAAAAAGTGAGTGAACAGGTCTAATTTATAAGATTATAAAAGTGTGCTAATCAGCTTTATTCGTAGACTGATAAGCAGGCTCTGTTGGAGGATACCGATGAGGCGACCTTTGTGTATCGATTTGGTATGTTGACGTGCGTCTTTTGATAAAGCAAATAGTGTAGGACTGCAGAGTTTAGAAGGATCAGTTGGGTAAAATTTAGGAAACAAAAGAATGATCAAAGGGTTATTTGAAGTGCCTATCAACGCACTGCAAGAGTACTATATTATGTTTGTTTCTGTACGTAACAAAATTCAAGTCTCTATTGAGTTTAAAAAATCATTATTTATAAAATCGTAGGCCGATTAATTTTATTGTTGTTTCTTTTTTTGCACAGACATGTCTAGAAGGGAGAAAAAACCATGGGAACACATTCAGTCTCAATAAAACACCTGATTGGAAAGGCAAAAGATTAAAACGTGAAAATGACAGCGTAGGAGAGTCCAGCAACTCAACTAAATGACAAAAGTCTACAGTCGAAAGGACCAATTGCTGTTCACTGCATTGAAAGAAGAATATAATGATAATCTATATCACTGTATAAAACAATCTATCGAGGCAAAGGAAGATATAGAAGATCTCAAACGGTTCATCATATCTTCATCTCGAGTTTCAAAAGGTATGGTCACTCGTGCGGAAAGAAGAATTAATGCTGAGGCTGCTGAAATCGAGCATTTGATAGCCAGGAAGAAGAAAGAAAGGACAGGATTCGAACGCTGAATAGATCTTGTAAACAACAACTTTGACATTATCGCTTCAAACATCCGAAGAGACATTAAAGGAAAAGATTCTAGAAGTGGTACGGGTAGTGCTAGTCAAACTGCAAGTATTGTTTCGTCATCTACCACATCTTTAAAACTCACTGAGAATCACAAAGAGCCGCCCTTGAGGTCTTGTAATAGCTCATTATCTCCACTATTAAGATCAAACTTGCCTCTTGATATCAAGCAGGAGTTTTTGATCGCATTCGTAATGCAACTATTTCTGCGACTGATTACATTTATGAATATAGTTTACAAATGCTCAAATGTATACTGGTATTTAAAAACACTACTTTTGTGATGAACAGAAATAACAATACTTCACTCAAAATCTAAGTAGCCCTTATTAGCTTCTGATATATTGACAGAAGTATACCATGAAGAATGTTCAGAATTCTGTCTTCCTCCTCCCTTAGATCATAATTTATTTTCGATGTTTAATAACTCCATTGGTACAGACTTGCAAAAGAATTAAACCGAAAAGACATTCACGATAAGTAAAAATAATTATAAAGGAATGGGAAAGGCAGAAAATTGTACAGTCACTCCTGATTTACTAAACTCAGGAAAAAATTGCTTTCTCTGGAACAGACAATGGTCTTATATCTATGACAGATACTGTAAATGTTTCGTTGGACAGGTTTAAATTTCATTTACAATTGTATAATAAGTTTTCTGCGTCAACAGAGGGTAATGATGCATCAAAGGAAAGTAGTTTTATTGGTTGGTAGATGCTGACTATTTTTTTTTTTATTTCTAGATGCTCATGCAAAAGAATCACAGTTAGACCCATTAGAAATTTAGTTACCAAAGAGCTATCGAATTTACGCTAAAGATGGTAGTGGAAATAAGTCATAACGGCAAGGATTAGTGAGAGAGAGAAAAGAAGAAAGACGAAATAGGGATAAAGATTTTGAATATTGAATCTACGATGGCCAAAAACAGCATAAAAAACTTAAGTACGGTCAACAAAAATGTAACCGAATGGAAGCAAAACATGTCTTCCAATATTGATACGCTCTGTAATTTTTGTAATTCTCCAAAAAGATTGAGAAAAAGAAGAACAAAGAAGCTCAAGAAGCAAAAGTATGCTGACCGGCTTTTTCAAAAAGAAAGGTATATTTATAAAAATAATAATAGATATAATGATTTGTAGAACACTAAAGACGAAGTTTTAGATTCTGCGTTACCGAATTTTTACACAACCACAGATACATCTTCGGGTCGTACAAATACTCCTCGATTGGGTGAACATGTAAAATAACGATGACCATTGACTGAACCGTCATTCTTTCCAACTATGTAATAATAATGGTAAATATAATGCATCGCATCTACTGCTTTAAAGATTACCTCGGCGATCAAGCTCAACCCCAATCCAGATACCTTCGGAAAAGTTAACTCGGCCAATAAACATTACAGTTCCAACAGTAAGTACGGGTCGTCTGGTTAACTGTACTCGTCTGTTCATGCCGACTAATGGTGCACTGACTTGAGCAGCACCTGTAGAGAATCTTCTTCTTTGTTTCATTTTACCCGAAAATGACTTATTCGATGATAATCTAACGTGCGACCAAGAAGAGCTAGTGGTATGAACTGTGGAAGCAGAAGCGTAACGATTTGATAATCTTGGGACTGTATCATGGTGGGAACTGAATCTCTTTAGAAATCGCTTTAATTTTTTAGCAAAAGAATTTGAGGGGTTTGAATTGGTGGGTACAATTATACGTCTTGAAGTTGTCGTTGATCTTGATGAATGCCTTGATAATCCGTTAGTATGCGTTGAAGTTGAAAGGTTTAAATCAGGGATGGAAGGAATCAAGAAGGAAAATATGCCACGACTGGATAATGGATGACTGGAACTAATAAGCGATTTCGGTCGTACATCAAGATCTATAATATAAACAAAATGGATGTGAGTAACAAACATTGAACCTTGTTGGATTAATTACCATCTGCTAATAACTTTAGAACATTTTTTTCAAGCTTGTCAAGACCACCATTTTGACGAATATCTCCGATCCTTCGGGTGATGTAACATAAGATCATTACCTTTGCAACATTCAATATGTGTTTAACTTGATGATTATATTCCACAGCATGACGTGACATGAGATCGCATGCAACGCCTTCATATAAGATGCCTACATTACTTGAATCCATTTGATCTTCTAAAATATGTAACAGTAAATATTCCAAGAAATCAAAAGAGTAAGTAATACCATCAATACATGATAAAAGAGCAGGGTATTGGCAGCAAAAGAAATCGAAATGACGAGCAATAATGAGAGTAGCTTTTGATTGGACTGACGTTAATGTGGCATGCAATGGTTTACTCCAGGATAATAATGGGTCATTTGTAGATAAAATATTTGAAGCCGAGAAACAAGCATAAAGTGATTCGATTGCATTTGATTTATTCACACGATACAATATTTTTTGAGATAAAGCCTGACTAACATCTTGTGGTAATTGAATTAACAGCTTCGCCATGTGACGTCCCGTCCAATAAGTGGATAAAGTTTTTTCGGGATCATTTGCTAATACAGTCATGACCCTTTGTGTCATCTGAGCCATTTTTTCGTCTTGAAATTCAATACCTCGAATGCGACAAAATGAGAATAGTTCAGGAACATTATTAATGCAAGTATTACAATAACAAAGACATTTATGAACGAGTTCGTACAAGCTTTCTATCAGTTGATTACATAATGTATTCATGCCAAGATAGTCTGAGGCAGAATACATACTACACAATTCTTCCACTTTTTTTGGTGTGTTAATTTCATGTTTGTACATGTAATAGATGATACTATCAAATGCATTACTATCGATAATGCTTGATGGTAGATAAACTAGGCTAGCTTTGGATTCAATGAAATTTTCACCAAATAATGCTGCGAAATAAGGTGATTCGTTATATAATACTTTAGTATGGCAGGACCATTTCGTTCTTTCTTTGATCTCTTGTTGATCTTCTAATTCGTTCGAACTGACACTTGTACACCGTTCTCCTCTTGCTATTTTATTCATAGGCGATTTGGACTGTGATAATCTTCTTTTAGCTGGTACTTTTTGTGTACCTAATGTCACAATGACATTACATTCTCCATATTGTTCATTCATCATTACTGAAACAAGGAAAAAGAAGAAGAAAAAGAAATTTTAAAGGAACAAGAGAAAGTTTATCTGGGAAATTTCTTGTGATCCTCTGGGAATTCTCTTTTTATAATTGTCCCTTAAATGTAGTTGCACGAATCATCCTCTAAACACTCACACGTTATATTTCCGTAGATCTATTTGTTTGATTAAATAGAATGGTTTATTTTGCAAAAAAAAAAAAAAAAAAAAAAGAACACGAGACACTGAGCAGATTTAATTTAAGCTTTTCGAGCCTTATTGGATGCTGCACTTGGTAGATCGCTTTATTAAGTGAAAAGTATATCTCAACCTCCTTCCGAAGCAACACCATGGCGATGCATGGTACCATTCGTTCTTATCCACATATAGGTGTACTGTTTAAAAAAAGGAATTCAACTTTCACTACTAATTTATCAGCAATATATATTTCCTCCCTTATTATCCTCCTTGATTTAAAATAGCAAAATATCGTTCTTGGCGGTAAACTGCAATTTCAACCAGTCTGGTCTGTCATATTAAAAATAAACTAGCCTAACAGCTTGTCTTATTTCTGTCAACAAAAGTGTCACACTTGTCTTGAACAATCAAAAACCCTTTTCTTTCACAGATGAATCTTTAATCGTCTCTTGACAAGGCTCTCATTGCTTTCATCACGTTTATTTTGTTTACTAATCTCACTAGATCTCCTATTTTTGTTGTAAAGTTCTTCATTTAATTACAACTAAACCGCGATTAATGTCAATGTAATGGTAAAAATATGTTTTAAAATATGCTTTATATTGCACACAGGGTTTATTTGAAACAGGTGTGCACATGAGCAACTAACCAGCCAAAAAAAAAAAAAAAAGGGCTCCCTGTATGAGCCTTGGGCTTTGGCTAATGAAATAAGGGGGGATACAATATCTACTATTTATTATTATTATGTACAGTTGTTTGTGTCTGATAGTCTATTCATAGATATCTGGACCAGTGGGTGATTGATGACCAGAGGTAGTGTCCAATTCAGGCATTTCTTCAAACGATAAATAGACGATGATGACTGGTACCTTTTTGTTGATTTCCACACTATCTAAATCTTTATCTTTAACAGGATCCCATTGTTCAACAACAGACACACTTCCAATTTGGGTATATTGATGCAAAGTGCCTTGCATCTTTCTCTTCACTATTTCAACAACGGTGACCGTTTTATTCACATTTTGACCTTGGCCTACCAGGATAATATGAGGTTTTTTATCCTCCTATCCAGTGTTAAAATGATGTTGTGTAGACGAGTTTATTTTCTATTTTTTTTTACCTGCAGCAACTTGATACTGACGTCGACATAAGTAGGGATTTTGCTATAACTTATTCTTACTTCGTTATCAGCAGGGGGCTTCTGATTGTCTGTAGATGCCACATTTTTAGAACTTCTTTTATAGTCTTCCACTAAAGAAGATGATTAGTATATTACAAAATATAATGTAATTGGAACATGCAGGTGTTTCAGATTAGTTTGGGTTTGTCTCATTTATTTCAATCTTTTTTTATGTTCTCTGTTACTATTTTTTCACTATCCAGTCTAATATGCATACCATTATTGGTAACCTTTTCGATTTTTGAAGTATATAAAAAGAAAAGATCGTGTAAAGGTACATGATAATCTTTCTTTTGTCATCCACCCAAAAATTCATTCTAACGAATAGCTGGGTTCATTAAACAAAAGATTTCCTAATATACCAAAATGTTGGGTCATCCTTTACCGTCAATATGCTAACTGTGACATAGGCGGTCTAACAATGACTGCAAGAATTTGTATAAATACGCATTCTCCTGTGTTTAATCTAAGTTTGGCCTTACGTCCTTCATTCACATCTAAAAATGAAGAACAAGATTTCAAACTGTGGGGTTTTTTTTCGGATATAAAAAAAAGTGTCGACTGGTGTGTGCATAAAACAGAAACGAGAGAACAAGACTGAAATATCGAACCTTTTACGTCTTCATCATTAAACCTGCATTAACCATTTGACAGTACTTACTTTTGGTTGGAAACGCGTAGAAATTAAGCAAAAAAGCAAAATTAAAAATTTTTTACTTGACATTGAGACGATTCCCGCAATTTTTTTAGACCAATTAAATTTATTTTTGGATGATCTCATTTATTTTCTAGACGAATTAGTCCAACAGGTGTGATATATATTTAGACGAGTGTGGTAACTTTTTAGGCGATTTTTTTTTTTTTTTTTTTTTTTTTTGGTAGACCTTTTTATTTAAAAATCTATTCACTATACAATTGTTTAACGAAAGATATGATACTGTACTATAGTAGACGGTCACGAACGGCACTTTAATAAAAGTGGCGTGTACCCCTTTTAGTGATGTATATTACTGCTACAACACTCCTTTTTGCCACTTTAGTTTAACCGAGGACATTGATGTTACAATCAAAAAATTCTCTAGATTTCCGAGTGTTTTGTTTTTGGCCTGGAAAAGAAGTAGATGCTAATCTCTATAAAGAACAGGATTTATTGTTTGAAAGGCATAAATTAATTAAAAGTGACAAAGAAGGCTTTTTATGTAATCATGATCCAAAAATAGCTGTGCAGTTCTTTTTTCAGGGGGACTCAAAATAGTATAAAATAGCTACTAAAATAATTGTATCTCTGTATTTCTCTTTTTCCCTTTTTTATTTTTATTTTTTTTCTTATACATATTTTTTTTTTTTTTTTTTTTTTTTTTTTGTAATATAATGGGTCAAGGTGAAAGTAAATTTAAAGGCACATTTACATTTGCCTATGTAAAAAAAGAATTTTCGCCAACGACTGCTACAAGTGTATTAACAACAGAAAATACTGATATTTTATTGATAAATCCTCAAGAGTATGGATTAAAACAACGTGATTCTGGATACTATGACCCTAGTTTAGTAAATGACTTGAATTATATCGACACAACTTATTATTCTGCATCCAAAACAAGCATAACAACAATAACAACAACAACAGCTGACCAACAACAACAGGAACAGGATATAAATCAAACCCAGATTTCATTTGCTGAGGTCATGGCTACCAGCGAAAAAGGATTCGAGCAAGTATATTTGTCCCGTAGATCTATAGATAGACTTAGTCCAAATATAGGAATGTTAACAATGATTCGCAAATTAGACTTGTAAGTGTTGAACAGTGGCAAAATAGGGAGAAATAATGCAGGAGCTAATAATACTTCTTCGATAGATCAAATAATCAGTTGACCGAATTACCAGAATCAATTGGATATATGCAAAGTTTAGACACACTCATACTTTCAAAGAACGAATTAAAATCTATTCCTGACACTATTGGATATCTATCGAATTTGTCAGATTTGGATTTATCATCAAACGCAATTGTAGAATTAACACCCTGTATAAGTTATCTAAAAAAACTCAAGAATCTATCGCTTGCTTACAATCAGATCTCTTATTTACCAACAACTATCACTGGATTAACTAATTTAATTTCACTTGATTTGACTCGGAATCCACTCCGAGTTCTGCCTGCAGAAATATCACAACTACCATTTTTGAGAAAACTAAGACTTGACGATATACCATTTGACAGTACTTTGGAATACACTTTAAGTCATAATGCACCCAGTTTAGTTGAAATCTGTGCAAGAATTGTAACAAGAAAAGCAATCCCAATTTCAAATTTATTACCTGATCACATGGTTTCTTACATCAAATCTGCAAAGTCATGTACTTCTTGTCATGGCCCTTTTTATGAATCATTTGTATTGCGTGGAAGGCTGATGGAAAAAACTGATATGCATATACCATTAGAATATACCCTTTGTTCTGCTCATTGGTCAGACGCTAACGATCGTATCCAAAGCATGTTTTCAGAACAGCCTTATACAACAAGTCAAGTAGTCCATCAACCCTATAGACCAAATTTACCCTGCCCAACAAAACCCACGACAGAATTGTTATCCGTATTAAGCCGTAAAAGACATACACCGGTGGATAACCAGTTAGTTCCTGCTGTAACTACAAACGAGGCTCCATCTAAAAAACTGGGGAGTCTATCCCTCAGATTAAAAAGACCGTGGTAGTCTTGTTCTCATTATATATTTACATGTATTCACTATTATATTTCTATACCCTCATAGATTAGTTTTTAAATAAAATAAAACCCCTCACCCTTGTTTATCTACTATTTGTCACACACTACATTTTTTGACCATCTGTGTGTGTCGATACACAAGCATGAATGAACGTGTTGCTGTAACATCTCATGGAACCACCAAAGAGGTCTGTGGCTACACATTGGTGCACTGCAATTTAAATAATTATGCTCTGCGTTCAGCTTTGTTTCTAAAATATATGTTTATATAATAGATGTATTGCCACAGGATATCATATTTTGTTATTTATAATTGTCATCAATCGACAGCAACATAATAATCAACTGCTCCCATGGTTTTAATTGACAAAGATACATTGCATTAAGGCGTACAATTTTACATTTGAGGTCTCAAGTACTCAATTTGCTAAGCACAGTGCGTATAAAAAGAATTCTGACATTCAATAAGATCTAATTACTGATGCCATCTTTGTTTTTTGGCCGATGTGAAAAAAAAAAGTATAAAAACCTCCATTTCTTTATTTTACGGTTTTCTTTAACACGCACCTTCGGTCATTACCCTTCCCTTCCTTCTTTTAAAATGCGGTATTCAATTATTGCAGCCATTACACTCGTTTTCTATAGCGCAGTAGAAGCTTTGGATGCTCCAACTATGCCTCATTTCATGGTTCTGTCCTTACCAACTGAATCAGATTTGTCTATTATGTCTAATAATCGAGTTGACAATATCAAATCTTCTTCTAAAGCATCCGATAGCAACATTAACACTTGGTAAGTCAATATATAAAGAGAAATAATAATATTCTGACAACATATAAAGGAAGACATCTCTTAAATCCACCGGCGCATGGGCTAATGTAGATTACACTGCCGGTTGTGATGCTAGGTAGAGATTATTTTAAACTGTATTTATTTTTCTTTTCGTAAATTAAGCTCTTTTTTTTTCACTTTATTACAGAGTTGCTAATTGGCCAATCTCTCAACATTTAACCAGAACAAGTAAAGTGCACAAAATAAATTATTATCTTCATATGCTAATATTCTCACAGGATCACTTGCTACTGCCTACTTGATCGACCCCACTGATACTGCACTTTTAACTAAGGCTAAACTGGCTTTAGATTATTGGTTTAAAAACGATTTTGAGCCTCTCGATTGTATGACTCAAGGTGGTAAAAAAAATTGTCCTTGTGGTACTCCAGGCTTCTGGAATAAAAACTGGTTCAATCAAGTTATTCAAGTTCCTGGCTTAGTTGGTGATACATGTTTACTTTTGAAAGATAAATTATCTACCAGTCAAAAAGAAAGTTGCACAAGGATTCAAGCCCGTGCTTTTGACAACATTACTAACAGAACTGGTGCTAATTTACTTGATATCGCCTCTATCGGTATTTCCTTGGGTTTATTGAAGGAAGATGCTGATTTACTCGAAGATGCATTAACTAAATTTTATAACGGTGTATTTATTAATCCTGTAACTGCTGGTGATGGTATTCAATCTGATGGTTCTTTCATGCAGCACGATGGTTTGCTTTACAGTGGTAATTACGGTAAAGATTACATCAATGAATTGGTCTCTGTTTTTGTTGAAACACAGGGTACAGCATTGGTACCTTCCGCCGACGTACAAAATGCCTTTAAAACCTTATTAAGTGGTTCTGAGTGGATGATTATTGCCGATGCAAAGTTAAATAAGCTTTTATGGCAGTATAGTGTCATCGGTCGTATGGTTTCGTTCAAGTATTCTGATAAGCAAGCTAGTGGAGGTGTTGCCATTGATTTCAATAAGGTAGAGAAAACCTCTCAAGGATGGGACACCGAAGAATCTTTTGATGCCATTACTGACCGATTGAATGCTCCCCATGTTGATGATGCTAACCAAGGTGATCTTGTTGGAACTCGTTATTTTTATAATGCCGATTACATGGTAAGCGGTGATTTAATGCTTAAAATACATGTGCTAATACCAAATAATTAGGTTCACCGTGCACCCAACTACATTACAACCCTAAAAATGTATTCAAGTCGTACCATCAACTCTGAATGTCTCAATGCTCAAAACCCCTTTGGTTTCCATTTAAGTGACGGTGCTATCTTTAACTATTTGAGTGGTGATGAATACTTGGATGCATTCGGCACCTGGAATTGGGAGCTTGTACCTGGTATTACAGTTGATATTGGAGGAACCCCTTTAACTTGTCCTACCGTTAAAAAGAAGGGTGTGAAACCTTTTGTTGGCGGTGTTGCAGATTACAATACCGGTATTGCTGTCATGGAATACGAAAATCCCACAAACCACAATCTGAAATTTCAAAAGACAGCATTTTTCTTCCCCAGCGCTTACGCTGTCCAAATTGGTCCTATCGAATCCAAAAACTCGACCGCTCAATTAGTCACTGTTCTTGATCAACGCAAGCGAAACGGCGACATTTATGTTGCTGGTAAGCTCCGTAATACAAATACTACTTATGCTACCGTTGCATCAAATAGTATCTGGCATGACAGCATTGGTTACTACTTCCCTACTTCCGAAATTCTTTACGTTGATTCCAAGCCTAGAAATGCTGACTGGTCTGCATTCGGTATTTCAGAAGGTACTGACGAGCAACAATTATGGACATCTTACATCAAGCATTCTACAAAATCTACCACCGGTCTTTTAACTCAGTATGTTGTCCAGCCTAATATTCAGCAATCCGATTTCCAAAATAATGTTAGTGGTGGTACAATTCCTATCTCCCTGGCCTTTCACGCAAGTGAGCCCCAAGTAAATGCAGCTTATAGTGCTATCGATAAAGCTATGGGTATTGCCTTTTGGACAGCAGGCACTTATGAGACCCCCTGGAACTCTATTTCTGTTACAACAGATAGCCCTTGTGTTATTATGTTAACTCAAACTGCTGACAACGTCTATCATTTGGTTACTTCAGACCCTTCCCAATCATTAACTGTCATTAAGTTGGCTGTTAGATTCGGCACCGTAAAGAAGACTCTTACTGTAGACTTACCTACAGGCTCGGATTCAGGTAAAAAGGTTGGAAAAACTATCACCCTTACTGCTTAAACTACTACCCTTCCTTTCTCTTAAAACGCAATAATTTATTATCCTCTACGTTAAAAATCTTCAAATAAACCTTAATACCAGCAAAACAAATTTCGCGTACCCAAAAATAAAAATTGTGTGCTCTAAAAATGCCTTGCGAAATCATTGATTCACGTCACAAATAAAATAACTCGACTCAACTAAAAAAACATTATGATATTATTTATAAATTGGTTTCAATTCATGATTGATCATGGTAAAGATGACCCGTGCATAATACCCGAAAAAAGGCTAATTCATATATATACAAAATATTTACCGGCGAGGCAACAATGGACCCATTTATCAAATAAGAAAGGAAACGAATTATTTTCACCATCTTTACCTCTCGTAGACTTGTGGAAATTAAATTAAAAGGTACAAATCAATCCCTAAGACTGTTTTTCAGTCTTTGCATGTATTTTTTTACAAATTCTAGTAAGTACTCTTACCGCATTTTCTTAAACTGATTGGTCTTATAGTCTTCATCCAAAATATCCCTCATGATTGGTTTGTACTTGCTTTGCTGGACTTTAGGATAAATATATTTTTTTTTTTACTTACTAACATGCTGACTCTATCAATTTTTATTGTATCATAATAATATTAAGACTTAGCTGGTCCTTGATTCTCAAAGGCTTTTTAAAGTCGTCCCTTCACTCCATATTTAGTCTTTAAAACATAAGTTATTTGCTATTTCGGCATCTACAAACAAGCATGAACGTATAAATCCTGTTTTGCTAGGAGAACAACTAGCCTGACTCTCATCGCCTCTGGATTTTTAAAAAAGTTTTGAAATAACTTTCCCCGAGTAAACCTTACATTATAATAGAAATTCGAATCACTTTGGAATTTATTGCTATCATTTTGCATTTATATATAACCATTTCTCATAGTGCATTTTTGATTTTTTTTTTCTCTAATGTATTCACTTTGAGCATCTCCTTTCTAATGGTACAACCTGCATATACTTACTTAGATTAATATTTAGGAGTTTTATAAAAACAAAAACATGATCATCGGTCTCATACGCACATATTTAATACTCAATAAAAAGCCCTGATTGGACCCTCTTCTGGTTAGCCTATGTAAAGCGACTGATGTTGTATGACACACATGCATATATAAATGCATACCCATCCTTTGTCAGAAAATATTCAAAGCACATTTTCAATGATCTGTAGACTACCGAAAGTAACTCGTTAATGTTCAATTTTCATTACCGGTTATCATGTTTAACTTTTTTTATATGAAGGATGACAGTATGCCCTTCATAACTGCCGATTATAGCTGAATCAAGCAAGATTGATAAAATAGCTGTCTTATGAGCTTACTGTTCCGCCATTTTTTAACACTAAGATGGCGTTATTTTATGCAACAGCTACAATTACGGTTCCTCCTTAGTAATGATCGTTTCGTTTAAATTCGATTCATCAATATTTTTTGTTTGCACTTTATTAGTTTCTTTTAGTATATTAGCATATAAATCAATTGCTAACTGATGGTTGTATAGTGATATTGTTTATATTTTGCAACACAAATGATCTACTTTATAACTTTAAAAAAATAGAAAGCAACATTTCTTTGAAGTCATTATAAATACCTGTTTGTCTAGTCCGCTAAAAAGAGAATCTAAAAAAAGATTATTTGACTTTCGATCTAATATTCTCATAGTATCTAAACATCACTCTTATTTCTATAAAATACCAATATCCCGTAGTCTCCTATTAAACACACCATTTTATTCTAATTTTTATTAATACGCTGTAAATGACGAAATACTCCTTCTTTAAAATGTCACACAATACGTCACACAGTGTATTGCCCAACTGCAGTGATTCGTAAACAAATGTGTATGTCTTATGGCATCATTTTTTTACATGCATACAAAAGAATATTTTTTTATATCGAAATATAAGAATATTAACTTTAGAAACCTAAAGTTATAGACAATGTAATCATCACCGTCAATTTTATGGAACAACTTATCTCTAAAATAATGGGCGTAACAGAGCAAAAATACAAATATCACCATATAAAAATAAACCGAATGTTTTATACGATGATTAGGGGACGAAATTTATTAATGTGAGCATTGAGCAACAAATCAAGCGTCCGGTATCAAGTAGGCCTTATACACGAAAATAATACATTAAAGGTCCGAAGTAAAAAGAAAGATCTTAATTTAAGTAATGGTTTGAGATTGTTTTAGGTACAAATGCTTTTGTATTTATATTCTCAGTCAGTGTACTTAAGACGAGAAATTATTATGATGATAAGATGGTTTCTAACATCTATATGAAGAAATTTTGATATCCTGCTACCATGAACGCTCTATCTTGTATTTCAAGAATGGTATTACAAAATATCATGTAGACGTATGAACAGTAATTTTGGTAACATCTTTTAAAATATTATGTAATAATTCGATTTTAAATTATTGGATTATGTATAACTTTGTTATATCTTTATACAATAAAAAAAAGGGAAAGAAGAAACGAGTAAAAACAGCTCCTTATTTATTATTAAGTGTAACCTTGATTTCGTTTGAGAATAATGAAGATGAAATCTTTAATAACATGGCTTAGATTAAAGGAAATACCAACTGAACAGAAAGGCATCAGGATATCATGTACCAAAATATGCAGAAGGTTTGTAGTTGGCGATTTTGCAGTAACTTCGTTTAGCATAAATTAAGTAGAAAACAGATCCCGATCCGAAACAAGTGAGGATATAACGTTTGCTAATCCTCTCCCTTTTTTTGACATGAGAAAAAAAGCTATAAATACTAAGTATCGCTTATTCAAAGTTTTCTTCTGTTACTTTTTATCATTTGTTCTTGTTTCTTTTGAATTTGTGATGCGCTTGCTTCTGGTCACAGCCCTTGCACTTTCTTTATATAATGCCATAAATGCTGTATCCATACCGACCACCGCTGATATGCTAGCCATGTATACCAAAAGAATTGAAAATATAAAGGAGATTGCTTTGACCTCGAAGAACAAAATTGATTTTTGGTAAATTAATTTACAAGATATCAGTATATGTAACTGAAAACAATCAAAGGAAAACGACGCTTAGCTCTAATGGAGTATGGGCTGATGTGAATTATACTTCAGGTTGTGGCGCAAGGTATAAATATAATTCTGGTCTTTTAAACATTGTTTTATAACAGACAGTTTTTATTAGGGCTGCTAACTGGCCTATTATTGAACACTTAAACAGAACAAGTTAAATTTAATAAGTGAATGGTATTTACTTTCGTAGGCTAATATAACATAGGGTCACTTGCTGGTTCCTACTTGGAAAACTCTGTCGACGTTGCACTTTTAGATCAAACCAAACTAGCTTTAGATTATTGGTTCAATAATGATTTCGTCCCTTCTGATTGCGTTATGTTTGGTGGCGAAGCAAAAAAAAAATGCCCTTGTGGAACACCGGGGCTTTGGAGTGAGAATTGGTTCAATCAAGCTATCCGGGTCCCTAGTCTTGTAGGCGATACATGCTTACTTTTAAGGAACTATCTATCACCTATTCAAACTGCAAGCTGTGCTAAATTTCAGTTTCGTGCCTTTCAAAAAGTTAAAGGTATGAAAGGAGCAAATTTACTTGATATATCTTCTATCGGTATATCTCTAAGCTTATTCAAGAATGATTCCTCACTACTTCGAAATGCCTTGACAAAATTCTATAACGGGGTTTTTATTAACTCTAATACATTTAATGATGGTATTCAATCAGACGGTTCATTTATGCAACATGGTGGATTACTCTATAATGGAAATTATGGAAAGGATTTTATTAATTCTATGATATCCGTATTTATAGAAACAAAAGGTACCAATTTAGTACCTCCACGTGAGGCACAAATAGCGTTTGAAACTTTATTAAGTGGCTCTGAATGGATGATTATGGCTGATTCAAAATTAAACAAGCTTTTGTGGCAATATAGCTCTGTGGGTCGTATGATTTCTTTTAAATACTCTGATGAAATGTCAACCGGTGGTGTTGCTATAAATATAAAAAAATTAAAAGAAAGTGCTGAGGGCTGGGATACCGAGGCTGTTCTTGATAAAATTACAGACCGTCTAAATTCGTCTCATGTTAAGAATGCCAATCAAGGTAATCTAGTTGGAACTCGTTACTTTTATAATGCTGATTACATGGTACGCGGTGATATAAATTATTGATAATATATGCTGATTGTATTAACTTAGATACATCGATCCCCAAGCTACATTGCAACCATGAAAATGTACTCAAGTCGCACTGTAAACTCAGAGTGCGTCAATGCACAGAATCCTCGTGGGGTTCACCTAAGTGACGGTGCTATTTTCAACTACATAAGTGGTGATGAGTACCTGGATGTGTTTGGTTCTTGGAACTGGGAGCTTGTACCTGGTATCACAGTTGATATTGGAGGCACACCATTGCGCTGTGACTCAATCAAATTTCAAGGTAAACGGCAGTTTGTAGGAGGCGCTACCGATGGCAATACGGGAATAGCTGTTCTGGATTTTCAAAATCCAATCAATAGCAATCTGAAATTTAAAAAAACAGTTTTTTTCTTTCCAAGTGCTTATGCTGTTCAAGTTGGTCCTTTGGAATCAAAAAATGGGACTGCACCATTAGTAACAGTTCTTGACCAACGTAAACGCAATGGCGATATATATGTTGCTGGGGTGCTTAGAAATACCGACACAAACTATACTACGGTTGCATCAAATAGTATCTGGCATGACAATATCGGATACTACTTTCCTATCCCTGAAATCCTCCATGTTGACTCCAAAACTAATTTTGGTAGCTGGTCCGAAATCGGCATATCTAAGGGTACTAATAAGCAGCAACTATGGACATCATACATCAAGCATTCTTCAAAATTTACAACTAAGCTTTTGACACAATATGTTGTTCAGCCCAATATTCAACAGTCCACTTTCCATGCGAATATCAACCGTGGCGCTATTCCTATATCCTTAGATTTTCATGCAAATGACCCTCAAGTTAATGCGGCGTATAGTGAGGCCGATAAGACCATGGGCGCTGCTTTCTGGACACCAGGTACTTATGAAACTCCTTGGAATTCAGTGACCATAACCGCAGACAGCGCTTGTATCATTCTGTTACATCAGATTGCCGACAAAACTTATCGATTGACCACCGCTGACCCATCTCACAAATTGGCTGCTCTTAAAATAGCTATTAGAGTTGGATCCGTTACAAAATCTGTCACTATCACTTTGCCTGTTGGCCCTGAAGCAGGAAAAGCTGTTGCTGAAACTTATGATTTTACCACTTAGATGTTCTTTTCTTTTAATTATGGGTGGCGTTTTGTATATATCCAATTAAAACAGTTTTCATATATAATAGTTAATTTTATTATGATGATGTTCAGTTTATTCTATACATTTGAACTTTTTTATGTGTGGTGAAAGGGTGGGGGACATTCTAAATATGAGTGTTGCTTATGGAAAATACAAAAAGGAGTGAGGGGAATTTTAGAAGTTGCGAGAACGTTTCTTTTTTTGCTGGGATCTTTGATGTTTATCAATCTTACGCTTGGCGGCGAGTTCAGGATTAGTTACCGCTAAAATAGCTTCCTTAGATTTACGTTCCTCTCTACTCTTAAGAACTTGTTGACGTACACGTTGGTAAACAGCGAAATAAACGGTAGGGCCAGCTTTGACTTGAAGTAAGCTGAGGATTTCGTTACCGAGTTGTTGTAGTTCCTCTACAAAAAGGGTTTGTTTAATTGTCTGTTTTTTTTAAAAAAAAAGTTAGATACTTACCAAAACCAGCAACCTTGTTTTGTTCATCATTCACAGTACGGTAAATGGGAGCAACAACGGGCATTAAATAAGGCGGTAATTCATCAGCAGTCATTGTGTTACACATGGCAGCGAACCATTTAAAAATAGATGAACGCTGCATTATAAGTAGTTAGTTATTTTTTTCTTTGGAATCATATGTGGATACTTACAAGAATCATAGCACTCTTGATCTTTCTGATAGCAGCTCCACGAGCGTCGAAAGAAGCCTTTCTAAAAAGCCAGTTAAGTGATTTCTTATGGGCAGCTTGAGAGATCTTGGCAATAGCCTTTTGAGCTTCAGCACTACGCTTATCCTCCTCAATAACCTCATCTTGAGCATCATCGATCTTGATATCGTCCCCAGCTTCACCATCAGCATCCTCTTCGTCGGACATGTAGTAAAAGCATTTACCGATGAAGAACAAATTCTTGACAATTTGGTCAGCTTGCTCTTGAGAAACATGGGAACTCTTTAATTGTTCCAAGAAATCAGAAGCCAATAAACGCAGCGTTTCTTTGTCTAAATATGTACATTTGGTCGTTGTATCCTTGATGTTGCGAGTTTCGGCTTCGATTCCAGAAAAGTAGATACCATATAATCTAGTAGAGGAAGAACGGATCCAAGAATGGGGGTACAATAACATGTATTGCATACCTCGCCAAACAGGCTCAGTTTCAACATCATATACGATTTTGGGAAACGTTTTTGTAATTTTGGCAAATGTATTGATAGCGTAATAAGTAACCTCCCATTGGATTTCCACGTCCATACCATCTTCGTCAAACTTGTCTTCTTCCTCAGAGGCTAATTCTTCGGCACGTTTTCTACTAGCATCCAAGATAACAGCCAGGCGCTTGATCAAACCACTAGCTTGAGGGCGAAGTTGAGTTCCGAAAGTATCGATAGCCAAACCATACACTTGACAAGCAGCTCTTTGTAAATTAGGTTTTGATTGTTCACCGAGCCAGTTATTCAACAATTTATAAATTGTAGGCATACGCTCAGTACTACGACTCAAAAGAGACTTGATAAGAGCAGCGGCCATTTCACGACACTTGGAAGAATCATCATTGATCAGACGCATGACAAGGGCAAAGAAGATGGAATCAGCAAACTCGGCAAGTACCTCTTCACCAAATTTAGAAATGATATGATGCAATAACTCCATAATGGACTCACGACCAGTTTCGAACACATATTCCAAATTCTTGACAATAAAACTCATTTGAGTTCTGAGACGACCTTTACCTTGAGGATAATCCATCAAGAACATGAAATAGACTGAACGAGCTTGTTCCCGAATTTCACGACTTTGGTTGGTGATCATGATATTCGAAATATTATCCATTAATTCGTACATTTCGGGAGCCATGAATTTACGAGAGATGATAGCACGAACTAAAGCAAAGATGGTACCTTGACGTTCAACTTCTTCCATATCGGGACGGACAAAGTTGAGGATATAAGTCAATTGGGGTTCTGTCAATGTGGATTTTTCATTGTCACGAATACAAACAGTCAATAATCTTAAACAAGCTTGGACTACAGTAGTTTGCGAGCCACCAGATGACTTGATCAAATCGAAGGATCTATTGATAGAAACCTTAATGGCGGATTCGATGTTGGGGATCTTCATTGCAATAAAGTGACACATGATACGAGCAGCGAGTACAACATTAGCAGACTGACTAACGTATAAAACGTTACCAACGGAATTAACAAGCTTCGTTAAACGGGAAACATAGGCTTCGTCGTTCAAATCAAACTTGTTCTTCTTAAGAGCAGTAGATAATAAACTAAGACCAAAGTAGACAAATCGATGGGCGTTCATACGATAATATTCAACAGGTTCAACCATAACACGTTTCATTTGGACTTCGAAATTAAGTTCTTTTTGAGTTTTAACAACCGTGACCTTCTCCTTAGCCTTAAAGTCTTCTAAACTCTCGTCGATCAAACCATAAGCAAAATCGAGCAATTCTAAAGATTCAAATTCGGGATTGTGCACCAGACCCATAGCTATACGGCGAAGAAGATCTTCGACTTTCTTAAGGGTACGGCCACTTTCGGTACTTGACATGATCTCCTTAATAGGAACCAAGAGTAAACCAACGTTCTTGAAGTGGGTAATTTTGGCAATAAGCTCAAAAGAAGCGGGACTACGACGACTCTTGGCTTCCTTAATTTTACCAGTCATCTCATCTGTATCCTTTTCTTTACCAGTGGCACCGAAGATATCACTGACAAGAACATCGACTATGTCTCCCAAACAATAATCGAGATCACCAACCTTTAAACGAGGCATCATGTCGAGGATAAGAGAGTTAACAGTATAACCCAAAACGTGCATTTCGTAACCCTTCTTGAGAGCACCACGAAGTTCCTTTACAATGTAGTTGAAATAGGTAGGACCCAAGAAAGCACTAATCTTGATAAGTGTTTCGCGGGTGATATCTCTGACATCCTGGGCTCTACTACGAATAATGTGACAAACAGATGTTAAAAGACCAGGCAAATTAATACGTTTGGACTTTTCGGGAAGATGACACAAAAGCTTGGCGATACCAAGAGCAAGGGGAACACGAACAATAACGGATTTTCTACTCTTGTTATTATTCAAGAGATTGTTTAATTCGGGTAAGACCTTTGAAACAAGTGTGTCGTGGATCTTCTCGTTTTTATCCTTGACTTCAACCTCGGCAACAACATCTTCCTCTTCTCCTTCTTCGTTTTCTTTAACTTCTTCAACGATACCGGCGTCTTTAGCAGCTTGCTTAACGATTTCATCTTGAGTCAAATATTGGATACGGACCTTTTGGCGACCCATAATTTTCTTTACGTCTTCGTCAGATAATTCAATATCTTGAAGATCGAAATGGAAAGCATCCAAAATACCGATTACAACACGAACAAAGACTTTTTCTTTTTCATTGTCTTCCTTGATATAGCCCAAGTAGTTTTGCAAAATACGATAGTAGTGATTCCATGGAAGGATCTTAGTTAATGCTGATAATGTCAAGGTACATTGGTGAAGTAAATTGTGGTCAACAGTACGATCACTTTCGCTAAAGAATGCAGAGATGATTGGGACAAAAATATTGTTGATTGTAGCGACTTTAAGCTTTGCTTCAGTGGCGTATTCAGCAAGACGTTGCAAAGCACGAGTACGACGATGAATTTGCATATGATATATATTGTTGAAGAAATTGACTTCCTCGTCACCTTCACCAAGTAAAGGAACCATATCTTCAAAAACAGGCAATTCGGGGAAAGTTTTGATACAAGCACACAATAATCCAATAAATTCCATACGGACAAGTTCAACACGAGAACGAAGACCACGCTTGATAGCAGGGAAAATAACATGGTTGACATAGCCAATCATCTTACGCTTTTCATTTTCATCGGATTGTTGACTGGCAACCTTCAAATATCGTGTCATACAGTGAGTAGCTGTGCCACGAATAGCCATTTCCTCGGGATCATGCATACAATGAGTCAACTGATGTAAAATGGGAAGCCATTGATGGACGGTAAATGTTTCACAATAAGTCTCGGAAATGCTACTCAGAGCATCAAGCATAGTATCGTAATCAGGTTGGTCGATACGCTTTTGAGAATATGCGTTTAACATGGTTAATAACTCGCTGACCTTGACAAGTTCGGGGTTGACGTCAGCAAAAGCCCGGAACACATCCAATAAACCAAGACGACTTTCACGAGAGTAAGCGGTAGCAAACATGGAAGAAGCCATCACATAGTAATGATGATAAAGTGTAGAGCCAGTTTCAAAACCAGGAACAATGCGAATAAATCTAGCCCAGATGGTAAAGATATCTTGCTTGGATTTTTCGGGGATGGTACGAGAAGGCTTTTTCAAACTAGGTAATAAGAGTTCAATAATTGTAGCGGCTTGTTCACCGTTCTTTGTGTAAGGAGCAATACGAGCAGCAATTGAAATCTCACGAACAGAGTATCGCCCTGTACCAAACTTGGCATCATCTTTGGATTCGGTAAGACGGTATTTAAGATCGCTGAGAATAAGATCAACATGAGGAACAATAAGTTTTTCCTTGAGTGAGGGGATACCATCGACTTCCATTTCTTCGTCACATAGCTGTAAGATTGATTCAAGAATCTCCAATAATACATGGAGAACATGTTCATTCAAATTCTTAACAGATAATGTGGAAACAAGTTGAGGAATAACTCGGTCATCATAATCGACAAGGTAGTGGGCATATTCAATGTCTTTGGACCAGACCAAAAAGAGATTGACTATAGCAGATAAATCTTGAGAACTGTCGGAAGGCATGGTAGCAAGACGAGGTGAAATAAATGCAGAGAACATGGCAGGTACAAATGGCGTGAAATTGAAATTACCGTTGATTTTAAACATATCGACAATACGCTTTAAAGCCAATGCCTTGACATCTTTAGACTTGGTACTTTGGGCGTAAACTTCTTGACCATCGACATCCATATCGTCGTTGGACTTATGACTGTGAACAAAATTGATTATATACAGGACAACCTTGAGAAGGTCAGGTAAGAAAGGTAAGATATGAGTGGCAAATTGCTTGATGGTATCTTCCAACAAATTCAAAAGACCAGTTTGTTTTCTCCATGCAATGGTTTCAATAATATGTCTACCTTCAGGGGAGAATTCGAATTTAGTCACTTCACCGTCTTCATTGGTCTCCATACCGGGAAGTTCCAAAATAGCCTTGTATGGCTCTAAAGCCAGGTCGATAAAGTATCTAATTTCATTGGTTTTACAACAAGAAATACCACCTAGAATAATCTTTCTACGAGCATTTTTACTACTTTTGCTGGAGGCTTTACTTCTTTGAATAAGACGACCATAAAGGACACGCATAACAACAGGCATCAAACCGTCACGATGGGCAGGATCAATCTGAATTTGTTCTTCGTTTTGAATGAAAGTGGCAAGTTCATCGCGGAACTTAATATCGTCGACCAAGTTACGAAGATTATCGGCGTAGGGCTTAATATTGGGGTCTTTCCATGTGAAGATACATTCAAGAGCTGCGGTTTGAAGTTTAATGTCACCCATAGCAATGATGCGCATAAATGCGGCATTTAATTCTTGAGTTCTGTAAACACTCTTGGTGTTCTTGAATACAGCAAAAAGACTAAGCCAGTTAGCCATTTTGGTTTTGGTAATCTTACTGGATTTTTGTAAGACAGTGAATTGATTGTTCTGTGTTTGATGGTTTTCGGTTTCCTCTTCATCGTCATCCTCCTCGGGTGCTGATGTGAATTCGTTTTCCAAAAAGTTGAAAAAGACGGTGACCAGATTTCTTCCCTTAGCTTCTGTAATAACAGGAGTGTCCTTTAAAATTAAAAGCATCATGTTGTAATAATTCCAGAAATCCATGTGTCCGCGCTCTTGTTTGCTCAACTAGCCCCAAAATTAAAATTAGCTCATTTCCTGTAGTAAACATTCTTTTATCTCACCTCTGCAAATAACAAGGCTAGACTCTGAGCTCTTTCGCCCTTCATGATAGACCAAGCTCTGTCTTCAGTATGCATAAATTTGTTAAAAGTAGGACATTCAAAAGAAATCTTTCCAGTTTTTGTGGCATTTCCACTCTCCGGTTCATCGGTCGTATCTAATTTTGTCAAGACAGACTTGTTAAATCCATCCCAAAGCAAACTCTTTTCATCATCAAATTTAGAAATTTCACCAAAGATCAAACTCCAATACATTTCAGGGTTGACTTGAGAAAAGGTAATCAAGATCTTTTTGGCTTCTTCCCAAAGCGGCCGTAAGTTGATAGTCAAGATACCCAAACTCAAACGGGGAGCAAAATCGGCAAATAAATCAGGTGTACGCTTAGAGCTGGTGATAAGGTTCAGTTTTTGGATCAAGACGACTTTATCACGGAACTCTTTAAAGTTGGCATCCACTTGCTCCATATTTAAAGCAATACGGGCAATTTCGCATGTTTCGTCGTGCTTGTGGTCATCATCCTTTTTCATCAAAGGTTGGTCGTATAATGCAATGATTTTGAGGGTGTTCAAGCGACAGTTACGGTGGTATGAACTGAAGTTTGACTTTAAAATAGGATAAATTTTTTCCAAATTTTTCAATGAGAACTTTTCGTTGTCAACGTTACTACAGAAAACAAAATGAATACTTTTCAACATTCCTATGTATAATAATTTTATCTTACCCAGAATACAGAAGGTCTAAATATCCGTAGATACCAGAAAGAACAACCTCGTTCTTGGAATGATCCACTAAGACTTGGTCGACCAACTTACTATGACTTTCCTTCATCTTTTCCAAAACCCCAGTATTATGAGCTGCGATACCAGCTAAGGATTCAAGAACAAGTCCCATAAGCGATTCTAACACGTAGTTCTTGTGACCTAACACATAAGGTGTATCTACAAGTTCATTATTGACTGCATCATTTTTCAAGAATTCCGAAAGGGATTCAAATAAGGACATCAATACATTGAAAACCTTATCGACAGAAACTTGGATTTTAGGCAAAATGCGAAGAGCAGAGGCCAAAATACTGATGGCAGACATATTGGATATATCAGACTATTTTAAAAAAATACGTGCGTCAGTTTCCTCTATCTCAACAGCCATACTCATTTTTACCTTCATATCTGTGGCATTCAAAATATCCCTTTCCTTTGCCCAATCGAATCCAGTGTTCATTATGTCTAAAATTCCTTCGACCATCGACTTTTTTTTACCGTCAGCTGCAGGGAAACGTAATAAACCATCTGCTGTAAGTGTTGAGGATAATGATCCAGCGTTTAATACTAAGGCATTTGTAGACAGAATTTCGGACAAGAATAAAATAGTCTCAAAAGCATGGCCTTCAAAATGGCTTGATGTATACCTGATTATGTATGTATTAGTACCACTAAAAGATAGAAACTTATGCTACTACTTACTTGATGATATAAGGCAAACAGATTTGTGTATAATTGGGCCAGCCTAATTTAGCCAAAGAAAGATAGAATCCATAAATAAGTTCAATATCGTCAAAATGGTTAAGAGTTTCCAGAATGACACGACCACCACTGATGACAACCTCAAGAGATCCATGGAACAAAGTACCGATGATAGTACGAAGTACTTGAGAGTATAGGAACTTGGAATATGATTTACCGTTGAATACGGCCTTAGTAACTGCTTGGAGACGAGAAACAACTGTTTTAAAATCTTCTACACGACTACCCTTACGCACTGTCACAAACATGGTCAAAACAGACATTTGAATAGCGAGAACCTTTTCATTCAGCTCTGACTCCTTGAGCTGCTTATCTAATTCATTTAATACAATATCGACAATAGGTGTATAATGTTGTCTGTAAGTATGATGAAGCGTCAAGAGCGTAGTTTTTGTTAAAAGGTTGTGGATAGAATTTGTGGATAATTCTTCAACTGATACATTCTCTTGGTAAGATTGGATCAAAAGTTCCTTATAAATTGCTTCACCTCTAGAATGGAGACGATGATCGATTTGCTAAAAGAAAAGATAACGTTGACTACAAGACACACATATAATATATACACGGTTTAGCTTACCTTGATCGACTCGAAAAAAAGCATTGCTAAACCTTCTTCAAATTGCTCGGATGGGTCCTTTCTTAAAGTCTCAAGAATACACTTTATGATTTTTGACAAATCTAATCCACGTGCCTTACGTAATAAAAAGGCAAATGCTTCAGCGGTGAAATGACGAACATAGGGTTTTGCTTGGTTGTCTTCACCCAATAAGGGAGCTAATAAACTAATAATAAAATTGGGGTTAATCTTCCAGTCATGGGTCTGTCAATACAGTCAGCATACATAAAAGTTTCGTTTAAGTCGGGAAGAATTTGTCTTGAAAGGAATTTGAAAAGATAAGCAATGCAATTGAAGACACTCTAAACAAAAAATCAGCATGTCTTATTTTCGGAACATTGTGTGAAATCTACCTCTAATAATTTGATATCCTGGTGATATACTAAAGGAAGAGCACATGATAACATGCGAGTGTAATAAGGGTAGAATTCACCTTCTAAATCCTTGGCGAGTTTCGTTACCAAACTTAAATAATAGTGGTTAGTATTTCACAAAAAATAATTCTGTCAACAATACATACTCCAAGAGACCATCCAAGGCCATGCTGTCCTTGACTTTCAAATGTTTCTCGAGAATGTTGATGATTTCGTCTTTATGATAAATAATAGAAGGTAAAGATTTGACAAGAGGAGTTATCTCTTTGCCAAAGTCTCTAAAGTGTCTGGTCATGTTCAAATCTTTCCATTGTTCCAATGCTTCATAAAAGAAGGATCCATGCTCATCGGGTTCGTCATCGACAACTCTAGATCTGCGTACAACGTCAACCTTAATACGTTCTACTCTGGTTTTGAAGGTTTGATACTGAAATAGAAATTAGTTAATATGATATATTTTTGGTTTCCATATTTTCAAGTAATTACTTTGAACCGATTGGAACCTTGGCCTGTATTCAGTTCAAGAGGAATAGTATTATCTTTCATTATTTACAGCACCTTTCTTAACAAAAAGTGGTAGTATGCTCAATTTTGCTCTTCCAGTTTTTTTTTTGCAAGAATAATGTGACGGGTTCATCCCAAATGAGGGATGAAAAGCAGTCGTGGCTGCATTGAAGCCACGCTTTCATTTTTGAGTGAGACGATTTGTTGCCTTTCAATTTTTTAAAAGTAGTACAGGTACAATAAATGCTTCTTATTTTATTTTTTGATTAGGTGATGAAACGAGTATACATAAATTAGACTTTTTTAACACTTTTTTGGGTAATTTATTGTCAGAAGAGATTTTCTCTGAAAGATGAATTGATCTGACGCTGGCTATTAGAAAGGGCAAAATATGGAGTCAAAAAATTAATTTGGTTTCATTAATTTCTACGGAAAACTTTTTTACTAGGCTCAATCAGAGCGGATGAGCTCTTTTAAAATATTAGATCGATCTTTCATTGCTGATACCATGTATCAACCTACATTTATCACAAAATTAGGTGCTTTAAAAAAAGAAAAGAGCTACAGTAAGAGAAAAAACAAATAACCAGCTAATATAGTTTTCAGCTGACGCGTATATTGAAACTATTTGAAGTATTAAAGAAGACTGCATGTATGCTTTTTTTTTTATTTCGACAGGAGTACATCATAATATTATTTGAAGTGCCGTGATTTTTAGTGCTTTAAGACGATGGTAAAATATCATACATTAAATTTTAGAGCATATTACTGTCTTTTTTCCTTCACCCTCCCGCCCTATCCTTCTTCTTTTTGTTGATTCTTACTTTATACATATGAGAGGAAAAAAGGAAGGAATTATATGCAAGCCACAGTTTCTTATTTTGCAAAGGCGTGTCTATATATCGAAAAAAAGAGACGAACACAGTCAAATCGTACGGTCACTTTACTCCCAACGTAAGGATTTATATTGAGGATCAGGTAAGTTCATTTCGTAGATTGTAAGAAAGTTAGTTCTAACAAAATTAAAATATTTGGTGTAGCATTTCTATTGTCAATGAGACACACTTTTCTTAGTTTGACTTTCCTAATAATGCAAATTTTTTTCCCTGACTGAAAGACATAAGCTTGCATGTGCTTTCTATTTCTTCACACTTGAAGTCTTAATAAGCTAAGACTATTTGTACATATCAGTAAGTATGACATTAACACTTAATCAAAAAATACTGTACGTCAAATAAGATTCTAAACGTCCTGTTAAGACACACTTTATTAGACTGGTGGAGGCGTAAAGGAGAGGTGTGTATGAAAACATATGTCGCAATCTATTGGTAAAGGTATAGAAACAGAGGTGCACCCCAGAACAAAATTGTCTGAATAGCCATCTTATAAGCTTCAACACTAATTCTTTTCTGTCTATATTTTATTTTCTTTTTGTCTAAAAAAGGTAAATAGATTGTCTAAAAATTAATTTTGATTGATTAAAAAAAAACTAACATCGTCTCAATCTCAAGTAGAAATACTATATTAAGAAGAAAAAAGAGCTATTAAGTATGACGGGGTATGGGAGATTCTTTTGCACCAAGAGGGACATCATCGTCTTCGTCATCATCTTCATCAATATGACCATTAAAACGAGGATTACCATACATGGCTTGTTGTTGATTCCACATCGGATATTGGCCGTATTGTTGTTGCATCATCATCATGGACATGCGAGGGTCCATCATAGGTGGCATCATTTGCATATTCATCATGGAAGGATTTTGCTGCATCATGGCAGGGTTCTGTTGCATCATGGCGGGATTCTGTTGCATCATACCTGGATACATCATTGATATACGTGGATCCATCATCATTGGCATTTGGCCACCCATCATTTGCATATTCATCATCATACGGGGATCCATCATAGGCTGGCCCATCATAGACTGGTTCATCATTGGCTAATTACAAAATGATTTTCTTTCAATAAATTAAATCACTTTATGTATATAGTAACTTACCATCATGGATGATCTCTGGTCCATCATAAACCTATCCCTGTCACGATCCATTTTGTCTAAATCTGAGGCAAAGCGATTCTTATTTGTTTCCTTATGTTTCTTTTCATTCTCAATTTGAGAAATCATGCCTACCAAACCAGCACGAGGCTCTGGTGGTTTGTTGGGTACCTGTATAAGAGGCTGCCCTGTTGCCCTAGCATAACCCTCCTGGTCATGAGCAGAAGGGCGATCTGGCCTATAACTATCCAACAAGGAATTTTGTGTAGCAAATCTATCACCTAATGAAGGAATGATGGGTCCATCTTCATCAATGATAGGATAGCCGTCCTCGTCAAAATAAGCTTCATGATACATATCAGGTGCCATGCCCGGCTCCCATTGAGGGTGCATTTGGGGATTTCCGTAATCGTCATATGGGTAACCATTATATTGTTGTTGCTGTTGTTGACCCTGAGAAGGATGTCTGCCTCCTTGTTGATGAATTGGTATATCGTCATCACTCCCTGAAAAGCTATTTTCTTCATCATCATCATCGTCTTCTTCTTCTTCATCATCATCGTCATCAGATCCACTTATACTAACTTGGGTTGCTGCCATTTTAGGTTTGGGTCTTCTGGCCACTGGTGTGGTTGGTACACGAGGCGCCTCATCTTCACTGCCGGATAATCCAAATTCGTCTTCACTCACGGAAGGTTTTTCTTTTGGCACAGAAACCGGGGAAGTAATTGGGGCAGGCAAACTTGTATTTGAAGAATGAATGGATTCAGTTGCTTGCTTTGTAGATGATGAAACACTCTTTTTCTCAATATTGCCTAATATACTGCTAGCAAATCCGTCATCTTCTGTTGACATGGTGGGCAATGATAAGCTTTCTCTCGTTGGGTGCTTTTGTGGTTTGTATACGGAATCATGATCGCTTTCATCATCATCATCCTCGTCCTCGTCCTCTTCACTATCTTCATCACTGGCGTATATAACCCGGCCAGAGGCAGGATTCATACGTTGGGATTGTTGTTGGCTATGTATACTATTTATGGGAGATCTACCTTGTTGTTGATTAGGATATCCAGGTATAGTAGATATTCTTTGTGAATTTGGGCGAACGGGAGATTGATTGTTGTAAATAGGTTGGCCAGAAGGAATTTGATTAATAAGACCCATAGGTTGTTGAGACTGACGATAACTCATGTGTTGTTGCTGGATAGATTGTAACTTTGAAAGTAATATACCGGCAAATTGAGCCTTGTTATCCAATAGGGTCTCATCTTTAAAATTTAAATGAATCACTTCAGGTATTTCTAAAAACAAGCGAGGTAGACCGTAACCATTCATTGGTTCACCAAAATTGAGTGCGGATATATTGTTGGAATCATCGATCAATTTGGTAGGTCTACCGTATAATTTAAAAGCATCGAATGTACCAATAATCCATTGAACTAGTTCTTTAGGGGTGCTAGCTTGGATGGATACACTAGTAGGTGATTCACCATCAAACCCTTCTACTTTAAGCATGGTTGCCAGATCGATTAACTGAGGAGAATCAGGAAATATCGTATAGGCTTGGACAACATTCACCATGGTCATGATGGGTGATTTGGCCTTTTTAGATTCGTAGAATGTCATTTGTCCTTTTGATTTGACAGATTTTTTGCCAAATAACTTTTTCTCTTCTTTTCTGTCAGATACGACAACCCAAAGCTTTTGCCATTCAGTTGTTCCAGTAAACCGAACCTGAACAAGACCCTCCATTTTATTCATCTGTTTAGATAAAATATCGGAATAGAGGGAACGGCTGATGAAAATTTTGGTGTAAATTTCTTGTAGTCTTGAACATTCAAAGCAAGATAATCTTAATGCGCAAACCCAATTCACTAGTGTATTCGGATCTGATACATCGATAAAATATCTATTTGCACCAGCGGAGTTGAGTGACAACACGTTTTCTCTATCGTTTAAACGACCTAAAAGCTGGACATTCGAGTCAGTGATATTCACATACTGGGGCATAACGTTTTCATCTTGTTCGAATTCTGTATCCCAAAGGGTTAACACTGGCCCACAAAGTTCAGCATATACTTTGGACCAATTGGGATCACCAAAGGATTTTCCATCTACAGTCAAGTCGTTCTTTTTATAGACATAACCCTCAATATATACTTTTTGCGAATAATTATCATATAAATCTTGTACGACATGCATATCCTGAGGTATAATGCTTTTATTAGACTGTGCGGCTGCTGGTTTGATGAAATTGGAAGGTCTGGCTGAAGGATGCTGATAAAGGGGCTCATCATCTTGTTGATCCCATTCCCCCGAAAAGTTAGGAGTGTGTTGAGTTGCCATGGGTGTTCCATTTCCCAAAGATAGGTTCGCCATCCCGGCCTCGAAGTACTCGTTGGACTGGGAATTCATTTATAATGGTTGCTGTACTAGCTTATTAAAAGCAAAAACAAAAACAAGAAAGTTAATGGGAAAGGAAGCCAGGTCTTAAATGTAATCTCATACCTAATTTCAAGTAAATGGCGTGTTTAATATCTGTTAGAAAAGAAGAAAAATATTAAAATATAAAAAATAAATAATAAAAATACAGTCTCCTACTTAACTAATTGGGAATTTATCTTTGGTTGTCACTTGAGTGGGATTGATTAAGGGGAAAAAATGAACATATATAAATTTATTCACGTGCATTGTTGTTGAGTAGATGTTAGCTATCGCTTCTTTTTCTTTTCTTTTTTTCTCAGTGAATAGACATAAAGAATCTAGCGCATAATAGGAATTACTGAAGGAGTTAGGAAAAAGTACTAGCTATCGCCATAAAGGACCCAACTAGAAATAGCATATTATGGGCTTGACCTGTAGATCGCATGATTATGACAGTATAAGCCAGACAATGCGACCAAAAACAAAGCTAAAATATAGAATGTTAATTATACTCACAAGTTATTTGACACATAAGTTATTTTTGAATATAGATTGCAGAGTAAACAAAGTGTAGAAATACTCCTTGCATCCCCACGTGCGGTTGGACTCACGTATACAGCGACATGAACTAGACCCTATTATTTAATGAGAAGAGGGGTAAAGTCTAGAGACGTAATGCATACATCTCTTTTTTTTACTTAGACGCGTTAGCTTTGCCTTATTTTCTTTATCAATTACACAATACGAAGCGAGAGGAGGTCGATAGATGTCCTGAAGCTCGATTATTACGAAAAACATGAAGAAATTGTCTTAGATAGGAAGGATTGCAAAATATTAACATGGATTGAATCAAGTATCCAGAAATAATCATCTGACTTAGACTATTTTTCTCTTACAAAGCATTATATGCACACTGAAAATGTAACAAGCACAAACTATATAGATTTTCAATCTAACAAGCTGATAAAGTTACTAATGTGGCCCATACCACTGAAACTATTTATGTGGTATGCTGTGTTAATTTTGACAGGTGCCAGCTTTTATTTATAGACCCGTCGTTTTCATGCAACAGGATTTGGGTAAAAAAAAACTATCATATATACCATTTTTATCCACTAAAAAAAAACGAAAACAATACATAGTGTTGCAATAATTTATTAAGGAAAAACAATCTATGATATGAATGAAAATTGTGGTTTTGAAAAATGTAGTTTGTGAGGTGAAGGATGGAATAATTTTACAGAAATTTAGAAGGAGATACCTTCTTCGCGTAATTCCTTTTCAATAACTTGGATGATTAATTGAGGATCGGCGCGCTCAACATGAGTAACTCTGCGTTCCTTATTTAATAAACCATGGAATTCAGTAGGTAAGACGTCTTTTTCAAAGTTGAACCCAGCAACACTGTTAAGTGAGTTTTCAACAGCTTCAGAAAATTTGGCAGGATGAGCAGTAGCTAAACAGATAAGAACATCAGGTCCAGAAGGATAAGTCTTGAGGTTTTCGCGTTGGATATATTCTTCGGCAGCGGCAACACCGACAGCAGTATGGGGATCAAGGACATAAGGTGTTTGAGCTGTATTCTTAGGTTCGTAGAAGGCACGAATAGCAGCAGAGGTCTCTACATCTGTAACACGGGCAGCATCGAAAATTTCACGAGCCTTTAAAACAGCTTTATCAGCTACACGGAAAACGCCTTCCTCCTTGAGCTCTTTCATCCAACCATTAACAGTTTGACCTGCTTTGTCACATAACTCTTCCGCGTTACCTTCTGATGGGCCGGTTTCACGGGCAAGATACCACAACAAGCGTTCAAAATTGGAGGAGACTAAAATGTCCATAGCAGGAGACAAGGTTGCCTTCACGCCACCATCTTCACCTGTTTGCTTTTCATAGGCTTGAGAAGCAAAGAAACGGTAAAGGATGTCGTTTTCGTTAGTGGCAATCAACAACTTGTTAGTGGGGAGACCCATGCGGTAAGCATAATAACCGGCCAAGACATCACCAAAGTTACCAGTAGGAACAGAAAAATCGAAATTGATTTTATCAGCTTCGGCGGAAGCGGGATCGATATTTAAAGAGCGTAAAAGAGAGAAGTAAGCTTGGAAATAATAAACAGTTTGTGCCAAGATACGAGCCCAATTGATGGAATTGACAGCACCCAAATGATGACGAGTGTTAAACTCCTTGTTTCCGAACAAGTTCTTGACAATATCTTGACAGTCATCAAAAGTGCCTTCAACAGATAAGTTGTGCACGTTCTTATCCAAAACAGTGGTCATTTGGGCTTCTTGAATAGGACTGACACGGCCGTTGGGGTGGAGAATAAAAACAGACACATTTTTCTTACCGCGAAGACCGTAGATAGCAGCACTGAATTGTAAGAGGATATTAGCATATTGCACAATTTCTAAAATTAAATAAATGTTGCATCTTACCTGCCGGTATCACCGGAAGTAGCACCGACGACAGTTAAACGATGAGTTTGTCCACCAGCTGGCTCTTTGCTATTTTTACGTTCCAAAAAGTATTCAAAGAGGTTACCAACAAATTGAAGAGCAACATCCTTGAAGGCAAAAGTGGGACCATGGAATAATTCCAAGATATAGAGTCCATCACGCACCTTAAAGAGAGGGGTAACGTCCTCAGCACGGAAAGTGGAGTAAGAACTTTCAACAAGCTTGGTGAGATCAGCACGAGGAATTTGTGAATCGTCGATGTACAAGGATAAGATCTCGACGGCTAACTGTTGGAAAGAATACTGAGACCAAGCTTGGCGCCAGTTAGTAGGCAAACTAGGAATTTCCTGAGGAATAAAAAGACCTCCATCAGGTCCTAAACCGGTCATAACGGCTTCCTCAAAAGTGTAGTTTTTGGCTTGACCACGAGTTGATCTGTAGAGCATATTGCAAAGAAAGTTGGATATCTAAAAGAAAAATAAACGAAAGCTATCAAGATTTCTTTTTTCTATAAACAAAGTTTTGAAGGGGATTTCGGTTTTTTAATTGGTGAATGAATTTAGCAGATGTTGTGACTCATTTTTTATCGTAAATTCTAGCACTGGGTAACTGGAATTTTCTATTCTTTTTTTTTATAAATTAAACCAATCAATCCATTGGTTTTCAATGTCTGAGGAAAGTTAATTCCAAATAGTGCTAAAAAATTACATTTGTATTCATGGCAAATTCACTCGCTGAGATAGCTAAATAGGATAACAGCAACTAATTATATTTTGTGTTTCGCTGCAAGAGAAAGCCCATTGTGTAAATTACATAAAGTTCGGAGAAGTAATCCTAAGGCAGCCACTGTAACATTTTTTCCCCGAAACGCTACAGGTCACGTGTTAACACGTGAATATCACGTGATTGCGTTTATTTGCTTGTAGAATATATATTATTTTAAAATTATTGTTTCGTACAGCTGATTTGGCCGAGTTGGTCTAAGGCGCCGCACTCAAGTTGCGGTCTCGCAAGAGGCGTGAGTTCGAATCTCACAGTCAGCATTTTTTTTTACTTTCTGAGGGAAAACGTTGGACGTTGATAGGCAGTTGTCAATATGCTTGTTATCTGTTCTTAAACTGCTTTTTTTTTTCTCTTTTAGTTTACTTTAAATGGTATAATCCGATAAGAGTATCCCCGACTCTTATGTTAGACACTATCACGAAATTGGCACACGATCGAATATTCTTTCCGTTATCGATTTTTGCAAATGAAATAATATTAACCTTAATGATATAATTGTGTCATGCCCAACTGTCAGGGTTCTCCTGGATTGGGAAAGTTTGTACCATAGGACTGATATTAAACCATTGGTTACTTTTAGATATACACATTTTACACGCACATAAAAAACTCTACTCGGCTAACAAATTTTTTTCAGCCTTCAAATGTGTAGAGTACTGAGTTGGTTTTTTTATTTATTTTTTTGATCACTGGTGATAAACTTTAAATCCAGTGAATACCAGTTTTTCCCGTTTTTGCCCGCACTTCAATATGCAGAATTTTTTTGAATTAAATATTATTTGTGGTTATGAAAAAATATTTATTTAAATGGATGTGATGGTGTTTAAATAAAAATGAAATATTGTAATGAAAATAATATAGATAATGAAATGTCAGGAGAATTAAAATAAAAAAGGCTGTCTATGAGGGTATTTATCTTGTCAGAATTTAGTTGCTGTTATTACACATCAGACTTAACAACTGAGTCTTTGCTTCATCGCCGTGTTCGCGTCTTCTCTTGCCTATTGAAGAAAAAGGTTAATAAAAAAATCATGTGTAACATTTTTAGTATTTGTCATTCTATATTACCTTCAATATATTTCATACTCTCGGAATATGTTCTTGGCAAGATTTGACGAAGAGGCTTCTCCTTGGAAGCAAGGGAGAAATGGAATGTGTTGGTAAGATCAGTGGTACCGGTTTCAACATCAGTGACTTCAGCAGTGACACTGACCTGGAACGTCTTGCTGGGTTCACCTTGAGAATAAATAATTTGAGAATGCAAGTTTAACAAGGAGCCAACAGGAACAGGCTTTTTGAATACAATTTCATCCAATGATAAAAGACTGACTTGAGACTTTGCAAAGACAGAACCAGTAGCATGAGCAAGCTCGTAAGCACGTCTCATTAAGTAACCACCAAATACCTTGTTGTGAATATTACGATCCTGAGGTTGCATTAAGAAAACACTTTGCATTGTCATATCTTCCATCCAAACAGCATTTTCAGGAGCGACTTCCTTGTCAGAATATTTCATATAGATGTCATGAAGAGTCAAACGCTCATCGGCAGTAGGGGGAGCTTTATTGAGAGCAGACTCACCTGCAAGTCGCTTACGTGATTTACAATCTTGAGCATATTCAGAAATCTTCTTTTCTTCGTCGTTCCGAGTAATAAGGGGGTTGACACGTACAGATTTTCCTGTGGCGGAATCTACCGCTACCATTGTAATACGAGCAAACAAAACTGTGTTAGGAGTAGGCTTAGCAATGAAATCGTTGGGGGGAAATTCGGAGGATTCGACAGTAGCGGGATCATATTGGGGGATAGTCTCCAATTTGACAAAAACTGTAGGGTATTAATTATTAGTAATGCACAAAGTTAATTAAATTTTGTACTATTTTACCTTCCATACTGCTTTTACCGACATAGGCAACATGGCCAGATAATTTGAAATCTTCAACAGTGTTAGGCATGAGTAATTCCATACGATCAACGCTAGCTGTGACAACGGTAAGAGGAGGGCTGTCAACAAAGGTATCCATGTGCTTGTAAGAGATTGCGCCAGCCAATGCATCCAAATCTTCAAGAATCTTTCCAATTCTGACTTTTCCACCTGTGGTAATGTATTCATCCAACAAGGTAGGGGATGATTTAAACGGCAGGTATTCTTCCATATAACTGTCAGACATGGTCTTGTTTACAGAAGCGTGTTGATATTGGGTAGATGAGACATTTAGAGGTCTCTTGTTTTCTTTTTCAAGAATCTTATCCATCCAAAAAGCAACAGGACGAACAGTATATAACTTATCTAAGGTAACGATTGAGTATTTATTGACATCAGTGTGTGTTATGTGGTATACTTACTGGTAGCTTGGAAAGATTCTTCACTAGCTTCAATTAAGGAAGCTTGCGCACCACGGATTTGACGAGTGCAAGTGGCCAAACTGGCACTTTGCTTGGTGATATTACGAAGGGCTGAAGATTGCTTAAGAAGAGAGCGCAACATTTTTGGTTTTAATAATAGATAAGTTGAAAAAAAAAAAAATAGAATTGAAGAAAATATGCCATTATTTATATGATTGGAGTGAAAATGGGTTAGTTGCCTTCTATGTCTCAGCCTCGGAGAGGAATCGGTTCGATTATATCAAACTTCTTTAAATGGAAAGTGCTCCGCAAGGACAATGGATTAGGCCAATAAAAAGAATTTAAGAGCAAGTTTATCTTGATGCTTGTGCCTATCAATATAAACTCAATACTTCTCCGCCAATCAAATTTTACATGTTGATTTGCCATTTTAAGTGTAGAGAAACAAATTGAACGTTATCGTAGGGTCCATCCGGAGTTTGATAGTCAAAAAAAATTTTTTTGAGCAGTAAAATATTTGCAAATGACCAATGACTTTTTTTCATAAACTTAAGTCGTCCCGGATAACCCCAGTGGTTTGGAACATTGTTTCATAGAATTTGTAAAGCAATTTGGATTTTTGGCTGGGGATCTTCCAACATGTCACATATACAGCTAAAAATGTTTTTAGATTAATGTTTGCCCTGGACATTTCTGGAACATCATTTAAAAGTCCTTTTGCGGCTAAAAAGTCTGTTTTCCGCAAGCAGACAGACTCAAGCTGGGAGATCTACGAAACATTCGCTAGCATTTTTGTACCATGTACTTTTCTTACAAACTTTGCGGATGTATTGAGTATACTTGTATTGTCTACTTTAGTCAGAGTCGATAGATAAAGTAACAGAAGTTCTGCAAGATTCATTTCAGTTTTTTTTAAGAAAAAAGGGCGGATTATTTAAACGCAGTTTGCTCTTATCCGATGTACCTTTATGGAGAAACACTTTAAAGTGTTCGCCAGCAGTTTTATCATTTTTTTTAATCTAGGATTTATGTAAAAAAGGTACATTAGTGTTTTACAATAGTAAATGCTAATAAAAATTATAGAGGGTAAGCAGTACGCTCTTAAAGTTTCTATGGCAAAAAGGTCCAATTAAAACGCAGCCTACTCTTATCGGATGCCTTTTATGTATGAGAAAATCATTAAAGTGTTGTCATTTTTTGTTTTAAATAGAGGTCTTATTAAATCGGGCATCTGTAAAGGAGGTGCTATGCACTATTTTCATAAATTATTCGGGACTGTTTTCTTTGCTTTTAAATTTGAAACCGTGACTTTTATCTCTATTTTTTATGATTATCTGTTACTTCAAAATAAAATAAAATGGACTTTTTCCTTTATCGAACGCAGAAAAGCAAACATCTTCCCTAATGTTCTTTTTAATCATACCAAGAATGACAAAAAATGGTTTATAAAAGGCTCCTGGTTCTATTTTTGAAAGCGCCACTGTGGATCAAAATCATACTTCAGCATCTCCGCTGCGGATGCCTTAGATTGATTTTTTACTGCTTCAAAAATGAAAAATCGTACCTTTCCTTTTTTGAACGAAATATGGCTTCCAAAGAATGAAGAACCAAGTATAATTGTCCTGAAAGGTGCACCAATATTCGCGCCAATATAATTGATATAACATTTGGGGGGAAGGGTAATAGGCTTCAGTGGCCAACTGACTTTCTTCTATATCTTATGCCCTATCAATAAGCAATGATAGGCTTTAATACTGTGGGTGGTTCTATTAATATGCAACGTTCAATTTCCTACCAAAAAATGGCATCTACTTTAATTGATTAGAAAATAATTCATCATTGTGTTAAAGTAATTTATCTGTACTTCGCACGAAACAGAATTACTTTGATACTTTTTTTTTCCAAATAAAGGATCGTTAAAGTACGCTAATATGGCGTAAGTCATCCAGCTCTTCGATTTTTTTCTTATTCTGACGTACAAATGATTAAAAAAAAAATTTCCTAAAAAAGAATAGGACGTACTACTAAATTCAAACAAACAAGAAAATATGACGAGGGAAGTATATTAGTTTGAGAAAAAAAAAAAAAAAAAAGAGAAAGCCATATTTCTTTTTCTTTTCTTTTTTTTATAAATTAATTTCGCATAAATGGCTGACATAGTTAAATACAATGAGGCATCTCCACAAGCCGTAGATCCTCATGCGGCAGCACAAACGTCAGAGTCACAGCAAGAGCCTGGCTATGAAATGCAAGAGGCTCCCGCTGAAGAAATAGAACGTCAGAAAGAAAATGTGAAGGAAATTAACAAGATCGAAAAAAAATATGACGCAACTGATGAGGACAACAAAAAAATGGAGGAAAAAATGGAAAAGGCTCCTGGTAATACATTGGATGCTTCTGGTAATGTTCATGCAAACGTAAAAGATGCAACTGATCATCACAAAGAGCCATTCGTGTTACCTGATCATAACAACCCTCATGCAAAAATGTGGTCCAATAATCCTAATGATAACTTTGCCGATCAATGGAAGCCTACAGCTTTGCCCAAGGAAGAGCAAGTTGGAAATGCAAATGCTCCAAATCCACAAGACCATTTGGAACACCGTCAGCAAGCTAATCATCGACCACTTGGTGAGCAACCCATCGAATTTAATAATACCTTCGAATCAACTATGACCGAATTGAGAAATATCTTTAATACTACTGATGAGGGAGCTCCAATTAACGAAGACCACAAATCGAAACTGAATAATCCTACACCATTGATGCCCGTCCAACCCGACGAATTAATCAAAAATTTACAGATCAAAGCAATTAAATATATCTTGGTGGCATGCTGTATCTGTTATGCTTTTGGAAAATTTAATTTCGGGTATATATCTGGATTATGCATGATCGGTATATGCTCATGGGCATACTGGAACTTGGGTAGAATTACCTCTAGAGGTCTCGAGTGGCAGTTGGAAAAGCAAGAGAGTATGAAGACTGTATGTATAAGTTTACTTTACTTTACCATAAAAAGCACCCAATAACCCTATAGATATATAGTTATACACTTCAGAGGGTGAGTCTGTAGAATGGCTCAACTTTATGGTCGAAAAGATCTGGCGTAGTGTCGATCCTGAATTCTTTGCTATTATCGAAGATCTTTTGGAGGATACTATTCAAAGTGTCGCACCAAGCTTTATTGTAAGTTAATCATTAGCTAAACATATCTGCAGAGGATATATACTAATTTATCAATTTAGAAAGCCGTAAAAGTATCTGACTTTGACATTGGAGTGCAAGCACCCCGCATTCAAATGTAAGAATCATCGGAATACCAAACAATTAGTTTATCTTTCACGCGTCATTATGTGCTAATATAACAATTCTAATAGGATTCGCGTATTTCCACCATTGCCAGGCCAACCCGAAGAAAGTATTGTGAGTAGTAATTAATCAATATTTAATGCCTTAGCTTACATTTTTCTCAGTTTGGTGAAGCATCGTTCAGTTTTCACGCACATCCTGTCGCTTCTTTGGTCACCAACCGTAGCCCTAGATCAACTCCGCCCGGTTTAGCTATCCGCTTTCAGACAGCAATCAATGCACCTTTGGAAGTCAAGGCAGAACTAACAGCACTCTCAGGCAAAGTACGCTTCAAGATTCTAACGTCTCCCGAGTTACCATTTATTTCCAAAGCAACAATCGCCTTTACAAGCGTTCCAAAGATCGAAACCGGTGTCATGCCTTTATCCAAGCACTTGAATATTATGAATGTAAATTTGCTTATTCCTGCTTTTTTATTTATTAATCTGCTTACTAACAAGCATTTACACTTTAGCTTCCTACCATCAAAACATTAGTCAATGAGGGTGTCAAGCTTGGTTTCGCTGATTTGGTAGATCCTAAGAGTATGACAATTGATATTAAGGCTTTAATGGGTGCCTTTGATCAAGATACCAATGCTATCGGTGTTGTCAAAGTAGAAGTTAGAGGTGCAACCAGAGATAGCTCTATCAAATTACAAGGTATGATGATAGCAATAACAATTCCCATATAAAGTTCCCCCAATAATACTTATACATTATTTAGATATGGAAGACTCATATGCCACATTGTCATTGAGCACTCAACCCAAAAAGAGTTCTTCGAGTACCCGCGTCTTGACCAACGACAAGGATCCTGAATGGGATGAAAATCTTTATGTTTTAGTCTACAAAGGTGATTTAGAAAGGTGAAAAAGATAGATAACACTATTAACATGTTAAATTCATTTTTTTACAGACGATATTGTTTCCGAAACCAAGGTAGATGTCAAGGTATGGGATGCCGATAAGGTCAAGTTTGATGATATGTGGGGATCCATTTCAATGTCCGTCAGAGATATTGTTGAAGGAAAGTTAGATAAGCTTGGTAATGTATCCAGTTGGTGCCAACAAGAGAGAGTTGTTTTCGACGGCTGGACTCCCATTGATGGTAAAAGTGAAGACAAAAGCAAAGTCAGGCTGAATATGAAGATGAGTTTCCATCCCAAATATCCCACGCCCAATATGGATATCTTTAGCGGTGATGCCATCAACCAAAAGACCAAATCTGACAAGGGTAAAGAAAAGATTCGCAAACAACACAGTGAATTTTTGGATGTTCCTGTTGCACCCGAACATAATAATGGTATCATTTCTGTTACCATCCACCAAGCAGTCGATCTTGAAATTGGAGATCCTCAAGTCTTGCCTACCGATGAAAAGTTTAGACATCCCTATAGTCCCGACAAAGTCGTCAGCCCTTATGCTGTACTCTATATTAATGATAACAAGGTCTATCAAACCCGTACAAAATTGAGAAATCCTAGTCCCGTAAGCCAGATAAGGAAGAAAATTTATGAAGAAAAGCGAATATTAACTTTTTTGTTTTATCTTGATAGCATTGGAACGCAATCACTGAGCATTTTGTCAAAGATATCGATAGCGTTGTGCTTCGTTTATCTATCAAGACATCCGTAGATTTGGAACGTGATCCCGTCTTGGGTACTAAAACTTTACATTTGAAGGAACTTTTCGAGGATCAAGATAGCAAGGTAAAAAGAAAATTTTGTTTGACAAACTAAAAATTAACCTTTTTGTTTATGTGACAGTTTAAAGAGTTCCAGAAATGGATTCCACTCGCTAATGGTATTGGTTTTGGTAAATTTTTACTGACAGTCAAATACAAACCTGTCAAGTTGACATTACCTCGCGAATTACAAGGATCAGGTAAGAAGAATTACGTTATGTCTTATTTAAATATATATCGAGCTAACCTTTCCATGTAGATGTCGGCACACTCGTTATCGAAAGACTTAGTCTTACCAACTTGAAGGAACCTTTTAGTGATAATTATATTAATTCTACAAAAGCCACCTTGGCTTTGAACGTCGACCCTGTTATTCTCAAGCGTCTCAAGGCGAAGGATATCTCTCAGCAACGTTCGTTGGAAGAAAGAATAGCCCAGCAAGAAGGCAATGTTACTGCACACCCAAAGACAGGACCTTATGGCTGGTACGAACAACATCTCTATTTCCCATTAACGATGCGTTATCGTACTGCTATATACGTCCATATCAATCAAGGTACACTCACCTCTACAAAATCAACAGGCCGTTTCTGGTTGAAGCATATTTTGGATAACGAATGGCAAGATGTGGTTGTCGGCTTGCATGAGCATATGAGTGAGAAAAGCAAGGACGCTAACCGTAACGAAAACCCATGGCCTATCGAAGGGCCATATGGCCAAGTCGTCTTACGTATGAAAATAGTACCCGGATTCTCTCCAGTGCATACGCATTTGAAATCGTATAATCAAGATATGGTCGGTGCGGACCCTTTCTACGATGATGCGCTTAAAATCAAAGCACAGAAATGGATCAAAGAACAAAGCAATAGCGATGGCGATGGCGATTCTTCTGGCAAACAAAGCGAAGGATTCGATTACAATCTCCAGGCTGCTGTCGATGAAGAAAGAAGCAAGATGTATGACAGTGAAGGCGAAGAATTGCATGAGAGAAGAAAATCTAGCTTATCTTCTGAATACGGGGACGGTATGGATGATACAGAAATCGAAGCTGATATGATGAACCAATCAAAGGATCATAAGATTAGTAAACATCGTGCTGTTCGTAAGTTTTCCATGGGTGTTGACAAAGTCAAACAAAAGGTTGAAGTGATGAGAGAAGGGTTTAATTCAGATACCAGGGCCGGTCGTTCTGTTACCAAAGAAGTGTAGTCACAAATTGCCACCTAACCATGACCTCAAATTACGTATTATGAAACAACTTTGCGCAACTTTAATCCATAACGGCTGATATTTTTTTTCCAAACCCCAGTTTACGTTTTTCCCCGCAAAAATAATAAATAAAATTGTAGTGAAAATAACAGCGAAAATGATGCATTTTTAATATAACAACCAGGCTAGTTTGAAAATAATTAATTTAATGGAGCTTGATAAAACATACCAAAAAAAAAAAAAAAGCTTGGTGCGGTGTAACCGAACATAAATGCATGAAAAGGAGCCCTCCTTGTTTAAATGAGTTTCGGGCTGACATTTACTTTTTCTGCTGGACAAACAAATTAAGTTCTCGATTATAAGACATGTTTCAAATCGACAGGCGTAAGCTGGCTAAAATATTTGGCATACCAGAATAAAGATGTTTGTTAGTAAGTTTTATACTTGAACATGGTCTAGAGATTCAGTGATATGATGTGCACAACAGTTTGAGTACAAGCTCATGCTTAGCTTTTATTTGACATAGATGACCATCTGGATGGCTAAAATTACGCAATCTCGGACCTCTAAATGGAGGCTAAAAAAAATCTTTTTAAATAGAAAGCAAGTTTTTCTACACGTTTTTTTTTTGTTTTGACTTTTTCATATCTATTTATCTAATCAAACATGTTGTCTGTACGCACACGCCTTGCTTCTATTACTAAACGTTCATTTGCTACTGTTACGGAAGCTGCCAAGCCCGACCAAAAATTTAAGGTTGTTGTTGTTGGTGGTGGCCCAGGTGGTCTTTCAGGTAGGAAAAAAAAAAAGGTCGATACGTGATTAATTGTACAAAAGAGATTAACAAAATCTTGCAATTTAGTTTCTTCCACTGTTTCCAAATTATTAGGCAAGAACCAAGTTGCTGTCATTGAACCTTCAAGCAAACATTACGTAAGTTTAAATAATATCTGGTGAAATTGCATGATAAACTTATTGAAATATAAATTAGTATCAACCTTTATGGACATACGTTGGTGGTGGACTCAAGAATTTCAATGAGTCTGTTAAACCTATGGCTGAAGTCATGCCCAGTGATGCCGAATGGATCCAAGATAAGGTTACCGAATTCGATCCTGACAACAATACAGTTAAGCTCGCTGATGGACAAGTGGTTGGATATGACTATTTGGTGGTTGCAGCTGGTATTCAAATCAACTGGGATAAAGTGAAAGGTTTAAAGCAGGCTCTTGGTAAGGACGGTGTGACCTCCAATTATGATGCTGATAGTGTTCAAAAGACATACAAATTCCTTCAAGAATTCAAGGGAGGTAACGCACTCTTCACCTTCCCTAACTCTCCTCTCAAGTGTCCTGGTGCCCCCACTAAAATGACTTTCTTGGCCGAAGAGGCTTTCCGTCTTTCTGGTGTCCGTGATAAGACTAACGTTATCTATAATACTGCTGGTGGTAAAATCTTTGGTGTTGATCATTATGGCCGTGTTCTTCAAAAATTGGCTGATGAGCGTAACATCAAGTTGAACTTTCAACATGAATTGATTGAAATTGATGCCGACAACCATCAAGCAGTCTTCAAGAATAACGCCAACAATGGCGAGATCTCATCTTTTGAATACGACTTTATTCATGTTGCACCACCTCAAGGACCTCCTACCTTTATCAAAGAAAGTAAGTTGGCTGATGCAGTTGGTTGGGTCGATGTGAATAAGGATACACTCCGTCACAACAAGTATAAAAATGTGTTTGCTCTTGGTGATTGCTCTTCTCTCCCTACTTCCAAGACCGCAGCTGCCATTACGGCCGAATCTGGTGTATTGAAGCATAACTTGATTGCTGATATTCAAGGTAAGAAGGTGGAGCAAGCAGTGTATGATGGTTACACAAGTTGTCCCTTGATTGTTGGCCGTAACGAATTGATCTTGGCTGAATTCTCTGGCTACACCGGCCAACCTCTTGAAACTTTCCCCGTAGATCAACGTGGTATTAGTCGTGTCTCCCAATTCTTGAACAAGGAAGTCATTCCTGCTATTTACTGGAACGGCTTATTAAAGGGTACTTGGACTGGACCTGGTCTTTTCCGTCGTATGCTTGATCCCCTTCGTCCCAAGCGTGATAACTAAAAAAACTATATATTCTCTCTATCCCTTACATTCCCACATCATAATATTAAATAAAAAATCAAAGCCTTTATATTTTTATTCCACTGAGCTGGTTTGGAAAGATGAGATAAAAGAGATTTTGGGTTTAACTTAGAGATCCTTGCACGAGTAGAAAAATTTCTTATTTGATGTGGGACTAATGTCATGACTATCATAAGCCGTAAAATTATTAAAATCCGATATATTTAAATCAGGCAGAACAAGCTATACAGCCTCAAGAAAACGACGTATGAATGCATATCATACTTGTTTATATTTTTTTTTGTGGAAGTTCCATAAATTTAAGACAGGGTGACTGGTCTATTGTCAACCCTGCCCGATGAACCCTCTGCTGTAATAAGCTTGATGCCCAGGATAATTTCATTCTCAGTAGGTGTGTAGAAGACGGGGATTTGGCTCTCTTTTATCAGCATTAGCAAACAAACACCTGTAGCAGATACAATAAAATCTTCGCTGGTACTGTTGCACGTATGATGTATGCAGCCAAAAATGCAGTTTCTAAGGAAAAAAAAATAATACGATCCAGCGGCCTACTAGATCAACCCAATTAATTTTTACTTACAACAGGTTCATTTATACAGCCATGGTAATATGTCTAATCATGTAAGTGATTCTCCTTCATATATTCAACTGCTTTAAAAATAAAACTCATTGCTGCATATTTTTTCCAGTTTATTGTGGATATTGCTTAAATTCCTGTTACCTCAAACTTGCAGGTATGATTGGTTAACCTTAAATCCTGCTGCCACTATGATAGGCTATACATGGTAGTGCCCCAGGGCGATAGTAGATGTGAATCACCCCCCGCAAAAATAGCGGTCTCTCAAATCAACGAACGACTATTTAGAGCACACATAAACCTATCAAGCTTCCATAATAAACAAAAATTCAACAGTCGTCTTTGACTCGGTGGAATAGAAAAAAAAAAAAAAATAGATATTTTTATAGATTTTTTTGTGAAGAATTTTTTTTCTCTTCCTCCTCATTTCGTTTAGAAAAAAAAAATAGCTCATTTACCATGGCCCTTAGACTCTTAACTTCTCGCGTCGCTGTCCGTGCTTATATGCCCGTTGTCCGCAAGTCCGCTACTTGGGCCGTCTATCGTGGTTATGCCAGTAAGTGAAAAAACCGAAAAGGGGTAAGGAAATCAATAGATTGACTTTGTTTCTTTATTTGAAAAGCCAAGAAATATACCAGTGACCATGAATGGATCTCTGTTGATAACGGTGTTGGTACTTTCGGTATCACTGATTACGCTCAAAAGGCTTTGGGTGATGTTGTCTTTGTTGAGACTCCCGCCGTCGGTGATGTCGTTGCTGCTGAAGGTAAAAAAAAAAGGTAAATGAATTAATAAAACCACGTTGATTTAACTCTGTACGTAGATCAAGTTGGTGCTATTGAATCTGTCAAGGCTGCCAGTGATATTTATTCCCCTGTCTCTGGTGAAGTTGTCAATGTTAATGAAGCTTTATCTGACGAACCTTCTTTAATCAACACCAGCCCTGAAGACGAAGGTAAACATTTTTTCTTTTTTTTTTTTGTTAGATACCGTGTGAAATAAGTGACTAACTTTTTCATAGGTTGGTTGGCCAAGATCAAGATGAGCAACACCGCTGAACTTGATAACTTGATGGATGAGAAGGCATATGCTGCTCATTGCGATGCCGCTGAAGAGCATTAGATTGTGTGTGCACCTGCGTTTACGTGTTGTGTGTTATGTGTATAAATAATAATAAAAAAATATATTTCTCTTAGATACCGCTTCTCTTTGTGGTTTAACTTTTACCCACAGTCTTCGATAACCTATTATTTTTTTTTCTTCTTCTTTACCGTTTTCCCTCTTTCTTTCTGTAACACACTCTCTCTATACGCTCTGTGGGTGTATGCGTTCATGAAGAACTATTTGAAAGAACCTGCTGCTTGTCATGGAAATAGACTACTCCTTCCAATGACTTTACAAAAGTCATCTGGCCAAGAGGAAACAAAGAGAACGTATGCCCAAGCATATATAAACGCTTGCCACGCTGTCAAACTAGATACAGAAGCAAAATACACAGAGGCAAGAGACGCCTATAAAAGCGTTATCAAGGTAATACACTTTCAGTTTCGTTACGCACACATACACACACACACACCCTCTCTCTCTCCCACTAATAAAAATGTTGTAGAACTTTTCTAAACTACTCATCGGTAAAAGCACATATTTGAACAAATAGCCCCGGGTACTGACCGTCTCATTCTATAGACGACAATAATGGAATGGACCGCAACGAGTTGATTGGAAAGTTAAACGAATACAAACACCGTGTGGAGCAACTTGGGCGCTATATGAATGCTACCAAACCCTCTTCATTATACATTAATGAGAATTCACCTTACCAGCAGCGTCGTGAATCGTTTGATTCCGAAATTATTCGAACCGAGCAAGATGACTATAACGATAAGGCAAAGGTAAACTAAACCTAAAAGGGGGATAGGAAAAAAAAAGTGTGTTGTTAACATGATCTTTAACAAAGAAAGTTGTCCCTAGTTTTCTTTTGATCAGGGCGAGCTAAACGAGTATAAAGGCAATATGGAACATGCCTTGGAATACTATTCTGACGCCGCAGAGTTATACCTTAAGGCCTTCAAAGGATACGAAAACGACAGTGCCGACAAGTTGGAAGCACGAGACAATTTCACAAGAGCACTGGATAAAGCAGAATCATTAAAGAAACCATCCCTTTTATTACCTCCCTCACCTCGCACACGATCTTCATCCAACGCATCAGATCATCATCGTCCCAGTCTATCCTCCCTTCATAACCGCTCCAGCTCTATATCCTCTGTCTCTCATTGTCCCACCGATGACATATTAACACAGAAACTATCAGCATCCGAAATTGAAGTATTAAAACATACTTCCAATGTCAATGATAAGACATTTTTACCTTGGATCGATGAAACTGATTTAAAAGAACAGTTCTCTTACCCAACTTCAAAATACCTGGATCCAGAAGGTTCATTGCGTTTGTCAGACAAACAACTCGAAAAATTCGGTGGCTGGAAACGGCCTGCTGATATCATGCAGCATCCACAATTGATTTGTCTTATATCCAGGTAAACAACGAGTAGAAGGTTATAAAATCTATGCTAATGATTTAAAATATTAGCACAAGTATAATTCAAGATATTGTGACAGATTGCTCGTTTGTGGCTTCATTGTGTGTAGCTGCCGCTTACGAAAGAAAGTTTAAAAAGCAGTTGATTACTTCCTGTATATACCCTCAAAATAAACACGGTCAACCTTGTTATAACCCAAACGGAAAATATGTCATCAAACTTGTATATAATGGTATTGCCAGAAAAGTTGTGGTGGATGATCTCTTGCCCGTCTCAAGAGAAGGTACTCTCATGTGCACCTTTTCAACTAATAAAGGTGAATTATGGGCCAGTATCATAGAAAAAGCCGTAAGTTCTTGTACTCCTTTCTTTATCATTAATTTTAATAACTTATCTAGTACATGAAACTCATGGGTGGCTACGATTTTCCTGGATCGTAAGTAAACCGTATTATCAAAACTGAAATTACATAGATACTAAGAGGATATCATCATATAGGAATTCTGGCATCGATTTACAGTAAATATGTAGTATTCATTTTTTGCACTCATTTTACGCTGACTTTTCTTTGTAAAATATAGTTGCTTGACAGGTTGGATTCCAGAACACATTTTTATTTCAGAGTAAACTCCCTCTTTCTTTCCCCACTTTCTGTACATATTGACTTACAGCCTTAAACAGTAAAAGTTTTGTAGCAGACAATGTATGGGATAGAATCCTTGATGGTATCAAATATGGCGATGTACTTGTGACAATTGCCACTGGCGATATGACTGAAGAAGAAGCAACGGAACAAGGTCTTGTGCCTACCCATGCCTATGCAGTCATAGATATCAAACAATTTGGATCCAAGCGTTTACTGCAAGTCAAGAACCCATGGAGTCATAAACGCTGGCGAGGTCCTTACAGTCATCTTGACACGCAGGTTTGGACAGACGAGCTCAAATCCTTTTTGAATTTTGACCCTTGCGTAGCCGAAAAGAAGGACGATGGTATCTTTTGGATCGATTTTGAATCTGTGTGTGAAAATTTTACTTCCATTCATTTGAACTGGAACCCAGAGCTTTTTACGCACCGCTGGGTGCTTCATTCTGTTTGGCCTGAACACGTTGGGCCGAAAAAAGATGTCTTTAGTTTGCACTATAATCCTCAATTTAGTCTCACTGTCAATGTGCCCGATAAAAAACCCGCTGCTGTCTGGTTATTGCTATCCAAGCACATCACAGTGACGGAAGAAAATACGGATTATATCACCTTACATGTATATGATAATACGAGTGGAGAACGTGTGTTCTATCCAGGAACCCCATTTAAAGAGGGTACTTATGTCAATAGTCCGCATATTCTCGTCAGATTCAATGCACCGCCAGGTATTAGCGACTACACCATCGTTGTCTCTCAGCATGAAAAAGAACACTCGCTTTACTTTTCATTACGCGCCTATTCTTTGGCCCCTTTTAAATTAAACGAAGTCCCCATACGACACTCTACTGAACAAAAGGTAAACATATACGTGATCAGAGAAACTCTCTTCTAACCATAATTTAAAGATCCATGGCCAATGGACTGAGCAAACAGCTGGAGGAAACGCAAGCAACGCAACGTATCTTAACAACCCTCAATGGAAGCTAACTATTCCTCCTGCCAGTGCCCCCGTCGGATTATTACTCATGCTAGAGGCACCAAAAGATTTTGCAGTTCATCTCATGTTGGTAGAAGGAGGAAAACGTGCCTATAGTGTATCTTTACGTGATATATTGTCTGAATCAGGCCCTTATCGTCATGGCTTTTGTTATTGCGAACTACCAAATATCAAACGTAAGAGAGTTTTTTTTTTTTTTGAAATAGCAAAAATTAATTTCTTTAGCGGGAGAATACACTGTGGTAGCATCCACTTTTGAGCCAGAACTGTTAGGCAAGTTCATCTTGACCATAGCCAGCTCTATAAAGTTACAAGTAGAATCTATACCCTCAGAAGGAGCAGTAAGCCATATCGCGACGGGAAAGAAGAAGTGTGTCATTCAACTGATATTTTCTGTTTTTTTAGGGCATGTTTAAAAAAGTGCTTCATGGCGAATGGATTATTGGATATAGTGCAATGGGATGTCCCAGTTTTGGAAACTATGGAAAAAATCCTCGGTATTTACTAGAGATTCGAGAACTTACCACTGTCAAGTAAGCCGAAAAAAAAAATAACAATAATTCTCAAGTTTGTTCTAAGACCAATTCTTTTCTACAGAGTAAGACTTCAGTCGATAAACAACACAGACTCTGTACCTTCAATGAACGTCACGATCTATGAGAAACATCCGACTGAGCTTTTTGGTAAAGAGTTGGCCACATCAGGACCTTATACCAACGTTATTCAAGGGGTTGCTACGGGTGATGTAGTGCTAAGTCAGAATGAGATGGGATACATTATAGTATTAGCTACTCATGATAAGGATATTGCAGCAGAGTATACTGTCATCATATACAGCGATCGACCGGTTAATGTAAAAAATGATAAATAAAATAGTTTTATTGTTTATTTTTTAAGTCTTGCTGTTTGAATTGAACTTAAAGCGCGTTGTCCGGTGAAGAAAGTGACGATAGACAATCCACCAAGATAGGTGAGTGTTTGGAAAAGGTTAAGTTGTGTCCAATAAAGATAAAACAGATATTCGAGACCCACTAAAGAGACTAAAAAGCTAGATATATAAACTGTGCGCACGGTAGAGCCTGAAGTGAGCTCTGAAATAACTTTTCCAGGTGTATAACCGAGTTGGAGCCACTATTTTATAAAGTAACTTTAATATTCTGGTTTAGGTGTACGTATATTCTACAACTTACGCCACCGATGAGGATGAGCCATGGAGAAAGTGTAATAAGTGCGAAGAGCTTGGAAAAGGCGGCAGGTGGCATCTTTTCGGCTTCTTTGAAAACATGATGAATCTCTGGTTGTAATTCGAAAACGTCTTCATCACCAGCAGCTTGAACAAGAGACGCAACAGAGGTAGCTATTATAAGCCCTACAACAGACATGATGGTGCGTGTCATTTTTATGTATTGAAAAAAGTTAAAAAGCGTGTGTTGGCAAGTTATTCGATGTTAATCCTTGGCGGGATCTCAAAGTCTCGAGTGGTGTAAAAAAAAAAAATATTTATTAATTAAAATATATATGTGTATGTACAAAAAGGCAGAATGAAATAAAGGTATGATTTATGAGCAAGTAGTAATGTATTGCTCGGATTTGTTGATCTGTTCACGGACCAACGGTTTTTGAATTATTGTAGGCTCTTTGCCCCAACGGGAAGGGCAACCAGCTGTATATTTGGCAACATACTCACAGAGGTATTTGCATACTCTTGTCTGAAGCCAAGATACTGGACAGTATGGAAGAACCACGTTTTTGTAAGCTGCGCGAATGTTGCAAGGACCCACCTTTTCCTGCACAGCTGGTTCTTCGTCTGTGGTAGTGATATTTTTGTTTCTTTCGTTTAATAATGTAAGTGGTTCCAAAATATCCCAAACAGCCTGTGCTTCCTTATTGGTCATGTTACCAAGAGGGGCATTAGTATGTGTAGTATTTTTAGTAGGGGCAGTGATAGGAAGAGGAGATAATTTGGAGGTAGCCAAGATTTCATCCGTGCTCATAGTCATAGTATGAGTCAAAACGATTGACATTAAAGCAGGAGCAAGGAGTGGGTATTGTCGGAATAACAACTGACTGTCTGGTGCGACATAGGTTTCTTTGGATAATACTTGATTGATATTCCAATTGGGAACAGTAGCATGTGCCAAGTAAGTATCTTGTTGTGTTTGAGGAAGTACAAAGTCCCAATTATCAGGGAAATCTGTAAACAAATTGGGTGGAGAAGACAGGTTAGACTCATCAGAAGAGGATGAATTGATAAGGCTGGAAGATTCGATCGTAAAGGGTGGTGTCTGTTGTATTTGCGGTGTAGATAATACACCCAACATCAAATCAAGACGAAGCTTATCATTTTCTTTCTCCAATGTTTCCATCTTTGCTTTGGCCCACTTCAATTCTAGCTTCAGTTGACTATTCTCTGCTTTTTGCTCATTGAGTTCATCTTCCAAAGTACCAATGTATTCTATATAAGGAAATAAGGATTCGTCAGTAAAAATTTCCTTTTTTAAAAAATCATCTATTTTCATTACCTTTTCTTCTATTTCTAAAGTTACGTGCAGATATCTTATTTCTTAGTTGTCTACGCTCTTTGGAGCTCATTGTCTTTAGTTGTGACTCTGGAATAAAATCATTGATCGGTCGAAAATCTAACCGACTTGTGCTGGATGTGACAACAGGTCTTTTCTCTTCTCTAGCATCCTCACTAGAATCTTCATCCATGCTAGACTTGGTGTCCGGTAATGCAGTTTGTTGGGCTTCGTCACCCAACAAGAACTGAAAGAGATCAGCATCAGAGAAACCATAAGGTTCAATCTCTTTTTTGTCCATGGTTGTATTCACTGCTTGATCATTCAATGCCCAAGTAAATGTATTGCTATTAAAGTCGTTGTTATTCATTTGAAAAAAAAAACAAATTAAAGAGAGAAGAAGAAACCTTTTTCAAAGTCTTTCCATATTTATCTATTTTTAAAAAATAAAAAACGGGTCTTTAAACATGATTTATTTGTTACACTTAATCATAGTCTTTTCTTACAATATAATTGTCATCTCTTCACAGGTATACCAACACGTACATTTCTCAATTATAGAGGATACCTTGCCTTTGACTAGATAAAACGGGTAAAGGCTACAATAAAAGCAGTGTTAAACAAATATTTTATTTGTTTCATCCCATCATCCCCAGCGTCACACAGCTGAGCATCGTTTTTTTATATTAATAATCAATGAAAATATGCTAAAAACGCCCATCATCTTTCCCCAGGCAGTTGCTAAAGTCAGCCAATCAATTATCGCCGGTCAGCATTTGAATACTTTATTGTTCAGGTGATTTGACCCAGTAACTATTCTAATTAAGCACTCACAGCTCAATATGTCATTGCCTCAAAAGTACATCTTTAATCGAATTTTGTAGTTCATTTTTCTTGCTTCAGAGAGTTAATAGCATATGGAAAATTTTTATTGGATATTTAAGTTTAATTAGGGACCAAAAGCTCATCCAAAAGACCTAAAAATTATATGGCGTTTGATCTAACGGGAGAATAAATGTAGTCGTTAGCCTCAAAACCCGGTTCAGAAGCTCCATGGTTGCTTTGGCCATCAAAAATCTACAGCTTGTTTCCCTCATAAAAAAACTGTAAGAGACGTCACATATCGGAGATGAAAGGCGAGGACCTTTTTTTTTTTTTCTCAGTTTGGACATACCCTAGAAGGGCGGAGGCTTACTATTTCCCCTTGTCTAAATTGATCATTCAAAAAATAATGCTTCGTTCAGTCTTTACCGCCAAGACTTGCTTTTCAAGCGCCTTGCCAGCTCGTGCGCTTTCAACACAAGCCATTCAACCACCCAAGACACCTGTCAACCTTGCTCATTTATCAGATAATCACGGAGCTGTCTCAGAGGTAACTTGTCAAAAAAAAAAAAAGTCGAATATGTGCCATGAAACTGAAATTTCAGCATAGCGTACTCGTGTAGGTCGTGGCCCTGGTTATGGTAAGGGTAAGACCTCAGGTCGTGGTCATAAGGGTCAAAAAGCTAGATGTGGTAATGGTCAACCTGTTCCTTGGTTCGAAGGTGGTCAAACTCCTTTAGTTAGACGTTTGCCCAAGCGTGGTTTCTTTAACATGTAAGCATTTTCAAACAGTGAATGCAATAATATTGACTCTTTCTCTTAATAGCCATGGTAAAGATTATCAAGAATTAAACTTGGATCGTCTTCAACATTGGATCACCACTGGTCGTATCGACGCTTCTCAACCCATCACTATGAAGCATTTATTAGACAGCCGTTGTATACATAAAATTGAGGATGGTGTCAAGATTTTGAGTGTTGTAAGTCAAAAAAGAAAGAAAGAAAGAACAGACAAGGACATTTTGTTAAAGAATGCTTTATAATAGGGCGCTGATACTTTCAATGTTCCCATCACAATTGAAGTTTCAAGAGCATCACAAAAGGCTATTGAGGCCATCGAAAAGGCCGGCGGAAAAATCACCACTCGTTACTATAACGAAATTGCCTTGAGATCTGTCGTCCATCCCGAAAAGTTTGCACAAACTCCCAAATTCGCAGCACCATTACGAAAGGAGGATATCAGTAAGTTTTCTTTTTCTTTCTGAATGTTTCTTTCTGCTAACCATTTTTTTTTTCTCTTCTATTCATAGAATATTATTCCGATATCAAGAATAGAGGTTATTTGGCTCAACAAGAAGCATAGATTTATTCACACATATACTCACGCACACAATCACACTCTCTATCACAAAATCATACAACTAATATGGATAAATGAATAAAAAAATGTATATAAATACACGACTTTTTTTTTTTTTTACAAGTAGCAATTATATTTTATGACCTACGAAGAATACTACGTGTTACATGGATAGAGGTATATTATAAATGTAGCATAGACATAAAATGTAATTAGAACTGGCTGTTAGGAAAAAAAACAGAGGTTGAAGAACTTGGGTCGATAAGAATGAAATAAAGTAACATTATTGGGTTGAACATTAGTCCTTTTTTTTTTGTCTTTTGACAAGGTTAGTATTAATGCCCAAAGCCAGGAAATAGGAGGCAAGGATACCCTTTGGTTTGTTGCCGAGACGATCATTTGCTTTCTTAGCCTGTTGAAAGAATTACGCTATATTGCAATCCGTTAAAGAGATCTGAATCTTTATACCTTAAGTCGTGAAAAAATTGGATATAACTACTAAAATCAAACACAATTCATGCATATCATCAAAATAGGACGTCTGACTGAGCTCCATTATTAAATAAACGCATAAATAGTCTCCCTAATTAATTTACGGGCAACTTTTCCAATCGCTTCTGGAGTTGTTGGAAGAACACCAAGTTGTAGTTAGACATTCCAACGTACTGCTAACCAATACTAAAGACATTGGTTGATTCACATAGTTAATTTCACCTCTGAACGAAAATAAAAATTACGTAATTTAATTTGGTGCAAATGTAACAATTTCTTGTTGATAATTGAAGTCATCAAGTAAACATGATGGAAAACAGTTAAGACAACACGTGTATGTGTAACCAAAACGCATTTTGAACTGACATTAACCACAAATTAGATTATCTTTTGGGCGCGAGTTCAAGTGATGCAGCTAAAAGTGTCCTTAATTTCTCAACGATATCACAATACGCTAATCTCTCGGAATTCGTAGACCGTTCCGTAACCATATTTTCCCAATATTCTACATAGTTTATTTTTTTCAGAAATTGTGTCAAAGAGAGTGCATTTGTTAATAAAACGATAGTTAGTCACTAACAATAGCTCTTTTTATAAATTACATTTACTTTCTGTTAGTGGTTTCTTTTACTCAAACCCCCACCGCTAGAGAGGTCTCGCCCACCACAAGAAGATCTTTTTGAATAATCTTTCTGTAGTAATATGTGACACTCTTTATGTGATGTATGATAAAATTAGAGTACATTTTTCTTACATTGTCAATCTGAACCTTTGTCGCATAATATAGACTCAACGACGTTGAATATATAGAAACTGCACACGTTTTAAGCACCAACAAGATGCTCTCCCTAAAACTCCCTAGTGCATATATCCTTGTATTCAAATATATATATTTTTCATATGTGTTGATGAGACTATTTTAACCTGTTTCTGTATTCGGTTTTCAAGGTGTCAATAGAATTAATTAAAACCTGCATTTCGAAAATTCTTGATGCTGGCTTTACTCAACAAACCATTGTTCTATCTCTGTCTCTCTCCTGACTCCATATATTAGCTGTATCGACAACTTTAGTATTATCCTCGATCTGACTTGATCTTTGACGCTTTTTTTTTATAAATATAAATTTTATATGCTTTATACTGTTCTGATATTCTGTAAAGAATATGTACCTTAGGTTTCTTTAGTACATGATAACAAAAAACTTGTTTCCCCTTACTCTACAAGTAATGATCCTTTCAATCTTGTTAAATTCAAATACGAAAAAAAAAAAGTTAGATAAACTTATATGCTACCCTAAATTATTTGTTTGTCAAGTTCCTGATTTCCATTGATACTGTTGACAGCATAGATTACTAAAAGAATTATTATAATTATTATGTAAGCCCAATAATACAATACCTGCCTCATCCCCGTGTGTGGCTATCCGATTACAACCTTAACTAAATTAAGGGAGAATGACTATTCCTATGTTGAGGTATAAACTAGTTTTATAATGTAGGCAATGCTTACACACCGAATCGTGGCTGGGGCAGATGCAACTAAAAAAAATGTTGCAAACTACAATTATTTGACATCGTCCATAAATACCGCCAATAAACTAGTAGTACTAGGATATTCTGTATTACATACATATGATCCTTCGCTATAAAGGAGAAAAGTGTATATTGAGCTGTAGATCAAATCAAAGAAGTGCAAAAGACATTCTTTTTATTACTAAAAATAAACAATGTATTTTGTTTAAATAAGAGGTTGTTGTTACTTTTTCGGCGTTAGTTAGTGAGTGAGTGTTTACTTATAATTAAATAAGTTGTTCGTCTATACATTGAACAATAGCACAAACTAACAAACAGTAACTGAAGTTCTCCCACTAAATCGTACATTAATGTAACAGGTAACGCATACATCATTCTGGGGTAAGGGCGATACATTTACAAGTCGATCAAACAAGTTATTTTGTATTCATCTTGTCTGGTCTATACACATGACAATAAGTACTATCCATTTCTAATAAAGCAAAAAAAAACAGAGAATAACGGCTTTAACGAACGTTTTACAGCGGAAAGAGCATATTTGCAATCATCTATTCATTGGATTCAAGAAGCGAGATTAAGTCAAAGTCCAAAACTAGCGTCTGATATTCGTAACGCTATAATGGGCCGAGATAGTAGAGATACCATTGCACATACGCCAACAGTACAGGGCTCCAGAAGGGTCCAGAAAAAGAGAGTCTGAAGAAAAGGATTAAAGTGGGAAATACTAGTTGACAGCTCCCTTTAAAATGACATACAGCAGCCGAAAATTTGGCTCTTTTTTCTCCATATCATCCAGTTCAATCAAATCAACCCCTTGTTCATGACTTCGATAAAAATTTCCCAATAATAGACGTTTCTATCATATTTACTGCTCTGATGTACGCACTTTTAATGGCGGTAAACAATTTAGAAGAGTCTGGAGAAATCATTACATCTGCGATCGTGTAGTGTTATGGACGGGGTTTTCAACGTTGGCACCAATGGATTAGTAATTTCACCTGTCTGTAGAATTGATACATTAAAATATGCGCTCACAGCAGGTGGTATGGGGTTTACTGTCAGGTTTACCGATTGGTAATATGGACATAATTGGTACGGCATTATCTGCGCAATGGCAGCTCCAAACCCATAAGTTTTACTATGGTTTAGCTTAGCTACATAGCCAGGATTCTTAATCGATCTCTAGAAATCAGTAACCGTGTGTATGTCGACTTGGAGTGCTGTACTTCTCCTTCGATTAGTAAAAAGGGGAAAGGCGAAATTAAGTGAATGCGGTGACATCCTCCGTCGCCCATTTATTATATTGACTCTCTTATAGCGTTTTGTAAGCAATGAGAATAAGAATATGGGGCCAGATGCATGCGATACACAGGCATCGATTTGTCGATTCAAGGCCATCTCTCTAACCCCTTTATACCAATCACTGCGAAAAGAAAGTTACAATGACATTATAAAACATGGTACTCTTATGCTATCAGAACCCCCACTCAACGCAATTCTGTAACTGTTATTGATATGTAATCGCTTTTTTACCTTCGCCATCTATGCTGAGGCGTATACTCCATGCCACATTCTCACTGATTATTGGTGGTGAATCTAGCTGCTTTTGTTCAACGGTCATTAGTAAAAATTATAAGAGTTTGCTAATACTGTTGATAAGTGTAGTACGGTGATGGTGTTTTAGTTTTGAATGTATCATATACGCATCGTAAGCTTGTGTGAAACTCGCAAACATGCCTTGACCCTACAACAACACATGCTTTTTGTATGTTGTAGTGGTGTACGAATTGCGGCACATGTCTTGCTATGAACGACAGTTGAAAAAGGCATTAGGATCAGGACATTGAAGAGTCCAGAAGTGTAGAATGTTGCGTCGATGGCATTCATGAGTTCAAAACATATGATTGAACCGTTCGATCAGCATGGACTACTGAGGACATACCCGTCTGCAAGGAGATAAAGTAGGACCATAGGTGTGATAAGGATGGATACCAACAATTTTGTCAGAACTTTCTAATTGTGTTTCATGATATAAAAGAGAAAGAAAGGGAAGCTATGGCAATGTTAGTAGTCTGGAAAGACAATCCTGGATCGCACATGCTGCGTTGATTAGATTAATCGACATGCCTTTAGATTTTGACAAGCTGGAACCTAAATTTATCCAAGTCAGCAGGAGGAAGAGTTTAATTTTAGACAAAAACACTAACCTCTGGTTTATGTATTAGGGAGTAATTCGGCAAATAAAATATATATGGGATTTATTGTTACTGAAAACGTCATGGATTTTTCCGGGCCAAAAATTCTACTTTGTCCAAAGAATGGGTTTATCTTTTTGCCTCCACCTCCTTTTCGTGCCCTGCTTTTTTTTTTTTTTTTTTTTTTTTTTTTTTTTACTTGACAACCTTGACTGTCGGCACAAAAAAACGCAAGCGCACACACATACACACGCGCGCAGAAGAATTGAAACTTTGCAAATGAAAATCTAGTTGTGTGTAACTTACTGTTCAATAATAAAAAAAAAATTAAACTTGCCCTTTTTTTTTTTTCTTTTTTTTTCCCTTTTTATTCTTATTTTTATTTCATTATCAATGGCAGGGAGAGAAATTGTTTACACAGTTCATAAATTCGAAGCAGAAAATATTGACGAAATTTCTATTAATGTGGGAGAACAAGTCATTGTGTTGGAGAAGGATGAAGGTTACAATGACGGTTGGTGGCAGGTATAATAACAATAACAACGAAACAACAAATAAGGAGTTTCCACTGTCTAATAACACAAAAAATACAGGGTCGTAATATAAGAGGCGAGACAGGTTTATTTCCAATTAGCTACACCGTAAAGCAACCACCACGTACCTTACTTGACAAGATTGATTCTGTCGAAAGCAGCATATCCAAAATCAAGCCCAGTCAGCAGAAATCTTTTGCGGTAGACTCACCAGTAAATGAATGGACATCAGAACAAGTTGCAGCCTGGCTCATTCACGCTGGATTCGATAAAGAACTAGCAGAAAATTTTAAAGGTAAAATTACCATTGATTATGATTTAGTCTCTCTCTTAATAAAAAAAATTTTAGATCAGGAAATAAGCGGAGACATTTTATTAGAATTGACGCTGGATTCGTTGAAAGAGCTTTCAGTGACAACATTTGGTAAACGCTTCAAAATACACAGTGCCATTAATGTGTTACGTCAAGAATCAAAAAAACAACAAGTAAATAATGAAAACATCAAAGAGGCGATTTCATTATTAATATTTGCTTTTTTTTTATTAGTATGCTGAAGCACGGGTTCAATCACCTATTCCAGAAAACCCTATCTCGGTCATTTACAACAGTAATAAGCAAACTTCCTATGTTGACGATGATTTAGTATCCGATTATAGCACCGTCATTCGAAACTCCAAATTGCCTTCTCAAAAGTTGTTAGCAAGGCCATCCATTCCATTAGATATGGACCTTATTGCTTCATCGCCTCGATTATCCACCTTGGTAGAACGTCAGGGTTCGATCAGTAACACACACACCGATAAACCTGTGCGACCGCCACAACAACAGCAGCATCAACCACCGCAAAAACAACAGTTCAACCTTCAACAGTTCAATCAGCAACAACAGCAGTATAACCAACAACAGCAACAACAGCAACAACAACAGCAACAACAGCAACAGCAACAACAGCAACAGCAGCAGCAGCAGCAGCAGCGACAAAAGATGAATCCACCCCAACGTCCTACTTCTCATCAATACCCTCCTCCTCCCACCATGAGCACTTCATCCGAATGGAAACGTAACACAATGAATAATATGAAATCACAAGAGGTAACCTTCAAAAAAAAGTTTAGGCTACTTTTCTTATATATTAATAATGTTTGTGTATATATTAAGATGGAGGAACCTAGATCTTCTACATCCAGCCGATATAGCTTTATGCGGAGCTCGTTGCTACCAAACAATAACAAACTCCAGTCCGTGATACCCTCAGCGACTATGGTACGACGTTCCGAAGATGTGGTTTCTTTAGCCGAAGTATCCGTATCGCCGGATATGGAAGGCTGGTTGTATAAACAAGGTGATAAATATAAGACTTGGAATAAACGATGGTTTGTGCTGAAGTCCAACAATCTATTCTATTTTAAAAGCCCAAAGGTTCGTGTGTGCGTGTGTAACCCTACGGACAACAAAAAAAAATTAATTTAATTTAATTATTATCATAGGCTGTGCGCATGAAGGGAATTATCAATTTAAAGGGTTATCGTATTGAAGTGGACGAATCTATTCATCCAGGAAAATATTGCTTCAAGGCACATCATGGAAAGGAACGTACGTTTTATTTTTTTACCGAACATGAAAAAGCCATGAAAGATTGGTTAAAAGCCCTTATGAAGGCCACTATTGCACGCGATTTTGCTAGTAAGTCACTTAACAGAAGTATTTTCTTAAACTAAACACACTTTGTATTTAGCTCCAGTTATGTCGTCTAGTACCATCCCTACCATTTCATTAGAAATGGCTCGTAAAATGAGACCTCGACCTCCTTCCACCTTATTTAATTTCAAAGACACCAGTCGATCACCTACCCCTAATTATCGTATCCAGAACAACTTGGATCAGCAGTTCTCTAATATGGCTCTAGAAGACGGATCATCCCGAGCACCTTCATCTATGAGCACACGACTCAAAGATTCAGGTTTTAATAGCTCACACGGCGCGAATCTCAGTCGATCCATCACAGAAAGTAGCGGCAGTTCCACTCGTAAAAGTCAACATGCTCCATCCACCATTGCCAGTCCTAGCAGTAGGATATTTTATCCCGATGAAGAAGATGAGGATTTGATTGACCCTGAACATATGAGTGTGATTGAAGTGAATCGATATGGTGGAGATTTATACCCGCATGAGGAAGAAGAAGTGGATGTGGACCATGCTGCGACAAGTATGCTAAAGAAACAACAGCGGTATTTGGATTGGATTAATAGCAATGTTCAGATATCACATCATGTGCAGAGAATTACGGATCTGTGTACTGGTGAGACATTATTAGACTTGTTGGAAAGTTTGAGCGGTAAAGAAATTATGCGACCAATCGCAAACCCTTCACAATCATCCAATGTCCAAAGTATGGATCGTATCATTGCAGCATTCAAGTTCATGACGGTAGAAGGCGTTGAATTTGACGGTGCATGTACTGTGCGAGGTAAGACATATGTAATGAATAGATGCATTTTTTCTTTTTTTTTACTGATAAGACAACAAATAGACATTTTAAACGGAAATGGAGATAAAACCATGTATATGTTAGACTCGATTAAATATTGGAGCCAGAATAACCCGGTCGTGAATGGCAAAAAGATGGCCAGTGGAGGTACATTCGGTGAAGACGAACAATCAAAATTAAGAGAATTAGAAGAAGAATGTGAGAATATTCTTCCACCCAACACATTTGCATCCCGTTAAATTATTCCCCTTGCCATTCTTGTTACACTTATTATTTACACATTTATTTACTATTTATTAATTTTGCACGCTCTATATTGAAAATAAAATTATGATGGAGCAGCATCCTTGACAGGTGTTAGACATGGAGCCTGAAAAATTTTACCCGTAAAAGCACCTTGTATAGTTAAACCTGGCACTGCTAACAAAGTACCACCAAACAGCATGTAAAGATAGCCCCAATCACCCGAAAGAACATAGAATATATCACATCTCCAGTAGACAATGTACCTGCTATATACACGCCCAGTGGGAAGGTAAGACTCCACCAACCCATACTAAATAGGATCTTGTCATACATTGTGGTTCTGATGACGGAAAATACAGCTACCGCAAGGTACCAAGAAACCTAGACCACAAGCTGTATCGCCCAATCCCGTAATATATTTGTTTATTTTTCCAAAACAAAATGTGGCAAACATTAATGTTTATCATTGGTTAAGTTGATTTGCATAAAACAAATGCTCCACGTTGAATAATCTATTTTAGGGTTTGGCCATATGAAACTTTGTAACTCGCCCTCTTTTTATTTAAAAAGAGGGGAAGAGGGTTATATTTTCTCTTTCAAAACATTTTAGCTTAATGATATGATTTTATCACAGCACATTATCAGTATTGAAAAATAATTTAGTTTGTTCTTTACTATAGTCTGATTTAGTCTTTTTTTATATAAGCCTGGTTTCATTTAAATATATATATATATCACTACAATAATTGTACGAAAAACTTTCTTATAAACCAGCACTGAATAGTCTTACCGTTTGCATTTTACTATACTCGTTCGAAGACACTTATATCTGATTCGTCGTAGCATTGCCCTTTTATATCTTTATATTTTATTTATCTTAATTGACAACGTATAGTCTGGTGCTCACTCTTTAAAAGCTTTTATTTTACTCTTTATCTTTATTTCACGTTACTGCTTTTCACTTTAACAAGCCAGCAACACCATCTGTCTTCTTTTTTTTTTTTTTACAAGTTTATATATGATGATCTGCCACAATTATCAATAAATTATTATCATAAAATTAATATCAGGTAAACTCTCTTGCGGTAATCTGTTATAGTAATGCTACAAGGAATAAATCAAGTATGATCTAATGATCATTTACACAAATATATAATTAGTATTATGTATAATAAATATGACATATTTATTTATCGTAAGGTTACAATAATAAGATTGTAACGCTGTCTTGTATAAATATAAATTTGAAGATAAAGGCTCTTAAGATGTAAAAACCAAACTGTATAATTGAGAACTAAAAAGAAAATGTATCTATTGAAGAGGCTATATTATACGACGAGATCAGATAAGAGTGGCATAAAGCCACTGGTGTATCACAAAACTGTCTCACAGCTACTCTAATGTAAATATGGAACATATAAAAATCACCGATACAGCAAATACGAATCACCGAATTAACAAACATGAACATATAATATATATAAAAGAGCAAATTAAGCATTTAATAATGGATTATCTTAAATTAGATTGAAATTATTGTCTCTTAGACATCGGATTTTACAGCCACAACTTCAAACTTTGGATATTAAGTTTGATGATAGCAACATCTATCGCTGAATAAACATAAGTCTAGATCATGTAGATGGAAAAAAGAAAAAGGAGGTAATTTGGTTGTTCTTAACAAGATATCCTATTACATCAAATATGGGTGGATCCAAGTTATAAGCAAATGGTGATACTAGTTATCTGAGTTCAAAACTTTATGAATTACGTTTTTGGAAAAAACTATAATTCCCAACCAATCAAAATTGAACAGGGTGTGTATAGGGTCACGTGATTTTACGTTTTTATGTTTGGGGATATATTTTATTACAATTTTTTATATCATCTGCTCGCTTAGCTCAGTTGGTTAGAGCGTGGTGCTAATAACGCCAAGGTCAACAGTTCGACCCTGTTAGTGAGCATTTCTTTTGCGAATTCTGCGTTTTTTTTTTTTTTTTTTTTGCTAGTTCCTGATTGGTTAGACGCTCACGTGAAAAGTTGTCGTACAAGAGCCCAATATAGAAATGTCCGTAGGTCTGTCAAAAGAGGTTTCAAATTTTGTAAACCAGAATTACATTTTTTCCCATATTTTTTTTTTTCTTTTTCTTTTCCTCAATTTTTTCTAAAAAATAATTTGCTGGATTAAATGCCGTCAACTTCAATACCGCCGTTAGTTCGAACTACCTCGGTGAAAGCAAAATGTGAGCTCAATAAAAAAAACATGCTTAAAGTTAGACTAAAGTATCCCTGTAGATGTTCTTGGTATCTGTGCCATGGATAGAAAAGCAAGATCAAAACCTATGCGCTGTATATTAGATAAAATGCTTGCGTACGGAGATTTTGAAGTGGTAATATTTGGTGACAAGACAATCATTGACGAAGGTATGACAATTTCTTCAAAAATGGGAATATGTTCATTCATAATTTTTTAGCCGTTGAAAATTGGCCTGGGTGTGATTATTTGATTTGCTTTTTTTCTGATGGATTTCCTTTGGATAAAGCAATTCAATATGTTAAACTTCGTAGCCCTTTTTGTGTCAATGACGTATGTATGCAGTCTTTATTATGGGACCGTCGTATAGTACTTGCCGTTTTGGATGCTGTAGGCGTACCTACTCCCCCTCGTCTAGTCATATCGCGTGATGGTGGCGCAAAAGTAGATCCTGATGCAGCTCAGTCATTTCATGAACATTCTGGCATGGATATCAATCGCGTGTTAGGAAAATATAGTCAAAACACTAAAAACTATAAAGTCACTGATGAAGGTGTAGAAGTTGACGGAGCCTTTTTGTCGAAGACTTTTTTGGAAAAACCTGTAGATAGCGAAAACCATAACATTAATATATACTACGATACTGAAAATGGTGGAGGTGGAAGACGGTTATTTAGAAAGGTATTTGTCGGATTTCATTTATTGGGCTTAAATGTAGTAATCTGTATTCGAATATAAGGTTGGTAACAAGTCAAGTGAGTTTGATCCGAATCTTAATCTGCCTGCTACCGAAGGATCATGGATCTATGAGCAAATGATGGTAACAGAAAATAGCGAGGACGTCAAAGTATATACTGTAGGCTCACAGTTTGTTCACGCTGAAACAAGAAAGTATGTGTGTCATGTATGTTTAAACGTATATTGACTGTTTACATACTTTAGATCACCCACAGTCGACGGTTTGGTAAAGCGTAACACTGAAGGAAAAGAGATTCGGTATGTCACAGAATTGACACCTGATGAAAAGGTAATTGCAGCTAAAGTTTCAAAGGCTTTTGGCCAAATGATTTGTGGACTTGATCTATTGAGAGTCAAAGGAAAGTCATATGTTATCGATGTAAATGGATGGAGTTTTGTGAAGGGAAATGAACATTACTATGACCAATGCGCCAAACTCTTAAGCGAATCATTCTTACGGTCTGTTCAACGACGACCTTCTACCACCCTCCATGATATTCCTCGTGAAATTTTGCCCGAAAATTCTTGGAGACTAAAAGGTTTTGCTGCAGTATTTCGTCATGGTGACCGTACACCAAAAAACAAACACAAAATTTCATTGGTTTCACAGCCTTTTATCGATCTTTTAGAAGGAAGCACGCAAGAAGTTGTATTTCGTCAAAAGCACCAATTGCAACTAGTCACTAATGCTATCAACAAATGTCTCGAACAGAATTTGGAAGATGAAAGTAAATTAATGGCAATGAAGGAAATCCTAGAAAAAAAGAGCGAATTGCCTGGCACCAAAGTCCAAGTGAAGCCTATATTTGATAAAGATTTAAATACCTTGAGGAAATTACAAGTGAACATCAAATGGGGTGGTGAAGTACGTGTTACGTTGAACTTGATGGCTGTTAAAATCTTCTCACCAACATTTATTTAGTTTACTCATGCAGGTTTGCACCAATCTCGCGATTTAGGCGAGAATTTGCGAAAAGATATGAAGATTCTGAACAAACATGTCACTGATGACATTAAAATCTGGAGTAGTTCCGAACGCAGGGTGCGTGCGACAGGTATAATTTCAGATAAAGAAAGCCGAGGGTACTTAATAACACATCTTCTTATTTCTTTTCAGCGGACGTGTTCACTCGTTATTTTCTGGGTCGGCCTGAATCAATCGACGGAGTAATATCCGAAAGCAAGTACTTGTTAGACGATAGTAATGCTGCTAAAGAGCAAATGGACGCTGTGAAGAAGCAGCTCAAGGCATTGCTTAGACCCGGGTATGAAATCCCTTCCGTGTTATTAGCACAATGTGGATGGCCTGCAAGCATGGCCCAACCTCATGTCGTCCTTCAAGAAGTATCTTCCATTATGGCACGTTTAAGAGATGTCATGCGGTTAAACTGGGCTACAAAAGACGTAGATCAATTGCAGCGTCGTTGGTGTTGCTTCGAATCACCAAATTTGTTTAAAGAACGTTGGGAAAAGATGTTCAATAATTTCTGTATTACACAAGTAAGTGACAGTGATGATTCTGATATGAAAAAGGAAGCATCTTGCCCTGATCCTTCCGGCATCCCTGAATTATATGATTCCTTGAAGTATGACGCTTTGCACAACCGACAATTCTTAGAGGCTATATTTAATGATCCTGAGTCACCATCTTCCCCTTCTCCTTCCGAAAGCAGTAGTAGTGGTTCAGACTGTGGAAGCTATCGTCCCGCCGATCTTTCGGAAACGTGTAGTGCTGATCTCCGCAATTTATACGCTTATGTTAGAGTTCTGTTTAATTTTGTCGCTCCACAAGAATATGGTATCAGTGAGAAAGAAAAGAAGACTATTGGTATGCTGATTGGGTTACCCTTATTGAAAAGTATTTTGAACGATATGGAGGATTTTAAAGAATCTGAAAAACCAAAAACAAGACTTTATTTCACAAAAGGTATGTGTACAACTCACAAGCATTGTAACAGTCAAATGTAATCATTATTACATATATAGAATCACACGTCCATGCTCTCCTGAACTTGGTGTATCTATCTGGTTTACCTACTAAATTTCCCCGTCCCATTTTGCCTGAATTAGATTGTAAGTTTATTAGTATTAAGTGTCAGGTCAATTAAACTAACAACTTAATATTTCGCTTCAAAGTCTTGACTCAAATTACATTTGAATTATATGAGCGTAATAGGCATAACGGATCTGATAAGGAATATTCACTTCGTATCGCTTTTAGTCCGGGTGCGCATTATGACAGTGTATTAGATTTACATATGGATGCCGAACATTGTTTAAAGGTGGCTCCTAGAAAGTAAGTAATTTGACACATTTAGCAAAAATCGATCTAATATAGAAAATCAAGGAACTTGATCCCTCATTTATCTTTGGATGAGGTTCTGCAGTATTATAAAACCTCGTATCTAAGAATTCCCGAGTTGGCGACCATTGAACGCCAAATTGATGAGCGAAAATTATATTACGCACAAGAAGATAACCAATAATGTATAAATAAAACCCCACAAAATCTACTATGTACATTTCGATCAACAACCCACGCAAACTCTGATCTACTTGGCAACTCTATGCATATATCTTTAAATAAATACTACTTGCGAACGCACGAATAACTTCGAAATCTGAATAAATGATTGTTGTATATGTTTTATTGGTGTATAAACGATCGCAACAGAAATGAGTAGCCGAAATAGAAAAACTTAACGGTTGGCTATAAAAATTTAAGTTAATACATGTTAAAAAATAAAGGGATTTGATGAACTTACACTTGGCAACACGCTCAAGTTCGTCCTTCTTCTTGATGGCATAAGAGTTAGCAGAACCCTTAGCAGCATTGATCAATTCATCAGCGAGACATTCAGCAACAGTCTTAACGTTACGGAAAGCAGACTCACGACAACCGGTGGTCAACAAGGAGATAGCTTGGTTGACACGACGGAGGGGAGAGACATCAACAGCTTGACGACGGACGGTACCTTGAGAACCAATACGGGTGGAATCTTCACGGGGACCACAGTTGATGATGGAATCAACGAGGATTTGGAGAGGGTTGGCATCGGTCAAAAGATGAACAATCTCGAAAGCATGTTGAACAATACGGGCAGCCATGAGCTTCTTACCGTTGTTACGACCGGTCATCATGAGAGCGTTGGTTAAACGTTCAACAATGGGACACTATACACTTTTTAGTAACGGCGAATTTTTAAAGATCGATAAATCGAAACTTACTTGAGCCTTACGGAAACGCTTGACGGCGAAACGACCAGCAGTGTGGGGCAAATACACTTGTTGACGGATTTGGATATAATCTTGGAGAGAGATATCCTTGACCTCAACATCGTCATAAGACCACTTGTTGAAAAGCTTACGGGTGCCATCAGCGGTAGCCAAGACGTCGGCGGGTAAATTCAAAGCAACCATGCTAGTCTACTGTAATCCACATTCGGTAAAAAGAAATGTAAAATCAAAAAAAAAAAAAAAAAAAAAAAAAAATCCATCCAATTGATAAGTAATGGTATAAAATAAAGAGTTTGTTTATATGAGAATTGATGTATTTATGAGTCTATCATGTCATGATCATTACCTGTGTCGATAAGAAAGAAGGTTTGTATGCAATGGTTGTGTAAAGTATACTTAAAGAGGTATGCCGGACTTGGTCAATATGTCCGGCCATTAGGCTCTAAGCATTGCCGCACCTGCTTACCGGAACGCTAAGATATGTTCTGCACTGCCAAAGATCAGTTATATCCTATGTTTTAGGCTCATAGTTTCCACGCTCAAATAATTAATTAGCTCTTACTCAAATGTAAAACTTTTGTAGAATGTATAATAAATTCTATTTGTCTTCAGATATGGTAACAGTAAAAATATCTTCCGGAATACCATTCGTTCTTTCTCGTTTTTTTGGGAACGAGCCCCATTTGTTCCAATAGTTTGGAACATCTCCGTAAACAACGAGTGCTTCGGATTTGAATCGTTAACAGTGGGCTATGTTTATCAAATGTGTTTGATCCAAAGACAATTTTTCATGTCCTAAAAGACTTCAGGCAAGTAAAACTAATAATGACGCCTTCGATGTTAGCTTTTGTACTGTTATTTACAGCAGCTAAAAGTTTAAATACATCTCACAAATACTTCTAACTATATGATTACGGTGGTGTTTGTGTGATCATTATGCTATCCTTGTTGATGTACTTGCTCCGAAATAAGACAATTAATTGAATAAATATCAAACAAGATGTAATTATGAGTACTTCAATGTTCTGAGACGGATCTTTTTTCAGTCATTTTATTCAATTTTACTTGGGTTGTTCTATTCGGTCAAGTAGTTCAAACTCTAAGGTACATAGTTTGTTTTCAAGTGATGTGAAGATTGTTGAGGATATCATAGACAATAATAAAGTTAATTGTCACATCACAATAAGGATGGATAATAAATATAAAAGTTAATCATGGATCACACATTACCCCGCTTGTTCTCATCCTACCGTTGGAGTCTGTACACAGGGCAAAAGCAATACAATCGAATGGGCCTGGACTATAGAATATTAATAGATCCTGAGCACAAATATTACTCTTGTCATTTGATGTTATAACTGTTGATCCCTCTGACTAATATTTATATATTCAGTATAGGAGGGCTAAATTCAAAGACATGTTGATTATTTACTATCACCAGATTATTACATCATGATCCAATAAGGCGCTTACTATTCTCCCTAGAACTATCCCAGTTCTTTATATAAATATCCATAGTTTTTTCTCATAGACCATGAATACAATTGGAATAAATTTTTAATACGTTTTTTAATTATATTTTTTCGTCCATAATAAAGTGGTATCCAAGTTCTAACAGTATTACTTTTGGTTTAATTTTTATTTTGTTCTCCATGCAAAACAAAGATAGCAAACTATGATTATCTAATCACTTATTAGCCAATCATATTTGCGAAGCGTGATTTTCACGTGATTTATGATGACGTCATTTTTATATTAGTTTTTATTTTATTTATTTTATTTAAACTTAACAGCCACTAAGGAAAGATGGCCGAGCTGGTCTAAGGCGTCACGTTAAGGTCGTGATCTCTTCGGAGGCGTGGGTTCAAATCCCACTCTTTTCACTTTTATTATTCTCTCTAATAAATGTAGTGTGTGTAGATACAATGATAGCTGCTTTAAACAAAACGATTATTCTTTTTTTATTCAAATTTATCCTCGTAAATGTGGTTATTTTATAAAATACAGGCACAATCAGTTGTTCGTCTAGTCTGAAATAGAAAGCTAGGGACTTTTTTGTATTTACATTAAGCAAAAGACTATAAACATAATTTTTTTATTTTTTATCATAGAATTTTAACAGCGTCAATCAAGGTACCAGTCGGCTCCTTCATGCATCCGGGAAAAAACTCTAACAAGGCCTGAAATACATTGGTACGATCCAAAAAATTATCATCTAAGCTAGAACAAATTAGCTAATAAGCTCAAGACAGTCTTGTGTTTTTTGTTTTGGTTTGGTTTTACCTTTGATTGATTGGGAAGAGTACGTAACTGATTTAGTATCATTATTATCTTGTGATATACATAACTCCATGCACAGCTGCTTAAAATGTTCAATTTCTTCCTTATTTTCATAATTGACTAACGGTGTGACACGGCGCTTTAAGTATTCTAAGGCATTCTGCGTATCTTTATTGATATCATGTTGGTCATATTTCTGGCACCGTTGTTTACATAACTCGTGCAACTTTTGAGCCCTTAGAAGATATTGGCAACGGCGTACAACTTGATTTGTATCTGGTCTAATAGTAATTGAGTAAAAAAAAAAGGGAGCATAACTAAAATGAGCTTACTTTGTCAGTTTAAGCATCCAGAAATCATCAAGTCGTCTATGGACATTTGTTCGATCACCTGGATGTCCACCAAAGATAAAATATGTCTTTGATTTTGGGCTATAGACCATTTGGTGACTATATCTAGGATACGGCTCTTTGTGATTGACTTTGCTCCAGTAAGCTGCGTCCTGATTATCGTTTTCAAATACCTTCTCCCACGTGTTATGATTAATACTATAAACCCAGAAGCAATTATATACAACATCTGCGGGTCTGTTTTGGAAGAGCCCAAAGTATATATACAGTTCCTGCGTCTCAACATCAATAGCAGCACGCTGAGTATAACCTAATTCAGGACCGATGATTTTCGAAAAATCTTGTGTGATGGTGATCAGTTTGTCTTGTTGAATTAAATAACATTGCAAATCGTTAAGACATTCTTTGGATCGTTGACCCCTAAATATATAAATCTTCTGATTTTTAGAGTCTAGTAACATGGAATGTCCTGCGCGGGATTTAATGGTGAGCGAAGAGTTGGGCGAACATACAAAGGATACTCCGGTGGAATTTGCAGATAGAAAGAAATTCGGGGGAGTTGCTGGTGGCGCAAGTGGCGCTTGAATATAGTTGGTATCGTATCTATAAAATATATGGTTGGGAACTTGCATGATTTACTTGGGTGGGCGTAGTTTTTTACCTTAAAATTTTCCACTTACACTGATCCAAATCGAAAGAATAAAATCCGCCGTAAGTCGCAGGAACGGGATCAGGTGTAAGAACAAGGCCACCAAATACAAATAACTTTCTACTGATGGGATCCACACACATTTCATGATAGTACAATAGAGGAGGACCGCCATCTAACTGGAGTAGTTTGAGAAAACAGAAAATATGCCAGAGATTTTTATTTACATACCAGAGTATTGTCACTAATTTTAACCCATCTATCCAACTCGATAAAATATTGAAAGAATTCAGACTCAAATGAAGCAGGATCCGGGGAAGGTGATAGTTGATATTCTTTGAATCTACCGAGAACATAAATTGATTTTCTTGTGGGATCATAACACATGGTATGGCAGGATCTAGGAGAAGGCCCACCTTGTCTGTATGGTATAGAAATGATGAGCTGTGAATAGTGCGTTTTTGATATCTTTGCATAAATTTCACTTTACGAGGTTGTATCGGAGCTCAGAAGTTTCCAACAATTATCTTTGATGTGGTAACACCAGAAATCCGCTAATTCTACTTTACCATCCCATCCACCGAATAAATAAATTTTTTCACGCTCAGGGTCTATGCATAGCTGATGCCCACCTCTTGCACATGGTGCATTTCCCTCTAAAAATATAGAAACCTAATTGAATATTCCCTTTTCACATACAAAACTTTATACTTTTACCGTCATTAAAAGCATCCAGCTTTTTCCAATCCGGTTTAAATGATGAATCCTTTACAAATGGGTGAAAAATAGCTTTTTTGTCTGCATCCAGAATAACTTGTTCTGCCTGATCAAAATCCCCATTAATAACAAGAGATTTATGTAATTTTCCAACCATAGGATGTTCAATTTCAATGCCTGTCTTCGATTTCAATGTTTCATATACATCCATCATATTTTTCTGTCTAAAATGTTTTAAACACATGCGAATAGTTTCCCTTTCTTTGTGCTATAAAAACAGTTACACGGTTATACCCAAAAAAATGATATTAATTAGGCACTTACTTGTATAAATGCACTGTAGACTTGTGACATTATTTCTGGATCCTGAACTCCCTTCACCTGCACGTACCATATACTATAATTAAATTTGACACCAAAAGTGGCCAATGGCACAATTTTTATATATTGGATTGGAAATACCTAGAGCGATATTTTAAAATTTGTCGAGAGGCGAAAGAGCACATAAAAAAATGTATTACCAAATCATTAAATGTGTATCTTATGGGAAACGTTTCAGGCTTATTATCATCAGTTAAACCTAACAAGATAGCTTATAAATACACAATACGAGTGAATACATTTTTGTATTACCTTTATGTAACAACTCATTCATCTCAAGTGGATCCATACCACCGTAAATCTTAAACTCTTTTAGGTTACATACATGACCTGAAAAAAAAAAATTATGAATAAATAAAATAAAAAAATATAGGTGTATCAGCTCTACTTTACTGCGATGAAACTTTCCAAACAAGATATCACCTTTAAAACAAATAAATCAGTTGATATGTCATTGAAAAAGAGTGCATTTATCTTACAAGCTACAGAAGGATTGTCAAGCTTAAGAGTAATGAATTGGGATTGGTCATGAGAACCAGAAGACCAACGCGAAGATTGTTCAGTTGGATCGTCGATGCATATATTACGAGAATGGTAAGATCCTGATTGAGAAGACTGGTCATATATAGTGTAAGAAAGTGGTTTATGTTCTACTTCTGCAATGCGAGAAAGTAGGGAATTCATAATGAATATAAGAAAAAGGAACAGCAAGGTGTGCCCGTTTAATGACAACTAAGAATAAATCCTTGCAGTCAGCGGAGAAAAATTAAGCCAAACAAACAAGTGGTTTTTTTTTTACCAAGGGATCGGGCCAACGTCTACGTGTGCACTGATGGATATCGGTTAATAGCAAGTTATCTTATGAAATTTACAACTGTATGTAATATATAGTAGTATATCTTATCAAGTCATTGATATATTGTGAAGCAGCCCATGCGATGTAAAAAGAGAAAATGCGCATGGAGTGACACAACGGTCTCAATTTTTTGCGAAAAGGCAACTTAAATTACCACAAAAAGCAGCAACTACTTTTGCAAGAACAATCATTAAAAGTATAAACGACACCTGCCTCCGAACTAGAGAATAACTTCCACTCTTTCTTAACCGTGCACAGAGGCTAAGTGTTTGAGTTATATAGTTTACTGCCGGTATACGACAGACACTGTAAAAAGGTGGGAGTACGACATCAAACAAAACAAGGCTTATGCATGCCCAATGCCTTCGCACATCGAATTCCAACCGTGACGCGACGAGCATTGAATTAAAGGATAAGTCTTTATTAAATTCATAATTACCAATCCCATCCCCCGAGGATCCTTATTGCAAAGTAGAATATGCAAGTATAGAAGATCTTGCATTCGTTCTTTTGTGCTAAGGACATTCGGTTTCCCCACAATAGTTTCTAAAGTCTTTGACTAGAAAGCCTACATCGGTATCCTCAAAATACAAATTGTTGAGACCAAAAAATGCGCGTCAACAGACATATGATACAATACGAGTTTATACCATCTGAATACTACAATTATGGTCTTTCCTGCCGGCAGAGGTGATGACGATATCAGCCTTACTAAAATTTAATATGCATTTTACAATTGATGATTGTTGCCGAAATATTGAAAACCTGTACTGCTCACAAAAAAAATTGGATGAATGTGCTTTTCCTCCCACAACAAGATATGTACTTTGCCAAAACTATTTATTATAAATATTTATACTTGCCTCAATACAAGCGCTTTGACACTATATCATTATACTTAAGCTATTTTCTTAATTTTTTGATCCGTTTATAAAAGACATCTCTTTTTGTATCAGCAGCAAACAGCCAGAAAGCCATAGCGTACGGTCTTAACCATAAAATACAGATGATATTCCTTCAAGAAGCCTAAAATGCTAAGCAGATAAATGACCAAATATCTGTGTTATTTCAAAGGTTAGTGATCCAAAAAAAGTCTGAATTTAAAATAACTGCGATTTTGGTTTGTCGAACGTGGGTGTTTTCTTTTCTTTTCGTTTCCCCTTTCTTTTCTCTTTTATTTTATTTCCCCTTCCAATGCCACTCGATGAACAAATAGCAGAACCACGCAGAAAACGTGCAAAGATAGTCAGTGCATGTGGCGAATGCCGACGAAAGAAAACTAAGTGCAATGGAGAACAACCTTGCCGAAATTGTGAAAAATCGGGAGTTCCTTGCATCTACCCTTCTTGTTCTAATGAAGATAAACGAAATGCTCCCAGTAAAGCAGCCCTGGAGGCTATAGAAGAGCGTTTAAAGACTATCGAAGACATGTTACGAACAATAATAAAAGCACAAAACGTACATTCAATTAATATGGATCCCGTCGTTAATAATTTCCTACATGGCGAATCCAAATCTTGTTCACCACCACCAGCATTACCAGCATCGGCACCACCACCAGCAGCAGCAACAGCACCGCCACCAGTATTACCACCTACTTCACCTAGTCAGCAGAACCGTTTACCTTCTATTCGGAGCCTCTCCACCCCTTTTACTACCGAACAAAGATGGTAAATATCCTTGAAAATTGATGAAGTTTTTTGAAATAAAAAAGAAGAGGGAGTTTATTATTTATTTATACACAAGGTTCATTACTCCCTTTAATTGTATAACAAAGTTATAAACATCCTTGTAAGTATTATAGAGAGGGGTAGGAGCTACACGAATAACAGTAGGTTTACGTTCATCTACAATAACGCCTCGAGAATGAAGACCGTCAAACACTTGCATCATCTTGAGGGGGAATTCCAAAGAGAGTTGGCATCCACGTTGTTGAGGGTCTTTTGGTGTTAGAATACGTATAAGATCTTTATCAAACTCATCTTGCAATTGAGACTGAATTAACTTTTCGAGATAACCAGTTAAAGAAATTGATTTTAAACGTAATTCTTTAAGCGTAGCAGATTCAAATATCTGCAGCGAACCTAACAACGAAATAGTCGTGAAAATACTAGGGTTACTTAATTGATATCCAGAAGCTCCTTCACTTGCTTGGAATTCTGGTAACATATCAAATCGGTTTTCTTTCTTGTTACCCCACCAACCAGCTAATCTAGGTCGAGTTGTATCATCTTTATATTTTTCATGAATGAATAATCCGGCAATACCACCTGCACCCGAGTTGAGATATTTGTATGAACACCAGCAGGCGAAATCAACATCCCAATCATGTAGAGAAAGTGGTACATTTCCCACCGCATGTGCAAGATCCCATCCTACTATACATCCTGCGTCTTTGCCTGCCTTTGTAATTTTTTCAATCTCAAAGAACTGGCCTGTATAATATTGCACTCCCGAAAGCATCACTACGGCAATTTCTTTATCTTTCTGAATAAGGTCAATAACATCACATGTTCGTAACACATGTTCTCCTTGTCTAGGTGAAATAGTTAAAAGACCGACAGCAGGATCAATACCGCGTGATTCAAGGTGAGAAGAAACTGCATACTATTTTATAAAAGCGTGAGAAAAAAAAATCAACTCAAACCAGAAGTTTACTGTACATGATCAGAAGGAAAAGCCTTGTTTTCAATCAGGATTTTAAATCGACTTTCTGTGGGTCTAAAAAATGTTACAAGCATCGAATGAAGATTAGATGTCAACGTATTCATTGCAGTCACTTCGACTGGTTTGGCACCTAAAAAAAAAAAAAAAAAAAGACTCATTGTTTACAACTTGTTTTGGTTGTCATTTATCTCTTTTTACCAACAAGGTTTGCGAGTGGAGACTTTACCAACTCATCAATGGTAGCCCAAGGTCTGTTGTAAGGATGATTCCAGTGTCCTTCTACACCACGTCTACCCCATGCATCTAGTTCTTGATTAATCAGCTCACGAGAGCGCTTAGGCATTAAACCCAACGAATTTCCACACAAATAAGTACAAGGTTCATCTTAAAAAAGTTGTTAGTTTAACGCACATCAACAAAAAGGGGAACCACTCACCAGAATCTCCGTTGGATATGTCACGGAGCGTAGGAATCACAAATTCATCTCGATACTTTCTCAATGCGTCCTGATTATCTAAACTCTCAGCATATTCTACGCTTGTAAATGTCATGATTTTTGTTTGAAGAGAAAGAGAAAGGTGCGAAAAAAAAAAAAATCACAAAAAATTAAGATGGAAACAGATTCTGAGATTCAAAAGCCTGTACGGCGGTCATTTTTTCTAGATGGCTTAAAACTGTCATTTAGACTGCACAAATGTAAAATACTAAATGTGAAGCCTGAAGATGGTAATATTAGCTTAAAAAGTACTGTATTTTTAAAAGTTATTTACAGTATAAAATAAATGTCATGTATTCTATATCCATTTGACTACAAAAAACAAAGCAATAGTCTCTTAATTCCAGTCAGTCAATTCAGATCAATATTTGTTTGTAACGATGCTTTGCTTTTCTCAAATAATATTTAAAAAAGAAGCAACAATGTTTCTAATCAGATTTCTACTGATGATAGAAAACGTTTCGGTCTCCATTGTCACTTTACGCGGATCAAGATCTACAAAGCATATTTGTATTTAAAAGCAAACACGTCGTTGTCATTATGTCTAAGAATATCGGAGTATCTTTTAACAATAAATCATAGTGAACCCACTATATTACAACGAACATGTAAAATTAATTAGTTTAACAAGTGGTCTTTGATAAAATTTCTAAACTATTATGCATTATTGTATTTAATTAAGTAAGTGCTGATATCAAGAATCGTACGAAAATGAGCCTGAATGAGTCTTCTTTCATTTTTGTAATCCCAATAATTTGAAGTCGTCAACAAAATACTATCAAGCTATTTAACATTTTCCCACGATTATAGGGTTAATGCAAAACTAAGCTTAAATCTGTTTCAAATCACGCTTAATGAATAGACATTTTTTTTTTGTTTTTTTTTTTTATACATAAAACTTGTGCGGTAGAAAAAAAAAAAAAATTATATACATGCAAATGAGGCCAAAAATAATTTGGGAAAAAAAAAAGAAAGAAAGAGAGGGTAGATGTATTATTGTTTTGGTAAAGTGGGTGAGCAAGTAAGGGATGTCTTTCTCATTGTTTTTAATGTTGCTTTTGGTTTATCGTATAAATGACACTATTTTAGGAGAGAGAGAGAGAGGGAAGGGGGTTAGTACGCGTCACCCAGTGTATTTTACAAGGATCTATAAATTACCTTGTGAGCGTGTCTGTACCATAACATGTAGTTGTTTTTCTTTTTTCCATTACAGGCAGGTACAAAACGGTGGCACTGGTGACAGAGACCTTCAATCATATCACCTTTACCCATACGCTGTTCTATTGGCTTCATAAAGGACTTTCCAGATACAGAAGATATGCCATGAAAAAATTGCTTGTGGTACCTATTCATCATGTATAAATAATTCCAATCTATCTATGGAGACGATTTTAATTTACCAATAAGCACTGTTCTTCAACTGCAACCATTTTCCTGGATTACAACTGTCGCAATAGCCTTCTTTTAAATGACCAGTGTATCTCACCCATTTTGGTGTGTAGTGATCCCCCTCATATCTAAGTTTTTGACGACGAGGCATGGCAGCTAAAACTTGATTGCTTTCATCAGAAGAGGGCATTATATCGTAGGTCTCCTGAACCTGTTCTTGTATACAATCTGCTTGTATAGATTTTGTGCGTTTACGAGATTGCATCCAACAGGTTGGGATAGGTTCACTTGTGCTACTGGAAACTACACAAGGCACCTCATCCTGTGTCAAGATCTGGTCAACCATAGATCTTTTCTTGGTATGCTTTTTCAAGGGCAAAGAAACAGAAGACGATGGGTTATAAGGCATGTAATCCGAATTGACAGGCCTCTTTTGCAAGAACTGGCTTTGTTGTTGGTGTTGATTATTATTATAAACTTGTGCATAGTTAAATACGTTGGGCATAGAAGATCTAGTGTCTTTTTCTTGTTCGATATAAGGATTGTAATCAGAAAAGGAAGAAGAGCCTACAATTCTCTGTGGTGGCATGTAATTTAAATTATCTCCTCTACTTTCCATCATTGAAAACCGACGGGATTGTTCGGCTGATTTCTGATATTCAAATTGACTAGATTTTTTATCTTTCTGATTAAAATTTTGTAGAGGTAAGTGACCAACGTTATCCTTGTTCTCAATCACAAGCTCGTTATAAGCAAATAAAACTGTATTTTAGAGAGAAGATATCAGTCGACTTTTCACTTGTTTAAAAATAAATCATTACAATTCATATCTTGTTGGTTATATTCTGAATAATTTAAACCTATAGGCGACATCCATTCATTGGTGATAGAAAGATTTTCAATGGGTATAGTTGAAACAGATGTGTTTGGAGGGAGACAGTCATATACTACTGGGGTGGTTTGGTTAGTAGGAGATGAAGTAACGATCAGTGCCCTCTGCTCTGTTGGCGATGAATAATTTGAGTTTGAAAAAAATGTATCAATAGCATATGAAGGTTCAGTTTCGTGTCGCGTTGTTGCAATATATGAAGACATGAATGAAAAGAATTTACAGTAAAATGCAATTTGGATAATAATGTTAATAGAAAGAAAAGGTAACAATAACAACAACTAAAAAAAAAAAAGAAAAAGGGAGAAAGTAAAAAAAAAAAAAAAAAAAAAAAAGTTTAATTGATAAAGTAATGGTTATTAAACCCGGCTAGTGTGACTATAACATGCTGGTTTTAGGAGACACGAGAATATATATGTATAAAAGAGAATAGATCCAAATCGTGTTATCCTCATTATACCTCAACCAGTCAGGTGGTTTACATGTAGACAAAAAAAAAAAAAAAAAAGTCCCAAGGAGAAACGTTACGAGTGTAAAATTATAATAATTTATATCATCTTGGTGATTATTTTATATACAACTGCAACGGCTGTCAAATTACCGAAGCTGTTATAGTTACTATACGAGTTTTATTGCTGATTTTCATTATGTTTCTCTTTTACGGGAAGCAAATCGGTTTTAAAAATACTCCTTGTAATACATCTATTTCGTTTGTGCTGCAATCAAAAAATACATAAACACTTGCTGTGAAAGTATCCCTCTAGCACATTTTGCATTAGTCACACACTACAAATATGTAAATATATCACGTAATAGGACATTTTTCTTTATATATTTGTCTATGTGTGCGGCAATTTGAACGGGTAAAAAAACTTATGTAATAGAAAGGCACGATCAACGGAATATCCGTATAATAACTACTTGCCATAAATATTTAGGTATACATTTAGTCTTTAAAAAAATAAATAAAAAGGCCTTTCAATCGCTTTCATAAAAAAAAAAAAAGACATACGTCAAAAAAGTGGATAGAAATAATACATTGAACTACTCATTCTTAACACGCTCACATGTGTTTCATATCGAACCATTACAATTTTTAACTCCTAGATTAAACCAATCTAAAGTAACACGAAAGCACAGACAAGAAAATATTTGTATAACCAGAACATGCGTCTTTCAAATGATGATCGGGCTTTAAGACACTTTATTTTTTGTGTACGCTTCCAATCTAGGCCTTCTTTCTTATTTTGACTGACATTTAGGCTGAGAGCACAAATTCCTTTTGTTAAAAAAAAAAAAAAAAAAAAAAAAAAGCTGACAGTGAACATCATAGTAGATTTAAGAAATCATTCAAAGAAATAAATTTAGGGTTTTTTGGGAAAAAAACGTATTACACAAAGGTTTCGCAAAGATTGCACCTTTATCCTTCCTCCGGGTTCCAACCAACCGATTTTTATTTATTTATCAGTCACCTAAAATATATAGAAGTAAACGAATCGATAATAAGAATAATAAAAAAAAAACTTTAATACTGTACAGTGAAGAAAAAAAAATTAAGAAGATAGAATATATAATGATTATGGGATATGTATGTGTGAGTGCGTGTAGGTGTAAATGTGTACAAGGAGAAAGTGGTAATAATATATATATAAAAAAAAGGGTTATAAATCGAGACATTTTACATTGAGTTGATGAGTAAAGTCCATTATGAGTATTTTTCTATCATGACTTGAACTATAAATACATGTTAGTTTTATCATGTCAAAATAGCTATAAATTCACTTGCCTAATGATGCGTTTTTTGTCAAAATGGACGTCAAAAATCCAGCTCGAATGACCGCTTTGGAAATTTAACAAACATTCGCTGGTACTATAAGAACCATTAGTATAAAAAAAATCACGGGTCTTTTTTGTAACACTTTACTTGATATCCCAAACACGTACACTTCGATCGTAACTTGCGCTTACTATTTTATTTCCATCAAAGCGAAGATTCCTAACTAGTCCCGTGTGACCTTCAAGTACGTTTGTACACAAGCCAGTCTACATATAAAGTATGAATTTTTTTTTTATGCTTTTTAATGAATAGTGTCACCCTTTCTTACCTCAACATCCCAAACTCGGATAGTGTGATCGTTTGATCCGCTTACAATTCTTTTACCGTCATATTGAACACAGGCTAATCCATGTTTATGACCAGCAAATTCACGTATACATCGACCGGTGGAGACTTGCCATAATTTAATAAGTGCATCACTAGAAGCGGAGACAAGAAAATCGCCTTTCAGTTGTATAGCATTCACTGGTCCTAAATGTCCCATAATCATAAGAATTGGTTGGTAAGTCTGACTACTCCAAATTCTAATGGATGCATCCTTTGACGAGCTAATAATATATCGATGATCAAAAGAGACATCTGACACACCTGCTGTATGGCCCTAAAAAATATTATTATTAAGAAATAGTTCATTTTATACGTGTAAATATAAACTAACATGAAGTCTGCCACGCATTTTTCTTGTCTTTAAATCCCAAACAATTACTGTATGATCTGATGAACCAGAAACAATAACTTGATCATTATACTGTAAGCATAAAACACTGCCTTGGTGTCCTTCTAGTGTGTAAATGCACTGATACGTTTTCAAATCCCAGATCTTGATTGTCCTATCTCTACTTCCAGTAATAATCTTTTCATCATCAAATTGTAAACAATAGACACTATCAAGATGACCAATTAAATAATGCGTAGCTACTTTGCCCAGTTTCCATCGAATTTCCAACTGATATCTTTGTTTAAACCAATAATACCAGCTTTGTTCCTGCTCGTCCAATTCTGAAATGTCTGTAGGGATTTTCAGTTTCCAATTATTTTCGATTGTTAAGCGTCTCCATAAATCATCAATATAAAACAAACTTGCCCACACTCGGGATACTTTGGGAATAACAAGCATGCTGTCAAAGTCTAATAAAGATACAATGTATGAACATAATTCTGCTGGTAATTTCTGCGTAAAGTCTATGTACATATTGAAATTAGCTTTATATATCATTGAAAGACTAACTCTACATACCTATTCTTGTCTTTGTTTGTGGTAGTGCTGTGGGTGAACCATGATAATAGACTGTTCGTTTTCCAGGCGATCGTGACTTGTTCGACTTGGTATTTTTTGTTGTCGAGACATTATGGTCGTTCATTACAATGTCTATTTTATGGGGTGGTGCAACAGGAATGCCATAATCTTGTAAACTACTGTCATTGTGGGTAGGGTACGTCATGCTGCTAAGGAATCTATTACTTTAATGGTCTGACAGGGGCAATTTTATTTAAGAAAATAAAAATAAAAAAAAAGGATAAAGAAAAATAAAACAGGGAGGGTATACTTTTTTTTGTCTCATGTCGAAAAGGAAATGATGTTTTCCCTTCGATCCAAAATGGGTAATTTTCTATTTACATTACATCACGTGTTTATAAGCTTATTGTAAGCTATAGAAAACCCTTTCTTCTCGAAGATTTCATTTTCGTAACAAATAAGAAAATCTCATACACAGATTTATCAATCTCTCAAGTAAGATTGTTTCTTTTTTTTTAAAAAAAAAAAGGGTCATTGTATGGTTATAATGACATTGTATTTTAAAGTTGGTCCACTGTTAATATTTTAGTACGACGTACCCACATTAGCAGATATATTTAATAATTGGTGATGTTTATAATAGATAGTCCTGAAAGTTAAAACACTGTTCCTGTTCTTATACTCTATATAACAACACGTTTACAGATATCACAATATCCTATTTTATAATAGTTTCTTTTAATACAGATAGTTGATAAACTTAATTCTTTCTATATTGTCTGTAACGAATTTAATCTACAAGGGTAAACAGTTGTTTTATGCTATTACCAATGATTTATTTATAGTTATACTTTTGCCTTTGGCTGAAGTGTATATATGCTGTATCAAAAAAAAAAAAAAGTTTTTTTACGATTGATGAGTATTTAAAGAGAGATAAAAAGCTTCGCATACTACATACATATGCCTGTACCAAGCAGGAGCTATACACTTATTACCTTTTGAGATGACGGTAAAGCAAGATCAACAACATTAGATTTTTGCATGCATAAATCAATAATTGTGAATCGAAATTATTGGAATGTTCTATTTTTTTAGACAACTAAAAATCTCAAAAGTATAAGGCCGGTGGTATGAGTTTTTTGTCTTTTAATATATATGATCAACCAATGCATATCTATAATAATAAAACAGAGAGTGTGAACCGCTTTATTTCGTGTCGGATACACATTATATACAAGGGAGAACACGTAAGTTAATGCACACTTAGATTAGTTTGCATTCACTTGATTTTGACTTATCATGTTTAGTAACCATAATGTTATAAAGATGTTTAACTCCGTGCTAACATACATCGAGAGATTAAACTTCGCCGTCCCTTTCAACATCGTAGGTTCTGTCGAGCTCAACTACGTAAACAGCGGACAGTTATCTTAATAATTAAGTGTAAATTATATTCCCTCTAGTCGTTATGAGAACTGTAGTCTGACTACCTATAACAAACGATTCAAGTTTTTCTTTTAAATGAACAGTTGATCACATTAGCCAACAATTTCGTGCATTTAGTGAGTCCGTGATACCCTTTTTCATTCTGAGTTACGACATTTTTAAGCTTTTTCCAGATCACCAAAAATAAAAAATTAAAAATAGCACAGGTAGTTTAGTACATCGATTTTGCATGACATATTTTTGAAGTTTTCAAAATTGTTCTTTTTCATAAAAACAAGTTACACTGATTTGTATGACCAGTCAGTCAGAATTCAGCACACAAATATGGCCTATTATTACTAAATTGCCGGAGTAGCTTTAAGCATGCCTCATTGTGGCTCTTACGTTGTCAATTACGAGAGACTGACATGACTCCCTCTGTTGTCAAATCCAGATTCCTACATTAAATGTTGAGTCAAGCGTCTAAGTTATCTTTTGTTCCACATGAAATTGCTCTCAAGTCGGTCAAACTTGGACAAGCCGAAGTATAAATAAACAATAAATCAAAAAATTAACAAAAATCACGTATACTAATAGCTGTCTGATGACCGGATTTATTTTTCATACTTAATTATAAGACTATATACCACCTTCTTTGGATACTGCTTATATACCACAAAAGTTAATATTTTTACTTGAATTGGCTAGGCAATATTAAAGATTCTTACAATATAGAGTTTGTACCTATTTGACTGAATCAATGTCTTGCCGTCTAGCGCATTGAAGATTTCTGCAATCAAGAATGACGAAAGAAAGGAGGAAGACAAATAATTATTAGCATATGTCTCAACAAAACCAACTATTTTTTGTCTAGTAGCAGTAAAAAAAGTAATAAGATGATTTAAAACGATCATTGACACGTCTATAGGAGGATACACAGATTATCAAAATAGTACAACCAAGCCAGAATAAATGTCGTGGAATCACATTGTAAAAGTTGTTATGTCTTCTAAAATAATTGAAGCACAAATGTCTTTTGTTTCATAAACTAAATCCACCAAAATTCACCCAAAGAAATATATCGTCAAATATCAACGATGCAAACTCTTGGGGTCGCATACTAAAATTACACCAGTCATAAATGTTGTAGTCGACTATCTGGCAGTGCAGTAGAAAAATATACTGTAAAAATTATCTCAAGCTTTACTTCAAGCTATACGTAATTACTTCATAACATCAAATTCCTTCCCAATTTTATTTTATCATAACTGCCTACATTTTGGTGGTTATCCTTTTTTTTTTTTTTTAGCTTAGCTGAACTTGAAGTAAATTGAGTTGCAGCCAGTAAAAATGTAGAATAACGTGAGACGAATCTAAAACCAAAATTTAAAAAAGTTTTTCCGTTATCGGACGTTTCTCTCCTACAATATATTTTTTTTTCTTATCAAATGGCTGGCGAAAAACTGCGTATACTTTGCCTTCATGGTATGGTTCAAAATGCAGTTGTCTTTAGAAAAAAAACATCTGTTATTCGAAAGAAATTAGACAAAATTGCAGAATTAGGTATAAAAAGAAAAAATGTTACTGAAATAGAAATTAATTTTGTGTTTTGTTTCGTTTTTTGACAGTTTTCGTATCTGCTCCTCAAGTCATTACGGATCCTAAATACACTTCTGAAGCTCATCGTGCCGCTGCTGCTGATGAAAACTCACCAGAAGGTAAAATATCGGATTGTGTTTCTCGAATCCTATGTTAATCTGTTTATTTTAAAAGAGGCCAGGCCATGCGCTTGGTGGCATCCATATGATGATAAGCAGACGGAAGATGGATATTATGCTGGATTTAAAGAATCTGTTTCGTTCCTGAAAGAGTTTATGACCAAAGAAGTAAGGTTTAGAATATCTATTAGACCAAGCTGATTAACATTGTGTATATAAAAAAGGGACCTTTTGACGGTGTGTTCGGTTTTTCACAAGGTGCTTGTCTTGCTGCTGTCATAACTGTATGTCTGGAAGATCGTACCTTAGCACCTAGTCTCTTTGGTCCTGAATTTGAGCATCCTAACTTCAAATTTGCAATTATTGCAGCGGGGTTTAAACCCCTTCCCCAAAAGGCCACAGAACATATCTGGACACATAAAATTACTACTCCTACACTTCATATGATTGGCGAAGAAGACAAGTTGATCACTCCTGATCTTCAACAAACTCTTGTGGATCAATGCATTGACCCTATTGTTATTCGTCATGCTGGAGGGTAAGTAACTATTTAAAACATATACGGATAATGATATTAATTACCTAAATCAGTCATGTTGTGCCTTCCAATGCTCCATCTCGAAACGATACCGTCGCATTCGTTTCAAAATTTGTAAACTAATTATTTTTATAAAACACCTGTGAAAGATGGGCTATTTTTTCTGTTTTACTTTGATCGACAAAATAAAGTGGAACGCTCGTTCAGACGTTAATCCATTTCATACAACTAGTCAGTCTTTAGGAACTAATTAGTAATGATTATTCCAAACATCTTGAAGGTTGTATTGTTATCAATGTAGGGTGCATTTATATACAGAGGATGTATTAATGTTTATTAATACCCTATATGTGATATGCTTTATGTTCTGTTCTGGTCTTTTTATTTTAAAAAAAAGTTGCTTCTGGAGGGCTAGGAATGTTTTCAAGGAACATTATTGTTTATTCTTTTTATTGATTGCAATTAAGCTTTTAACTCGGAAGTACATATACCTTGTGGTTTAAATCCTCACTGTCCAGAACCAATACTTGTCCAAGAGCTTGGTTGGTGTCCGGATCGAACGGACTTAATTGTTATGAAGTCTATATTAAAATTAACTGACGTTATGTAAATGCTTCTTGCTCATTGTAGTTTATCATATACCTATCCATCATTTCTTAGGAAGCGTTGTAACGAAATAATAATAAAAAAAAAACGGAAATCTTATTTTATGCACTCCTCGTACCGCTGTTGAATCAGGATCTGATTTACCTGTTGGCTTAATAAAACTTTCTATCTGCAGACTTTCTTGACTATAATACAACACTCCACGCACGTTAGGATGATGCACTTTTTCGTAAAATTAGGGATGTAAGAGCATCAGCAGCGGCTCACCCAAACTGCCATTTCCAGCCGTAAACCCACTCCAACTGCAATGAACAAGGAAATTCATGATGATTTTTATCACGAAAACGTCCTGGAGCACCTGTTAAAGAGTCAAAAAAAAAAAATCTCTAAGGCTGAGGACATGAAAAAAATCAATGTGGTTTATTTTTGACCGCTGCGGACTCACACTACATTTGTAGTCCAACCTGAAAATGACCCATTTTAAAATTTAAGTTCACCGCTGCTCTATAAAGACTTAAGCTTTATCAAATTAGACTTTATAAAATCACCACGTAAGAGATGTACTACTCAGGCTACACAAGATAATCCCTTCGTTTCATCTCACAAGCTTTTCACCAAAACACCGTCGCAGAGGGCTATTGAGGCGCAAGAGTGGTTCGTGCTCGCCTTACCACACCGCTCTTAATGCGGGTTTTTAAGGCCTAAATGGCGGTTTTGCAAATTCCCAGACTGGCGGCATTGTATCGTTTTGGCAACTTTTTCCGTTTTTCAATATTTTCGCGTTTTAATGTTTACTCACAATGTCTAATTGGGAAAATGTAAAGCCAAAGATTTACGTACCAAGTAAGAAAGAGAGCAAAAGTAGCCTTAAAAAGTTATTATTTGAAGTTGCTTAGACTATTGGATATCAAAAACCTGTACTCAGTTGTCAGCACAAGACTTTTGCCAGCATTTGTTGCAAGCGAATCCATCTTATAACAAGAGAAGTGCTATGGGTTTGTTTTCAGAGGATTTAGATGTTATTCGAGTTCAACTCGCTCATCACAAGCTCATTTCCTCAAGAGTAAAAGCTCTTGTAAAACAATTATCAAAGAAAGACGAATTACTAAATCAATTAAGGGGAGAATATTCAACTGACATCAAATCAATCTCCCTCAAAAGAAAGTATAATGTCTCTGTTGTAGGAAGTTTACTGAAATAAGAAGCAATTGAAATACTTCAGCAGCAAGATGCAATAAAAAAAAGCCTAGGCGAAGAGCTTGGTAACAGTAGACAGACAGAGGATGATGTTGCTCCGCAAGAAGTTGAGAATTAGGCTGATTAACTTTGTTCGTATCTTTCTCAAAAATGTTTTACCTCGGATCTTCCTTAAGTCTTTTTGCCCAAGTTTGGGCAGTGCGTTCCGCCATTCCTGACTTGTAGCAACATATATATTATGTAAATTATGCGTGTAATGCTTATCGCCATCTTGCGGTTTTACAAATCAGTTGGAAGATTATTACTGATGTAAATAAGACTGTTGGCGTGATATAAAATTTCACTCTATCATAACGTCAACATGAGCGTTTCAATCCAAAAAATCCCATCTTCTCAACAGTGGTCAATTATTTGAACTTTCCTTGAGAGAACAACTTATCAGCAATGCAAGGTTTTATAGCCTTGTAAGTAACATTAGTTATATCGCACTTCCCAGGTAATTACAGGACTCTTTCATGACATCATAGTGATGAAATGAATGGAGAAAAAGTAAAAATTCCTTAAGCTTTGCTCGTCAAGTATCCAGCATAGCTAACGTCCAGATTTTTCAGGCTTCCAGATAAATTAGTTTGATGACGAGCCCTGGCCGTTAGCCTACAATTTTCGTTGACGTGAAATATGATGACTACTTTATCAAAAAAGATCGTAAGACCGATTTTGTTTTTGTTTTTATAGGTGGTTTTCTATGAAAAAAGCAATTCATCGCCATTGGATTTTTGCCAGGCCCAGTCATTACTGAAAAAAGAACAAGTGCCCAAAAAGGTACACTTTCCATTTAAACTCAAAATTTAATTGGCCAGAATTTATGGTATCTAAAACACGTGGTTCAAAAACATTTATGTGCCCAACCGAAGTGAAAACAGTGCTTTTTTGTTTACTTTCTTAGTCAGACCATAATCATAAAATGGTGCAATCGTCCCTATTTCCAACGATGTTGATGCTACGAGGAAAATATTAGCTGGGATTTCATTCTTTTTATGTTGAAGATTTCAGTTAAGAAATCCCATCAGATTACGTCTGTTTATTATTGTAAATATAACGATAACTAGTGCTAGCTAAATTACTAAATGGAGACAATACTCACGATCAGCAGTTTCTGTATGACTGCATTACTTGCTTTAGTACTTCTGGAACAAGAGATTATCAAAGTAATAATCAGTGTCTTGCTTTGATCATAAGGATGACGACGTTCGTGTAACAAATTTACAGACAAAAGCGTAAAAAGAAAAAACGCCACGACAGGCCTTTATTAATCGCTTGTATCATTTCGATATGCAGCCGTTTCATTGCATATATTGAAGTATTTCTGTAAATGTACAATAACTAAATAAAATAACATGAAATAACATCTTACACCATTATAATTATTCCATTTGTCTTTATGTTATAATATGTACGTCATCCCGAGCTATAATTGGCTACAAATAATCACCTCTTTTTAAACAAAACAAAATGTGAAAGATCCCCCTTTTTTTTTTCGTTTTCCTTCGCTTTTATATTTTGAAAAAAGGAAAAAATTATGGATTCTTATAGAGATTGTTTAGCTGATAATAATATGCAGCTTTTACTTCAGCAGAAATATCATAGTTTGGACACGGGATCGTATCATAGCAACATGTCGACAGACGATACCGCAAATAGTTACAAGCCTACATCAATCATGCAATTTAATGAACTCACAAAATCCAAACGTCGACAAGTAAAGAACGCATGTGGTAAAGTAGAAAAATGGTTATTGGTTCTAATTTTAGTGGTTAACCGAAGTTTCCTTTATAAAAAGTCAATTGTCAGAAAGCCTGTAAAAAATGTGACGATGGAAGACCCTGTCAAAGATGTATAAAATATAACTTAACAGAAACATGCCAAGACTCTATAAGGAAAGAACGTAAAAAAGGTGTTAAAAGAGGCCCTTACAAACGCATCCACAGTCAACAGAGCCAAGATAAAACAAGCAAGAAAATGATGAAAAGTCGAAATGTAAACAGAATTAGCTCTGTTACAGATAATGTAGGAAGCTCGGATGGAGTTTACCCCCAAAATTCGTCAGTGTTACCTAAGCATAACAAATGCAATCAAACAGAGAACAGTGTTACACCACCACCGCCGCCGCCGCCAATCGCGATCTGTTCATCTCAGAATACGATTTCTTCTAGACTCGCTGTGTCGCCCCCATATCATCTCAATCCATCCAGCTCCATGGCTTGCAATAACACCAACGCTAATATAATTAACGATTACTCGTTTACTAAAATAGACAACTATGGTTTTAATCTAATGCCGTCCCCAACAAATCAAAGTTTAACAATGACAAGTAATAGTTCTTCACCCCAGCAACACAACCTATCCGGGTCGCTTGAAACCAATTATTTAGATATGTTTTCCTTTTACAACAATGTTATTCAACATGAGCAAAACGACCCTAGTATATATCGCACTCCTAGCAATTCGCCTGCCACGTATTCTGCCGGTAATTCCGAATTGGTGATAGATTTTCCTTGGACTCAGCCACCTTTGTCCAAAAGCATATTTCAAAATAGCTTTCATAGTTAATAAACTCCTGTATTAAAAATTAAAAAGCAAGAAAGTAATCTCTATTTTTCCTACGCAAGGCATTTTTTTTTTGTTAATCCCACGAATCCCGAGACCAAATACTACATAATTAAAACTGTGAAGAAAGTAGCCAACGTATATTAGTTTGATGTTAAGTAAGTATTAACATATATATCGTATTAAACCCTGTCACAAGAACGAGTAGCATAGGTTTATACATTCAAGCTTAAATACCCTACTTTTACATAAGTGTATACATATGAAAGGGAACCTGATTTTCTTGTGCCATTATTCATTTGGTATAAGCTGATAAATACCAACATAAATTATAAGCAGTAAGACTTTAAAATATTGCTAATGAAGATAGAAATGGAGGTGGGGCATAAAGAACGTCATAGGTATTATAGATTTCTCGTGACATTTTTTTCCTTTCCTTTTTTCTTGGGGGAATGGGGGATAATGCCAAAGATTATTTGTCACTTTCAACATTTAGAGGCTATCAATTATAAGTGTAGAGACTAGTTAAAAACTGCCAATTTTCCTCGCGGAAGAAGACTATAGTGTAAGGACGAAGCCAAGAACAACACGCCAACTTATACTTCTGAATCCCGGTATTTACTGATGCTATTGGTATAGACCCTAAACATCATGTGATAGCAAGATGCAGCATAATAGATTGTCATTAATGACTCTACTCAATATATCAAATAAAGTAGAAATGTTGGAGACCACATATGGCATACAGATACACGAACCAGGATTACTTCTCCGAAAGCATTATATCTTGCTGATTACATTTATTACCGCGAGTACTTCTTGACACAAATGTCCACCGTCTTTAATTTCTTTGGATTTAAGACTTCCAAGAGCCGGCTCAACTTATATTATAAGGGTCGACGGAAACTACCCATTAGGTGTTGGTAAATATACTATGTATATACGTGTTTTTTTCATGAGGATAATGAAATCATATGTTTCAACAAAAGTGCGCTAGTAGATGAAAAAGTTTGTAATTGCATCTCTTTCTAATTCTTGATGATAATTTAGAAGACCGAATGAACTTGATACAGAATATCTAAAATATAAAGAAATAATAAAATCGATGCTGAATGAACCCATAGTTTTCATCGTGATATACACAAGGTATGCCCCTTGAAACTGATAATCTGATTATAATAATATGAAACCTCTACACGTTGAAAAAAAATACAGAAAATGTTTGGAAGTCTTGGAACACGCCGTAGTTTAAATCAAATCTACAAAAAAAAAAAAAAAAAAAAAAAATAATGTTGAGGATGAGAATTACGAAAAATCCCAGACAATTGAATACCTTGTTATTAGGTCTATACTTGACTACTAGATATACCAAAGAGTCAGAAAAACTAATTATTAATAGATCAAGCAGCACGAAATTATTTATATTAGAGCTATCATGTCAATGTTTACTTTACCGCACCAGTAACTTGTAACAGGATTGCTGAGTTGAGGAAGCTGAATCTAAATTGTACTAACGAGAAATACAGTTACTGAACACGGTAAATTAAATCAATTGCATACACAGTCTCGTTGATTGAAAAATAAATAAATCACAAGATATGAATCTCACGAGAGAGCAACTGCAGCTGAGATATTACAGGTGAGATAGGATTGAGCGACATTTACAGTATCCGAATTCCAGAAAATGATTAAATTATATTCCAACTGTATCTGAAATATACCTGGGATTCACAATCATTAATATACTGTAGCCATATATGGTAGTAGAATCATACAAAGAGCATGTATGCATAGAAGTATAAACATCTAATGGGTTAACTTTAATCTGGTATTACCATGATAGATAACCTTCAAAACAGTCACTAAATACGTGACCTGTTTCATTCCGCGTTGATGAAATGAATCGGCATACGAAAAGTAGCACCGATGTAATTGAGAGATTGGAATAAATAGTCTTTACATCGGTTGCTCGCCATATCTCCTTTTTATCTAAATTATATACACCTAAAAGATGAATGCAAATTCATCTATAGATCGTAAACCCGGAGGGCTTGAAGTATTTGCAATGAAGTTTATGTCAGTAAATTCTTTTACGTACAAAATCTTCTTTGGTCCTGATCCGCATAAAGTTCGTCCAAAAGTTCTTTTACTCTTATCAGGTTTAGTTGTGGTTAATATAATGGTGTGGGTTGTAGCTATATGTGTTTTTAAGCCATACCCTTCGATGATTGGTACTGGAGCGCTTGCTTATACGCTTGGTCTTCGTCACGCAGTTGATGCAGGTAAAGCAAGGACTTCAACTAAATTATGACGGTTATCTCATCGTTTTATATTTACAGATCATATATCTGCCATTGACAATGTTACTCGAAAACTTTTAAATAATAACCAACATCCTGTTTGCGTCGGGTTATTTTTCTCTTTGGGGCATTCTACAGTAGTTCTGATCACATCAATTATTGTCGCAGCAACAGCTAACGCAGTGGCGAATAATATTGACAACTTTTCATATTATGGGGGCCTCGTAGGAACATCTGTATCAATTACTTTCTTGACTATAATTGCTATTTTAAATCTGATATGTATGATTGGTGTTATAAAAACAATGCGTAAAGTCAAAAAAGACGGTGTGTATACTGAAGTTGACATCGAAGAATATTTGAGTAACAGAGGTATAATGGGGCGCTTTTTCCGACCTGTTTTTCGATTTGTCAACGCATCCTGGAAGATGTATCCTCTTGGTTTTCTATTCGGTCTTGGTTTTGATACTGCTTCTGAAGTTACACTCTTAGGTATCACAGCGGTTCAAGGTGCACAAGGCATGTCTATGTGGCTTATTATTCTACTTCCGCTCCTGTTTACTTCTGGTAGGTAACGTTGGCCTGATCTCTAAACAAATTTACCTGACATGTCACTTTTAATAGGTATGGCACTAATTGATTCATTGGATAGTATTTTAATGCTGTTTACGTATACTTGGGCATATATAAATCCCGTTCGAAAATTGTTTTATAACTTGACAATCACATCTATCAGTGTCGTCGTAGCTATTGTTGTAGCGCTTATTGAACTTTTTGCTTTGATCGGTGAACAGCTAGAATTAAACAATGGTTGGTGGAGATTTTGGTACTTTCTTGCAGATAGTTTTGAATATATTGGAATCATCATTATCGGTGCATTTATACTCACCTATATAGTGAGTGCTATTATATATCGTCTTGCCGGTTATAAAGAGCTCGAAAAAGAATTTGACAATTTTGATCCGAAAAAGATTATCAAGCATACCATTGAAGATGATGAAGTTCCCCCCAAAGATATTGAAGAGGGAATAAAAACAAAGACATGTGAACCAAAGCAAGAGAAAATATATGTTGTTACAAAAGAAGTGCAGCATGAGAAGACAGTTATGACAGGTGGAGATTGAACACCGTCATATGTTTAAGTAGTCAATACTTGTCATGCTTAAATTTCAATTTTCTGCGATCAACATTTTTGGTCCAACATAAAATACTAATAAGATCAAACATCTAAACATTTGTAATAAAAGTATCTGTAATTTATTTAACTATTTAAGGTATATCACTTTTCCACCACTATTCTATTAGTTTGTACAAATGAGATCGCAACACTTCATCTCAACAATTTTATTTTTTTTCGTTTTATGTATTACTTCCTTCGTTGTGGCCCAAACAAACAGATTGACTAATAAGCATCCCAAAGCTTCCCTCCATCCATGCGATATACACCATGGATCATTCAAGTAGTATTCGCATATCTTTATATCAAATGACACGATTTATTAAATACAACAGGGTCATTATTTCATAGCATTAGTTACGTCCATTTCAATCCAAATCCTCCCGTGAAAGGACAAAAGCTTTTCATTGAATACGGAGGATATTTAAAAGAGAGATTACCTAAAGGTACACGCATTAACTTGATAGCCTCTTTCAATTCCGTTCCGGTGATACATAAAAAAATAAATCTTTGTGAAGACACTTTGAAATCAGTTGGTGATTGCCCACTGGAGCCCGGAAGATATGATCTTACAAAAGAAGTTGGGATTTCCGAAGATCTTCGTAAGTAACATGGCAAAACAATTTTTCCATTCAAGCCCAAAGATTTAACTGTTCCTTTTATATATATCATAATTAATAGCTGATGTAAGTGGTATTTTAAAGACAAAATTTTAAATTTACTAATCCATGTTATGTAAATTAGGGCAACTATACTGTCCATGCTGATATTATTACACCCCAAGGTGAACGGGTAACTTGTTTGGTGTTAAAGACAATCCTCTAATAATTAAATAAAACCTGGCTATCAAATATGATAGCAAACAAGTTTCTGATATTAATGAAAAAATACAGGAATACAAAATTATCAAATTAGTTTTAAAATGAATTGATGCTTATGTCTCCCAGTTATCTAAGAAATTTAGATTAAAAATACGTTGTAGCTATTTATTTTACTGTGGTACATAGGTATGATATCAATGTTGGTCATGTTACAAAGAACTCTCGTGATTCAGATTATCGCTTATTACTTTTCGGCAAAATGAAGACCTCTTCTTTTTTTATAGGTACCTCGTGTCCGACGTATATTGTTTTATAATAATCATTTACCAATATGTTCTTTTATAATAGATCTATAGTATATCTGATGTTTCAATGCTATTCGTAAACTGAATTTCATTTATTTAGGTCGTAGGAATACACACCCATTAATAATTGGATCTGCGAATAGTTAAAAAAAATGAAAGGGAAAGACGGCGTGGGGTATGAAAAAGTTCATCAAAAGAAATTGTGCGTTCCAGAAACAAATGTTATGTGAATGTATATTGTTTTGTGTCGAGTTGGCCTACTGTTTATTAGAGTTTCTTGTTTCATTAGGATCTAATTTCGATAAATAATAATTTGCAGAATAATAAAAGTAATAAAAAAAAAAAAGAAAGTTTAAGCAGCAATAGGTTTATATTTGGTAATGAGTATTCTCTGACCTTGTTCATGAGTATGGGCTTCTTTTGGAAAAGAAGTAGCATGAGAAAACATATGCTTTTCGAGATGTGCTTTTGTTTTAGAGAGGTTCTTGTAATCAATACTAAATAAATTGTGTTAATTATGAAATCAGTTTGTGATTTTTATGCTAAATCTTACCCAGAAGCACCCTTAAATTCGTATTCGTCCTTTTTGTTGATTACGAAAAAGCGAGGTTTCCACTCGACACCCTCTTTTTGACGGATGGCTGTTTCTTCACGTTGCCTATTTTCAATGAAACTTTTCTCATCGGTAGCATAGTCCATATCGTTGGAAGCTAATCCCGCGGTTACTTTTGACCAAAGTCTATTAATGGAATAAAGTAGCGGGGGTTAATTGAATTTGCTTGCTTTTTAAGAGTGAATCATTTACTTTCTAGATTCATTCCATTCTTGGTTATCTAAAGATTCAACAAGCTTTGGAATTACAGGGTTTTTTGCGACATTAAAAAAAGATTCCTTGGATGAAGACTAAATAGATTCGCGAAGAGGATTTAGTCATCAATTATAAAAGTATTTCATAATATAAACCTACCTTTCCCTTGATAAATAACTCTTGTGTCCATACACCAGAAATTTCATAAAGAACCTCTCCTGTAGATTGCCTCTTAATTTTGCCGGATACAGAGTGGTATTCTCCCGAGAAGTATCCCTATTGCGTGTTAAACTTGGACCTTTTTTCAAAATTTCGGTTGTTGAAACCCTTACCTTTGTTTTAAATTCCAGCTCGCAAATAAGATCAAGCGAATCACATCTGATAGTAGACTGATCTCCCATTTCCATAGTCATTTTTCCAACTTTTTAAAAAGGCATTAGAAGTAATTCAGTAATAACCAGACAAAAGCTTACATAAAATGCCACGGGCATAAACGTTGGGGTTTGTAATTTCGTAAGTCTCGTTCCCTAATTCACTAAAAGTAATTCGTGTATATCCCTTCATCACTGTTGCGGCACTATTTCCCAAAAACTTTGCCTTAGGATGGGCTTCACCAGTAACAAATATACCTAATTCTGGTAACGCATAAAAGTATGCTGTAACAGGAGGGTGGTGGGAAACCTGCTCAGATATATACATGGCTTTTGTGCCATCCTTAAGTCGGTATTCACAGCGAAAAAACTCACCAAGAATGGGATTGTAAGGTTTCTTTACACCCTAATCATGCATGTAAGTAGGTGTCAAAAAAAAAAAAAAACTTTTGAAAATTACCTTTGGCTTAATGTGCCAACCTGAAAGAAAGAATCGACAAACTTCCACGAATCGTTGCACAGGATCGATCGTCTTAGAGGCTCTATAATATTAGTTTAATATATAATGTTTATCTTTAGAGAATTCAACTTGTTTATGTTTGCATACTTGACAACCAATTCGGGATGGCTCATAAAATCAGTGAATTTTTCAAGTAAACTTCTTGGTTCCAGAACAAAGGTAGGTAAGGTAATACGAGAGAGATCAGTACCTTTTCTCAATTGTGCAATGAGACCCATAATAATACTACGGTTATCGTCTTCTAAAACCTCGGAGCTATCAGCATCTTCTTCGAATGTTGTGGGGCAATTTTTTCTACTCATTGCTAGATGTGAAAAAGAAAGGAAGAAGAAGAAGAAGAAGAGAAAAAACGTGATTTAACAAAGAACTTTTTTTTAAAATAAAAAACAAATTCCATTGGCCGCTCACTTTTTGAATTCATCCCTTCATTTGTTTAATTCCCTTAAGATATGTCATTTCAGCTCACACTATTTCCTGATCCTAATTATTAACAGCCTAGTTTGGTACTATACCGTATTTTACCTAGACTTGGAAGAATTTTATGCGTGCATTTTTTTTTCTTCCTCTTCTTTTTAAAGGGTTCCACATTTGAGACACCCGAAATCTTTTTTTTTAATGAAATTTTTTTAAAAAGATGGTGGCAACGATCCCGCAATAGATTCAAGACAAGGCAATTGCTAAGGTTACTTTTTATCATGACTGACTATTGTTTGAGACATTTCAAAACTGACATGAAATGAAGCAAAATAATGCCCTCTATTTCCTAACGACTAAATTCTATTAATAAAAATAAAATACAGGTTGCTATAAACGGTCATTAGTACATATAACTAAGGTAATCAAATCCAAATGTTTTGATCCGGCTACCACTTCGTATCTGGTAAATTCCAGTTTTAAGATAGCTTTATGATACGTTAGTAACGACAGAAAATAATCATATAAGTTATTATGTGCGGTAAGCAATGGCCATATAATGCCCTCCATTAGAAAAACAGGTAACTCAACACTCGGTAAGACGCGTTTTGAAGCTGATATCGAAGATTCCATACCGGCTTCTTGCTAGCTTCTGTACCACCAAAACAATCACAAGATGTAATTTGTGGGAATCATTTTTTACATAATTAAACTCTTCAAGATATCATGTCCGGGATATATATTGCATATCCTTAAGACAGACATTTTCTATATAAGATAGCCCAATAGAAAGGGAGATTGGGTATCTATGTCAATTAATATCTGATGTCCCAATAAAGCTCTAGTTACAATTTATTGATCAAGCAGCCATTACTTCTTTCTAAAAAGGAAATTCACTAACATTGCTGGGGTTCTCTAAATTTTCTCAAAGTGTATAAGCGAAAACGAGTCATGTATGCTTGCCACAGTTGTGATTCATGTCGTAAAGTTAATATTCTAGCTACTTTTCCGACCCATCAGATTGCAGTACTTTATCTGACATTAGGATTTACTCGCCATAGGGCATCATCCTGTGAGCAGCAGTAAAAACAAGCGGAGTAATGTGTGATACTTGAATATCCTTCGTTAATGTGATGTGACAATTATTTTATTATTATCAAAAATGTAAATAAACCATCCGGAAACTTTCCGTCGTAAATCTTTTCTGCTCTTAGTGGGGAGGAACCAACTGGTACGCGTAAATGACGAATATTTGTCCTTCTTGAAATAGTCAATTAACACAAGTATAAAATACGAGACAGAAAAAAAATGAACCTTATTAAAATAAGATAAAACCTGACGAAGAGAACCCAATTTGGTTGCCACATACAACCCATTACCAACGAGCTTGATTTTTTTCATCTGGCCTTCAATTCTAGCAATTTGAAGGACTGTGCCAGCAACATTTTTCTTGTTTCGTCTTTTGATGTATGGGCTGTTGTGAAAGTGGTCGATAATTGTTTTTTCCTCCCTCAAAAGTTTGCAATGGTCACTGAAAAATTTCTTGGTATTATGGTCCCTGGAAAATTCGATGTTTGAAACATCAGTTTCATTGTGGCTGGCATCCTTGGTGAGTATCCGACAATCGACTTTATCGCCAATTGATTTTTCACCGGAAGACTTGCTTTTAGATTGGGATGACTCCTTGTTCACAGATTCACCCCTTATATAATTTGTGAGTGAAAGTAAATACGCATTATGTTTTTTATAGTTACCATTTAGTCGTAAGTTGTGGACTGTCAAACAACGATGTGATTATCGATCCCCAAACCTTAACAACATAGTCCTCCTCGGTGGACTTGCTTTTGTTCGCGTACGACAAAATGCCGGGGTCAGTATGAAGTGTGGATAAACTAGAAAGAATGCAATCAATAAACAGGTAAGCAAGTAAATCAAAAAATGGAAAGGGGGGATGAGAGAAAAAAATAAGGGGAGAGAAAAAGAAAACTTACAATTTTTCTTGCTGTTTCAACATTGTTACTGGCTTGTTTAAGTGAAAAGCGGTAATGTGAAATAAAGATAAAGAATAAGATAAAATTTCTTAAAGAGTGAGCACCAGACTATAAGTTGTCAACTAAGATAAGTAAAATATAAAGATATAAAAGGGAAATGCTACGACGAATCAGTTATCTGTGTCTTCGAAGGAGTATAGTAAAATACAACTGGTAAGAATATTCAGTGCTGATTTATAAGAAGGGCTTTCGTACAATTATAGTAAAGAACAAACTAAAGACCTTATTGATTATTTTTGAGGTCTTTTTATAAGAAAAGGACAGAAAAGCAGTCAGAAAAATATAGGGACCTGAAGTCAAAAGGACCAACAAAAGAAGAAAAAGGTGGTGTAACTACGGGCGTCCTTTCAAGCCAAAAACATGCTCAAAATTATTCAAAATATCATATTGGATCATTAGATTTTGACTCCTCCTCATCAAAAGCATACTTGCTGTGGAAAAACGAGTTGTTTGACATAAAAATAAAAGATAAAAAAACAGTAAGGATAAGATTAATATTGCTTGTAGGCTTTTTATTCTTAACAAAAGTGAATCCCTCATATGTCAAAGAAAAGGGCGTATTTATAGTTATTTAAAGCGTCGGTAAAATTATGGGCTAGTTTGTGTTCACTTGGTATTATTGGCTGGTGAGTCTTATCAGTGTAATTAATCTATTACTCGAAATGGGGATATCTAGTAACCCTGAGTTGTTCCTATTTTCTATGAGTGTTATGATATTATGTACCTGTCAATCAAGGATCGATGTAATAATTTTAAATTCAATTTTGTATGTTAAATAGTCCGATTTTAGTACAGTGCATCTTCTATTGAGTAGTTTCTAACGTGTTTTGTGACATTTTTGAAGTGACATTAAAAAAAAATACATTCAAAGGCAGAGATTTTTGAGATTTTTTTATTAAGGTTGATAATATTCGGCTCGCCCTCCGACTGCTTGTTGCTAATAAGTTTTTCGTAGATATTTCAAGTCTTTGATGTAAAAAATAATTTGAAAATAAATCAGGTATGTTAATAACTATCTTTATAAAGCATGTCTTAAATTAAAACTAATTCTACTTAGTACAAAAGAATGTTTTCTTTTTTACAGATGCTGACTTTAGACCTCCGGCTGCTGTCTCGAAACAACTTCGGATCAATATTTCAAGCCTTTTGATACATAAATTGACTTGGAAAAGGGTCACAGATCTTAAGAATATTTGTTTTAATGTATAATTTAAAGCTCAAATAGTTCTACTTAGTACACAAAAAAGGTTAAAGTTGTTTCAAGCCATTGCTTAATACTAAATAGCCTGTGCGCGGTTTCTGAATCCTTGAGCACAAACAGTCGATTATTTTAATATCTGATTTCGGTTAATTATATTAGCGGCAGGTTATTATTGGTCTAAAAACGTTTTTGGCCAGGTTGTGACATTTTCTCCAAAAATAAAATGTTGAATCCAGAATCTACTATGTTTTTTTTTAAATAAATGTGGATTCTCATTATAATCAACATCAGAAACAATTCTAACTTTTCAGATGGGATATTTATTATAAGAAAATGTGCTTGACCCATATAAATATTTGTCTCTGCTTAAAATTTTTTTTAGGTACCACCTAAAAGAAGATGCACTCTACACTTGCTTTGCTTGGCCAGAGAGAGTCGATAAATTTCCTTGATGTTATGCTTTGCCAGCTATTTGTGAACATCAAGTGTTAATTATTATCAAAGATGTATTATTTTAGCTTACATATTCTATTTCCTTTAGCTCTGCTGTCAAGTCTTGGCTTATGGGTTTCCAGTGCAACCTTTTGTCATACAAGGCATGCAGCTGGTCCCATTGTGCTTGAGTAAGTATGGATTTTTGCGAGTTCGAGTGATCCGGTCATCAGTCAGGTCCAAAATAGAATTGAACCCATTGCTACATTCCGTGTTAAACTTCCATACAAGCCAAGAAGGTTGTAGGCCCTTACCTTACTGTCGCCTTGCTTATGCTATCAAGATCGAAATATTTATGGCCCATATAAACATCATGAGCCTTCAATTTGATCATGGAGGCTGTCAATTTGTCGAATCCGGAGAGTATTTTACCCCCTTCAGAGGGAAAACCTTGTGTAATATATGTTAGTACTGCACATCTCCAGCCACCTTCCTTAATTTGTACAAACCTCTCTCGACCTAATCCTTTTGCTTCGTCTGCTTTGAAGATCATCGTCAACCTGTGTGTTTATATACGTCTCAAATTAGAAACCAACATTTTTTTGACGCCGGTAGTTTTCGCAAACTTCGTTTCTTAAAACTTTAAAAAATATAGGAAGCATGATAAGCATAATAAGCATATAGATAAGCATAATAAGCATAATTAACATAATAAACATCCCACATACCAAATAATTTTCAGCAGACAAAGCATAGCAGAGGTCATGAAGCACAATAGTATACTCAGTTTTTTCTTGCAATAGTCTACACAACTGATGGTGTCCTTAACGTCCCTTTTAGTTGACTAAATACTGAGCATTTATAGGCCAGATATCTGTCCTTACTTCTTAAAAAGCTGTGATCAGACCGTAAATAGATGTAACTTCTTATTGTCGTCCTTGTGACATGTGAGCAATTATTGTTCTGCTTTACGCCCATATTATTGGTTGTGGCCAGTAAATTGTACGGGATAGTTTTCTGACAATCAGACAAATATTTCAGATTCCTTTAGAGTAAATAAAAAATTAAGGGACCAATTATTTTGCCTTAAGCTTATATTACAAACATAATACCTTGATAGTGAGCAAACGTTCACACAACGTTCGGGCTTTGTCCAACTCTAATGGACGAAGAGAACCCAGCTTAGCCGCTATGTATACCCCCTTGTCAACGAGCTTGACCTTCTTAATCTGACCTTCAGTTTCAGCAATTTGAATGACTACACCAGAAATATCTCTCTTGGCACGTTTTTTTTTTTTGAGTTACAAGCTGATGTAGAAGTGATCTGCAATGATTTTTCTTTCCCTCAAGATTTTTCGATGATCACTTGATATTATCGTCTCTGGCAAATTCCCGTAATACCAGCTCAGTGAACGATCTTTATACAATATTTGTTTATGAAATTATGCAAAATGAAGTGCTCTTTCAAATGATGTAAAGTACAGAATTGCCTAAATTTAAGATGCTTTGTTTGAAAAATCAATTTTATTGTTGCTAGCATCCTTGGTAAGCACCCGGCAGTCAACTTTATCGCCGATAGTTGTCTTGCTGAAAGACTTGCTTTTGAACTGAGATGATTCCTTGTTAACCAATTCACCCCTTGATTTTTTAAAGGTGTCGACATCGACTCTGATTCTAAAGATTTAATATGGTGACTCTACTCCACACCCTATTTTTTCCCTCATACATGTAGCTGATGACTGCAACTCACTGCAAGTGCATTTCACTAAGAGAGTACATAGTATAAAAACCAAAATCTAGCAGCAAAGCACACGTACAAATAGTTTTTAAGCTCGCTTCTAGCCGCACACGTTTGACCACAGCCAGTCAGCCTTACAACCCAGGTAGCAAAGAATGAATTCTTGATAGCTCAAATAAAATTGACAGGTACAAGGAAATAATACAGTGACATGCCTATGTCATATCATTTATGATGATATTGTACCAGTTTGTGGCATGTGACAGGCCGTGGTGCAGGGCTTTTTAAGTGGAACGCGGGAAATTGGGTAATATTTTTTTTTTCAGTGGTTCACAGGAGAAAAAAAGTCCGCTCATTATCACGTTTCATGATTTTAAAATATAACTTTTTATTTTTTTGGGTGTACATACAATAGTTTATAATTTTTTTTTGTTTTGTTTTAATTTGATTTTAAAGCAGCTCTGTCTTGTTGATCGATTGCAGCCAAAGTTTTACTGGCATTGACAATTTGGACAACGTTGATAAATTGTTTAGCAAAGCAGATAACACCTGTCACTGATAAAGCAATCCATCCGAGCACTAAGAATATAAAGGGTTAATATGTGGGTCCGTGATGAATGACTGATTAATTAAACACTTACAATTTAATGGATCTGTAAATTTCATTACGTAAAGGGCAACAAAGAAAAGCTCATTACCACCACACATGATGAATAATACAATCTATGACTCTAGTTAATTGGATGATTTTGATTGTGATATTCCATAGAAACTTACATTGTTGGTGTAGTAGATACGAAGATACCAGCTTTGTTTCTCGCTAATCTTCTTGTGACTAGATGATCCCGAGATCATGGAACTTTTGTATGTGTTAGGAATAAATTCACTTTACTTCTTTTAAAATAATTCCTTTACCTGTACATGTGCATATAATGAGAACTGAAATCGAGTGAAATAAGGAATTGAAAGAGAATAGTCCATTCGGGGTACTTGAGTGAAAGGAAACACAAGAGACAGGTTGTAGTACATCTGCAGACAATCAGTAAGTATGACTCTCTCTTTCCCCATATATTTTTCTCTCCATTACCTATCTGTCACCATATCCAAAACAGCACCGAATTTACTGCCTAAAAAAAGAAAAAGATTCCATTTTAGCATTGGTTTATCTTAATACGAAGTAACTTACATTGATTATAATATCTAGCGGCATTGCCATCAACAGCGTCTAACAAGCAAGAGATACAATACAGACTTACACACACTTTTGGGTGCCAAGGCATATAGTATAGCGACAAGGCAGCCAAGATAATTCGCGTATAACCTATAAAGAAAATAGTTATTAGCAAGATGATAATCATCTACATTGCAAAGCTTACCAATGAGGTTAGGTACAAATAAAAAAATATTCTCTTTTGAACGAGCTAATTCCTTAACCATCTTTTTCTCCAAAAATAAAAATATATATTAGAAAAGAAAAGGGGGAGAGAAAAACATCATTCCACGTAAGAAAAAGAGTGCAAAGGGTTTTCTTGTGCCGTGGTATTTTTCAAGCACCGAAAACCAATGAGCTGGACAACATTCAATCCTCAAAGGAATATTGCACTTTTTTTCATTCGTTGTCAATTGTAAAATGAAACCTACTCAAGAAGCCCTCTTCGAAGAAACTGAAACTACGTTACTACATACTTTGAAGACAAGGTAGACTAGATATTGTCCAAGATGTTAGTGAAGAGACTTTAAAGGCTAATGCTAAACGTTCTCGTATTATAAGTGTAACTGAGGAGACTGCCTTGAAAAAAAAAAGGTAAGCTAAAGTAAGTTGTGCAGCATCCATCAAATACTTCGCTAGAAGGAATATAAGTCGACTATTCTGCTAGAAGTATCCATCGCACTGGTTTCAAAAGATAATAATGTTTTTAGAAGGCGTCCAGTTGTATTAAAAGCGGTCATCAAAGATGCGTTTTCAATATAAAAAACATGCAATATAGAAATGCATTAGTGATTAATGCAAGGTAGCATGGTTGTGAGCCACCTTGCTTCATTTATGCTTCTGAAATCTTTGTCTTAGTCAATTATCCATCAGCTTCCTTTCCTGTTTCTTGCGAATGATAATTATAAAATTACTGAGTATCAAAAGTTTATTCCTTATGTCTTGGAGCTTTAAGGTCTAGAGAGATGATTTTTAGTACATGGATAAGTATTTACTGTAAGAGTATTTCATAGTAGGTAAACTTCATATGGTGGGGCCGAAACATCTATCAATTATGCCCATTAGGCGTAAACGTGACCGCTAAATTCTTATGAGAGGGTTGCTTTCTAAAGGTTCTCTTTGTTCTTTTTTCTTTTTTTTTTTTTTTTTTTTTTTTGCAACTTATTTATAATGACCAACAAGAAGGAAAAATTAATTCGAGGACACCGTAGAGAATCAGCACTATTTACACTGCCCGAACTGCAAGACTTGAGAGGTACTTTGTCATTTAGTTGTACATAATACGTTTGTACTAACCATACAACAATAAAACAAAATAAAAGCGCACCAGAGAACATTCGAAGGAGCATACTGGAGAACAGCCTTAGCAGCCTTTTCGTCAGGCTTATTAATATTGAAAGTGTTTACTCGAGAGTTTTATAAAATTGGCATTACCTTCTTTGTATTTGGGCTGGCCATGTTGGCCATTGCGTTATGGAGAAGACGTACCTCCTTTGATGTATTTGACCAATCTATTCCATACAAGACGAGTGGCGACTGGGTTATCTTGACGACCATCGTTACAATGGCTACTTACATTGTTCTTTTGATTCTCTTGTGGAATCTTTGAAATGCATATACCCCTATGACAAAAATAAAAGCCTACACTGTCACGTGCTTCTCATAATTGATTGACGTGCGTTTAAAAGAAGGGAGATGCCAATTGTAAAGAATGAGCATGCTTGCTGAGTTGATATGTCCAATCAATAATATGCATTTTTTTTTTCCGTATATGTTTTTTCCATTTTATTTTTTCCCATTTAATTTTATTTTTTCTTTCTTTTACTCAACCAAATAATAATAATAATAATGCAAGCTAAAGAATGTCACATTTCTGACATTGAAGACCATGAGGAAGAAGAGTCAGGGTTTTATGAAAGCAGTTCAGAAAACGACGAGTGCTCGGGCGACGAGCATAAATCACATTACTTTGACCCGACCAAGATTACAACCTCTTTACCTTTACTACCGTTCAATAACCAAGTAGGTGGGCACGCGTCTTTTTTTCGGTTTTCGAAACGAGCGATTTGTAAACCTGTATCAGCCAGAGAGCAAGAGTTTTATGAAGACATGGATGCTCACCATCATGAACTTTTACCGTTTACATCGCAATACATGGGAGTTTTGAATGTCACCTATCGTCCTTCACATACCACAGGCTTACCTGTACCTGAAGTCCTGTTTGAAAAAAACAAACACTTGCTACGCGATTGGCGAGCATGTAGCGATCAACAACAGATCAGAAGACGACACTCCTGTTCGCCGTCTACACAGCGTTCCAGAAAATTCCAAGAACAAGTACTACGTGAAGTGTTCTCTCCTCAGGCATTAAAAGAGCGTTTATTACTGGCAGAGGATTGGCGACGAAAAAAGGTTATCGAGACAGCTCATAGTTACACACCGAAAAAAACAGGCTTTAATGATGACAATCCTATTGTGGAAGGTGGTCGTTCCGTACCAAACATGACTTCGACCTTTGATGATCAATACGAAAATATTGACAATATGACACTGGAACCACGCAGACCTTCTATCATCAGCTCCACCTCTTCTTCGCCACGACAAAGACATCATATCAAACAAGGCTCGGACGAGATCTTTTCTATGGATGATCTGGATATTCAACCGGAACCAAAACCATTAGTTCAAGCCAATTTACCCGTCTTACAAGTCGATTCTTCATGTCTGAAAAATCAATCCAACACAACCATCAATTCAGATAACCCGTGGTCTCTGCAGATCTATAATAGAGACCTCCAGCGTATGAGGCAGCGCAGAAATACCTTGACAGAAAATGTTCAGAAATTCATCTTGATTGAAGATTTGACAGATGGTGTCAGGTACCCGTGTGTACTTGATTTAAAAATGGGAACACGCCAGTATGGTGTTTATGCCACGCGTGAAAAAATGCGGAGTCAGACCATTAAGTGTGAAAAATCCACCAGCAAAACTCTCGGTGTGCGTGTATGTGGTATGCAGGTAGGATAACTAAATATTTTTAGTGTATATATACATATATATATATATATATATATATATACTTATACCCAGCAATTATAGGTTTACAAGAGGGACAAGGACCAATTCCTGTTTCAGGACAAGTATTATGGACGGACACTCAACCCCGAAACATTCTGTGATACATTGGAAGCTTATCTGGACAATGGGCAAGGCTGTCAGATATATCATATACCCGTCATTGTGCGTAAATTGCGACGTTTAGCAAGAATTGTCAAGACAATGCATGATTATCGATTTTATGCTTCTTCTCTATTGATGATTTATGATGGAGCACCAGACAGTCTGAAGAAAATCGATGTTCGGATCATTGATTTTGCAAACTGTGTGACAGCAGATGATGTACGCTTCAGATCCAACCAGTTTACTTTTCCACCTCGCAACAAAAGTCCCGATAATGGCTATTTATTAGGCTTAAAAACGCTAGTATTATCGTTTGAGTGGATCTATGAAAAGAATGGCGGTGACATGGGAGAGCTGGCGGTGGATGACAATGTCTTTGCTGATATTTATGATGCAGCTAATGAACAAGCTTTAGCTGCCATCTTAAGCTGAGTAAAAACATTTTTTTTTTCAAAAAAATAAAAATATTAAATCAATAATTTTATTTAAATAAGAGACTCTTCTTCTACTACTACTTCTTCCTCTTGTTCTTCAGAAGCGTCTACAAGCGTTTCCTCTACCTCTTCTTGTTTGTCTTCAATATCCACAAGTGATTTCTTTTGTTGAGAGAGTTCAGGGAAAAGGTTAGGATATTCGGCAGGATCTGCTAAACTCTCAGCAGTCTTTTTACGATTTTTACTTTCGAGGCCACCCTTCCATAACTGAACAATCTTGGAAATATGATCAGGAGCATAGGTTCTTGCCAACATGGCAGCTTCGGGAATACGATCCGTTTTGATCAGTAAGTCAATGGCTTCATCCATAGCTCCCAATTGAAACAAGCAAGAAAACGCAATGTTATTCTTACCAGTCTCCATCGCTGTATCTGCAATTTGTCGAATACCCGCACGGTTACCATTGGCCGTGTAAAAGAGTAGGAGGCCACTAAGGTCTTTTGCCTTGATTAAGCATGATTCAGCCAGCTTGAATTTCCACGAGGCTAAAGCAACATCACCCAACGTTCTCCATTTAAGCTCTTGATCTACTTGGTGTGCAATTTCTGAGGCAATATCTAATTTGCCTAATTGGATAGCCAGATCAAAGCGTTGGTCGGTATCCGTTGTTACAGTCAATGCCAACTCTTTCAAGTCTTGCGATTCCAAAAAGCGCGCAACACGGCCCTTTTGGTCGGCAGGGATAGACTCGAGTAAACCAGCAGCGGATTCAAGATCACCACGCAAAATGGCTGTTTGGTATTGAATCACGGTTAAAGACAAACTGTAGCTGTAGACATTGACATCACGATCTGCCATATAAATGCGGTTATCACGAGGCGCGTAACCCAATAAATACATGGGCTTATCGAAGTGACTGATGGTATAAGTCTCTGTTCCAACCAAATAATTCATACGGTTTGAATTATTGGTGTAAATGAAACAATCGCCAGCCCAAGTACCTGTCTTGATACCCTCGGGAATTTCTGTAATAAACTCAAAGGCCTCTTCTACACCTTCCTCTCCAGGATCACCGCCATTCTCCAAGAACTGAGAATAGGCTTGAGCATGGTATCGCAGCACGTAGAAAGAATCCTCACAGGCAATAGCAATCAAATCACCGTTGTCAGACCAATACACGTTTCTTGAATCGACATCGATACGACGTACAATCTCTCCACTTTCCCAATCATAAAAGTTCAAAAAGCCGTTACCTTTTACACCCAAAAGAGCACCTCCGTAGATTCCTTCTGCACTGTAATTTAACTTTCCAAGCAAACCAGCTCTTTCTTTAAAAGATTTAAAGATCTTCACTTTGGTGGCGGATTCACGGACAGCATAAATATTCGAATCATCGGCCCAGACAAAATCAAGACCGGAACCAAAACTTTTGTTTCTCCAGGCTAAAGCAGTATATATAATATATTCGCCATCACCACAGACCACAACAAAGCGGCCATTGGGAGAATGTTGCAAGGTTTGTGGATAAACTTCACATGAACCAAGGTCCTTAACAGGTAAGGCAAGACGTTCACCATCCTTGAGATGTTCATCCATGCCAGTTTTGATATTGGCAGTCTGAATTTCAGAGTGCTTAGCCCAGATAATCTTACCTGAGAGATCCATAGAGACTGCAGGTTCTTCGCGACCCAATTTGATGACAACAGCACCCTCATCATAACCAAGGGCAACATTATTACCATCCTTTTGAGTAGCCATACACCAAGAACGTTCCAGACCATAATTCAAGGTGTTTTCCAATCGATATGTGTCTGAATTCCAAAGACGCACAGTGCCATCTTCTGAACCGGAAAGGATGATGGGCAAATTAGGGTGAAAGGCAGCAAAGTTGACATTTTGGTTATGACCTTCTAAAGTCTGTACGCAATTCTTATTTTGATAATCCCAGATCTTGACCAAATTGTCATCAGCACAAGAGATCAAGTAAGGTTTATCGCCACCTTGGTAATAGTCAACGAAATTCACACCCTTTTCATGCCCTTCCAACGTAAAATTGGGTACATTAGATCCCAATGACCAAACCTTGATCATACCATCCAAACCAGCAGATGCAAACGTGTTGGTGTCTTTTGGGTTAAAAGTCAAATGCATGACAAAATGTGCGTGTCCTTCGAATACCTAATTTCTCGGGTCTTTTAATTTATCGTTTTGAGGGTGAGCCACTTTAAAATTCTTACCTGAGCACACTTCCAATTTTTCTCCCAATCCCAAAGTCGAATAGTCATATCATCCGAACCAGATAATAAGAGGGGTTGAGTAGGGTGCACGGCCAAGCAACGAATATAATCAGGGTGTGCTTCGAATGTGGTGACTTTTTCCAGTGTGTTGTAATTAAATACACGGATTTGCGAATCGTCCGCGCCAGTAATAATCCAGTTTTTACGGGCCACGAATTTGGCAGCTCGAACTAATTCAAACGTATAAGAATCGCAAATGAAAAAAGATGTGTCAGTTTACCTGGTGTTTCTGAAACTTCAATCGTCTTTACCAAGGCCTTTTTTATATTGTGAGTTTTAACATGCAGTAAAATAAGAAGAAGAATTAAAACGGTACCTGTGTCTCGTAATTGTAGATTTGGACGACACCGCTGTATAAACTGGTTAATAACCAAGGCTCAGTTGGATGCAAGTCAACACATTTAACACGTTCGGAACGCGATAATAATTTACGCTAAATGAAGAAGCGGCATGTTAATATCTAGTGTTCATCTTGAGAGAAATTCACTTGCCTTGATGTCAATACGCATGCCCTATCAAGGTAAAGAAAGTTAGTATGTCATTCATCTGAAAATGCAAAAGTCTATCGTTTATGGGTCAAAAGGCTCATCACGAGAGAGTGGGTTTTTGTTTACCATTTTTTGATGTAAAAAAAAAAAAGAAGAAAAAAGTTTGAAAAACGAATTGATACGTGCTCCATTCTTTTTCGCTTTTAATTTATTTCAAGAAGCGCTTCACAGCGTGAATTTGTAACATTTTTTACAGCCAATCCGCTCTCGTCAGCTGGAATTGCCACTTGGATCATTTTTCTAGCGAGGACGGGAAGCTTTAAGCAAATACTCTAGGCACTAAGTCTTTAACAAAACAAATAAAGTCTAAATAGAACACTAAAGAAGCGACTATAGCAATTGCTGAAGAAGAAAAAGGCTTTTTTTAAATGTTATAAGCTAGACCATCATAAACCTTAACCAAGTATGATTATGTAGGTATATGTGTACATAAGTCTGACATGAACAAATTATCAAAGTTTAAATTATTGCTTAGAACGGTATTTTTTAGGATATGATGTATTAAGGTAAAAGAAATCAATTTTAATGACTCTATACCTGCCTATAGTGTTCAATACTTTTTACGCAATGATTACTACAAGAGCTGGTTAATCGAATAAACCTCTGTAAGCGTGCTTTTTTAATAAACAATATCACCCCCTTCGCCTTCCTTCTACTTCTATCTTCATTGAAATCATGATTATAAGGATAATGCTCTTTGTTTTACCGAACCCATGGGTAATAATGTAAGTAACTATATTTTTTTATGCTAATACATATAATGAATACCATGGACAGCATTGAATCATTCCAGCAAATACAGCGACAAATATTTGCTACCTTTTTAAGGCAAATGAAGCAGGCCTAGATTTACAGTTAACGCAGTACTAAAGGGAGGTGCAATTTATACGCATTTATGATAAAATGACCACCAATTGATTTTAAAAACCCGCCCTTTAGTACTGCGTTAACTGTAGTTTTGATAAAACTTTTGCTGTAGTTACTCCCAGCTATCATTATCCCACATCTTGTATTTACCAACTGTATACATAAATTATTTTAACCCACATTTGATAAACAATCTAACTAACTATTACATATGAATGAGAATTTCTCAAATAAATAGTTGATATGATAAATTAATTTTCATGTATCTTTATCTCCTAGTGCGAATCAAGTCCCACCTCTACGTGTATATGTGAATTCTAGGTTCGATTAAAGGCTTGGGGAAGAAAGAAAAAAAAAGTGTAAAGTGTAAAGTACAAAAAGGAATAGGAATAAAGTGATAATTTACACTGTAGCACGACCTGGGTTAGAGATGACTTGACCAAATTCTAATACTTGGTCTCCATTCGCCTTAAAATCCCATTGATGACCTTTGTCTGCATAGTTTTTCCAACCCTAATAAATTAAAGTTTCATTAATTTGTTGTTTTTCTCTTGGTATTTTCTCTGTGTTACCTGTAAACAAGAGCCTGGGTTTGTATCGAAATTAGGAATATTCTCTGATAAAAGGTTAGATATCTACATATGCAACATTATCGATTATTAATAGTCCTTACCAGGACACATGCAATTTCCGAGAGATCCGTCATCCACACAATGCGCAAAATTATCATGTCGGTATCCAATATCATTAAAGAAATGCACTTGACTCTTATTCAAAAACATGCCTGCTGCCAAACTATGTACAATAGCGTCTCCCCAGCGTTCATAAAAGAAGTTGCCGGTACTATCCAAGTAATCAAAATAAGCTTGGTATCGTTCGTCACGCCATAGGTTTAAGCTCGCAATTTCGAAATTAGACCAATAATGACACAGGTTGTATCCTCCCGTAGGATCGCCAAAGAACTTTAAAAGTGTCGTGTTTAATTGCTGCTGGTGTGCAAATCGTAATGTATGTTCCCATAGTGTAGGGATGGTTTCAGGGATCTCTTGTAAAGTAATGGTAAAACCGTATTCCTTTCCGTTTTCTTTCATGTACTTGAATGGATCATAATCAAGATCACAGTAAAAACTGACGCCAGGTTCCACACGCCTAAAATAGTTTAGCTTATATGTCGCTTAGATAATAATAATAATTTACCAGTAATATTCATATTCCTCTAACAATTTGTGGCGATAAAAGAAACCGGAATTGAAACGACACATGTGACGGTACGAGAGATTATCACCATACATGATACCTCTATTACCGTAATCCTTCAGCTGTTCGTGCATGAGGGTTTCATTGACATGTTTGGGGACGGACCACATACTTTTGGGAACAGTGCCAAATTTGATCTTTGCGTTTGTCATGGCAGATATCGCCTGTTTAAATTCGGATGTAAAAGGTTCGTCGTTTAAGAATACATAAGGATAATTGAATTTGCGATTAAAGCGACTACAAAACTGAATTGTTAATAACATCTTTAATTAAGTATATAGACTAATTACTCCTCGAATTCTCGCATAGTACGGCGCATAGGATTTAATTCGTTATTTCGTACAAGAACAACAATCACTGCCTTCTCTTTTTTGGCATTTGAGGAAGATAACTTGCACGAAGACTTGATATCAACAGTGGTATATTCAATAATGGGAGCTGTTTCTACCACCACCAGCTCTTCAAGGGGTTCTATCAAATCTACATTGACGCTTTGTATCGATGGACGAGATACAAAATAAAGTGATCCGAAATATAGGGCCCCAATTGATAAAAGCGTTAAAAAATAGGTTACACCTCCTCTCATTTTCGTTGACGATTATAAAACAAAAAAGAAAGAAGAAGAGAGAAAAAATAAATAAATAACTCAGTTTTTTTGTAAGACTTCAAATTACCCGAGATTTATACAGGATTTTAGTCTTAATTGGTACACACCAACTGAAAAAAACTAATTTAAAGTAGCAGTACTGTAAAGACTTTATTGCCCGAAAAGACAATGCACCAATGGATAAAATCGGTCGGTTGATGTGCCACAGAAAAGACATCTCCAGCGCCATACCACGGACAATTGACAAAGAGGGATCGTCTTTCTGTGTAATACATCATAAAAATAGTTTTAATCTCAGGCTCTAGATAGACTGAAGATCCCTTTTTCTTTAAATATAAAAAATAAAACTATTTTTTCTGTTTCATGAACATTTGCGTTTGTAAAGGTTGGAAAATAGTTTACGAAAACTGAAACATGAGCCTAAATGATATCATTTATTTCATCAACTATCTGCGAATGCCAAGCCAAATACGATTTCGGGGATCTAAAATAGGGCATACAACACCCGAGCTGTGTGGTGGAAGATCTACTTAGCTCCGACCTTTACTTTTAAAAACCGATGACGTAGGGGCGTTTATCAACTTTTTTTTTCACATCAAAATCTTTTTATTTCTTCTTCCATTTTAAAATCTTTAATGAATCTATGAAGGTAATCAAGCAAGTAAAAGAAACACGTTGACTTTGTACACATGAACCCTGCCCTTCGTCGGAGAAATTCGCCGGCTGCCCGATAACTCTCGTAGTTGTCCCCAGCTGGGAGTGGGAGCCGTACTAGTCTTTGTGGAAAGATGGCACAGTTGAACCCTGCCCTTCGTCGGAGAAATTCGCCGGCTGCCCGATAGCTCTCGTAGTTGTCCCCAGCTGGGAGTGGGAAGTTGTCATCTTTCTCTTTTACTCTGCGTTAAAAAAATTAAACGGTATGTGCAATTGATTTGTTAGACATGCTACACTATATTCTTTTTCTAGGTGAAGATGTTTCATTATGTCTGGATCTGGATCTTCTATTATAGTCTAATTGGCGTTTAACAAGAGAAAACTTCTGGTCATCTAATAATCCAAAACTACCTATACTTTCTAAACGAACTGTTATCAAATAAACATTGTTTTTATTTTACACAAACTCATAGCATAACTCCTAATCAGTTATACCCATCGCTGCTATTTTACCTTTTATCTCTTCACATTCTAGCGATATATACATTCTTTCTATTTACCACTAGTATTTCAGTATTATTTGTACATGACATAAATTCTCTTTCAACAGTTTAACATTATCAGTAAATAAAAAACATAATCTTTTACAACTTTGTCCATCAACTTTAATAATTTGATACTACTGTACTAAAAAAATAACGGGTCTCTTAGGGACAGCTAGGGTGCGCGTAGTCGTAATGTTGGGATTATGATACTTTTATAGACATCAAGAGGTCAATATAACTTAACAACTTGAAATATATACGACCAACATAGTTTAAACCAGTATATGTGTTTTATAGCTTACTTTCAGCTTCTCGTTTGGACTTTACTTTAATATTTCTGCGTAAGATTAAGATCAAACGAGCTCAAAGGCGAAAGAGTGATGATAGAATTGTCAAAATAATTATAAATCGTTTAATATACATTTATTCGTAACTGTTACATTGTTTTTGATTGTATATCCTTGTTCCCAGGTCTACAGAACATCAAATCACAGATCTTACGCTGCGACTACGTGCACTTTGACTGTCCCTAAGGAAAATTTGGCTTTCCTTAAGAAAAGCGAAATACAATACGAAAACTAAGAGCTAGGGCTTTGTGGGCTTTCTTCGGTCACTTCATCCTTATGCTTGTCCTCATTTAAGCGAACAAGAACAGGCTCGACAAAGTCAAGTAAAGAGACATAGGTTTCACCTTTGTCGGTTTCGAAGTAGGTGTTGAGGATATCATAGATATAATAATAAAGTTAATTGTCACATCACATTATGGATGGATAATAAATATAAAAGAATCATGAATCACGCATTACCCCACTTGTTCTCATCCTACCGTTGGAGTCTGTACACAGGGCACATCCCTGTGGCGAGTAAATATTTATTCTGCAAAAGCAATACAATCGAATGGGCCTGGACTATGGAATATTAATAGATCCTGAGCACAAATATTACTCTTGTCATTTGATGTTATAACTGTTGATCCCTCTGACTAATATTTATATACTCAGTATGGAAGGGCTAAAATTAAAGACATGTTGATTATTTACTATCACCAGATTATTACATCATGATCCAATAAGGCGCTTACTATTCTCCCTAGAACTATCCCAGTTCTTTATATAAATATCCATAGTTTTTTCTCAATACCTTTTTGAATACATTTTTTGGAATACGTTTTTAATTATAATTTTTTCGTCCATAATAAAAGTGGTATCCAAGTTCTAACAGTATCACTTTTGGTTTATTTTTTTATTTTGTTCTCCATGCAAAACAGTAGGTCTCCCTCAATATTTTGTCATGCTCTTGACTTAAAACTGACAAAGCGTTCATTGTTTCGTCCAAAGCCACCTAGTGTGATTATCAAGTTAGTCGTTTCTTCATATTAAAGAAATAAAGATACATATACCCCTAAACTAACAGAAAATTTATCAAAGGAAGAACACCTTCAGATTTTTTCTGAAATCCTTGATAATTTCTACTTTTTGTTCCTTGTTCATAAAATACAATCCGGGGGAAGGGGTGAACATACTCCAATGTCGAATTGCATGATCTATGTGTATAAGGTATTTAGCAAGTATGTAATAAGTATGTCAATTTTAGTTACTGTGTGTGTGAGTAAAATGAACTTTCAAGTTCTTAAAACTGTTAAAGCTGGCATATTTGTATTTTCGGGCAAGTGTACGAAGCATCATTAATAAGCCAAACATCGCCTTGTAATGGTCAAAGCTAGTTTTTGCCTTATCGTTTTCACCAAATGCTGAAGATACTTCAGATAATAAGACTTCAGTTGCAATGCACCTGACATATTCACCATACTTGCCGCACCTGCCATATTCACCATACTTGCCGCACCTGCCATATCAATATTTTGTCATGCTCTTGACTTAGAACTGACAAAGCGTTTATTGTTTCGTCCAAAGCCACCTAGTGTGATTATCAAGTTAGTCGTTTCCTCATATTAAAGAAATAAAGATACATATACCCCTAAACTAACAGAAAAATTTATCAAAGGAAGAACACCTTCAGATTTTCTTCTAAAATCCTTGATGATTTCTGCTTTTTGTTCCTTGTTCATTATGTACAATCCGGGGGAAGGGGTGAACATACTCCAATGTCGAATTGCATGATCTATGTGTATAAGGTATTTAGCAAGTATGTAATAAGTCTGTCAATTTTACTTACTATGGGTGTGAATAAAATGAACTTTCAAGTTCTTAAAACTATTAAAACTGGCATATTTGTATTTTCTGGCAAGTGTACGAATCATCATTAATAAGCCAAACATCGCCTTGTAGTGGTCAAAGCTGGTTTTTGCTTTGTCGTTTTCACCAAATGCTGAAGATACTTCAGATAATAAGATTTCAGTTCCAATGCTATTAAATAGAATAGTTCCATCTGCATTGTATCTTAGCCGTTTATCTGTAATGCCTTGGTGTTGTAGTTGAACTGTCATGGCCTTGAGTTCTACTTCACCTGGATAAAAGTTTACATCGTGGCCTAGATCCTTAAGGTATTTGTTACATGCTTGTAATATAGGATGGACGACATAATGGCGCAAGCAACTTTCGGAAGAAGAAAGAGTTTCCGAGGAACCATCAAAAAGAGTAGAACTACAAAAATGGTTATTATTTTTTTTTTTTTGGTATAACGAAAACTTAAATTTGATGCAACTTACAATAGACTTAAGATGCATGTCGTTAAATCTCTCTTGGCAACCAAATCAACTGTACTGCTGCAAGTTCGAAACATCTCAACTTTATCAAGCCATTCTTTTGGGTTTTTCTGTTATTCATTTGAATGTAAGTTGTGTTGTTCTCCACATTTAAATGTTTTTTTAGCTTACTGAATTAAGTGCCTCCAATAACAATTGTTTGAAAATACGATCAACTTGTTCCATTTTGATATTTGGAACTTGCTTATTTAATTCTTGAAAAAGCTCCACAGGGAGCACTAGTCTACGAAGAACTTCCTTGCCACACCAAATTACATTGTGTGATTCAGGACTAAAAATTAAACCGGGTTTTAATTATTCATATTATTAAATAATGAAAAGTTATTATGTTACCTTAGGGCTGGCAAAACAGTGAAATCTCTTAAACTTTTCAATAAAATTTTCCATGATTCCCAAATATCATGAACATCATTTTCGTCATCTTCTTCTTCGCCACTATTGCTTGGAATGTCCTGAGCTTCATCTTTTTCTTCTTGGCTCTCGAACAATTGCGTACGAACTCGTTGTCTTTTCCTGCTTCCACTCACACCTTCATCGACAATTTCTTCGGCCATCTGTCCTCGTAATTGGTACTATACAGGCATCTTAGGTTAATTTTTTTTTTAATAGTGAACTAATAGAATAATGTAACATACCTTCGATTTCTCATAGTTAATAGATGTTGAAGCAATCGCAGCAGAGTCTTTCCAGAAGTTAGTAATAGCTGCTTTTCCTTTTACAGACTAAACAAATTTTTTTATTAGCTTTTCTCTACGATTTTTCTTTGTGCCTATTCTTACTTTCAGAGCACCTTCCATTTGGCGCAGCATTGTCTCTGCAATTGTACCGGGAATAACATAAGATTGCGTTATTTCGATATCTTCTGCGGGAGCTTTATTTCCGTTCCGAGCGGTAATTGTAGGATTCTTCTGTACAAGCTGCATGAGATAAGCATTTGGGTTCCAGTTACGATGCTCTTCTGTCATAAAAAACTCTACAGAGAAAACATGAGCGTGTAAATCATCATGAAAACTAAGACACGTACATGGGAAAAAGGGTTATTCGTAAGCCTCAGAATAGAATGTATCTGTAAAATGAGTTGGCTTTTGGGAATTCATGGCAAAAGTGTTGGGAGTAGACATTTAACATACAGTTGGAATCCAGTTTCTGGTACAAAAAAAGGGTATGTGAATGTATTAGCTCTGACCCTTACCTTTCAAAACCGATGACATAGGCGTTTATCAACTTTATTTCGGTTCCGAAGTAGGTCTCCCTCAATATTTTGTCATGCTCTTGACTTAAAACTGACAAAGCGTTCATTGTTTCGTCCAAAGCCACCTAGTGTGATTATCAAGTTAGTCGTTTCCTCATATTAAAGAAATAAAGATACATATACCCCTAAATTAACAGTAAAATTTATCAAAGGAAGAACACCTTCAGATTTTCTTCTAAAATCCTTGATGATTTCTGCTTTTTGTTCCTTGTTCATAATATACAATCCGGGGGAAGGGGTGAACATACTCCAATGTCGAATTGCATGATCTATGTGTATAAGGTATTTAGCAAGTATGTAATAAGTCTGTCAATTTTACTTACTATGGGTGTGAATAAAATGAACTTTCAAGTTCTTAAAATTATCAAAACTGGCATATTTATATTTTCTGGCAAGAGTACGAAGCATCATCAACAAACCAAACATCGCTTTGTAGTGGTCGAAGCTAGTTTTGGCTTTGTCATTTTCACCTAGTGCTGAAGATACTTCAGACAACAAGACTTTTATGCAATGCACCTGACATATTCACCATACTTGCCGCACCTGCCATATTCACCATACATGCTGCTATTACATAAAATTGTTCCATCTGCATTGTATCTAAAACGTTTATCTGTAATGCCTGGGTTTTGTAGCTGAACTGTCATGGCCTTAAGTTCTACTTCACCTGGATAAAAGTTTACATTATGGCCTAGATCCTTAAGATATCTGTTACATGCTTGCAATAGAGGATTAACGACATAATAGCGCAAGCAACTTTCGGAAGAAGATAGAGTTTCTGAGGAACCATCAAAAAGAGTAGAACTAGAAAAATGGTTATTTTTTTTGGTATAATGAAAACTTAAATTTTGATGAAACTTACAATATATTAAAGATACATATCATTAAATCCCTTTTAGCAATCAATTAACTGCCACCAACCATGCAATCTTGTTTCAAGGATATTTTTTTCGGCTGGATTCAGATGGTCTTGCAACAACGTTTTTACCAAGGCTTTGCCAACACCAAGCATTATTGTATGAAGGAGCTCGATTGGACAATCCAACATCGTATCGAACGATTGAAGGTCTACCAGAGCCTGACCACCAACAGGTCTGTAACCAGTATCGACATTAACCAACAAAGTCTTGTAATCGCCAGAAGCCAAATACCGCGCGTACATATCTGCAACCACATTTTCAGAGCGAGGGTCACAACGATAATCACTGTTATCAAGTCGAGCTGGGGTTTTTAATTCCCACACACACTCGGCATGGCATCTTGGCACCGCGACTAGAGGCAAGCTCCAAATGACGCGCATTATCAGCAGTGATAAATTGCAACGGAGCAACGACAACGACAGCCTCACCACCAGGCAAAAACATCTCCACACCTTTCTTCGACAACAAAAGATCCTCAACAATAGCAGGTAGCATTTGCATTACAGACAGCAAATGATCTGAACAGATGAAGGCTGTATTCTCAACTACATGTCGTTCAGCAAGAGGCAAAGCGGCAGGTACCATGATCCAACTATCAAACTTGTTGTGTTACTTGGTTCGATTTCCACTCATATCATCAATAACAACACAACTTATATTCAAAATGATAACAGGGTAACCAAGAAAAATGGCTTGATAAAGGGAAATGTCTAGACCTCCGTATTTTTTTCAAACGTATTTTTTTAAAACCACTTACAGGAATTCTGGCCAGAAGACCAGAAGACCAGCAGACCAGTATGATTACGACTATTTACAGTGTAATCCCAGCCATTCACAGTTCATGAGTACCAAAAAAACTCAAGAACTCTCTGCCCTAGAAGGTAGCCCTCCTATAGCAAAGACTAGCCGCAGCCGTAATATCGTAATACATCTTTTTCAATTTAGTGTCTTTTCAAAGAAACAAGAGTCATTACTAACTAACCTTTTTACATTATTGGTTACTTTCATAAGATAGAAGAAATATGCCGAGAGAAGAGAAAGGAGAAGAATAAAGTGTGTGAACCAGCTTTATTTATAGGCTGATAAACAAGCTTATGTCAAGATGATTTCATTTGTCTATTTTATCATCCATAATGTTTGAGCCTTTACTTAAAATAGAAACACTTGCAAAAACCTCCCAAGCAAGTCAGAGCTTGGTAATTGTCTATCTGCGTTCCAATAGTAGCTTGTAATGACAGTGAAGCAGATTTTATGGAAAACAGAAATCGATCATCCCATGAAGTTTAGATGATATGGCATGTCAATCGACGTGTAGACCGTCGCGTGATTCTAAAAAATACGTTTGAAAAAATACGGAGCTCTAGACATTGCCTGATAAAGTTGAGATGTTTCGAAAGTGCAGTAGTACAGGCCAGAATTATCCTGTTAAAGCTTCAAACAAAGTTCTTGAGGTAACTGTGTCCTTCAAGTCCACTATTAAAGACTTTGTTGATAACAATGATGATGATAAAATCATGAAAGTTCGCTCGACCGGAATGCTCCGAAACGGAAACCACCTCTTTATCGGTGAGGTCGTCAAAATCGATGCGTTGACTGGTGCTCCCACCAACTTTGAATACGCTCTTTGGTGTGAACGTGGGACCTGTGACAAGATTCGAACTTCTAAGCCAGTCCGACGGTTTAAACTCCTGTGTTTATTACGTTTGTAACAAAGACAATGGAAGAAATCTGTCAGGTACTTTATCCTTGTTTAAATGTTGAGTCCAAATTGGGTTAAGGTGTCAATTCGTACAGTCAGGAATGTAAGTAACTTTAGACAGAAAGAAAGTTGTCTTTATTAAGTTACGCGTCTGATTACGACATACTGTTAAACTAGTGACGTAATAGTCACGGGACCTATTTTGACTAATTATTCCAAGATCAAATACCGCTTTGACAAATCTTATTGAAAAGCTGTTGCGGACGAAGAGAAAAAGAGTGTCAGTTTGTGGGGATACTTGATTTTTCAAGAAAGATGAACCTTCGTTTCAAATTAATCAATGCCATTAAGTTTGGCATCTTCTGGTGGGCATTGTCTCTTAGGCCGTTCCCAAGCAAATTTTTCTTCAATGTTTTTTTACCAGTCAAATTTATGGGGGGTTGGGTATTTTACAAATTGGTAATATGTACCCTCCAAAGGGGGGGGGGGGTGTATATTACAAAAAAGTAAAAACAGTGTGACATGACTTAAAATAATATTGCTAATTACAAAACTAGCATGTCTAATTTAATGGTTGTATATAGGCCACATCTCTATCCTGAGTATAGTATAATTATAAGCTAGTACTTATACTGGGGGGTACTATTCTTTTCCCAAATTGAGCGAAAATAAATTTTGCTTGGGAACGGCCAAATTGGCTTAAATTTTTGAAGGATGGTGGTCAATTCAGAGCCATTCTTACCTGCATTAAAATACTTAAGCGATAATTTAGACGGATATTTATGTTTATTGTTGTTACTTGACGGCCATTATTAAGGCTTTCCAATATTTTCTTAAAATTAAGAACTGCTGCCAAATCCCTGTTCCATAATTTCCTCTCAGCAATGCCTCCATCTTTGTACTCTATCAAACAATTCACGTTCTCATATCTACATCAAATACGAAATGTCCTCATTAAAGCTTTTCAAGTTATGTATTGAATACCCAAGTAAACCATAACAGATGATGGTTGGTGTTTCTTTGCGTCTGTATGGCCGTAGGCTTGTAATAGTTTGAATTTTTTTCAACGACTGTTCACAATCTGGGCAGAAGGATGACGTTCTAAATTCATCAATAAGGAAAACTTCAAAGCCATTCTTTTTTAACATCTTTATGAGCCCCTTGTTTCTTCTTGGCTCTTGATACTTCACGTTTGGAGCTGCCAATGGCCAATTAAAAAAATAGAGTCTGGTCCGAACTCGTTTTCCAGTCTTTTGATCAAATCGGCATCATCCTTGTCGTAATATAGCTTACTAAAGAACTTCGTCTTTCTGAACGGTGAGAGTTTTAACTTTTGTAATCGTTTACTCGCAAGTTGCTTTAGATTGTTATCACCGTCATTACTATCAAGTATATTCCCATAAAGCTCGTTCAACGAGTCCTTCTCTGCATGGTCTAAGCGTTTACATATGTGCTCTTGTTTAATTATAATTTCTATATAAGTTGCGTACAAATGCAAATTACTAGAACTATCCGAAGAGTCCTTGTTTTGGGGTAAGTGATCACGAATGTTTGTAACAAATAGTTGTCCATAGTAGATGAACTTGCATCATTTTCTCTGCCTATGATGCGTTGATTAACTGTCAAACTATGTACAATAATGATAAGTTTAGTAGTACATAAATAGACAAAACCAAATACAGACATTCGTAGCTTTAGGGCAGGGATCAATCTCAGTAGAGGACTAATACGGATAAATACAACTTGGGATGGGCTGTCAAGGTTCAAGTGTTTAACAGGTCTTTATATTCATATACCAATCTTCGTGTTGGTAAGTCAGGGAAACAAATTTAGTGCCGAAACACTAGGAGTTGAGTACTTTACTTCAGGGGCGGGAACAACACATATTAGGTTTAACAAAGCTACTTTATTGTAGAATTAAATATATAAAAAACGCATACTAATATAAGAGAGCAATTACTGAGAAAACTGAGTATCGGTTAACTTAAGAGGACTTTTTATCTAAAATTATCGTTTTATTCATAAGTGAACGTTGAATTAAGGTTGAGGGCGTCTTTTATCTATGCAATTAGTTTTTGGGTTGTCTTAAAGTTCAGATATTTTAGCTTCCAATTTTCATTTTTGATTCGTCCAAAAAAAAAAAACTGAAAGTCTTGATTTTATCTATTTCTTAGCTGATTATACATGTCTCTTATACTCCGTTTACTATTCATTTTTATTTTAACAGCCCTCAAATTCTTTAACTCAGCAAACATTTCACCTGCTACTTTTTTTTCTTCTTCAGTCCAGGGACTACGATCCACATCCGGATCCAAAAAATTATGATAGCGCGTTCTTAACTGCGAAATACTGCGTTGACTCTTCATCTCGGTTTGAATCTTTTGAAATTCGTCAATACCGTATTTCTTCACTGCTTGCAGTAAAGCATCATCCTCTTCTTTTGAAAACTCACCTTTTCGGTTGTTAGGGATGGATTATTCAAGTCACAAACATAACAAAAAACACATACCTTTTTTCAAGGTGGACACTTCATAGGCCCATTTATTTCGACACTGATCCTCACTTCTAGTCCCAATCTCCTTTGCGATTGTCTCCCAGTCTTTCCCATGCTTAGATACCAATTTCTTTAAACGTTCAGTTTCTGCCGGTATCCAACTACCACGATTTAAGGTTGGGTGAATTGAATTTTGCCAAAACTGTTTGATACGAGCAATTGTTCTCCTTTTAGGTAAGCTGCTTTGGATCGCTTCCCAGTCAATATTTTCTGGATCTTGCTCTGAACCGAGGCGTTGTTGTAAAATCTTCTTTTCTTCCAGGGTCCAGCGAGTGGTATCATGCGTCACTGAGAAATAATGCGCTCGAATACAGAACGAAGTTCTGCCTGGGAAGTAATTTGCAAACACTTTCCACTTGTTACCATATTTCGTCACTAGTATCAGCAGCTTTTCTGTATCTGCTCTGGACCATGTACGTCGTATGCTATAAGGTGTAGGCTCCGTAACTGAATTCGGATCTCGAAAGAAAATAGAGCTGGTTGAAAAACGTTGACAAGTAGACGGCCGTAAATGCAAACTGTTTTTTCTTGCAATGGAGTGAAATAGTGCAAAACTTAAACGATTTAAAACAGCACTTGACATTTCTGACAGGGTATCTAATTTGAGAAATGAAGAAGAGTTTTATTTTATTTTTTTGAGAAAGAGGAGCGTTGTTATATGTCCGGTCCGAGACATTTTTGTGCCCGTCACTAAAGTGTAAAAAGCCTAGTAGCGAATTAGCAGTAATATGTCCCGCATGAAAAATGTCTTTGTCTTCTCCCACTGTTTAGTAAATATTCACATAAATGCACGATATATTAGTACATTTGTCCAATTTATAAAAGAAAAATGATTATCAATGAAAATTTATTAATCGAAAACGTTGCTTTTCTTTCTTTCTCACTAGCTGAAACCCTTCAATTCTTTAACCTTCTTTAAGATTGCTCTGATGACAGTCAATGACCTTTCATCCGGAATCCCTTGAGCATAAAACCCGTTTGTTACATAAGCAAAGCCAATCTTATATTTTTCGTTGAATACAAAAAAAGCTCCTGAGGCCCCAATACCCCCAATAAACTCGGCGTCTTTGTCACTGTCCGGAATATTCAAGTAATCATTAGGAAAAATCATTAGGCCACCGCGAAGGTTATTAATCACATCGTTTGGAAATATTGCGTCTTTTTCATAGTCACCCATGTCCCGTGTTGCCTCTTCAAATGTGGTATCCGTGGTAAAAAGATCCGGTTCGCCCTGTACAATTGCTTTCCCACGGTTAGCCAGCATAGCTGCTAGTTTTGCCATCTAATGTAATATTAGAAATATGGGTCTGATTACATCCCGATGTACTTTACCGAATCAGCATTTGTATGACCGGAATAGGATGGTCCTTCTATCGATCGATGTTTAGGATTAATTTTTTGAATATCTGTATTCTGGTTTATATGAGGATTTATAAGAGATCGGTAAACAAGGCTGTTCTTGTTAAATAGACCAAACGCGAATGAGCTATCCTTGAAAGGATTCAATATGGTAGCGATCAAACGTGCATACTGTTGATATTTGGGAATAGGATAGAACGGAGCAATACGGCTCTTATCCAGACCCTCTGTTGCATATGGTTTTAAATACCATTCAGATCCCCATTTCTCCATAAACTCACGGGCAAAATCATCAATGGTGCGGTGTTGTGGGTCTACACGTCGGATGATCTCATTTTGAACCCAGCCTTGTGTAATCGCGTGATATGCATGAACAGGTTTTCCGCCAAAGTTATGGGGCTGCTTGGCGAGAACATCCGCTAGTCTATCAAGATCAGATGCATTATAATAAGACAATGGGTAGTCCAAACACGCTAAACCTGATTTATGTCGCATCTAGAAGGTAGAAAAAAAAAAGAGATATGTTCAATCATTTACAATTTCGTCCAGAGGTTGCTACTTACAAGGTCCTCAAGTGTGACATTTTCCTTGTTTCCCTGAGCAAACTCGGGCCAATACGTCGAAATGCGCTGATCATATGAGAGCAATCCTTGTTCCACTAACTGCGCTATAATAATAGCATCCTATTGAAGGAGATGAAAAAGCGTGTTTCAACGATTTATAAATAAAAAATATTTACCAGACCCTTCGTACACGAATACACCATTTGTAGGGTTTCATTTGTGTATTCGATTTGTTTATCTCGGTCATGCCATCCGCCCTGGAGACTTAAAACCTGCTTTCCGTCTACATAGGCCGAAATAGAGGCCCCAATATCTAGCCCTTGCTTGAAATTGTTCACAAATATATTATACACTTCCTTATATTCATCATTGACAAACCCGTGAATTGGTATATGAGACGGGCACCCGATATGAAGCAATGAACAAGAGAAGCTGGTATAAGGTGCCTTCATTAATACATTGTATGCTATTATAGACACTAAAGGTACAATTAAGCCAACTTTTTTTCCGAGAAAAGACATTTATAAATATACAAAAAAGAAGAAAGGATGTTCGAACCGTGATGTATTTTATATGAAGAGGTGTTTAAAGTCAGCAGAAGTTATTGGTTGAGATTCTTAGCTGACACTCGGCTTGTGTGACATGTCTGGGTGGGAGGGTGTAGATTAAACAATTCGTTAACCTTCCGAACTATCAAAACATGTTTACAGTGTGGAGGATTAAGGGTTTTCTTATGGTTTCGGTCTTTTGCCATGGAAAAAATGTTTTTAGCTGCATTAACGTCTCTATTCCACCATTCTTTGTAACTTTTGCAAGTTGACAAACCATGAACTCGTCCAAAGTCTTCAACATTAACATTCATTAAAAATCTGGTCAAACACGTAGAACTAGTGCAGATTTTAAGTAAGCTATGATAAGCCAAATTGTATATGTGTATGTATTACTTGAGATGTGAGATACTCATCAACTACATATATCAGGACTAACCTTTCTTCCGAATTTGGGTCATTTAAATTTTGTTCGAATTCTAGCATTTCCCAGGGCAATTATCGGAACTTCTGGTTGATCGGTAAAAGGTGTATTTGTCCATTTCTTTGATTTGATTTCATTTTTTTTGTTGTTGTTTGGTGGACACAAAAACATCTACAGTTGTTGCTACTGGGGATAATATGGCACCTTTACCAACTATTAGCATCTTCATTTTTCTTTACCTTTGTCTTTACCTATTTATACTTACTCTTTCTTCTTGGACCATAATCTTTCCTTTGCTCTCTGTGCGAGTGAACTTTCTTTTCGGGATTACACTTTTTACCGTCAAAACACATTAAACATCTCATTGTCCATACGTTGCTATCTTCGATCGCTTGAGACACCAATCTCGGTAATCATTCTATCGTAAAAGTTCAAAGGCTGTGGCAAATGGGCGAAATAATATATATATAAAAAAAAGATAGTTTGTTAAGGTTTCTTTGAGATGATAAAATAAGATTTATTTTTTCCATGGGAAAAAAATCCAATTGACCAACCTTCCTCTTTTTGTTCGATATCCTCACACGAGTTGGTTTTTAGTTGTCGTTGTTTTAAGTGGACTCTTTAATTGAACCGATGTCGTCAGGTGAGTATTCAGTATTTTGGCTGTTAGCGATTAACGCTTCAGCACAATAAACAGCGTAATTCAACAGCGAGTTAAATTGGCACAGAAAAAAAAAAAAACCTTGGAAGTTCTTTACAATATAAAACTCGCAAATCATCCTTGGCATTATTTGCATAAAATGTTGACTCATCGTGTGTAGCAAACACAATTTGTTTGAAACCCTCATCAAGAATCTCCTCCTCATTAGCACAAGCATAATATTCTAATTTTCCATCATTGTAACTGTAGTTATGATCCGTGTTTCAAATAATTCAACAGAAAGCTGGCCATAAAAAAGTCGTCAACGTCAATTGAAAAACACTTTACTATTTTTGACTGTATATCGCTACGCAGCACTTTTCCGAATTTAAAAGCAAAAAAGCATAGAGGGTATGATGAATTTTTTGCACTTTACAGTATTGCTGTCGATTTAGTAACCCCAAAATGGTGCTTTAAGAGTAATGCTCTGTATATACTTTTAAGTCATGTGTATTTTGATGAAGATGTTTTTTTTTGTAAATCAAAAAGGTATAGAAATTATGTGACTTACAACAATCCCATCCAAAAATTGAGAGCTTAACCTAGGCAATTTTCATCGTACAGAGAAGGCTCTTCTTAGCTGTAATAGCACAAGAATTGCAATATATCTTTTCCATTATTAACAAGAATTGTAATATATCTTTTCCGTTTTAAACAAGAATAGATAATGTTTGAAAAAAAAAAGTCACTATTAACCAAATTTTTCACTTTCTTATACAAAGTGATATTGACTCAATGATTTTATCTTTTGGTCCGATGGGAAAAGAAAAGGCGAAGAAAAAATTATGTTAATGGGGTTTATTTGTGGTCTGATAAACAAGAGATGCTTTATGTCAAGATGAGTTAATTGTTTGAGTGATCACCCATAATGTTTGAGCCTTTACTTATAATGGAAACGTCTAAAAAATGCTCCAGATTTATACACATAAATTATCTATCAACGTTCCAGTAAGTATCAACACGCAACTGATAATATAGTCTATATCAGTGCTCATCGATCTAATATTTCATTGCCGTCTTTACTCGATTTTCTCTTAATTATTCTTTCGACAGAGTATAAGTGAGCTCTTTTAGATGATCTACAGCATTTTTGATTTGGAGATATTAAGGTCACAGAATTAGTTTGTCAAATTTTCCATCATCCCATCATCCCATTCAAAACCAGCCCAGCATATTAACTGACAAAGTTAACCAAAAAAGCCTCATATTTTTCAAATGATAATACAGGCCTACCAACTGGTCTTCCGCTACCGGGTATTTGCTTGATGGTATCTTGGCAATTTTTTTTCATCCTGTTTGAACCAAGTTTGCGCTATATTTAACTTCTTAGCAATTGCCTAAATGGACATATCTGTCTGCGTGTGGTAATAATAGAACGTTTCCTTATCTTTGTCCTTATAACATCTATACGTCTCTTAATTTGGCTTTTTGGGATCGTTAGTGCGTGTCTTGTTTTCCATAGGCTATTTCTTTCTAGTCTGTCTTTGCTCTTTCTCAGGTGGTTTGACATCGACATATTGATCGTATTCTGTAGAATTTTCCAGGGGAGAGTTTTCGGAGTCGACATCCATAAGCATTTCGAAAATTTTATCTCCTTGCTAGTAAATTACGTCTTCTTGCCGATTCTCAATTATAACTATTCATTGTTAAAAGCTTTTCTGCAAAAAAAGCTCCAGAAAATGAATAATTATTTGTTTTCATGTAATTTTTTTTTTTTTTTTCGAAATATTATTGGGTCGCTCATAGGAATATTAGTGTATTGAATACACGTTGGTTACATTTTTTACTTTATCTGGAATTAATCCTTGTACTTTGTTGCCGAGAATTGATTTTGCCTCCTTGGCGAAGACCTCAAATTAGCGATATGGTCAAAAAATGACCGCATTCACCACGATTACGGCCGAAATCGTTGTTGACCACCACGGTGGTAGAATAATAAAGTTTTCCATCATTGAGTCGAATGCATTATGTATATCAGGAAAATGACCCATCCGCTCCATATGGCGTAATTGGCTAAATGTTATATCTTTTAACTTGCAGCAGGAGCGTAATCGCAAATTCTTTTTATTGGTAACTGGCGTATGTGTGTGAGCACCAGGATCAGATAAATTGCTTAGTTGCTTGTACGAGCATGAGTTTTGCGCAGCCAAAAACTAATAAAATAAATAAGATGTAATGTGCGATCTAAATTGTCAAAACACTAGTGGCAAGGCACTGCATACAATAGAGTTTTGCTTCCGGTTTGCACAGCTGATGTTTTTTTTAGTGGGGAGTGCGGGGTATGTAATTGAAATATCATCGTCATTGCTGCAGGTGAATACACATATAAAAAAACGAGAAAAAGAAAAAAGCACCCTTTGCTCTCTTCTTCTTCTTAAAACAATGAGTGATACGACGAAAGCTGTAGTAACAAAAGTAGGGCACACGCTAGTTGGTAGTGATGCAGAGCTTTCCTATCTACGTGATCTGTACCTTCCAAAAGAATTAAACGATCGCGAAATAGATAATGGTCTGTTGGTTTACAAGTCAATCACAGCATACCCGCCCGTGAAGCAGCTGCGTCCTTCTGACCGTAAACGTATCTTGGTGACAGGTGGTGCAGGTTTTGTGGGCTCTCATTTGGTCGATCGACTCATGTGGATGGGACATGAGGTGATTGTATTGGACAATTTCTTTACAGGCTCTAAGCGAAATGTGCAGCATTGGATTGGTCACCCTCACTTTGAATTGGTGCGTCATGACGTGGTCGATCCCTTCATGATTGAAGTCTCACAGATTTATCACTTAGCCTGTCCAGCTTCTCCTCCTCATTATCAGTATAATCCTACCAAGACGGTCAAGACAAGTGTGATGGGAACTATCAATATGCTGGGTCTTGCCAAACGTACCAAAGCTAGATTCTTGCTTACTTCCACGTCTGGTAAGATAATATATATATATATATATATATATGTGCGTAGGTATACTTATAAAAAGAATAGAGGTGTATGGTGATCCTGAGGAGCATCCTCAAAAGGAAACGTATTGGGGTAATGTGAACCCAATTGGACCCAGAGCTTGTTATGATGAAGGTAAACGTATTGCCGAGACATTGACATATGCCTACATGCGACAGAACGATGTGGATGTACGTGTGGCCCGTATCTTTAAGTGAGTGTGTGTGTAGTCAAACATAATTCTTTTTTTTAACAATTAATTAGTACATTCGGACCGCGTATGTCACCAGCTGACGGACGAGTGGTCAGTAATTTTATTATGCAAGCAATCAAGGGAGAATCATTAACGTTGTACGGTGACGGAGAGCAGACGCGATCATTTCAATATGTACATGATTTGGTAGATGGGCTTATATTGTTGATGAATAAGAATTACAGCGAGCCAGTGAATTTGGGCAATCCTGAAGAGTATACGATTCGAGACTTTGCAGACATGATTCGCGAAATGGTATTACAGCCTCCACTTTCGGCAGATCATGTGAATATCAAGATATTACCCGCTGCGTTGGATGATCCTAAGAAGCGTAAACCAGATATCACCAGAGCTAAAAAATATTTGGGTTGGGAGCCTGGATTTTCTGTTAAACAAGGATTACAAGAAACTGTCGACTGGTTTAAAGTACAAGTCACTGAAGGCTCTATTTAAGTCTTTATTTATTTTCAATCAGTTTACCCACAAGTAAATATTTTCCTTTAAATAGATTTTCCTAATACACAGTTTAGAGAAAATATAATAAAATATGTATATCTTTTTTTACCCATTCTCTTAAAGACTCCCAATCATCTGCCTCTAAATCCTCAAGCTTATCTATTGGTCCATAAGGGTCAACCATCATTTCTGGATCAAATGAGTTTTTGGCAAGTCCACGCGATGCATCATGGCCAGCAAAATTCGCATATGGGCTTCCTATGTAGTATCAACACGCTCAGCAATCTGGAAGAGTCTTTTTTTTTTTATTATTTACCTGGCCCGTAGAAACTGCGACCTTGAGTAACATCGTACACTGAGCCGTTTACGCCCATCAGAATGCGACTGTCTTCGGTACCATTGTAAGGCAACAGTTCAACTGGCGTATAGTTTTTAAAGACAATCACATTAGGATGTTGTGCCTTGATGACTTGAGGTTTATTAGACAAAGTAAAGTAGCGCAAGATGTAGACTAGAATCTAATCTCATGTTACAGGTGTAAGTTTTGAGAGTTAAATAAAAGTAATTTGAGCTTACAGCTGCCAATGCCCAGTTGATGGGATTATCTAGAAGAAAAAAAAAATAGAGATGAGAAGGCATGAAGACCATGGCTCGAATACTTGGAAAGTTACCTTTTAATTGTGTCAAAAGTAACTCTAATGTCGACATTATATAAACTGGGAAGAAAGAAAAAAAAAAAGAGAGTCCTCTTATCCAATGGAAATCCAGTTTTGGAAATAAAAGAATCTGATAAAGCCTCCCCTGCCTCTCTTCTAATTTTTGTTTTTTACCTTTTTTTCGCAGTGTTAGTTATCTATCAATGTTACGACACTGTTGTAGAGTGGGTATTCAAAGACCAAAGATGGTTAGATATGCCATGTCTTTAGCCAGACCTTTAACCCGTATTGAGTCAACTCCCATCAACCAGCATGCCAATGACTTTGCCTCCATGTTGCAACTCTCCAGTAAAGAAAAGCAAAAAAAAAGCAACAGCGTAAGACAAGCATACTGAAGAAGACTTTTTTTTGTTAGGTAAACGAGGTATGCAAGTCACATGGTTGGGTCTTGCATCGAATGTAGGTCTTACCCTTTCCAAAGGCACAGCAGGCTTGTAAAGCATTTTCGTTATTTATCTTTTTGATCGCTCTTTACTCATTCACACATGAATATGATAGTATTATGAACTCGGCTTCCTTATTGGCTGATGCTGCCCATTCACTCAGTGGTAACACAAACACACCGTAGGAAAATGCAACTCCGCTAATATTTATCAGATCTTTTAAGCGATTTTGTCACACTGTATACGTTTAAAATGTCTAGAAAAGTGCCTGATGCCATTTATCCGTATGGATATGGCAGATATGAGACTATCGGTTCACTTTCAGTGTCTGGATTGTTAATGGGAGGAGGTGTGGGTATAGGCTTGCATTCGTTTCATCTGCTGTTGGCGACACTGGATGGGACACTGGTGTCATCAGGTGAACTGGACCCAAATGCAGCCTGGTTTGCACTGGGTAGTGTTGTTATCAAGGAATGGTTGTACCGTATCAGTAAGTAGATTGATGTTAAAAATAGAAAGCTGTAAAGGTTATTCACCCTTGCATTAGCATACAAAGTGGGTAAAAGTGAACGCAGCGATGTCTTGATAGCAAATGCATGGTAATGGTAAAAATAGAGCAGGGAAGCACTAACTAAATGAAACATACAAGGCACCATAGGTCGGATGCTTATTCAAGCTTCGTGGCACTAATGGCTATAGGAGGCACGTATGCTGGTGTTCCTATGTTTGACCCTTTAGGCGGCATAGTTGTCTCCTGTATGATTTTAAAGAGTGGTGCGATCATGATGAGTCAATCAAGCCAGGAACTCTTGGATAAAAGCATAAGCGAGGACGAATTGAATGATATAAAAGCCATTGTAGCCTCTGTCAAGGTAAATATTTAAGTGTAAATATAAGGTTTATAAATACACTTATATATTATAAAAAAGGAAAAAGAACAGGATTTATTGGACTTTTATTCTATTCGTGGACGTAAATTCGGGCCTTTTCAACATTTGGATTTAACTTTACAGCTAAACCCAGACCTGGCTATTTATAAAGCACATGCGATTGAACAACGTGTGCGACAGACGATCAAGGCAAAATGTGGTCATGTACAAGAAGTGATTATTCATATTGACGCAGAGAAACAACCTAGACACTTTTAATTAATGTAGATCTTTATTTCGGAATAGACTTTTCCGATCAACCCGACTCATATTATGATGATTCTGACGATAGATAAATAAACAACTGATTGACAACAAAAATAGACGTTCTTTTTTTGTTTTTAAATTTTTTATATAATATATATATATATATATATATATATATAAATGTTTATGTAGATGGCATAAGTAGTGGCATATGTAAGGATTGAACAAAACGAAACAAAAAAAGCTATACAAGAAGAATAAATATAACATAGAAGGGGGGTATTAGAAGTAACACAAGCAAATAGTAGGAATCAAACGTCAGCGTCTTTGTGATATGGTAAAGCATCTAAACGCGACCTCAATTCAAACAAGGCATCTGTCCACTCTTCTTGGAATCGATGAGATCTGTCTGGATGTAGTGTTTGCATCAGGTGTCTAAAGCGGTCTAAGCAAGCATCTACAGCTTCTGTTGCTGTTATTAAATCGCCACTGTAATAAATGGATCCTTGTGATTCTATTGCATAAGCCATCTATTCGGAAAGAGATTAGTAAGAATATTTGAGTATTTATTCTTAGGATGTGATTTACATACCTCGTCCACAGCCAAGCTATAGAGTTGCTCGAATTCTAGTATCTGCTTTTCTTCTGCATCTAGAGAGTATTCGGATGACACACGACTTTCGTATGAAACTGTGGTACATGTGGATGAGGAGGATGATCTTCTCTTGATACGTGGAAACCAGCGTGTGGGTGTAAAGATGATGGTTGAGGTGTCTTCATGGCAATTACATGTACAGCAAGAGGAATGCTCTTTGTGTGTGTTATTGTTGTTAAAAAGTGATAATAATGTAGGCATCTTTTGTGGTTAATAAAGAAGAAGAAGAAGAAAAAAAAAAGAAGCTTTCTGTTTATATTATATATACATAATTCTCCGCCTCAGACTCCCCCCATACACCCTACACACATATACATATACACACAGGACCCCCCCCCTTCTCTTCTTCACTGTGCCTCTTTCTCCTTGATTTCTTTATCATTGTACCACCTCATTGTCATCCCCTTTCCATGTGATGTAAGAAGGGAGAACACTCCTTTATTATATTGTCAAGTCCATTGTGCTTGTGTCACCATCATTTATAAGAAAATGCATAATAAAATTGGCTGGCTGGCTAGGGTATTTTTAGTGTCTTTGAAGCATCAGTTTAACCTAATCATATATGTTAGTTCATGATCAATTATAGCTTGAAGCGACTTACCTCCTCCACCTCAACTGACACACTTGCGTCCAGGTCAGCATATGCTCGACAAAGGGGACAATTAAATCCGGGATGGTTTGCCAGTAATGGCCGTAAACATTTGTAATGAAATGTATGAGAACATGGTGCGACAAACAAGGCTTGAAATGGTGCTATTGCGAATAAACAAATGCAACATTCGTCCACATGAATCTCATCAATTTCCTCATCTAGTATCATTTGATGGTTAGGTGGTGTTGTGAGGTTTCGTAGTGAATGATATGTTTTAAGGCTGTATATACAAATTTAGCATAATATACAACACAATATATATTTAATTGTACAAACTTGAATTTCCTAGAGGCTACATTGTCTGGGCTTTCTCGGTTCAACTCAAGTCTCATTCTTACACAGCGATATATTTCTAATGATGGTTAGTTTTATTGTTGTTTATATATGATTGTTATTAGTTTACCTTGTGTACCACCTTGATAATCAACCCCCAATTGAATAATGTCGTTATCTTGAATCTCATGAGCCTGCGAAACTTGGCCGGGACCACATAACCGTCGACTATTAAGAAAAGTGCCAGAAGAAGACTTTACATCCCGCAGATAGACCTGTATTATATGTTTAGCCACGACATGTATAATAACTAAAAATATGTATGTACCTTTCCCGCCTCTAAAAATATTTCTGCGTGTTTGCGACTCACGACTTTACTCCTAAAAGTCATTTGAGACTTGGTCACTCTTTTTTCGGCTACAGACCTGCCAATGGTCACAGTATCAGCTTCATCTAATGTATACTCCATGATTGGAAATACCAGTGCTTGGCTAGAGTTGAGATGAGGAACAATACGCAGCTTTTGTGTAGTCATTATGAGAAAGTGAGGGAAAAAAGGGAAAAAAAAAGGGAAAAATAGCTATCGCTACCTGAAAATAATAAACATGTGGGGGATAAAAAAAAATAAAAAATAAAATAAAAAAAAAAAAAAAAATTATATACACTGTAGTCTATACATATAGATGATACACATAGTAATCATAAGAGGGCAGAAGGGAGAACAAAGAGGAAAGTGACAGATCAAGAAATGGTTGATAATGCAATGAAATTACACCGCTTTAAAGCATTTACGCTCAATAAGCCACTTTATTTGTTTTCCCGACAATAAACAGGGCAAGGGCGAAGAATAAATTTCTTTCTTCTCACAAAAACACCATGAGTAACACGTTTGCTTCTTTATTACGTGGTTCACGTCTAGCCACATATGACAGAAGCATTGCTCAAGTCTATACCACACCTTTAAAACACAAACAAATCGGTGACTGGGGATTAAAACGTAACTTACCTACTGTCATTCGTACTCGATATGCAACTATTGAACAGTTGGACACAGCAGAGCACCAAACACCCTGGCAACCAGGAGATAGTCAAGTCTTGTTTGTTAAGCGTTGGAAAGAAAACTTTCCTGCTTCTAAAAAGCCTGTACCTCGTTTAGACTCACCTACACACAACATTGTCGAGATGACCCCTGCCGAATTTAACCGTTTCCTTCATTCGTGCAGTCTATTATCTCCTTCATTCCAACACTTATTAAAGAAGAAGGAACTTGTGCCCGAACAAGTATTTGATTATTTGAATGTCACTTTTAAGGAATCTGCAGCACAAAAACCTGTAGGTCCCACCTATTCAGACTATGACACTGAGGAAGTTTACCCCGTACAAGGCCGTATCCTAAATGCTGAACGACATGGACATGCAGTGGGTATTGCCGGTGTAGTGGGTTTCTTACCCAAGAGACATTCAATGGGTTTACGTCAAACTGGTAACCGTAAGGTACGTCAGTTCTATGTCGAGAGCGCAAAGATCGATGAGGAAGGTAAACCCCACGTCCTCTTAACCTTGACTCCTCCCGGTGCTGCAAGTCTTCCCTTCATGTTGGCCTTTGATGAAGATGAGCCTGCACAGGTCGCTGTCAAAACAAACCGCGTCTTCTTGACAAAGAAACCATTAGAAGATGATAATCTCACACCTCATCCTGACCACGATAAACTCATGAGTAGAATTGCTGATTTAATTAATAAAAAATAAAACTCGTCCAGGATCCTGCTGCAATCCTGGTCGCCTTCTTGTCTGTCATTTCACACCTTTCAAAACACTCACTACTCATTTTACCTGAGCGGCCCAGCTGACCATATCCATCTACAATTTTAAATCTTAAGTTTTTTATGCCTTATGTCTAATTTAACATCAACACTTACTGCTACCACATGACCATACCTTACCCGCATCATCCAATACAAGCGTATGCAATGATCCACATACTACTTGCACTGCATTCACCTCTATACTCTCCCCATCAACTTGAAACATTGCGAGTCCAATCAAATCCATATCATCTCGTCCCAGCCTTCCATCCTTATGCCAGCCAAACGTATACACATCTCCCTCCACAACCACTGCAGAATGAAAACGTCCACATGCCATATCTGTGATCTTTCCTAAACCACAAAACAAATCGATTAACACAGGGTCTGTCACTTCCTGATGATTGTCAAAATCCATTCCTAGTTGCGATGTACGGTTGGATCCGAGTCCATATACACCATTTGCTGTTGAAAACAAAACATGTGTATTGGAGCCACATATTTGGTATACATTCCTCATGACTGTACGCACTGTACCGCCTATATATTGTTGTACAGTGCCATCAAATAAGACAAACATGGAATCCAGGTGGGAACAATAAACTACAGCGTGTGCTAGACATATATTGACCCTTGTTTCCTGTTCAGTCACGGTGATTACGAACCCTTTACTATCCACTATACCAAGCAATTTATTGGGATCCCCAAAGATGGCATGTATTTGTTTGTTCTTGCATTGCTCTTCTACTTTATAAAACCATGACGGTTGAAATCCCCACACGATCACTTGATCCTGATCTAGGTGTAATGTGAGTTTTATTATAGAATACGCAGAGTACCCTGAACAATCATGTTACCGTCAAGTACAATGGTGGTTTCCCAACTGGTAAATAAGACGTGTTTGACATATGAGTGACAATGCTTTGTCACGACTGTCAACTGACTCTTATCTCCTGTCTGTTGAAACGCGTTAAAGCCAAAAGTCAAAAGTGGCATATAAAAACTCTAAATAAAATTATAGGAGAAAGTTTATTTATGAGGGGGGGGGGGGCCTGATCTATTAAGTTATGAAAATTCAGGTTTTTTATTTTGTATAAATGATCGTATGATTTTATGCTCTACCCCTTTACACAAGTTTTTATTAGTGCGCGGGCCACCTTTATTTACTGAGTAGCGGTGCCCGATGCGATGGCAATTTACTGACAGGATTTAAAGTAGGATCTACAAGTTTTTTTTAAGAAAAAAACCCGGGCAATCGGGTATGCTGTAGGTATTAAGGGGGTAAAGAAATCTAGACATTTTAATGATTTAATGAACAAAAAAAAAAAAACGTGGTTGTTGTTTATTCTTCTTTATCGAATTGTTTCCAAACTGCGTTTTCATCGTCTTCAGGTTCTAAAGCACCTCCACGTTCTTCCTTATCAAAAAGAGAAGCATCGACTGATACGTCATCAGCGTCCATGTATTTGGCATCAGACATAGCAAGTGATTTATCTTGTTCGAATAATTGTCGACCTGTTAATTTGCCCTTCAATTCCTTTTCCTTTTGTGCTCTAAGAACTGCATCCTTCTTTAACATTTCCTCGTCAAACGTTTTTTTCCAGGCCATGAAATTCTCAACCGTCACTTTAGTACCGGTAAATTTAGCTTGTTCAGCTTCCTCTTGCTTACGTCGGTTCTCATTAATGATCTCTTCTTCTGCTCTTTGAACATCCAACATGATATTATCCAACTCTTCCTTAATAATGCTCACCATGGTAAAAATCATTGCCATGCCAACAGATTCCTCGGCCTATGGTTTCTGTCAGTCACTACAATAGCATCTAATTATTGATACACACTTACAGCCTCTTTCACAGCATCCTTCATCTTTGTATAATAGCTTGTAGGAATCTGTCCTTCAAGTGTCTTGATGTCATATTCTGGTAACTCATCAGGATAAGTAGGTGTGTATTTCACCTGTAACGAAATGGCACCTAAATAAATAATAAAAAAAACTTTTTATCAGTATCGAATACAAAAAAAAAAAAAAAAACAAAAAAACAATAATAAACTTCTTACGAGGGTGATCTTCATCTTGTTCATCAGGATATATAGAGATTTTGAATTCCTTCTCACTAATAGCTAAACACTTTTATCGTTGGTGACTTTTCTTTTCCCGTCTCGAGATCAATCAAAAGGGCTTACCTTGGAATTCGTCAGGGTAAATAGATTCGAGTGCCTCAATCTCGTTTTGTTGCTCCTCCAAGTAATCTGCGGGTTCTTTAGTCTTTTTATTCAACTCCAATGTTTCTTTTTAAATTTTTACCTGTCATTCTTAATATGTGTGATGAGAGAAGGTTTAGCTTGTAAAACAAAAATTGTTTTTTTTTTCTTGGTGAAAGTGAAAAATTAGAATCCCATTGAGCCAATAAGAAAGCACCATTTTTCTAGCACTTCACACTTTTCCATGGGGTTCACTTGTGCAATAAAATAAGGCAAAATCAAAGACATGCATATTTTTTTTTTCACTTTTCACTTATTATTAGCAAATATGCATTTGACAGCTCAAGTGACTTCGGATTTAGAGTGGATATCACACATGAATGTCGATATCGAGACGCCTGCTGCTCGAAAGACAAGCATCGTTGGCACCATCGGTAGAACAAAAAAGACTCTTGCCTAAACATGTATACAGATACTCATTATATCATTTGACTAGGCCCACGTACAAATAGCGTCGAAATGATTACTCAGCTTCGTAACGCTGGTTTAAACGTTGTACGCATGAATTTTTCGCATGGTTCCTACGAGGTTTGTTGATATATCCCTCCAGTATAAACCTAGCTAATTAATAATTTTATAAAGTATCACAAGTCAGTGATTGAAAATACTCGCCAAAGTACCTCACGTATGTCTCTTTATTTTATTTTATTTTTACTTATCTGTACGTTTCTGCTAACGCATATGAAAAAGTATATCCGGGCAGACCCACTGCAATCGCTTTGGATACAAAGGGCCCCGAAATTAGAACAGGTGTTATGAAAGATAACCTCGAGGTAAGAAAAATTAGAAAAAATCATTCATCATAAAAAGATTAAAGTTTTCATGTCCATAAGCTTCCTATTGTATCAGGCCATGAATTTATCATTAGTGTTGACGAAAAGTATATGGACCAATGTGATGATAAGATCATGTATGTCGATTACAAGAACTTGCCTCTCGTAATTCAAGTAGATAAAATGATTTATGTCGATGATGGTATCCTGTCACTGCAGGTGCTAGAAGTTATGCACAATGCGGTACGTGTGAAGGCTCTCAATAATGGTAAATTGTGCTCTCGTAAAGGTGTGAATTTACCTGGCACCCCCGTCGACTTACCTGCGCTCTCAGAAAAGGACAAAAATGATCTACAATTTGGTATCGAAAATAAGGTAGATTTCATCTTTGCTTCATTCATTCGTCGCGGTCAAGATATTCTGGATATTAGACATGTTTTAGGAGAGGAAGGTAAACATATCAAAATTATATCCAAGATTGAGAGCCATCAAGGCGTAGAAAATTTTGATGATATTTTGCAGCATACCGACGGTATCATGGTTGCTCGTGGTGTAAGTCACATATGTCTGTATTAAAAATATAGTATTAAACCTCAATTTAGGATATGGGAATTGAGATTCCTCTTGAACGTGTTTTTATTGCTCAGAAAATGATGATTTCCAAATGCAATCTTGCAGGGAAATCTGTAATTTGGTAAATAGTTTTTGACATATATTCATAGTGATTTCCCTTTTTGACTTTCTATTTAGTGCCACTCAAATGTTGGAATCCATGACCGTAAGCTCTGTTAGTTATGTCTTTAATATACTATTACTCAACATGTTTTATTGTTCTAGCACAACCCACGTCCTACACGTGCCGAAGTCTCTGATATTGCCAATGCAGTACTTGATGGTGCTGATTGTGTCATGCTATCTGGCGAGACTGCCAAAGGAAACTACCCCATTGACTCTGTTAACACGATGCATCAAACCTGTCTTCTTGCGGAGGCCGTCATTTGCTATCCAATTCTATTTAACCAACTTCGATCGTTGACGCCACTCCCAACCAGCACTACTGAAACCGTTGCATGTGCTGCTGTCAATGCAGCACATGAACAAGGAGCCAAAGCCATTATCGTTCTGACAAGATCAGGTAATTCTGCTCGACTGATCTCCAAGTATCGACCAAGCGTACCGATTATTGTTATCACCCGTAATCCACAAACAGCAAGACAAGTGCATTTACATCGCGGGTGTTTCCCATTTCATTATCCCAAGGAATCGTCAAAAGAAGCGACACTGTTGAGTTCGACTTCATCAAGTTCGACGTATCTGAGTCCACTTGAACTTGCTCCGTGGCAAGGGGATGTGGATGTTAGAATAAAATGGGGTAAGTTTAAGATTTATTTCTTGTTACTTTGGAATCTATTAACGAATATTTTTATTAGGTATGGAGCAAGCTATTAAATACGGGTAGTTAAAATGTTTTTTTCTTTCTTTGTGTATTGAAAGTACACGCACCTAATGCATAATTTATTAGGTTGGTTGGACGAAATGAATCTATTGTAGCCGTACAAGGATGGAAAGGAGGGTTAGGAAACACAAACACTCTCCGCATTCTCGCTACGCCTTGAAATAAAGCATAATATATTCTTTTACATTATACATATCGTCTATAATTTGGTCCCTATTTTTATTTTTTATTATGAGGACGAGTTCCAAGACCTACTTGAAATAGACTGAGTAGAAAATGATGTATACATTGTCAAGCCGCTATTTCTTCGGTCTGGCAAAAGAAGTAGGCAGCATGATATAGGGTGTAAGCTGAGTATATCGATAGGTTATAAAAACATCTTAGCAAAAGAACAGGCTATAATTTATTCAATGAAAAAAATGCAAGTATTTGTAGTAAATGATATGAAGTTTACGTTGGAATAAGGTTGGCGGCTAATTTTCTATCACTCCAAAATCAGCTTACAACATTTACAGACTTAAAGAATTAAACGTTGTATCTTTCGGGGTCTAACTAGACTTGTTGTTTATACACATGGAAACTTTAGTCATGTTTGAAAAGATCCTGTAAAACCTGCTTGAATTAGTAATTAAAAGCAATCCTGCGACCATTGCCTGCAATGATACGAGAAGGCGACAATGAATAAATATACATATATTCAGATCATCCGATTAATAAATTTCGGACAAATTTTTTTCAATCGTGGTTCACAACATTAACTAACAAATTTATTTTTAGATTCAATGATCTACACAAATTTTTGTTAGTTAACTTTATACGATATAGGCTTCGCCACTTCTCATATAAAATCCACAACCGTTCGAACATACAGTTTTTTTCTTTAATATTTTTTGTATGTTTTTAAATGCCTTTTCTTGGGAAAAAAGTTGGCTTAATTGTACCTCTGATATCTCTCATAGCACACAATGTTTTATTCAAAGCGCCTTATGCCAGCTTCTCTTGTTCATTGCTTCATATCGGGTGCCCGTCTCATATACCAATTCACGGGTTTGTCAATGATGAATATAAGGAAGTCTATAATATATTTGTGAACAATTTCAAGCAAGGGTTAGATATAGGTGCCTCCATTTCGGCTTACGTAGACGGGAAACAAGTTTTTAGTCTCCAGGGTGGATGGCAAGACCGAGATAAACAGATTGAATATACAAATAAAACCCTACAAATGGTGTATTCCTGTACAAAGAGTTTGGTATATATTGTTTTATTAATAAATTAATGGAACACACTTTTTTCATCTCCTTTAATAGGGTAGTATCATTGTTGCGCAGTTAGTGGATCAAGGGTTGCTATCATACAATGAACGTATTTCAACGTATTGGCCAGAGTTTGCTCAGGGAAACAAGGAAAACGTTACAATTGAGGACCTTGTAAGTAACAGCCTTCTGACGAAATTGTAAATGATTTTACATCTCCTTTTTTTCGACCTTGTAGATGCGACATAAATCGGGTTTAGGGGGTTTAGATGAACCATTGTCATATTATAACGCATCTGATTTAGACAGATTGGCGGATGTTCTTGCAAAGCAACGCCATAACTTTGATGGAAAACCTGTTCATGCATATCACGTGATTACACAAGGTTGGATTCAAAACGAGATCATTCGACGTGTAGACCCGCAACACCGCACCCTTAATGATTTTGCCCGTGAGTTTATGGATAAATGGGGATCCGAATGGTATTTAAAACCGTATGCAACAGAGGGTTTGGACATAAGCCGTATCGCTCCGTTCTATCCTATTCCCAAATATCAACAGTATGCACATTTGATCGCTACTGTATTGAATCCTTTCAAGGATAGCTCGCTCATATTCGCTTTATTCAACAAGGACAGTCTTGTTTATCGATCTCTTGTGAATCCTCACATAAGCCTTGATACAAATATTCAAAAACTCAATCCCAAACATCGCTCAATAGAAATCCCATCCTACTCGGGCCATACAAACGCTGATTCGGTAAAGCATATAAAAATATATATACACCTGTATATCTAACATTTACATTAGATAGCAAAGCTGGCAGCTATGATGGCTAATCGCGGGAAAGCAATTGAACAGGGCGAACCGGATCTTTTTACCAAGGATACCACATTTGAAGAGGCAACACGGGTCATGGATGACTATGAAACAGATGCGATATTTCCAAACGATGTGATTAATAACCTTCGTGGTGGACTAGTAATATTTCCTAATGACTACTTGAATATTCCGGACTACGACAAAGAAAGTGAGTTGATTGGAGGTATTGGGGCCTCAGGAACTTTTTTTGTTTTCAACGAAAAATATAAGATTGGATTTGCTTATGTATCAAACTGTCTCCATTCTCAAAGGAATCCGGATGAGAGGTCATTGGCCATCCTCAGAGCAATTTTAAAAAAAAATAAAGAATCAAGAGGATCTAACTGTTAAAAAAAACAAATGTGTCCAAGTAATAAATTTTAGATGATGATCATTTTGTTATTATTAGTAGCACAAATTTGTTACTTTATTATGCATTCGCGTGCATATATTAAAAAAACGGGAAACCATTACTTGAAAACGATTATTCGAAAGCTTTGCTCATAAAAAAAAATGTTGGATTTCTTGTTAAACGCAGTTTTTAAAGTTGAACTGTTGCCACATGTTTTAAAAAGCCTACCTGTTTTCTGATTCCAATCAAAAGCCCCAATCTATTTTCTGCTCAGTTTGTTGAAAAATATGAATATACTCCATACCTGTTTTAGACGTCATTTCAGAATTAAAATGTGAATACTCGTGTCAATTTGATTCATGGTACTTTTTTTTTTTTTACTGATTCACTTACTTTATGTGTCCATCGAGCACATTAGAAATTTTTCTGTACATTTGTTTGCATGTTGGGTGTATATAGCATATGCACCCAAAAACGTTTTAAAAATCGTTTCAGGCATTGGATCCCAGGTAAATGCAGACTTTTTTTGCCATGAAAATTGCAAGTTGGCTGATTGCAAACCTCGATTAGTACTTCAGATAATGAAACTTTATTTACTGGAATAGTTAGAGACTCATCACGATATCAAAACAGTTGAAACTGACAGGCGCACTTAAAAGACTGCTAATAGAGAGAATCTCGGAGAGCTTATCCAATATCAATTAGTACGCCTGTTTTTTTTCCAGTTAGGTTTAACAGACTAACAAAAGACAGTGTGATATGTATACGGTGAAAAATTGTTATTTCTTCCGTCTGGCAAAAGAAGTGAGCACTATGCTATAAGGTAACAGCTGAGTATATCAATAGGTTATAAGTAAATCGTAGCAAAAGAACAGACTGACGTAGTTTATTAAATGAAAGAAACACAAGTATTTATAGTGGAGGATAAGAATTACACCTTGAATTAAGGTTGACAGGTGGTTTTGTGTCACTCTAAAATCAGGACAAAAGATAAAGCGTTTGCTTATTAACTATTATATCCCTACGTCTTTACTGAAGAAGATATTAAATTACGACATCAAATTAATAAAGGGTTATGACCTTGATTACTCCGGAGTGCTTCAACGAGTGTTTCAAATGTGGGCTAAATCATTCAAAAATATGGCCGTTGTTACGGAATGCAAGCTTTATTTGTTAACTTTTTTTTTTTTATATAAATACCTAAAGAATTGAGCGCGAGTAAGGATTCTTTATCTGTTTCCTTACTTATAATTGTGCTCGATTTCTGCAGCCCCGATAAGTCTAACATTTCAATTAATTGATCATTAAGGAGATAATATTTCCCCGCAACAGCCGTTAACATTAACTAATGAGTATAGAAACATAAATGTTGCTGTTTTTAAACGTTTTCAAGCATCAAAAGAGTTCTGTTCACCGTCCTTGAATCCGTTTGTATTTAAGGCAGGAGAAACAAGAAGCTGAAATTGACAAAACTATCTAACCGCAAATATTCTCGCGGTACATTAGATTGCAAACGAACTTTGAAAAAAAAAAAAAAAAAAAAAAAAAAAAAAAAAAAAAAAAAAAAAAAAAAAAAAAAAGCAAGATATTTCATTTTTCTGTATAGGAGGTCTTTAAGGAAAAAATCCATTTGTCTGAAGAAAAAGTAACTAATTCCGTCTGTCAAAACTGCGATAAGGAAAAGCAGTATCGAATTAGTTGAAGATCTATCACCCATGAAGTTTTCAGAGATACTTTAAGGTTTCATTGTTCAAAATTAGACCCTTTGAAAATCAAAAATATGTACTATGGTCAGTGTCCTAATGCCCAAACAATTTTTTAACTTGAACAATCACAAGCTATTTGTGTTACATCTTTACTGTGGGTTGCACAAAGCCCCCAAAACTTTTTTACTGTCTGTTTAACATTTATCCGTTGGATGACGATTCTGATTGTTTTATCAAAAGGTTTTATTTTCAACTGATTATCTAGCACATACTAGGTATTATATTGTACCACATAAGACATTTTCAAACGTTTTCAATATTTCCTTACTTGAAAATATAATTGTATAAGCAGGAATCTTACTATTGGACAGTTCAAGTAAATGTTCTATTTTTAATGTCCGTTTTATTTTATAGATAAATGATAAACAAACAAATGTTATAAATGTTTGAGTTCTTATTCCTAATCCTACGCTACAAGTAACGAAATGTCTCAAGTAAAACTTTTCCATAGCCCTGATCCCGCGAAGATCCAGTTAAATAACGAAGGCAACCGTTCTGTTACATTACCTGACTACATTGCAGAGACATGTCCTTCCTTAGTCGGACCAAAAGCTGTCTACAACCCCACCACCTACTTATTCAATGGTCATTTACAAACCGGTTATGCTGCCTACCATAATTACAGTCCTACTGTAAATGAAGTTCACTATGAAAGGTTAATAATGATACTTTGTTTTACCATATATGTATTTTCTGGCTAAAGACTGTCTTTTAGAGAGCTTGTTGATACACCCGATGGCGGTATATTTTCCTTGGATTGGACACCCACAAAAGAGGGATTAGAGCAGGATGAGACTCCCACCTTACTTGTGTTACATGGACTTACAGGTGGTAGTGATGAATCCTATATTAGATGTCTTTTAGAATTGGTAAGCTATATCATTGGAACAAATCGGGAAACGCTGACGTTCTTTTATAGGTGACTTATCCTCCTTTCAATTATCGTGCTGTTGTAATGAACAGTCGTGGTTGTGCCGGTACCGATGTATTATCACCTCACATATATAGCGGTGGATACACTGACGATCTTCGTATTGCTCTTACCCACATTCAAAAGAGACTTGCTCCCAATACGCCTTTAGTTGCTATTGGATTTTCGTTGGGCGCAAATGTGCTGGTCAAGGTAATAACATTTTTGGTCAACTAAGCTGCAGATCAATGATAAGTTTTATAAAATTAGTATCTCGGCGAGGAAGGCGATAAAACTCCTCTTAAGGCAGGCATTTCTGTTGCGAACCCCTATGATTTTAGAAGCTCAATGGATCGCTTACATGAATCGTTTATCGGTAGAAATGTCTATTCTGTTGCCATGGCAAATAACTTGAAAAAAGCATTTGGAAAGTAAGTGGGAAATAAAATTCATACTAAAAAACAGCTGTTGACAGGTTAATAGGCATTTAGAAACCATGGCAAAGGGCGGGAAGATTGATCCAGCTCAGGTTATGTCTGTCAGAACCATGCGCGAATTTGACGATGCTTGTACCCGAAGAATGTTTGACTATACAACTGTCAACAATTATTATAGAGATGCTAGTTCTTGCCGTTTTATAGAATATGTCAAGGTCCCATTGTTGTGTCTCCACTCTTTAGACGATCCTATTGCTCATGGTATTTGTATTCCTTATGATGAAATCAAGGCAAATCCTAATGTTGTGCTTGCTACAACCGATTATGGCGGACATCTTGGTTGGTTTGAGCACAACAAGTATCCTACTAGATGGATGGCTAAACCTCTAACCGAATACATTGTCGCTTTGTTTCAAGTAAGTCAAAAAAAAAAAAAAAAAAAAAAAAAAAAAAAAAAAAAAAAAAGACAACAGATAAAAAGCTAAATTTTAAAAATAGGCATTTGATATCAGAAAAGACCAAGGCAAAAAGATGGACCCAGAACAAATTGATCAAACGATCGATCAACTTCAAAGTAAAATTTCTTCGGATAAGACTGCGTAGTCATTTTTAACTATACCAAATGTTTTACCATTGATACAATAAAAGTAATAGAATTGAAACCTGTCAAATTAATTTCCTTGTGCTATTCTTGGCAATCGGGTTTCTGGGACTGTGATCATTTTCATTGATCATGTCTTGGAATGATTTGTTCCTTCAGCGACAAGAGCGGAGCATACTCAGGGAAAAATAATACTATCAAAGAAAAAACAAAAAAAAACAAAAAAATTCTTTCTTTCTTTACATAAATAATATGTATCCTCCTACAGGTCCACCTCATCCCCCATCGCATAATCACCAAGAAGAATTTGAGGAATATCCATTAAATAACAGCAACTTTGTCGAACGTAGGCCTTTTCAGTCACCCTTTTCTGATCCATACCCTCTAGAACACTCGTACACTGTAGAGGCTCACGAACCACCGATGCCAATCTATGATAACCAACCTCTTTTAAACAGCAATGCTATGCCAATGCCGTATCCTGAGATTGCCAATGATGAACCTGTCAAACCAGAGGTATATAGCGAGCAAATCGAGAATGCAACACCGACGTATTTTACTGGAGCACCCAGACGCCAACCTCGTCGTTATAAAACCAGTAAGTCTATGCAAATGTATGCTATCGGGTAAACACTTACTTACAAATTAGCAGTAAGACAAGTTAAACTGACTCGAGGTAACCTGGTTCTTGATTGTCCTGTACCAACAAGATATATTTCAAGCGTACCAATAAAAGACGGTAAAGAATTCACGCACATGAGATATACTGCGGCCACTTGCGACCCCAAGGATTTCGCAAGCGAAGGCTATACATTGCGCCAACAGTTGATTGGTAGAGAAACTGAATTGTTTATCGTTTTAACTATGTATAATGTAAGCTTAACCTATTTTTTTTTTTGTATAAAAGGCGAGTTAAACTAAAAGTAATGTGATAATAGGAAGACGAAGTTTTATTTGCACGCACCATGCATGGCGTCATGAAGAACATTTCTCATTTATGCACTCGTGATAGATCTCGTACATGGGGACCCGAAGGTTGGACGAAAGTAACAGTATGCATTGTTTCTGATGGACGTAACAAGATCCATCCAAAAACACTATCGCTACTTGCAACTTTAGGCGTCTATCAAGATGGTGTGGCTAAAAATGTGGTCGGGGATAAGCCTGTCACTGCACATATTTATGAGGTAATATTTCTTAGATCCCTTATTACGCATATAATTAATTAATTAATTTTGTTATCCTATAGTACACGACACAATTATCCGTAGATCCCAAAATGAATTTTAAAGGTGCCAGCAAAGGTATGGTGCCATGTCAAATTATATTTTGCCTCAAGGAAAAAAATCAAAAAAAGATAAACTCGCACAGATGGTTCTTTCAAGCCTTTGGTCCTTTGATAAATCCCAATGTCTGTATTTTACTCGATGTGGGCACAAGACCGGGAAACACATCTTTATACCATTTATGGAAATCCTTTGATATCAATTCAAACATTGCAGGTGCTTGTGGCGAGATTCGAACAATGACAGGAAAATTTGGTACGGCTCTTTTAAATCCGCTGGTGGCGGCCCAAAACTTTGAATACAAAATGTCGAATATTCTGGATAAACCACTTGAATCTGTTTTTGGGTATATTTCTGTTTTACCAGGAGCATTCTCTGCTTATCGATTTAGGGCCCTTCAAAATGATGCGGAGGGTCATGGTCCTCTCGAAAAGTATTTTATGGGTGAAACACAACATGGCGGTGATGCAGATATCTTTACAGCAAATATGTATCTTGCTGAGGATCGTATTTTGTGTTATGAGCTGGTGGCAAAAAAGAATGCGAATTGGGTGCTTCATTATGTATCGGGTGCTTACGGCGAAACAGACGTACCTGATAAGGTTGACGAGTTCATATCTCAAAGGAGACGCTGGTTAAATGGTTCTTTCTTTGCTGGTGTTTATTCCCTTTGGCATTGGCGTAAAGTCTGGAGATCTGACCATTCTCTCTTGAGAAAATTATTTTTTCTGATTGAAAATATATACACTGCTTATAACATGTTTTTTGCATGGTTCGCACTGGTATGTTTGTTTGTTTACTAAACTTTAAATTTAGACAATGAAATTGACGGCAAATAATTTTTTAGGGCAACTTTTATTTAACTTTTTTCATTTTAACTCAAGCTCTAGGTGAGGATAGTCTTGAGCCTAAACCTTTTCCAGCAGAAGTAGCAGATATTGTTCATACGGTGCTCAACTATATTTATGTTGTGCTGATCATTGTTCAATTCATTATGGCTCTAGGCAACAGACCCCAAGGATCTAAAATTGCTTACACATGCAGTATGGTTTTCTTTGCTCTTTTGATGGTATATATGATGTTTGCTACGATCTGGATAACTGCAGTTGGAATACAAGCCGTGGCTGAAGATAGTGGAGATCAAATAATGACCATGCTAGGACAGTCTACATTTAGAAATATCATCATTTCGGTATGCTCAACCTACGCCCTTTACTTGGTTTCGAGTATATTGTTTTTGGATCCTTGGCACATGTTTACTAGTTTCCTACAATATATCTTTTTAGCACCAAGTTATACAAATGTTCTTAATGTATATGCATTCTGTAACACACACGATGTTTCATGGGGTACGAAAGGTGATAATACAGTGGCCACAGATTTAGGTGTTGTGAAACAAAAAAAAGACTCTGAAACTGGAGAATACACGGTTGAGGTTGAACTTCCAACGGAACAGAAAGATTTAAATGAAATTTACGAAGAAGCTTGTTTGGATCTAAGCAAAGAAGCTATTCCAGATAAACAACATCGAGATGCGAAAACCAAACAGGAAGATTATTACCGAGCCTTCCGTACCAGATTAGTACTTTCCTGGATTATATCAAACCTGGTTCTTGTGGTTATTATAACAAACGCTACAACATTTGATTGGATCGGTACCTTTGAAGCAAGAAGTACAGCTTACCTCGGATTTATTTTGTGGTCTGTTGCAGGGTTAGCTGCAATTCGATTTTTTGGGTCTACATTATATCTTATACTTCGTATATTTAGTGGATAAAATAAAGGAAATTAATTTTCACCCCTTTATGTGTTTATCATAAAAGGAGTCTAGATTTAGGAGTGAAAATAGTTGACAGGCTTGCGTTGAGCTTTTTTTTTTCGTTACACAAAAATATTACTATTTTCTCCTTGTTAAAAGAATACAAAAAGGAAGAAGCTAAATATAAATAATATAGTTTTACCTGGCTTTATTTCTTCTTTTTCTCTTTTCGTTATTACATCTTTTTACTTAAAAATCGTTAAAAATATATAAATACATTTTATTCTCTCATAATAAAACGCGTATTGATTTGGGTGGAAAATTAGAATCGAGCTTGATGTATTATCATAAAATCCTAAATGACACTACCTTCTCAGCCTATTATTAACCAGTCGCCACCCTCAATTTCACCACCTTCTTCACCCTTGTCAGCTACACCTTCAACTTTAACCTCTCATTTCGTTCAAGCACTCCATGATTACCTTCCTTCCTCATCGTCAACTGATGACTCTGTAACTTGCCTTTTTTTCAAAAAAGGCTCGATTATCGAGGTGTTCAACAGAGACGATTCAGGTTGGTGGGATGGTCAGTGTGGTGATATTAGAGGATGGTTTCCAAGCAATTATGTAGGTAGAATAGGTGAATTAAAACGACAAAGTGCTGACTTTGAAGATGATTATTCAAATGAAGAATTAGAATTGTGGCATCAAAAAATGAATCACCATGTCAGTTCAACCGTGTCACTCGACGATGATAACACAAAGGTAAACACAAAACGTTTTAATTTTACTTTTTTTTTATTAAATCCTATTATAGATTTTTTCAATTCAATCTCGTGTTGAGATGGCAAGAGCCTTACTAAGAGAAGACAGAAGAAGATCGGGTGCAAGCAATGTTATATTGGAAGAGGACGAAACAATGTCAACAATAGAAGATGTATCACAAAGAGTTTCTGAGCTGGTCAAATCATACACGTCTAACGATCAACAATCATGTATACAGCTAAACATATTTCAAGTCGTCTCATCTGTTAAAGCAGTTTTAACCGAAGCAAATATTGTGAACAAAGAAAGTCCCCTATTAAAAATGTACCCAGAGTTAGCAAGACAACGTCGAATCCTTTTAAGTACATTAAGCCGATTAGTATTGAAAAGCAAAGAGCTACAACAACAAGAGGAGGATGATAATCAGATATCAGATCTTGCGGCACAATTGCTAAGTGAAATGGATACATTTGAAAAACTACTTGCTGTAACTACTCGGCAATCGTCTTACTCACTGGCCGATAGTGATTATACAACCAGACCCTCGTCAATGTTTCACAATGATACCCCTCGATCATCAATTTCATCCCTAGGTCATTCATCCGTAATATCAACAAACTCCACCTTTCTGCGTCAAATTATTCCGGAAACACGCCACAACACCAACTCCTTGATTAAATCTGTGCCCACAGATGCAGAGCAAATCTTGCAGAACATCTTGGATCATCAAACGAGTATAGATGAACTTATGGGGAGTTTAGTTATAACTTTAGAACAATATCTTGCCAATAGACATCGTGCTACAGAAATGTTGGAAACTACAAGGAAAGCAGTTGAAGCAGTAAGAACATTCCTGGCCATTGTAGAACACGTTTGCTCCAATCTCGGCGACCTTGATTATAATAGGCGTATATCTATGATCCCTGAAGATCCCCGCTTAGTTTCTCTGGTTCTCACCAAGGAGTCTGTCTATAGTGCTATCACTAATCTGGTTACAGCAGTAAGGGCTTTAACAGGGCCTCAACAAGAAGATGAAAATGATCAAAACTACCTTCCCATTTGTTGTGAAAATGTGGTACAGGCAACCAACGAATGTGCAGCTTGTGTTAGAGATTGCATTCAAGCAGAGGATACCGAGGAGGATAATAACAGGAGCCAAATAATGCGTCATAGTATGCAACAGCAGCAGCATGAAAATGGTCGATCTCAACATACTCTGACTATTTTAGGGCGTAAGGTTACAAGTTTACATGCCCTTCAACAATACCGCAGTGACATTGGTATCGAAGAAGAGGCAAATGTAGGAGATACAGAGCAGGTTATCGAGGGACTTGCAATTGTAACAGCAGCGAGCATTAGTACGAATAGCGAAAATGCATCAATTGAAAACAATATAGACAAAACGGCAATATCCCCGTCTCAGGTTAATAAATCAGAAAATGTCGAGAAGGAAATAAAGAGAAATGTCGAAGAGGAACCGCCTAGACCCAATATATTTAGAGCAAGGGCTGCGTCCGTAAACAACATACAAAGTTTGATATCTCAAAATCAACAATTGCCACCTCTACCAACAATTAAGCATTCAGTTTCAGCTGCATTCCCTCTTCCTCCTAACACTGAGCCCTTCAGCACTCCTAATACGGATATACCTCTAAAATCCCGACGCTCTCGAGGCCTCAGCGTCTCCTCGCTTAGACCTTCTATTAATAAATCAAAGTTAGAACGTCTAGTTACATCGATTTCAACGGAGAGTCTCCCTGAACCCTTGATGCTAAACCAGAAATCGTCCTCTTGGAGATCCATCGGTAGTTTTCCAGAAAAAACTGAACCTAATCTTGATTTGAAACAAGAATCTAATGTAATCCACCCGATGACAAAGGTAAAACTATTCGATTTATAGCACGTAATTGTTATAGTACTAATATTAGTAAACAGAAGGAACCCGAATTTGATTTTTTAAAACAATACACCTTTACAGACCAAGAGATGATCTTTAATGCCGAAGGAGAAGTTACAGGCGCCACTGTTGAAGCACTTGTTAGAAAATTGACTCTCCATGAAAAATCGCCAGGTAAACTAAAAGAAACTTTTTCTATTTGGTACAAAGTTAATAACACTTGTTTGAATCATAGATTTGATCTTTACCCGAGCATTTTTCTATAACTTTCGACTTTTTACTAATCCTACGGATTTTGTTAATTTACTGATCAGTCGATTCAGTTTACCACCCCCCAAAAACCTCACAGAGGATCAATTTGTGTTATGGACAAACCGAGTTTTGATTCCTATTCGTCTTCGTGTGTATAATGTGATCAAAACCTGGCTTGAAACATACTTCAGTTATAAACAAGACATAATGGTGGAAACCCCATTATTGAATTTTGCAAATACGGAAATGAGCGCCGTGATGCCAGGTCCGGCAAAACGCATGATCGAACTTATTAAAAGAACGGTAAGTGATTTTTTCCGAGAAAAGTAAAGCTAGAAATATTAATCAGATCGTCATAGTTTGCCTCGAAGGGTTTAAGTTGTACGGGTCGTAAACATTCTTACAACGAGACTCGGGCTACTATGCAAAAATCAAGTTTGTCCAACCTGCAGTTGTCAGCATCCATATCAACAAATAGTAACATATTTTCCAACTTGACGATGTTTGATGATCACCACGGGGAAGAAAAATTCCCTGCCTCGATTATGGGTAAATCCCTAAGAAATACTTTAAGAAAAGCAGCTAGTCACTCCAGCCTCGCAGCTATTCATGTCAATGATATCGACCCTATCGAACTTGCACGTCAGATTACAATTATGGAAAATACCTTATTTTGTCGTATTCGACCCAATGAGATGATTGGACAGGAATTCAAAAAGAAAGTCGGTACAAGCCAAGCCATTCATGTTAAAGCCATGATTCAGACAAGCACTCAAATCACAAGTTGGGTGTCGGATAGTATTCTAAACGAGGCAGACCCAAAGAAACGTGCACAAGTATTGAAATACTGGATCAAAGTTGGTGATGTAAAGTATATACGGTTAGAGGGTCTCTCGCAAATTCTAATATTTTAATTTAGGCTTGTCTCCAACTGAATAACTACAACACTTTAATGGCAATACGATCAGCCTTGGATTCAACTAGTATTATTAGATTAAAAAAAACCTGGGAATATGTATCGGTAAAATACAAAACGATGTGGGAACCTATTTACCGCGCAACAGATTCACAGCGTAACTTTGGAGAATACAGACAGCGTTTAAAGACTACAGTGGCCCCATGTCTTCCATTTTTGGGTGTATATTTGACCGATATGACTTTTATTGATGATGGCAATGCTGATAGACGTAACTCCCCAGGAGGGCATACACTTATCAATTTTGATAAGTATGTCAAAATTACGCGGATATTAAACGAAATTGATCAATTCCAAATTTCTTATAAATTATTGGAAGTGGAAGAAATCCAGACTTACTTGAAAAAAACCCTTGAAACAGTCGAGCAAGACGACCAAGCATTCTACGCTAGAAGCTTAAAACGAGAACCGAAAGAAGAAGAGCAACCTTAATTACTATACATACTAAATTCGCTTCATATCTCATATTCCCTATCCCCATTTTGTACAGCATTATATAATACTAATTTTTTCTCTTTAAAATGGACACAGATCCATTTTGTAATAAATTTTTTTTTCAAGTTACTCAGAATAGTTAGCACAACAAAAAGAATTTTCTTTTTAACTGCATTGTTTTTTTTCTGTGTCGCATGCAGACCAATTAATTTACGTGAAACCAAACGGTACCAACCAGACAAGTTTAGGTACCCGCTTTTCGGTGTTAGGTTTTGTGGGACAAATGTGTAATTTTTTTTTGAAAAAAATGAAAAAAATATAGCGTGTTTACGTCAAGATTTTTCATCATGAATAGTGGTAGAAACTTATTTATCGAATGATCAAAGCCGAGTCTACCCTTTTATGAAGTGTGTACGATGAAAAATTGGATACAAGCCACTGTAAGATTTGTTTTGCTGTTTTCCATTTCGGATAGGTACCCAATCAAAACATCTTTCGTGACTTTGTTTAAGGTGGCTTTGAAGCTGCGCGACAAAAAAATTTTATCTTATTTAAATGCGAGAAAATTCGAAAAACTATTGTTTTTTTTCTTTTATCAATATTCTAGTTAAATAAGTGCGTATATAGTTTGAAACAGGTCAATGATATGAAATATTAACATTATTCTTTCTCATAGCAATGGGTAAAGAGAAGACTCACGTTAACGTCGTCGTTATTGGCCACGTCGATTCTGTAAGTATTTGTGAAGAAAATGTTTTGTTCTCCCTTTGGAGAAAGGAACACCTTATTTAGAAAAATTTAACTTACAATATTATCAATTTTTAGGGTAAATCTACTACTACTGGTCACTTGATTTACAAGTGTGGTGGTATCGATAAGCGTACCATCGAGAAGTTCGAGAAGGAAGCTGCTGAACTCGGTAAGGGTTCTTTCAAGTACGCCTGGGTCCTCGATAAGCTTAAGGCTGAACGTGAGCGTGGTATCACCATTGATATTGCTCTCTGGAAGTTCGAGACCCCCAAGTATAACGTCACTGTTATTGATGCTCCCGGTCATCGTGATTTCATCAAGAACATGATTACTGGTACCTCTCAAGCTGATTGTGCTATTCTTATTATTGCCGGTGGTACTGGTGAGTTCGAAGCTGGTATCTCCAAGGATGGTCAAACCCGTGAGCACGCCCTTCTTGCCTTCACCTTGGGTGTCCGTCAATTGATTGTTGCTATTAACAAGATGGATACCACCAAGTGGTCCGAAGCCCGTTACAACGAAATTGTCAAGGAAGTCTCTTCTTTCATCAAGAAGATTGGTTTCAACCCCAAGTCTGTTCCTTTCGTTCCCATTTCCGGATGGCACGGTGATAACATGTTGGAGGAATCTGTCAACATGGGTTGGTTCAAGGGATGGAACAAGGAGACCAAGGCTGGTTCCAAGACTGGTAAGACTCTTCTTGAAGCTATTGATGCTATTGATCCCCCTAGCCGTCCTTCCGACAAGCCTCTCCGTCTTCCCCTCCAAGATGTTTACAAGATTGGTGGTATTGGTACAGTGCCCGTTGGTCGTGTCGAGACCGGTACTATCAAGGCTGGTATGGTCGTTAACTTCGCCCCTGCTGCTGTCACCACTGAAGTCAAGTCCGTTGAAATGCATCACGAAACTTTGACTGAAGGTCTTCCCGGAGATAACGTTGGTTTCAACGTCAAGAACGTTTCCGTCAAGGATATCCGTCGTGGTAACGTCTGTTCCGATTCCAAGAACGACCCCGCCAAGGAAGCCGGTTCTTTCCTCGCTCAAGTTATTATCTTGAACCATCCCGGTCAAATCTCCAACGGTTACTCTCCCGTCCTCGATTGTCACACCGCTCATATTGCTTGTAAGTTCTCTGAACTCGTCGAGAAGATTGATCGTCGTTCTGGTAAGAAGATGGAAGATGCCCCTAAGGTTTGTCTAACGATAACAGTATAAACAACATGATTCTAACCGTTTTTCATTTAAATAGTTCGTCAAGTCTGGTGATTCCGCTATTGTCAAGATGATTCCTTCCAAGCCTATGTGTGTCGAAGCCTATACTGATTACCCTCCCCTCGGTCGTTTCGCTGTCCGTGATATGCGTCAAACCGTTGCTGTTGGTGTTATCAAGTCTGTTGAGAAGGTTGAGAAGGCCGGTAAGGTCACCAAGGCCGCTGTCAAGGCTGGTAAGAAGTAAATTGCTTTTTTAGCAGTTTCTTCTCTAAAAGTTTAATTCACTTTTGTTAATAAATATAAATACATTTATAAGATATATTTTTCATATTTAAACCTTTTTTATTTTGCTCAATTACGAGTGTTGTATCGTTTTTTATGGCATCTTGAAGCTCTATAATGCATATGTTGAACATTTGAAAATTAGCAGTCACTTAGTAATTTTTAGCTGCAGCCCAAGGTAAGTGTGATTTTCATGTTTTTCAAACCAATATTTTTTTTCTCTGGTTATTCCCATGATGGTACAATTTTGATTCTGACCATAAGCAAACACTACTGCACTTGAATGGAATACGTGTCTTGTTTAGAGTGATTGGACATTTGACTTGACTGACATTTTGGCTGTCTCAGCTAACGCTCAAAAACATTTCTGATTTTCAGAAGGGCAACATTTTATTAGAAGTCATTGAACCTACGTTATGCAAGACGGCTGCATGGTGAAAGAGCGACAACGTTGTCAATGTCATTCACTTTATTGAAACATTGGGCACACTTGGAACTTTCAACAGTAACAGCATTAATATCGGCTGAAACATAGTTGTACTATGCAACATACATTTCTGCAAAACGTTGGGCACGTACCTTACATTGTTAATGTTGAAGGCTTATTTTTTATTGTCTTATTTACATATTCATTGACGCTTGTTATACAGGGACAGTTTGTTGTTCTTCTGAGTGTTAGTACCAAAAATAAACACGACAATGAAAAAACGAAATTCGTGGCCACTGCATCCCAACCCTAATCTTTTAAATGTCGTGGCCCATCTTTAACAACCAAGGTGGTTTTGTGTATTTTGCAACTACAACAGTGGTTCCTTATTAGCCAACCAGACATATCAATTTATGACACGTTAGCCTCGAGTTTATGCGTTTCCCAATCCAAGTTGGCCGACATATACATTTCTAACTATTGAAAAGTGTAGCCTATGTCACCTAAGTCAAGGTGTGGTCTCTGTAATGCATCAGGATATAGCACTGCCTTTCAATTTTTGAACGTACAATCATTTTCTTGTGTGATGTCAAATGAAGACGTCTGATCTCAAAAGATCACTTGGATAAATGGAGGCAAACACAGTACAAACATGGAATGTACACCGAGTCTAGGAAGGAGTAAACTGCTTTTTAGCATTCTTTTTTGTACAAAAGCCCCATCCGCTTTTGTTAAATAAAGTCTGTTGTGTTAGGATTTTTGTAATCCTGGTTGATCGTGATAAAATATTTGCAGTCTATCTACGATGTCCGTACACACCGAACTACTCCACGGGTGTGAATAGATTAGCGTAGAATCAGAGCATGGATAAATAATTAATCATATCCATTATAATGTTCTTGACCAATTTGATAGCTATCCTTATCATACGAGTATTTAGTATAAATTCCCTTGGTGTTTTCCCCATTATGAACACATCATACGTATATTATCTTTCGATGTAAAAGAGTTTTGAAAGAATGCCTTTGTTTTTTTTTTGCTTGTTGACTGAAATCAAGAGAGTAATACGATCCAATTACAGCAATGTCCTCAAGACCAAGGACATAATTCACGGCAGCAAAAATCCGGAATTCTTCTTTTAGAAATTGCGCCGACGATTATACGTGACATCTACAGATAATAAAAATTCGTTCTTTTATAGCGCATAATCCTAAAGCTATTACAAAACTACGGCATTCAGGCCTTGATTCGGCGACGTGCATTATGTACAGGTGGGAAGGATGCGAAGGATCGAGTGTTACCACTTTGTTCAGCAAAGTCAGAAGGAACTGTCATTATAAATCGAGCGAGCATATGGCTGGATATATCATTCTTCAATTCATTTGTAAATGCTAGTGATTGTCGATACAATTGGGAGTCTGTAAAATGGTTTGGTACTTTCAATACAAAAATATATTACAAAACATTTTTATGAGTATTTAAACAACTTGACAAATATTTGGAAGATTGCATCTTTAAAGCCCAAACTTTAGACGCTTTATTTTCCTTTCTGCCAAAGGATCGATCGTTCTTACGTACTCAAATTCGGCTAGCTTTAATTGATTTGGCAAGTACTTGCCCGCTAAGGAATTCAGAAATGTCGTTGTTCTTTGTAAAATTACTTGAAAGCCAAGTTTTAGCGTCCCCAAGAAAATAACATGAGAGAACAATTTCAGTAGTTGATAAAATTTGGCTGGAAAATGTCTGGACCCCCGTAATTTTTTCAAACGTATTTTTTTATATCACTTATGTACATCAATCCCGGTCAAGACCAGCCAGCCAGCCATATCACACCTACAGGATCAAAATGCCAAATACTTGTAAGGATAATTGCTGTCACAAGCTTTATATACACAAATGGCTTCATCGGTTCTATATCATCGTGACATTAACTATGTGGGTATCATGAATTTTTGCTTCAGGCGCCTTACGAAGTTTAAGGTACTTATTAAGTTAACGCCATATTGTCTTGCTGAAATATGCATATGCTGACTGTATGAATTGTCTAATTTAGTGTTTGCTGCAAAAGCATACATAAATTATCTTCAATGGCTTTTTTAATGCAAAAGAAGAGCAAGGTAGCAAGACCGGCGAGGAGTAACATGGAAAATTTAGAAAGTTTTATGTCCCCTCAACATGATTGACCTTACATTGTTTTGTTGATGAAACTCGAACTTTAGTATTAGTTTTCTTTTGTTAACCCACATACCATTTATAAGTTTCAATTTTGTAATCCCTTATGCTGTCGCTAGACTCAATTTATCCGGTAGACAACTGATTTTTAGCCGGGTGACTATCTCCCGGTATGTCTCACGCGCCAAAATTTCTCTCAGACAATGTTTTAAAACGAATTAAAACCGTCTTCCCTTTTTTTTCCCCATTTTCTTATTTGATTTGAACAAGCATGGGATCTTTAGCCGGTCTTGTCAATTACTCTGATGACGAAGATTCATCTTCTGGCGATGAACAAGGTGACTTAATGAAGCAGAAATAAAGTTCCTGTGGTATTAATCTATTCCCTTCTTAGTTTACGAAATTGTAAGCATATGATTTTATACAACGATTTCGACAGTTCACTGACATCCTGTTTATAGCTCAAAAAGAACGTCGAAAGAAAACCACCACCCAAAGACATAACAACATATAAAGCTAAAGAACATACGTCGGCACTTCCTAATAAATTATCAGCAGCCATTGCAGCGGCCATTCCTAGCATCGTAAAAGCACCCATAGTCAATGAAAGCATGAACGAACATCACAGAAGATTAATGGCAGCATTGGCACCAAAACCTATAGAAGGAGTTGATAATTGGGGTATACCTGATGAACCAGCTGCACCTTGTGATCCTGACAGAGCAGTAAGTGGGCATCCTAATTAAAAGAAACTTCGGAGAGACTAATATCGCTTAAAGGAAAGAATAGCGCACTTCCTTTCGTTGAGGGCATCTGGTCATAGATTGAACAACCATCTCCAACACAACAAGGCGTTCAGAAACCCACGAATTTATGCTCGTCTAGTAGACTTTGTAGAAGTGGATGAATTTGGCAGTAACTTTGATAAGAACGATTTTGATCCCAATGGATTTTCAAAAGAATTGTATATAGACGGTATTTTAGAAACACAAAAGAAGCAAGCTGAAGAGAAAGTGGCGGCACAACAAAATAGAACTTCACTTAACTTTGTCCCTACGCAACAACCAGAATTATCACAACAGCAAAATTCTGCTATGGCTCAAGCTATGGCTACTGCGGCAAAGGTTGCTAGTCGAATTGCTAAACCACCGATACAAGCAGAAAAGAGAAAATATTTAAGTGACGAAGACACGCGAGATACCAAACGTCGATAGTTTTCGGAGATCCCTTTTTTTTTTGATGTTTTATTGAGTCATAAGCATTTGACTGGTTGAAAATAAACTTGTACATTTTACTCTCACTTTTTTCTTCTTCTTGATCGCTTCCTTTTTACGTTGTCTAATATGCGCTTTATCTTAAATCAGTACTCTTCATTACTCCATGGTAAAACTGGGGCTTTTTTTATGACGAAAATGTTGTACAACACGGGTTTGTTACGAAAAACAACTACGCTGCCAAATAAAGTAGGACTTCAGCTATCAAGGGATCGCGATGGTAATGACGATGGCTTTGATCTTGTCTTCTGACTAACATGCTTCTTTTTGTTTACTTCAAGACTCTTACCACAACAAAACAGACTTGATCAAATCAAAAAGACCAAATGATATATTGCAAGTCCCCGGAAGTACATATGGGTAAGGATGGTTATTCCGAAAGATAGTTTTCATGTGCTGAAGCAATATACGATTAGTGGCATGTATGATTTACAGTGGAGTAAGAAGCCAAATAATGTATTGATTGTCAAAAAACCCAATGATATTAAGACAGAAAAGGCACTTATTGAACTTGCAAAGTAAGTATAATCAATTAAATGAATTGTCATCAGATATTGATCGTTCAAATTAGTTGGTTACATAAATCCCAGCCAGAAATGAATATCATTGTTGAGCCTGAGGTAGCGGAACAGTTTCAGAAAGAGTTACCTTTCGTCCACGTCATTGAAAAAAGTAATACATCTAATAATTATTATGCATTGTGTTTATTAAATTCAATTTAGGTCAAAAGGATGATTATACACGCACAGTAGATTTCGCAATCACCCTTGGTGGAGATGGAACTATGCTTCATCTTTCGTCTCTATTCCCCAAAGCTGCACCACCAGTCGTAAGTTTCTCTCTGGGTACACTATGCTTTTTAATGTCATACAGTAAGGCGTTGAAGTTATTTTGATCTTACACAAATTAATCCGAATAATGTAGAATTTGAAAGACATCAACACGTCATAAATGATATGATTGCAGGAAAAGTCGGATTGATGATGAGAATGAGGTTATTTTGTTCGTTACATCAGCATAATGGTAAAAGAATAGAAGTTGATGGCGTCGAGGTGGATGATAGACAAGTCATGAACGAAGTGACATTGCATCGTGGTAGATATCCTCATTTGACTACAATAGATTGTTTTGTCGATGAACAGTATTTGACAGAATGTGTCGCAGACGGTTTAATTGTTTCCACCCCGACTGGATCCACAGCTTATTCTTTATCCGCAGGGGGTCCTATTGTTCATCCGAGTGTTCAAAGTATGGTATTGACCCCAATTTGCCCTAGATCGCTATCATTTAGAACCGTTCTATTGCCACCCAGTTCAAATATTGAGTTAAAGGTACAGGAAAATGAAAGACTAAAAGTGATCGCTTTTGACTCAATGTGCACTTGTAGATTGGCGAGAAAAGCCGAAGTCAAATCGAAGTATCTATCGATGGCCAAGAGATATTTATGTTGCATAAGGGAGAATACGTCAAGGTAGACTTATTAATAGGATTCTTATCGCATAACCTAATCTAAACTCAAATAGGTACGCATGTCAAAATACCCAATCCCGTGTGTAACGCATATAAGTGATGGGGCGGGCTGGGAAAAAGACATTAATGAGTTATTGAAATGGAATCAAACTTTTGGTAACAATATTCACTAAAACTGTAAATAAATTATGTAACATAATAATGCAACAACCTCGAGAATTGAGGAATATAATTACCTAATCATATTTGGCTTCCTATAATTGTTTTGTAAAACTTTTGTGATAGACTGGGTTTACTTTCATTCGCTGTAATTAATCCAGAAGCAACGTAAAAGTATATATAAGGATTTTTGTTAATGGTCCCGTTTAGAATGGGAAAGGATAGGGTCCAGTTATAATAAAATGTTTATTCCAAATAGGTTATCAAATAGTTGATACAGCTATTAAGAAATAAAGGCCTTACTGATTATCTTTGCACAAACAAATTGATGTGGCATTGGTGCATCTGACAATATGAAATATCAAAGGTGCCAGAGTTTAATTGTGGAATTATATGAAAGACTGTCTGCTCACTATACACGATAAAGTATCACAAGTAGTGTGAACCACTATATAAAGTGCCATTCCATATTTGATTTTATTTACTATCGCTTTCAGTAACATCGGATGTGACACCGAGCATTAGAATTGTAATACATTAAGCAAAAATAAATGCTTTTTACAACAAATAAAATGTGTCCGATCCACTCGCCCTCATAATAGCTGTGGTCAGCATGAGATATGCTTTAATCTGTGGAAGGCCAATGATAGCTTGTCGGTCCAAATTTGGCGAATGGGTATAAAAGGAGTCCCCGGAAGATTTGCTGCCAAAACTGTTGCCGCAACAATTATAAGCACAAATAATACAAGACCAAAGTCCACCGAATTGAGATAAGCTATTAAGACCAGCTCCATAAAATTTAAAGCACAAAAAATCACATATGTCATTACATTTATATTATTTTTTTGTTACAAGAACTACAAAACATATGCTTGTGAAATTTTAAAGTCTTATCACTTTATTACAATTAGGCACAACATAACCAATATGTATCACGGCTTATTCTTCAGGATCTGACTTCAATTTATTTTGATGTATGTACAATAAGCTTAAATGGACAAATATTGGCAGATGTAACTGCTTTAAAGTGACAAAACATATCATTCTCTTGGCGTTGAGTAGTGCGATAAACAAGTATAAGAGCAGTAAATTACTGTATCTCAAAAATTAAACATAAGCGTTAATTTGTTAAGGATGCTTCAACTTACAACAACTTTGAATTAAAAAACGATACCCATCAACTTTTATTTTTAGTGGTTGTTATTCTATTGCGGACGGGCTTGTGCTTGATCTTTTGCGATTTTTTACAATAGTATCATCCTTCTGTCTCAAATTTTCTAGACTTGCTTTCCTGGAAGTTCTCTTTAACATAGGCACATCTTGATCCTGCTGCGATTGCTGTTGTAATAAGATGTCTCCCAACTTTCGCTGTAACACTTCGTTTTGCAGTTCTATTCCCAATGAATCATATTGTCCAGGTATGATCTTGGGTGGGGTATCATCTTTATGTATCTCACTTTCTCCCATAATATGATAGAGGTTATCACTGTGTCTTCGAGGATTGGTAGGCTTTTTTGGTGGCTCCGTAATTTTCTGCACTACTGAATTTGAGGGTGGCCTATTAAGCAATGTGTTCATCGCTTCTTTAGAAAGAGCTGAAGATTGATCTATAGACTCCCTTCGTTTTCTTTCTTCTTGCTGCGCCGCCATGACAGGAGAAAGTGTACTGAAAGTACCTCTTGATAGAGCCATGAATACAAAAAGTGTAATCATTATTACCAGTTGGGACACGGAAACTCTCCTTTCAAAGGATAGCTATAGAAAAACAATAACCTTAGATTTTAGGTTTCCATTCAAATTCGAGACTCAATTTACCTGATCCGCTAATATGTTAATCTTTGTAGTCATTTCTCTCATATCACTGTCTGTTTGATCCTTCAAATCCTCATACCATTGCTCGTAACGACGTTTCTATAAGAAGAAGTTTAATTAATAGGGTATCTTTACACATTCGAATTGTACTATACCATGCTATCAATTCTATAACTCGCGGTTTCATTTAAGTGCCCAATAAGCTGAATTAACTGTTCTTGATGTTTTTTTTCCATGTCCTTAAGGACTCCATTTAAATTTTTATTTTGATCATCAAGATAGCGTAAAGATAGTGTCATATTGCCTTCTAATACTGTCAATCTTTTCATTATCGTCTTGTAAATCGATTCTTGGGTGCTTCCCTCCTTTGGGTAGTTATTGGCAGTCGTCTTTGGGTGTGATAAATGAGTAGACCTGCTCTCTTCTGATGTCATACCGGTACTTGGCAGAAAAGTAGTATGTGCTGCATCTGAAAATGAAATGATACTATCTGCAGCAGTGGTAATATTTATACGTGTTGCTGAGATGGTAGTGTCTGATTTCGTTAAGGATGAGGTTGTCATAGATTTATCAGTCTCATTTTCACCCTCTTCAGATGCATCCGACGGATTTTTTGTACTGTTTGAGGATAAAGTAATTGAAGCTACGGACGATGATGATGATGATAGAGCCAAGTGGGATACATTTTGGTCTACCAGTGAATCAGAATTTGTTGTTGTCGAATGGCTTTCCGTAATAGAGTCTGTTTCTGAAATGTTACTTTCATTCGAAGCATCTTCTTGATCTGTGATTATAACCTCTGTATCATATACTATATCGCTCATATCTGCGGTAGGAACAACTGCAGAATCAACGAGGGCATTGTAATTTATAGGCGGTATTACAGGCTTAATATCCTCTTCATCAATATCATTTTTTATCGGGAAAGATTCAGAGGTGTTTGTTACGTCGTATTGAGGTTGAATAAGTTGTTCACGAACTTCTGCTGGCCAAAGGTGCTCATTCTCTACAATCGGATTGTCACCCTGACTTTCTACTGTTGTATAATATTCCATCATTGACATTCCATGAACTCTGACCAAGCTCAACGGACAGTAGTATTCGTGCCCATAATGAGTAAGGAATTCGATTTTCATATATTCCACAAATCCACTGTCAGGGACTTTAAAAACCTAAAGATTTTTTTTTTTAATCAATTGTTGGCCGTGATTGATTCATTGCCTTCTTTTTTTTTAACCTGCAAATCCCTAGTGTTTCTAGCCTGCCATTGACCTAATAATCTCCAATCCTTCGTAGGGTACTTTGATGATGCATATACACGAAAATCTTTGAACGTACTTGAGAAAAATTCAAAATTAGCCATAACGATTGTATCAACAACAATTTGTTCACAAAGATTGATGATCACGAATTTATCGGCCGCACATTTATTTAGTAAATATTGATCTTTTGACTCGTACAAGATAGACTGTGCGCCTTTTGCCTGTTTATTTGCCTTCCTGACCGTTGCTGCACAATCTGTTGACGCGTAGTTGAATCTTTCTTTTAATGATTTCATTCTGACCCCAGCCATTTGTTGAATTTTCTTATTCGTGTTTCTTTCTCCTGCTTTACTGGGTGCGATATATTCTCCCTCGTCATAGACATTAGGTTTTTTTTCTTTTCCAACAACCCCGCCAATCAGTTCTTCAAACATTGATCCGAAATCATCAGAGAACCCTCCATCGATGCTATCTACCATCTGTTGTCTCTTCAAACCGCCCGTTGTGCCTTCTTCTGCTGATTTGCGTTTATGTCGACGATCCTTTTCGTTTTTCTTGCAAAGCCTTTTTTTGCCATTCCTCAAAAGACACTAAAGGCTTGGGTTCATCTTGTTCATCTTTTTGCATTGTTAAAGTACTAAGTTGCTCGTCGATGGCTATACTAGTTTTTTTCAGTACAGCTGCTTTGGTTGGCTCGTCAACAACATTTTTGCTTAGACCAGAGATAACGGAAGGATCTGGGAATAAGGCAGCAGAAAAATCAACAGCTGAATAGGCAGGAGAGGTATTTAAAAATACGTCATTTTCACGATAGCGCAAGCACAGCTTAGGTTGATTTTTTATTGCGGTGACCACGTCTGTTATTATGAAAAAAGAAATTATAAGCAAATGTGTAAAGAGCATGAGAAAAAACGAGTACAACAAATCATTGCCGAGTACGGATTAAATACAACATTCGTACTTTTAAAATTATTCCTTAACAAAATCAAAAATGTTCAGGCAAATGGGAAAGGGTCTAAAAATTAAGCAAATTTTGCCCTTTTTGCAAAGGAGCAGAAACGGTGAGAGACATACTTGATAGTGACAACAATTGTTTATAAGGTTTAAATGTCATATTACTACTGAATCTATTTGTTTTATACCCTGACGTTTCTGTCATCCCTACGATATCAGTACTCTTGTTTCCAGCTGATTCTCTGCTGTCCAAAAGTCTGACAATAAACCAAGTTTGCCAAAGTGAAGGCCAAATCCTTATTCATACTTATCTCATCAATTTCATCTTGATTTATCTGAGGTTTTTGCAATACGAAGAGTATTCTATGGATGCTGTACAACATTTATAAATATACCATGCTCAAGTGATAGTTAAGTAAGTGGCAAAGATCAGTTCGAATCCAAAATGCAAACAATTCACGTGCCTTCACAATCGACAATTTTTTTAAGGGTTTTATTATTATGTATACTGACTTTTTTTTATGTGATTTATTATGTATATTGAGAAATGTTACTTCATAAATCAATGACGTTACTTTAAAAAATAAAGTTTACTCAAAATGATAAAGCACCTATTGTTATTTTATCAAACCTCTTTCTTCTCTTTTTCCCATCCCAAACTGTTGCTGTCGGATTGCAACGGCGTTACATCGCTTGGCTAATTGTCATATCGGATACCGTCAAGCGTATATACTTTTGGGCGTCTTCTATAGAAGTTGCAATAACCTTACCTCAATCTTTATTGAAGGTGGATTTATAAAGGTTGCTTGCAAAACCCGACCCAAAAAAAAAAGATTGTCCAATTTTTTTGAAAAGCTACGAAAATGAAATAAGTCGAATGGATTACGAAAGTAACAAGGACTGAAATGGCTACAAGAATACTGGTAAGAAATAGACCATGTAAGAATAGTGGCACATCACACTCAACCCGTCCTTGATCTGTGTATATCCGAATACGCAAAGAAGACAATCCGTTGGAAGTACTATTATGATAAGCTAAAAGCAGTAGCAGGGACTTACATTCACTTACGAGAACATGTCAAGCACGCAAAGCTGGATTTCGAAGGAGCAAAAAAGCTTATTCTGCCATTTGTAATTTGTGGTTGTTGTATACACAAATATCCCGTAGTGTATACAAGCACTATTTTGTGAGTTACTTTAGCGAAAAACTCGAAATGTCTATTTTGTGTCACCTCACGTACACGCGGTTTACACGCAACATCTACATTAACAAATGATGAAAACAACTTATAAATAATACCACAGCTTACAATGCACGCATGACCCACACATGCTTACTTCAATATGTTCACATTATAAATCATTGTCTCAGCCTGCTCTATGAATTGACAAGTACCAAAAGGACTTTGTCAATTCCTATATAAACCATCCTCTAATTAAATAATATCCTCTAATTAAATAATAAAACGATATTCAATTTTACCCAGTCTCACAATTGTCGTATTTGACGCCTAAATAAATCGAATACAATTACTATTTAATCTGTCTTGAGCTATAATATACTTCATATATTATAACAGACACAGTACCAGTTCTCATAATCTTCTAACTGGAAATCATACCCTACATTGGACCCCGGTTGGCTGATTTACTGCGGTTCCTTCTAGCACCTACGATGAGTAATCAAGTAATCCAATCATCGCACATACTGCTAAATGAATAAATGATTTCTCTGCTAGAAATTCCGGACATACAACCATAGGCTTACATAACAATATTTTATAAGCTATGTTTCATGTCGTTACTGATGTGGTGACCTAGCAAGGCTATAGCCATATTAGAGCTAACAAAGGTTTATCCATGCTGATACCATTTGTGATATAAGCTTAACAATAAATGTCATAGTAAGAACTATAAGGATATTACATCACAAGTCTAATTTAGTACGTCTGAGAAATACTTAAAATTTAGTTTAAAGCAAAGAGAGTTAAGAAGACTTAACATTTATTAGAACAAGACTAAATTAGTGACTATGTAATAATCGTATACATTTTTGGTTAATCAATGATAACTTCAAGATAGCACTAGAGATATGAACACAGCAGACAGTCTTTTATATAAATACTCGTACATTTCATTTATTAATAAAGGACAATCTTATAAACAGTCTCAAACTACTCCTATAGTCTTTTTATAATTTTACTTTACCTTAAAACACAACAACTGATTTATATTTCAAATCCAAAAATTTCCAGTCTTTGGAAATGTTTATTCGATCTACGCAGAAATTACTTGAAGTAATAATTTAATATAAAAGGACCTCTATTTTTATCATGACAAACTCTCCAACTTATAATAAAGGATTAAAGAGTCTCATTTCTTTACTTGTTTATTTTTTATCTTTTATTTCTACCCTTTGATACTCAAATTATCACAACAATTACCTTCTTTTTTTATAAACTACCTGCTGTCAAAACGTAAGAAGACATGGATCTCCAGTTGTACCTCCATCGAATTATAGAGGAGAGCATTGCAGCTTATATTGGAAATTTGAAAAAAGTCAAGGTTTGTAAAAGACGGCATAAAATTTAATTTGTACACTGAGAAAAAAAGAAAAAAGAACGATGCATACAATAAATGATAAAACACGTCTAAACAAAGGAACCCGTAAAACGTATTCCGTAAATTTATGCATGCAAAGGTCACGCTGAAAATGAGAATTACTGACACTTTTAGCTTGTTTGGTTGTAACAAGAATAAAAGCGATTTTTTTTTTTAAGATTGTGTATTCTTAAGAACGAGTATTGTGCTCCATACTCTGTAAAGCTGGTTAAAAATGCTGTTATAGGCTGTCTACGTTTAAACACATTGCTATGTATCATAATATTATGCAAGGCATTCAGAATTATTACAGACACA